TGCCGTCGGAAGTGATTCCAGCAAAAACCATCACCGATGAAGGATGAGAGCTGCGTGATACCGTAACATTTGTCTGAGATTTTGCCCAAACTCGATCGTTTTGCTCATTGAGAATGCTCTCAATGGTAAATCGCTTCTCATCGGTGAAAAGGATGTTTCGATGATCGATTCCGTTAAAACGTCTCAGAAGTTGGTTACAGCGCTCTTTCCACTTCTTTTTCGCATCCATTGGAAGCATTTTGGACTTATTCTTCTTGTAAAGTTTCATTTAGCTTCTTTTTGATAATTGTGTTCACGGAAGAACGCTTGAGACCCATTTTTCGTGCAATCCCTCGAACTGATTGGCTGGGGTTTCGGCGGAGACAATCCCGGACCATCTTAATGTTGGCTGGTGTGAACACAGTCAATTGTCGACCCCTTCCTGGACGATCAGAAGTCGTTCCCAGTTCTCGATAGCGTTGAATGACTTTGGAAATAAGGTTTTGCTGATCTTGAGCTTTGAAGCGATCTCGCGCGCCTTCATACCCTTCCGATGCAATGCAATGCAACGATTGCTTCACGGTGTGCGGATGAACGTGTCATACCTAAAAAAAATCCAAATATTTTTAACAAAAACACAAATTAATATGTAGAAAAACAAAGGCAAATAAAGCAAAACAGCAGAACAACAAGGAAATGTTCACTATCACAAAAATAAGTCGAGTTTTCGTAATTCTTGATCACCCTGTACAGCAAACATCAAGGTAGATCAAGAAACAATCATCATCACCAAACCTCATCAAACATCTGAGCCTATTCAGCCAACAAGCTTAAACATTACTGGCTTAACTTTGCAAAATCTAAGGTTAAGACTTTCAAAATTGTTATTATGAGTTATTACTTAGTAGTTAGGGATTCTAAGAACCAAACTATAATTACGAGAAACTTCTTTTTCTCTCATCTACTCAAGTTTCAAGGATCATCACCAAATATTTAACCCCAAATCCTCAAAAACAAGTCTCTCCAAAATCTCGAAAATATTTTCCTTCTTTTCCATTTCGAGTTTTAGTCTATGATTCTGCTTTTTGATGCTCAAAAAAAGTTGAAACAATGATTTTTGGTAAGGGTTTGTCTCAAGTGGATGAAATTGCTGCAATTAGTCATTGTTTTTTGAGGAATAATGCAAAAAGAGTGAAAAGGGTAAAAGTTGAACTCTCGGTGCTCAAAAAGTTTAATAAAAATGTAATGACAAAAGTTTTGAATTCAAAAAGATTCTAGTCTTGAGTTCTGGGGAATGTAATGTCTGGGGATTCAACTTCAACTTCAACTTCAACTTCAACTTCAACTTCAACTTCAACTTCAACTTCAACTTCAACTTCAACAGGCTGACAATTTTGTGGCAGAAGTGAAAGCAAGTAAAGTAAATGAAAAATGAGGAAGTCGTTTTTAAGGAGAAGCAATCAATGCAATAATTTCTCTCTTCAAAAGCAATGAGAACACCAATTAAGTACGTGAATTGATAATAAAGTTCGTTGCCCGTTCTTTTTCTAGAGTCGTGTCTGAATGTGCGGTTATCAGGAACGTCTAATAAAATTTCGTTTGTAAAAAGCAAAAGACTTTTGTTAAACTTACGAAAAAAAGCAAATTCAACATCCTAGCAAGAATTCTATGAAGTGTGAAGAGACAAAGAAGTTCTTCCCTTCCCTTTCCTTTCCTTTTCCTTTTCTCTCTCCTTAAATCCCATCTTTGATCACTTACCCGCAACAAAAAAGAGTAGAAAAAGCGCTTCTGAACTTTTCTCCATTTCACTCTTCACTCCTCATGCCATTCATCTCGAAGATCCGATTAATGACCGAACTCCGTCGTTCCTTTTTCTGAGGTGAATCTCTCTGGTGAACCAGGTGAATCTTTCTTCAGAGAACCCCTCTATCATAACACCTGTTGCTTATTTTTTAGAGAAATTTTGAAGAAGTTGACAACATCTCGTACTTTTATTGAATCTGAGCTGAATTTGAGACTGAAAACAGATTTTATTGAATTGACCATGACTATATACTTTTGTTATGTAGTCTAGGGCTTGACTTGAAGAGACTTCAAGTTGAGCATTGATCGAATTCAAATAACATAGCATACTGAATATGTTAATTTGCCAAATTTGCACTGATTGGGAAAACTGGTTAATAAAGAAATAAGAAAGTATGCAAAATGATTGAAAGTGTTTTAAAATAAAGGAAGTCTGTTGTCTCTTTTGGTGGAAACACTGAGGACTAACTAAAACTTAACGCCAAAATTTCTCTTCTTTGCCAACCCAATAAGAAAAGTCGTTTTACATAAGAAATTGGATCATGAACAACTGTTCACCTTGCTCATTGAGGCCTTAAAACAATGATTCTTCAGAGTTTCAAACAATCGACTCAAGTTTCTCCTCTCGAGGTGTGAAGATCGGGTTTTGGTTTTCACAAGCTGTACTTACAGCTTGTGACAAACTGTACTTACACAAGCTGTACTTACAGCCTCACAAATCGAAACTGGCATCACAAATTTTAGTTAATAAAGTAAACACATTCACTCTAGACAAAAATAAAATTGAATTTCAAAACCTCAAGAATCTTAGACTAACTTGAGAGTCGCAAATGGGTAACAAAGCCAGCAGACAAAGAAATTGAGATTCGTTTCGAATTGAATTGAGTTGATGAATTGAATTCGAATTCAATTCAATTGATTCGTTTCGAAATTGAAAAAATATTCACGATTTTATATCTTGAAAAGTGAAAAAAGATGAAGTTCTTTTAAAAAATGAAAATTCAAAACCTGAAAATGATCAAGAGTTGGCCAATAAGGACTTTTATAGCCACTGAAATTTGAAATTAGTTATCACAATGATCAAAAGCTATTTCTGATTGCTCTCTAGAGAATTGAAACGTCGCTAAAGTGGGAAAAGTGGGGATGGATTTTGAAAGGTTTAACCAAAAATACAAATTCGCCCACATTTGAGGTGGGCGATGGCTAAATATTGTTTTTTACAAAACAATATTTAGCATAGCAGCTTGTCGAAATGAATCATCTCTGATTTGAATGAAGAGTTGAAGATAGTTAAAACTTTTCAGTTCAACGGCAAGAACTAAGTACCAACTAAGTTCTACACAATAACTTGTTTGTTGAAGTAATGTTTGATCAGGCCTGTCATAGTTCAGAGCCCGGTTTTATCAACTGCTAAATGCTAAATTGCTGAATAGTTTGGTGCAACCGAACCCAACTTATTCATGGACTAATACGTAAATAAAGTTCTATTAAACTGTTCATCAAACCTTGAAGACAACACAAAACAGTTCTTTCTATCGAATTTTTGCAAGTTTTGATCTGACTTTCCTTTTCTTTCTTTCTCTTTTCTTTTCTTTCCTTTCCTTTCCTTTCCCTTTCCTTTTCCTTTCCTTTCCCTTTCCTTTCCTCTTTCCTTTCCTTCCTTTCCTTTCCCTTCCTTCTCTCTCTTTCCTTTCCTTCCTTTCCTTTCTCTCATTCTCATCAACCAATGAGAAACTTGTGCTTAATACCAATGTCAAAAAAAAATGAAAGTGAGATAGTTTTCCTCTCTCAACTCTCAATCATTCTGTTTCTCTAACATTTTTTGGCAATTTTTTTGACCTCAAATCTTCTAAAAAGTACCTTTTATTTTTGCTCTTAACTTTTTAATTTCTTTAAACAATATAAAATTGACTTCTTTTTCAAATGAAACTTCAAAAATTCAATCAAAATTTATGGCTCGATCCACACGGTTTTTGCAAGACTCTTTGGGCAATTCACCAATCCTTTTTTTTCCTTTTTTTGATATTTTCTTTCTTTCAATTGACATCACTTTTCGATACCCGAAAAATTCGATAAAAATTATGGTCAAAAAGTGATGGAAATGGTGAAAAAGAGCGAATAATTGAAAGAATCTTTGAGTTTTCGGTCAACTTTCCGAGTATCTCTTCTCTCAATGAAACTGTAGCTGTACCCCAAAAGGATAAGTTGAGAAAAAAGAGGAAATGATCGTAGTTTGATAAGAAAAGTTTGCCAAATAAAAGAGCTTAAAAATGGAATTGAATAAGAATCATAATCTTTAATTCTTCACAATGATAAGCTTCAAGGTTTACTATTTATAAAATAGCAGTGTCTGTCCGTCTGTACGTTTTTCTCAGTCGTCTGAGTCAGCTTATCGTGCTTAAACTTATTTCTAGAAACATTACTGATCATAGAAGAAGCTGCCACTTCTGAAGAAATCAGGAACCTTCAGTTTGAAGAGATCCATTCGTTCAGTTGCCCACAAGCTATTTGTGCAATCACTCTGGAAGTGCAAGGAACGGGGAAAGAAAAAGCGAATAAAGAGAAGACTTGAGAGTCCTTTCTCTTTTCATTCTTTTTTTTTCATCTTCATCATAATCTCAACTCTCAAGAATCACATTGAGAACAAAGCATCTCTTTTTTTTACGTCATTCTCTTTATTGATCGTTTTTGAGTCAATGTATCATTCTCTTTTCAGGTAATCACTTCATTTCATGCGCCCACAATGGGCCATTCTTGTCACCGGCGTTTTGTTACTGTTGGTGGGGATCATTTCAATACATAACTTGATCTAAAGTTGATCTAAGCATAAGTATTGAGTTAATTGTATTAGTAGCTAGCTCAATTTACAGCAAAATGTTCATAAGAACATGGTCAATCGATAAGTTTACTACTGTAATCTTTAGCATCTTTAACATCATTATCATCTAGCATCTTTACTACTGTAAGCTTGTTATTGTTGTCCTTCAAATTCCAGTTACTTGACCTTGAACTTGCTAAATCCTCTTACAAAAGTTTTCCTTTTACTTTTTCTAATGGAAAAAAAATGAAAATGACGAGAGATTGGACTGTGAGTGGATCTCTTCTTCCTCTCTTCTTCCTCTCTTCTTCCTCCCCCCCCGTACTGAACTGATCTTCCCCTCTCTTTTCTCCCCAATTTTCAATCATCAAAGCAAGGCACACACCCAGGGAAAATCTCTATGAAATCGATTCCCGGAAATTTCTTCCCAATTTTCTGTACCTTTCTACTAGCTGTGTCGACTGTTGTAAGCCAATCTTCGGTAATTTTCTGAACTCTTTTCTAAATTTCGTTGATCCAAAAGTTTTTAAAAGCCCCCTTATCAAGATTTAATGTTAGTCAATGGCAATACTAGTTTAAAATCCTTCAATTATAGCCTCACTTTAGAGCTCACAAGAAGCCGACTCGTTGACGCCGAGTGAACGATGTGAGGCGTGTCAAATCGTTTTGAAAACCGTTTACGGGCATTTCTTTAAACAGGTGCCATCTTTACTTTACCTCTTTACTTTACCGATCTTTATCTTTACCGAATTGAACCAATTTAGGTGTCAAGCCGTAGAAAATTGGCTCATCAATTGAGACATGAGTGTAATCGACATTATCAGGTAAGGAAAGATTTTCAGTTCAGTTTTTGCTAGACAAATTTATCCAGAAAAGTTGTCTTTAGTATCGTCGTCGATGCCTTTTATTTACGCGGACAAATACTTTGGAGATTATTTTTCATGAAATGGGCGCCACCGAGTTCAAACCGATCAATCCGTGCACAGTACTCAAGGTTGTTTCAAATAAAAATGACAGATGACAGATTCAAGACAGATGACAATGAATTCTTCAAGAATCTCTCTGTTAGATCTCTCTGTTAAAAGATCTCTCTGTTAAAGATTTAACTGAACTTTTAGGAATGCAAAAGTCTTCACTCACCAATCATTGAGACATCTGAAGAAAGAACAAATGGAATGGATGAGACAACGACAAGTTTCAACGATAACACTTCAACAAGCACAGATGAAACAATAACTGTAGTTGAGTGATCAGCTTTGAAACAGTTCACAGTTTTAATAGCAAAGCTAAAAACGTAAATAATCAGTGGCTGGTGCTTGGGTGGTTGTAACTTTAACAGTTTTCTTATCAAAAAAAGTAATAGAATTTTTGTTGTAAAGCTTATTTTACTGAACCAGCTACATGTGGTTTACGTTTTTACCTCTTTATAGTATAATTTTTCTTGAAATTTCTTTGTTTATAGCCTCTTTTCCCCATTGTAATCTACGGGTATTTTGTGTGTCAGAAATCGAGTGTGACAATAAAATGTTTGTCTCAAATTTTTTCTCAAAAATTTATAGCAAAAAGTAATTCTTTCATTTCATTTCGATAACCATCGTAAATGAGCAGGCATTGTGAGGAGATAACCATGATCGTAAGTATAGAGTCGTTTATCGTACGGATTATAGGAGATCATGTTCGCATTTCCATACAGATTCACCTAAAAGGAGATGCAGATACAAATATGGAAACTGCTTGATATAATGCAAGATTTGTACCGGGAATCACTCAGTGATTGAGTACTTTTTTAATAATTCTAGTTACACAGAACGAATGACCACAGAACGAATGAACACAGAACGAATGAACACGGAACGACTGAACAAAGAGCGAACGAACACAGAACGAACGAAAACAGAACAAATGAACACAGAACGAATGAACACAGAACGAATGAACACAGAATGAAGGAACACAGAACGAATGAACATAGAACGAACAAACACAGAACGAACGAACGAAAACAAAACGAACGAACACAGAACGAATGAACACAGAACGAACACAGCATGAACAGAACAGAGTTTCTGGACAGCGAAATACTTTTTGCATTGCAGCTATCAGTTCCCATATACCTAACTTCTCAAGACTTCACTTCTAACTCACCCATTTAATGTTTGGCTTTGAATATTGTAAACGATAGAAATCGTAAGCCGTCGAGATATACGAAGCTTGATCCCATGAGCTTTCCACCTAAAACAAACTTGATTTGAATATGCTTTGTGATCGGTAAATGACCACCAATGAACACAGACTTTTAAGGCTATAAAATTTAAAAATTTCCTGACAATAATGTTCTTTGAACTATTATTACTCTTTTAAAAGACCAAATCTATAAACTCTGGCAAAAACTCACGAGATAAAGAACCCCGCAGACGACAAAACCATTCGCCAAATTCGTGTGATTGACCAAGGTGAGATTGTGGGTCTCGTAAACAGTCAAATTTCCAATATCAACCTGTTCTTTGAATCTAACAATAAAAAAAGTAACTTTACTTTTGCAACTGAAAGAAATGGTTCTGTTTCATAGTGATAGAGAACCCAGAGAGCGTTCTCATCGATAGCCAAGTCGAAATAAGCGAGTGAAGCGTTGAAGAGGTACTGCAAGTCGATTATGGATTACTGTAATCATTTTATTACTCAATTTCTACATTTACCTTATCTCCTTTATGTGTTGCACCTTCAATCACGAGTTCATCATATTTTTGCGTTGATAACTCATATTTCCCAATTTTCGGTGTTCCGGCTCGATGGAAATAGAAAGAACCATTGAACATTACATGATTTGTTCCATCGTAAATGTGTGGAAGTTGATGGCTAGATTAGGTTGAGTGGATTACAGGGAATTAAGCTTGTTTCCTAGTTTGGCTTAAAGTGCAAGACAAACAGTCGAATCTCGTTAGTGAACTATGGAATGGATCCTAAAAAACCGTTTACTATTGAGGTTTGATTACTCAGACTCAGACGAATCCTAAAAAATCCGGTTACTATCGTTCACTAACGAGGTGTTCACTATCGAGGTTCGACTGTAGTTTTTGCTAGCGATTACGTCCCATTTTGAATTTGATTAGATTTAGTTGAAAAATTTAATAAAGAATGATAGACTTTTCTGGTTTAGAAGAGGGAAGATATTTTCTCTAATAGTAGTGCACCCCGGCGAGCCGAGTTGGTGACGATTTTACGGTTTCCAAGCTTTTGCAGAAGCTCAAGACTCTAATCATCGTCAAGATCTCATCGTCAGCTACATTTTCCGACCCCACATCAATAAGTTCTGATAAGCGGTTCTCGAGATTTCGAGAAATTTAGGCGAAGCTTTGGGTGCACTACTATTAGAGAAAATACGGTATATAAAAAGCAGCTTTATTGGCAGGATAATTGTAACTAGGATTTTATAATATCTATTAGAATTATACTGTATTCTCTCTAATAATAAAGATATGGAAATGTTATAGATATTATGGAAAAAGACTTATAGTTGTTGTAAGGTTGCCGTATTTTCTCTAATAGCAGTGCACCCCGGCGAGCCGAGTTGATGCCTATTTTACCGTTTCGAAGTTTTCGGAAAAGCTCAACACTCTAATCCCCCACTAGATCTCATCGTCAGCTACATTTTCCGACCCCACATCGATAGGTTCTGATAAGCGGTTCTCGAGATTTCGAGGAATTTAGGCGACGCTCAGGGTGCATTACTATTAGAGAAAAAACGGTATATTAAACTGTAGCTGACATTCTCTTTGGCCTTTCTCTTCGCATTTCTGCTTCCGTCGGGTATTCAACAATTTCATCGCCTTGGAAGTGATTGACGAGGAAACGCTTCATCATATCCTGATCATATTTAAATTAATTATTATAAGATTAAAAACAAACATCTCCACTTCTAGGGTAAGCATCTCTCATCCAACTACCATAATACGTGGTAGAGTGCGAGTGAAAAACTGACTTTCCGACTGATTGCAATTTACAATCTAAAAGAAAATTTAGCTGAAGTTAATTCTTAAAGTTATGCTTACGTGCTGTAGCGCCATGGATATAAGCGATCTCTGTTGGCGCTGGCTCCTCCAAAAGATCATAGTCGGTTTCATTCGCTTTCATGCAAACCTAAACACCTTTTAGCACTATGCAAATCTTAAAATTCACCTTCAAACACATCTCCAATTCCATTGAGTTATTAGAAAGTAGCTAAATAGATTTTATGCAGAACCTGTTGAACCAGTTGATTAAAACCTGTTGAACAGCCACAGGGAGAAGTCGTTGAAGTCCTTTTGGAATTACTGGCTCTGGATCCGATGACGGAACTGGACAATCCATATTGGTGAACTGAAAGGGAAGACATTTAGATAAATTTGGAAAACTGTTGCCTATCAAAGCAGTTATTTAATGAAACATACAGTAGGACATTGCAGTGTTCTCTCAAGTAGAAGTCTCTCATCCACAGGACAATCATTACATTGAGCATCTCTTCCAGGAGATCCCGGTGGACCTAAAATATCATTGCATGACAAAAAGCTTGAGAATTTTAGAAATGTATTTACCTATTGGTCCATAATGTCCAGGGATTCCAGAGAGACCGGCCCTTCCTGCAACTCCTGGAGGTCCAGGTTTTCTGAAAACAGTATGGCTAGGTATTAAGCTCTGTCACTGAACTAGGTACTGTCTATTAGACAGTGCCTAGTTCTATTCTTGCCTGTTACCTAGAACAGACAGTGCCTAGTTCTATTCTTGTTTTCCCACCCCTGTGGCCCTGGTGGTCCAGATTGTCCAGTCTTCCCACGTTCAGTATTCGCTTCATCTGTACAATATTCGTGCAAGCCGATGCATTTATCCAACAACTCATTCACCTAAAGCTTTATGAAAAAGATTGACTATCAGCTTTTAGCTAACAGCTTTTAGCTAACAGCTTTTAGCTAACAGGTTTTTTAGCTAACCTTGACTCTCGACAATGAAGTCAACCATAAATGCATCGGATTCTCGCTTCGATTTGTCGATCGTTGAATTTTCGTCTCTCGTCGAATCCTTTTTTGAGTCACATAGATATATTTATCGGATAAACTAAGACCAAAAAATTGTTAGACTTGTGTTCTTAAAGCTCACTCGACTTCACATTGTTCTCTTAATGAATGAATTCGATAGTGAATATGTCCAAAAGCAGCAAGAGAGATTAAAGCCAAACAAAAGTGACACCATAACACGAAATGGCACTCTTCTTTTGAAATTGTCACCATTGAGCTTAAAAATTGATTGAAAATCAAGTAGAAAGATGCAGAATCTTTTGTAGAATCAATAGCTTTTGATTCACTTTAGTATGTGGAACCTTTTTTTTATTTCAAACATTTCCTTTTTTTTGTTTATGCTATGCATTTTGTAATTTGATCCAATGATTGAATTTTGAAATGGACGAACTTCACTAAACCATTCCAATCAAAATAAAAATATTATATTATCGAAAAAAGTTTATCGCGACAAAGCAAACTTTCCGAAAAAATACAAATAAAGAAATTGTTTTACGAATTGTCGAGCGAAAGTTTCTGAAATAATGAGATAAATAAAATTTCTATGCCTTGACATCATTCATCTTTCAGTACTAGACCCAAAATAATACAGAGAATTCGAATTTAATCTTAAAAGAAGAAAAAGAAACGAGTTTACATGCTGCTAAGGCTACAAAGACTACAAGACATTTAAATATTCAGCTATTAGCTTAAAGCTGAATATTTTATTATTAGAAAATGACACTAAGTAATATTTGACGATAAAAAGCTGGGAACCTTTGGGGTAAAATCGAAAAAAAGCATCAAAAAACTCGGTAAAACCAAAGTTTCCGGTCTGAGATCACCAAATAGACAAATTTTAAAGTGGAATTCTTCTAGGGAAATCAAAAGGAATAGCTGAATTGCTTTTACAAATGAAAATGAATTTCAATCTGATAGAATCAGCTTTCCCTTGAATTTCCCTTCAAGAGCGCTGTCCAAAACAGTAGACTTTCAGGGTAGACTTTGTGCTCAAGAAATGGAAACACACTCCGTCTGGTGCAATGATTTAATTCCTTTATCAAATCTATTTTCCATAGATAAGCGCCAGAAATAATGGTTTACTGTTGAGCACAAAGTACACTCCAAAAAACAAGCCTACAAAGCAGCTTTAGAATGTGGAGAAAGATTTAAAAATCGAAAAATACAGTTAGATATAGAAATTTTCATTTAGATTTCTGACTTTTAAACCTTTCCCTTTCATCTGGGCACCGGAAATCTATTTTCCATAGATAATCTATTCCATAGATAATCTATTTTCCATCAATAATCTATTTTCCATAGACTTTTAAACCTTTCCCTTTCAATCAATTCATCTGGGCACCGGAAAAATTAGAAAATAAAAGATTTCTCCGCCAAAAAAAAAAGATAAAAACAACCGAAAGTGAAAATAATGAATGCAAATAAAATTAATGACAAATAAATTAAACAATTTACAAAAAAGCCTGACGAATCAGTGTGTGTGAATGAGATAAAAAGGCGAAGGGATCTCTGGAGAAGAGGGGGAAGAGGGAGAGGAGGGAGAAGATCTCCATCTTCTCCCTCTTCCAAGACCAGAACTAGTTTACGAAAAAGAAGGCTCATCGGTTGGGCTCATCGGTTGGATGGATCTGGAAGAAGAGGTTATTTATATTTGTACTGATTAACTGATTATGTAATCCTTTAAGAATAATCTGACAAATGATTGATTGCTATTAAGTTACTCGTACCTATCAATCAATAGTAGCATTTAATAAATCAATTACAAGTTTCACACTTTCACGCTAACTATCATATTTGTAAGATTAAAACTGTAAGATTAAAACTCACTCATTTTATTCACAAGTTGTGGCTCAGGTTGTTGTGGTAGAATGTTGGATGGAACGGATTGAGCAGTGGCTGGTCGACTGATTGGCGCCTGAACCGATTGGCTTTATAGGGTGCGTCAAAAGTTCTGTCACCTCAATTACTATCATAAATACTGTAATAGTACCCCACCCCCATAATGACGGTGCGGAGCGTTGCGTAGTCTAACTTTAAACGCATTTTTCTCGACACTGGTTTATGCTACAATGCTCGTTTAGATATCAAAAAATAGCCCTGAATTTCAGCTATTTTTTGATAACAAAGACGCATTTTTTGAAAGTACGTGAGCTTTGAAAAAAATGAAATACTAAAAAACTTTTGCGACCACGCGACTGTACGAGGGGGTACTATTACAGTATTTACGGTAGGTTTATTTTAAGGTAAACACCAATCAACTTTGAGTTTTTTAAAGTTTATTTTATGAATATTGAATAAAAACGTATAAAAAGCGTAAAATAAAATGTTTCTAGAAGAATTCAATCTTGTACTAGTAACAAATTTATAAATAAGGATCGCGGACGATTTGCGAGATTTCAAGTATAAGAATTTTTTTGGACTTTAGAAATTTTGGATCTTTAGACTAATGCTAAATATTGTCCTCATTTTTTTAAATAAGCTAAATAGGAAATAAATAGCAATTTCTATGCATTTCTATGCATTTCTATGTATTTCTAAATTTCTGTGTGTTTTCTAAGGGACTAGCATCAAAAAAAAGATTATTTTAATAGCCATTTTAGTAAAGTAAAATTTTGAAAATTCAGAACACAAATAGAATACGAAATTTTCTAGATCTCATGATTGTAGAAGAAGCAATCTACTAGATAATTTAAAAACTCTACTATTTTCTATGATATTCTTCATTAAGCTGAGAAAAAATTCAGTTTTTGAGCCTTGGAAGGTGACAAAACTGGCAGGGACCAAAATTCGATTCGGTTAGATAAAGTTCTGCTATAGTCGACAGTCGATTGTCCTACAAATCTCTAAAACTGTCCTTTTGACGCGCCTTGTAGTTGACTAAACAACTAAATAACAACACCAAAAAAAGATTGGATTCATTTATCCTGATTGATTTAGCTAAATCTCTAAATAATAGGTTGATGCATAAGTGTTTTTGTTCCTTTTCGTCTGCCGTTTCAAGCCAACAAATGCACCAATTAAACTACGGTTGATTTCATTAGAAAAACCAATTATTTTTCTGCAAAATAACATTAAAACGGGTTTAAAAATATTTAATGCCTGGATTTTCTTGAGAGTATGAAGTCGGGTAGTCAAAAAGGGCTAACTCGATGATGCGGTTTAGACACCTTAGCTAAAGAAAACCTATCTTCGTGTCAATAGATAAAAGATAGAGAAAAAAAACGTTTGATATTTCGCCAAAATTTCAGAGAAATTCATTCAGCCAATTTTTCCGTAGAGTTTTTTATAGATTTTTACGAAAAAGGCGTTTTTCACTCTCGAATTTGCTTGAAAGTGAACCGAAATTCATTTAAAAAGATGCAAATTGAACAAAAAAAACACTTTTTTTATAAAGCAAACTATAGATTAATTGGTGAATTTGTTACTTTTTAACAGAAGTACGAAAAAAACGAAAACACTTATGCATCAACCTAATAACTTTAGATCTTTAGACTATTGCTAAATATCTCATTTGTAAATGAGAGCTAGATGAGAGCTGTAAATGAGAGCTAAATATCTTACCATAAACGTGTCCGACGGCTCAGTTGGCATTCCATTTGATGGACCGGGCATCATTTGTTGATTGAAGACTCCTTGTTGACGTTGAGGGGTAACCGGCACGAGAGTTCTTTCAAAGACCGGTGTATGGTAGTCTAAAAATTCTCTTGATTAAAAGAAAATTGAAAGGTTATAAAAAATTCGCGATTAGAGTTAGACCATCGAAATTTTAATCGATTAATCGTTGATTAAATGCGTTTTTTTTTAAACCGCCACCAATTACATGCTTTGTAGTTAAAAATCTGGTTATATGCTCACTCATCAGTTTGGAATTTAAACCTTTCCCCATTTCTATCACCATTTCAAACCTAGACAAATAAAAACCTCATGCAACTATGTAATCTTCGATTTCTTGAGTCTCATTTTGTTTTGGGGATTTGAGAGAAATCGAAAACTTACGCACCGACAACAAGAACAAGATCGTTACCAAATGAGGGCTGCACTTGAGTGGTCATACGAGGAGCTTGAGAAACTAAAGAAGACAGTCCCATCATCGATCTATTTTCATTCACAGGTTGTACTTGACGATTGATTGGTCGAGCCATTTGGTAGTATGTAACTGAAATTGTAAGTCACTAGTGAAATGAATTGGCTTTTTTTATTTTATTGGCTTCTAGTGATTAGTTTGTTGACTCACCAGGTTTAACCCTTTGAACTGGGTAAGCTAAATTCACTTGTTCGTAAGGGTATTGAAGATGAGGCTGTTGGGGAGCAATCTATAATCATAAGATCTTTGTTTCGAAAAGTTTACTAACCAAATAAGCCCGTCTGGGAATGATTTGTCCGCGTTGAGATTGATAGCAAATGTTAATTTCCTGATTAACTGGAGTGCACCTTTGAAAGAATGGAATGTTCGAGGGTTGAACTTGTTGAACCAATGGTCTCAATGGCACTGGTCGAAAGGGCTCCTTAAAATAGATTTACTAATAAATTAGAGCATAATTTATTGACTGAAATACATGAAAGATGTCAACTCTTTCGATAAACCAACTTCTCTTCGAGTTGCCGATGAGAAAGCGCTAGGCCCGGAGTTATTTGGAATGTTCTGAAAAGAAATTTATCGTTGTTATCGTTGTAAGCTAGTTTTTTTTTCCTCACCAATCCATAGCTGTGATCTTCTCGAGACAAGACTCTTTGTTGTTGATTCTGAAAATTATGAGTAAAATTGGGTATGAATTAAGAATAAACCTTCACAAGCTTGTGCTTTCTTTCAGAAAATTTTTGCTACTAGCAGTTAACTGCTCGTCGCTTTAGGCTAACCCATCGTTTACAGTCAAAATTTAAGTATTAGTTGTTGGGAAATTTACTACAGTTCATTATTGTACTACTGAGTTTTGCATTTTAATAACTAAACTGAGTTTGAAAGGGAAATTTTCCCGTTTATCCGAAATCCTAAATAAAAAAAAAGAACACTTTTTGGATACGTTACCGTATATTTCATTTCCATATAACGAATTATTAGCTAAAATGTGGGCAAAGCTAAATGGATTTTTGCTTTTTTTTTTACTGAATTTTAATATGCTTTGCTTTACAATCAGCTTGCTTACTTTTATTAAGTTTATTACGTTTTTATCTTAAGTATGCGGGGTAGACTAGTTTCCGCATTTTTTTTGCGCAACAGGGTCATTTGCGCTGTTGGGGAACCGAAAAACTAGAAAAAAAGGTCCGAACTAATTTCTTTAATGTTCTTTAGTTGTTTTTTCAGCTTGTTGTCGCTAACTTGTTTGCAAAATAAATTTAGAAATTTAGAAAAACCTTCCATTGGAATTGGTCAAAAACCAATGGTTCTTTGTTTCTATCCAACGAATTTCAACATAACGAACTCTTCGACCGATCCCTTGCAGTTAGTTGTATCGAAGTTCGACTATAATGGATTGGCTATTCTCTCACCGTTGACATTGAAGTGGCCACGGGTACGGATGGACGGAAGGACGGATGATTTTGCGATGATAATACGGATGGATGGGTGGACGGATGATCCGTTGATGATGATACGGGTGGATGCATGACCCTTCGAACGGGTGTTGGTGGTGGAGCCATTGATGGAATTGGATCTAGAAATTCGTGTTTATGATTAGAACTAAGAAATAGAAATCAAATCTAGATATTTCAAAGTGTTTTCAAACTGAAATCCTTAATAGACGTAGTGTTACCTGATAAGACGTAGTGTTGCCCCTGTGGGCCGGGCGCAAGGCTCATTCCCGGACCGAGGCTCACCTGTAAATTGGAATGTTTAGATTCAAATTGCTGAATGAAACCTCAAAAATATCCTTATCTTCTATTGGGAAAACTTCAAATAAGATTTTGAATTTAATAAACCTAGACAACTCGCTTAATAAATCGTGAAGTGCCCAAGTGAAAGAGTTACGAGTCTCACCTAGTAACATCCAGGGTTTCTTAGAGGTTTTTCCCCATTATATGTAAATTATCATTTCAGTAATAGAATCCTTAGCAACTGATGAACGAAATCATCAGCATTCGAAAGCATCAGCATTACAAAATGTTGAAAAACCCAATAAGACTCACTTGGCTTGGATGAACCCCGGGCGGTAATGTCAATTGAATGTTTTGTGCTTGCGGTTGACTGAAATCGATTGCTGGTTCACTCATGATCATCGCTTGTTGCGAGTTCATCGGATCCGCCGAATCCACCACCATTTGCTCGAGGATCATCCCTGCTGGTACCTGGTTGAGTCCGATCTGAAAGTTTATTGAGCTCTATGCATTGACCAAAGCGCCAGTTCCAATTTGAACTTAACATTTCGCTAAGTTACTGCATTTTCCCTTACTGGTAGATATCCATATTCTTGTCCGGCTGGTCCCATACTCGAACAAGCAGTTTCATATGATGTCATCATCTCCGGCATTGCACTCTGAAAGCAAAAGACTAACAATTGCCCATCATCAACTCACCAATTCTCCACCATAATCGATTATCACAGCGTTGCTGAGGCTGCGAGCCGTCTAAAATTGATTTCGTTTTAAGAAAGCTTTAGCACAATGACCTCTGGAGTGAAAGATGTGATCAATGTCGGCTCTGGTAGACTAACAAAACTCGTTGATGACTAAATTTTAAAGATAAGATATGATAAGTTGTACAAATCTTCATCCTTACAATTAGTCGACATACCTGAGGTGTTCCTGTTTCCAAATTACGAACCCCAACAGGGCAAAAATCAGGTAAGTGATGTCTCTCTTGTGGTTGTGAGCCTGCAGCGGCTTGGGCTGAAAAAGAAAATTGAGCAACACAAGATCACACAACAAATAGAAATCTTAAACATATATTCGGCTGTCCAGAAAGTCTTTTCGTTTCTTTTCATACTTTCGTTAAAAAATTCAAAAATTCACCAATTAATCTATGGTTTCCTCTAAATAAAAAGTGTTTATTGATCAATTTCTCATCTTTTTAAATCAATTTGGGCTCACTTTCAAGCAAATTCGAGAGTGAAAACACGTGTTTTTTTATAAAAATCTATAAAAACCTCTAAGAAGAAATTGGCTGAATGAATTTCTCTAAAAATTTGACCATTTATCTAACTTTTTGTGCTCTATCTTTTATCTATTGACATCAAGCTAGGTTTGCTTAGCTAAATTGTCTAACCCGTATCATCAAGCCGACTTTTTAACTATCCGATTTCACGCTCCCAAAAAAAGCAGACATAAGTCATTTGAAACCCCGTTTTAATGTATTTTACAAAAAAAATAATTGTCCTTTCTAATAAACAAACCGTAGTTTAATTGGTGCATTTGTTGGTTGTAAACGGAAGTACGAAAACGACCGAAAAGGCTTTCTGGACAGCCGAATAATTAATCTGGTACTATACGCTTATACCTGCCAAATTTAAGTAAGCATTTGAGGTAACTGAATCAAGAAGGGTACTTAAAGACTCTAACAAAAATATATCGATAAAAGAAAATTTAGGATTTTAATGGAGCTATAATACTAAGACCTCAATCTTAAAAACCTTACAACAACAAGAAAGAAGTCACTTCAAAGAAGGCAACTCAACAATCGATGTCTAGATCGCTAACATTATTTCAAAAATATTTGGTTAGAGATTTGGTTCCTTTTCTCTACAGATTTGGTTTCTTTCCTATCTGGATTTGGTTGCTTTTCTCTAGAGATTTGGTTCCTGTCCTCTCTAGATTTGGTTCCTTTTTTCTACAGATTTGGTTCCTGTCCTCTATAGGTATAACCGTATAGGTCTTTATAGTCGCTGCTAATCTTGAACTAACAAATCTCTTGAAGTCTCTTTTGTTTTCTATTCCTTTCCAACTCACCATTAAATGTCTCATTGCTGATTCCCCTTTGACTATCTTGTGACATCTGAGACATCACATTATTTTGCCTGTCATATAGGTTCCCAGCGTCTCTCAAATCATGGAAAAGCGACTCCAAATGGTTTTCGTTGATTGGGTCTAAAATTTGTTAACTCCAAAAAATTAGCAAAACTCTTTTACCCATTGATGGTGGATTAAAATCATTGACGAATGATAACATGATATTTATCGGTGATACAACTTCTTCGCTCCCCCTTCTCTCCTCATTATTAGCCGATCTTGATTTCTCCTCTACGTCCGTGTTCAAATCCTCCAAACTCGATATGCTTGTAGCTTTCTTTCTGTATTCTTCTCTCGTTGCATTCTTCTCTGAAGATTTCAAGGCAGATGAAGAAGCTCGTGGAGACGAAGATTCAAGTTCCGATATTTTTGGTGACGATTTGTCCATTCTCCTGAAATTAGCGTGTGAAAATCTGTTCTACAATCTGCTTTTTTTATTCAATACTCACTTTTCATTGATTTGTTCCCTTGTCTCCGGCGATTTGCTCACTTGAAAATTTATCTGAGCAGGAGACGATTCATCGGTACCCGATTGTGATGATTGTGGGCCTCTATTAATTTCTTCTCCCAAACTTTCTTGAGTTTGTTCATCATTCAACGGTTGTTTCTGCGTATCGCAGTTCTTCCCGACAACCAACTAAAGAAAATGTTTTATTGAAAGCTAATTTAGATTCTACTCACCTCAACAACTTTTCTCTTATTGTTTGCCTCATTATTTCCATTATGTTTCCTTTTCATCAACGAATTCTGTATTGCTTCATGGTCCTTTTCCCGATCATAATCACTTAGAAAGTGTTGTCCGTTGAATTGTTTGTCACTATCTTCTTTTGTCATCGTTGTGTCGATTCGCGAGGATGCCATTTCTAAATTTTGATTTTAAAACTGAATGACTGATTTCAAATATTTAGCTAACCATTTACAAAACATTTCTTAAATACTTACGAATAGAGAAGAGTGTTTTGTAAATGTACTAATAAGTCTTGAATACTTACGACTAATAAGCTCTTGTGACATCGAAGAGCTGATCCCTTTCTTGATGGAGGAGACGCTTGAAGGGCCGGCATCCATTGAAACTGAAAGAACAAATCATCACAATTCTTTAGATGTAAAAAGAAATTGATTTTACAATTACTTTGAGAATAAAGAGATGTTTGGTGAAATGAAAAATGATTTCCTAAGGAAATGAGATGAGATGTCAGTTTTGAATCTCATAAACTATGCTTTCATTTTATTCTATATTAATTGATTTTAGCAAATTCTCAAATTCTATATCTAGATCAATATTGGATAGGAAAATTCTATTTAGAACTAATGAGGGGGACACGAATGAGGCACAGTAGGTCGCCATTCCATTTTACCCTCTTTCTCTTTTCAAAAGCCAAGACATCTGAATGGATTCAATGTCTGCAATCACTTTAATTCTCTAAATTGGCTCAATCAAATTCTCTGAAAATTTGGCCATTTATCTAACTTTTTGTGCTCTATCTTTTATCTATCTACACCAAGATAGATTTCCTTAGCTAAAATGTCTAAATCGTATCATCAAGCCGACTTTTTGTCTACCCGACTTCAAGCTCTCAAAAAAAAGCAGACATAAGTCATTTGAAACCCGTTTTAATGTTGTTTTGCAGAAAAATAATTGACTTCTCTAATCAAAACAAACCGTAGGAAACAAATGAAACAAATTGGTGCATTTGTTGTTTTTAAACGGAATACGAAAAGAAAAGAAAAAATTTTCTGGACAGTTTAATAGAAGTGTTTCAAGTCAAATAAATCTTTAAAAGTATTTAAAAAAAAACTAGCTACAATTGTAGTAAAAGACAAACCAGGTGAGTGAAAGAGTTCTCCCGGTCTCATTGTCCATTCGATTCGCGCACCCCGGTGTTGAGGACTCCGTGACGAGGACGGACTATCACCAAGAGATGATGTAGGTGACGGATAGGCATGCGATGGGAAAAGTGATGGTGAAAGGACGCTTTTTTCTGTTATTAGCTTTTCCCCATTTTTTTCTTCGTCTCTTCGTGGGCAAATCTTTGTAAACGGTCGAGGCAATGCCACTTTTGGTCTCATCTCGTTTGCTTCCACCTGAAATTCGATTGATAAATCAAAAGCTATAAATAAAAAAGCTAAGTGTTTGTTTACTTAATTTTAAATCATATAAGAATTAGATAAGTAGAACCAGGGTAGAGTTATCAAAATGAATGTCCGGTCCTATTCCTCAAAGTCAGCACTTTTTGCTCCCACAAAAACCTGCCATCTGGCATACTTAATTCTTTGTTTACATAAAAATTGATACCACAGCTGATCTAGTTCGCCAAGCAGTGTGCGTTTCCGTTTAGCATAAAGTACATCCCAAAAACTTGCTGCATTAAACTTTCAACGTATAGCCAAGTCCAGGATCTCCTTACCTTCTTGAGCCCACAATAATCTCATAATGTAGCAAAATAGATTCAAACTAATGACTGAATCTTTATCAAAAAGGCAATGGTCAAAGCCTTTTAACGGTGGTGAGGGAGATCCAGTCCATCATATTTACAAAAATCAATCCCCCAATCTCTTCTCCCCTTTTTTCAAGTAATCGTCTATTTCCACGGTGCAAACTGGGGCTCTAGCGTTGCTAAAATTTACCCGAAATCCGTAATGATAGGCTTTTGAAGGAATACTAATTTCACAAGAGATAGATCTGCTTTTTTTTGTTTCTAACTCTTTTAACTTCAAGATTCAAAGAACAAGTACATTTGATACTTTTGACTGATTCTTAAGCTGTTAGCTTTGATAGCTGTTAGCTTAAGAATCAGTCAAAAAGAGCTTAAGCTCTTTCACCCAAGGGATCATAATTCGAAAGTTCGCTGAATACCTAGAAGCCTTTACAATATTACAATTCTATTTGATCCAGTCTTATGTTAAAAAGGGGGGGATAGATTGTGCTGAGGTGCCTGATGAGTGATGATCTTGCTTTTCTTCAAGCCTTGCAAAGTCTCCAAAAATTTGTAAACCCATCAAATCATTCTAGCCGGTTGATTTTTATTAATTTTATAATAAAATTAGCAATATTAAAATATAAAAACCGGTGGTTGCCTTAAAACTTTTTTTTATGGTTACCCGGCTGGGATTCATTTTTTCCGTCCCCTTTAAACAAAATATTTCGTTTTCCGAATCCTAGCAATTTATTTAATTCCTCTTTGTTCCTTTTTGTTCCAATTTATTTAGTTCCTCTTTGACTCACCCATTTATCGTGTCGACTATTCCATCCGACAAAGTGCACCTTGTACTTCTGGAGTCCCAGTCTCGGGTCTATGGATATGATCTGAAATGAATCTTTTGATTAAATTCGTCAATGCTAATCTTCTTTTCATTTTTAGATCCTATTTCTCGATTACATTGATTGAATCAATGCATTTTACGACTCCACACAAGATAGTGACTTTTGAAATCATTTTCATTGTTTACCAGAGCACTAAAGCTTTTCTAAAATAAAGTAGGAAAAATTGTGCTTAAAACAGTGTCATTTCTATCGCTTTTTCATTGATTAAACCACAAAAAGTTCGCTGAATACCTAGAAGCCTTTCCAATATTACAATTCTATTTGATCCAGTCTTATTTTAAAAAGGGGGAGGAGGATAGATTGTGCTGAGGTGCCTGATGAGTGACGATCTTGCTTTTCTTCAAGCCTTGCAACGTCTCCAAAAATTTGTAAACCCATCAAATCATTCTAGCCGGTTAATTTTTATTAGTTTTATAATAAAATTAGCAATATTAAAATATAAAAACCGGTGGTTGCCTTAAAATTTGCAATTGATTCAATCAATGCATTTTACGACTCCACGATAGTGGCTTTTGAAATCATTTTCATTGTTTACCAGAGCGCTAAAGCTTTTCTAAAATAAAGTAGGAAAAATTGTGCTTAAAACAGTGTCATTTCTATCGCTTTTTCATTGATTAAACCACAAAAAGCGGCAACTCACCTTGGCATCATAGAATTGACCTTGCGATCGGCACTTGACAACCTCATCAATTTCATATTCGCGTTCCATAAACTAAAAACGATAATGAAACTAAAAGCTATAACAACTTATTATTAGATAAAAGATTTTGAAGAGAATTGAAGTTCTATAAGGAATAATGAAGATCAGGGCATTGATTCGACGCACAATCAGTTCATCGTTTAGTAAAGAAGTTTAAATTTCAAAGAAAATAGATAGTTTGTTAAAGAAAGAAGATTATGAATTTCTCATAAGTTCTCAAAGCTCTTTTTTTGGGTTAATCGATTGGCTGGGCTCGGCCTGAGTGAGGGGGAGTGGCGCGCGAGTTGGCGAGTTGGCGCTCGATTATAAAAATGGCAACCAAATGTGTTAGAAGGCAATTATCTAAGCAAAAATAAATCTATAGTATAAAATTTGGTAAATAAATGACAATTTATCTCTAGGAATAATTTTCAAAAGTCTAACAACCAACCGTTGTTTACAACAAAGAATCTAGTGACCTCACTGCAAAATCTAAGCCTCAGGAAGTTTAAATTGGAGTTAAAGAAAGTTTTTGGCTACTCAGCAGTGATATATAAAAATATGTATTTGCAATAAATAGATATTTCAAAGCTCTTCTGTTAAAGCAACAATTTCTAGCATTTTTTTTGAGGATAAGCGAGTGAAAGTTGTTTCAAATCGATACAAGAACAAGCCAAGAAAGAAATTCTTTTAGTTGTTAAGAAATTCTGCTCAAGAAATTGCTTAACCTAGTCTGACACAAACCGTCAAGTTGTATGAGTTTTTAGGGTAAGGAGATAAGAGGAAAATCAGTCTGTATTGAGATTGGGAAAGAGGAAAAAGAAATGAATAAATGGATGGAGAGAGGGGAAACCAAGCACAGAATCGATCCATTCCATCTCACCCCCTTTCTCTTTTCAAAAGACAAGACAGCTGAATGACTTCAATGTCTGCGATCTCTCCAACTCTCCCTTGTTCACTGTCATTTTCTCTCTGTGATCTCTCATTTGATACAGTCTATCTGCTATAGCTTTGTAAGAAGTTCTAGTCCCTTTCTTGTCTAATACCTCACCATTTTATCTTTATTCTATAGATCTTTTGTTTCTCTAACATCTGCAGTCTCTTCTTTTCCCCTATCACTTTACTACAGCTTCTCAAAATATCCAACCCATTTCTTGTCAATGTTCTCTCGATCATTCTGCTCCCACCGTATCTCTTTTTCTCTATTCAATCTCTTGAATCCCCTTTTCTTCACTAGTTTCTCTAACTTTTCTCTTTTTTCATTGTCCAGCTAGGAGACTACTTTCCCTCTCTTCTCTGCAATTCCTCAAATTCCATTCTCTCTTATCCAGAGTTCTTTGAACTGCCACCCTTTTTTCGTCTCTCTGAAATGACCCTTTAAATCTTGTCCCTAGACTCTTTTTCTTCTAGAATCTCTTCTAAAGCTCAACAATCTTCATTTTCTGAGTCTCTTTCACCAAAAAAATCTCTTTTCAGCATCTCTATCTCTAAATTCTTTCCCCTTCCTTATCCATTCCCATATTCTTGTAACATTCTACCTCTAGCACCTCTCTGTTACCCTCATCTTCCCCTAGTAAATTGTCCTTTTCATTTCCCAACTCCTCCCCACTTTCCCTCAGTCTCTAATCCTTTTCCCAATCTTTTTCACCTCTTTGAGTCATTCTTTCAAAATTCCTTTCTCAGTCACTTTAGGCCTTCGCAACCCGGTGTCCTATAACGATCCACCGTATCTCTTCGCCGCCTGACTTGTCTATTTTTCCCCATTTGTTTACATCCCTTTCCCGTACACATCCATACAATTGCCGTAAAAATGCGACGATCAGCTGTGAGGAAGCAAAGTTATTAATTGAACCCTTGCCATTGGCTGTTTTCCTCATTTGAACTCGAGATTTTTCGTTGAAAATGAATGATGAACATCTGCAATAGTACCAGCTATTGGGAAAAGATAAACAATTCATTTTTATGGGTTGCCTATGGCTTTTCAAGTAGGCACAGTTTAAAAAAAGCCAGCCGAGCAGATGATAAGAAATGAATATCGGTTCCAGGACAGATGCGATACTTCAGTCAGGGGTTCTCAACAGATTTAATCACTGGATCCTTGCTCCGCATTGTTTGATGGAAAAGAATGTTCACAAAATGAAGTGTCTTCTCTCTTTACGCCAACTTTTGAACTTTTGAAAGTACTTTAACTTTTGCAAACAATTAGAGAACAGCCGCATTCGAAAATTGAAACGATTTAATCATTTGTGCAATTTAGAGACACACAGTTTCCAATTTTCCTCATCATCAATTTCTTTTTTTCTAAATTCAGATTCTAATTGAAAATTCCAGGCCGATCTAACCCTTTGGTCTCACTTGGCCAAAGGGTTAGATCACTTCAAAGGGTTAGATCAAAGGGTTGGCCAAAGGGTTAGATCACTTCAAACCTTTCAATTGCTTGAGCACAGTTCTATCGGTTTCAAGAATTTTTCTTTCATTTCTTTAACTTTTACAGTAGTTTGTTTTCTTTAAAGTTCGAATTTTAAAGCTAAATCTTAAGAGGAACATAAATTTACAGGTAACAAGAAAGATGAAACGCGTGAATGTGGATGGATTGGAGGCACTCAACGAGATCATCGAGAAAACTGATGGAAAGGCTCGTTTCACTTTCGAAAACTTTTTTAAATGATAGCTTTAAATATAGGAAGCTTTGATAGCATATTTTTTAAAATTACAAATATTTAACCAATTCATTTCATTATTTAGATTTTCGTTCTCTACACCGGCAGCAAGGTGAATGGAGTCTCGTGGTGTCCAGATTGTGTCACTGCTGAGCCTGTCATTGATAAGGTAAGAGTTGAGATTAGAGTCTGTCCCCCATAATTAATGTGCTTTATAAAGCGTGCACAGTTATGCAAATTTCTTTAAATGCAGATTGAAACCTTTCATCATTTGCAAGTGTTTTTTCTCAATAGTGCAATGTATCGACATCTTTTCTAACATTCTTGCTAAATCTTTTTTGGATTTACCGTATTTCTTCGAACAGAAGACCGGGTAAAGAGTATCATCGCGTACTCCTGCGTAGCAGCCCTTTTTAAAATTTCTTTTCGGCATAAAAGCTTTCAATCAAGTGCTATAGAGCTGGAAAATGGCTCAAAAATCTGTTAGCTCATGTGGTATTTTTGAGTCATTTTCCAGCTCTATAGCACTTCATTGAAAGCTTTTATGCAGAAAAGAAATTTTAAAAAGGGCTGCTACGCAGGAGTACGCGATGATACCCTTTACTCGGCCTTCTATTCGAAGAAATACGGTAGATTTAGATGAAAGTACAAATACAGCCAGTACAGACTTAGGTAAATCTTATTTATAATAAAATAATCACGATTTAAATTATAGCTGTTTTTTTTGAATCAAAAGTTAATCTAAAATGAAAGTTATTCAATTGAAATTAAATTTTAATCGATATTACCTAAGTGAGATAATTTTAGGTCCTGTCCTCGCCATCGATTTCCGATTTGGATGCTACTTTCATCACATGTCTCGTTGGACAGAGAGATTACTGGAAGAATCCCGAGTGTCCATTCAGGTTAGTTATCATTCCGATGGTGTTCTTTTAAAAATCATTGATGTCAAGCAATGGTAAAACTTGTTTTCTTTAGAACCGATCCACGCATCAAGATCAATTGCATTCCAACCTTGGCCGAGTGGGGAAACAAGGTGATTTAGCTTTGGCTTCTAATAAGCTTCTAATAAGCTTTAGCAATGAAATTTAAAACTAAATATGAGTGGAGATAAAAAAGATAAAGTCTTCAACAATTCAATCATAATTCTTCAGGTTCGCCGCCTTCTCGATTCCCAGCTCACCAACGAGCATCTCATTCAAGATCTTCTCACCAGTGATGATTAAGAGCTTATGCTTAGCTTACATTGTTAAATATTCCAGTTTTGTTATCGTTAACTTATTTCCTTGCCCTTTCCTTGGCTTTTCACTTTGCAATTAAGCTGTGGTACTCTTTTATACTGGTCTCTAGAGTTTATTCGAATAAATTTATAGATAAAAAATAGTTGAAAAGAAAAATTTAAGAGAAAAAAATGCTTATTTGCAAGGTGAGACTTGTGGAGTGAAATCAGCTTTTTCCCAATCAGGCCAGAGTTTATCCCGAAGACGCTCGGTGAACGATTTGAGATGTGGGAAATCTTCCTGAAAATCGTTTCTTGTTTCTTTCTCGTTTACAGATTCTTCTTAAACAAATCATTCACTTGTAACTGTTAACTCACTCGAATAAGCTTTTGTGGCAACAAATCGAACGGCATATAGAGTGTGGTGGCCAAGTGAGACCAAAGGGTTAGATCGGCCTGGAATTTTCAATTAGAATCTGAATTTAGATTAGAATTTAGATATAGAATTAGAGCTTGATTCACAAAACTACAAACCTCAGTGATCTTGTCTCCAAAAAGGTTGTGACCGACAAAGTTCTTCAAGAGAGTCTCATACATTTGTAGCTCATCGCGCACCTGGAAACCCGTATTTTAAACTCGGCATTACGGTATTTTAAGTGTTGTTTGTTACACTTACTGAGCAGTGAAAGCATCACAAGCTTTCTTTAACAGCCTTTAACAGAATTGTTTAACATTTAACTTTTCACTAACCATTTCCTCGTGTGCTCCATCAGGCCAGATTCCCAATTGAGCTCCGATTTTCATATTTGCCTAAATAAAAAAGAATTACATTGAATTTGTAAAACTCTTTACCGATTTACGAATTTGTCGCGCGAAAAGAGCTGTAGCGATTCCCTTAGCAAAGTTCGGCATCTTTGCAGCAGTCATAATCTAGAAAAATTCCTGTGATCTTTAGGAGATTTTAACAAACCTCTCCAGCAAAATTCTTTGAGTTGTCAAGGATTTTGTACTTGTAGATGGTACTAGAATAGTTCTTTATTGATGTTGTTTGTTACACTTACTGAGCAGTGAAAGCATCACAGGCTTTTGAGATTACTCTTCCCTGAGCTGCCTCTTTATCGTCGGAGTAGTCCTGGAAAAGTCACGGTAGGCCAACGGTAAGGTTTTATTAAAAAGAATAACTGTATACATTGAAATCTATATTAGATGAATTTATTCTCAAACTCTAACCTGGATATTCAATGTCTTCTTTAGATGAGCAATGATTAGCCCAGAGTCGCCCACTTGTCGTCCATTCAATTCAATCATTGGCAAGAGACCTTGAGAAGATCGGAGCTTGAATGTCTCACGAACCTAAAAAACCTAGAAATAAACTTTAAATTCAAATCAAACCTCATATTTGACTCCATGAAGTCGAAGGAATGACTCGACTTTCAAGCAGTATGGAGAGATGTTCGGCAAATGTTTTGTGCGAGGGAATTGAAAGAGATAAACTACCTTAAAAAAGATTTCAAAGAAAAGAAAAGTCTCCTCACGTCCTCTTTCCATTCAGGGACATGTAGACGAACACCTGAAAATTGTTTAGATAAAAATTTTAGTCACAGTTATAATGCTGTCCATACTGATATTTTGTTTTCCTGATTTCCCGGTTATTTTCCATTTTCAATAACACCAAATTGTTGTTTTTGGTAATAAATCTTAGTCTTTGATAAATCCAGTTTTTCTCGATATTTCCTTTTTTCATGGAATGGACACACCCGAATAGCGGTTTTGCCAAAAATGGGGAATGGATGGGGAAGGGAAGGGGAAGGGGAAGGGAAGAATGCGGGGAAGGGGAAGGGTGAATGCGGGGAACGGCCTTGGGATTCCCCCCGAGTTCTCCCCTTTTTTGAGATGATGATTGACTCGACAAGTGGCTCAACACATTCATATGAGAGCAAGACTGCAGTGAATTGGCTCTAGTTTCTGTAGTATAGAACCGTTATACCTCAAATGATGACTTGAATTAGTTCTTATAAATCAGAGTTTTATTCATTACATGGAAATTAGTAATTCTTGCTAATTAGCTACACTTTCTAGATAGATAAAGAACTTTTTGAGATAAATAAAGAAAGCTTTAGATAAGCAATCAGTACCCGGTTTCAACCCATAACTCCGGTAAATAACAGTGATGTAATTGAATTTTAAAAGTACCAAAATTTAATCCTAGATCCAGTTCTAGACGGACAATCTATTAGTGAATTCCGTATTCAATTTTTAACTTCTAAAGTTGAGTTGTTTCGCTTGCCAAACTTGCACAAATCCCAGCTCTAACTTTCACTAAAAACTTACAACCTGTAAAACTAAAAAAAAAGTCAGTAAATGAAGATAATCACTAACATACAATAAAACCTGTAGATACTAACCTCCTTTTCCTTTACCCATCGTGAATAGCCGATAGTTGAATGAATGTGAATGGGAATGGGGATTGGAATGAATTGGAATGACCCCAACTCTTCGCTCTTTTCTCTCTTTGACTGACCCCCAATTTATTTGTGTGTCGAGAGGAGAAGGGCGGAGTCACCCATCACCTTTTTTTATTCGTGGAAAAGAAAAAAAAATTGTCCATTTCTTACTAAAACTGTGTAGTAAAACTTGTAAATAAATTTGGACTGTAATTGGAAGAAATTACAGTTCAAATTTGATCAATTGAAGTAAATTACAGTCCAAATTTGATCAATTGAAGGAAATTACAGTCCAAATTTCATCAATTGAAGTAAATTACAGTAAATGCTTATTGTAAGTTTGATACTGTACCCAAATTCAATAAGTTTATACATCTAATAATTTCATAAACAACAAAAGAAACTCTAATTTTATCGCCTAATATTTTGCTTTATATTTGAGTGGCTCTAAATGTTTTGGTGGTCGAGATGGTCGAGATGGGAGTGAATTCAATGTTGATGAAGGAAGATTGCCGATATTCGGAGAGTCGGCTAACCTCCACGCTGTACGAATTTGATCATAATAGAGCTGAAAAATTCGTGTAAATTAGTTGCCTGACTATTCAATAGTTTCCATATAATTGTTTAAATATGCTTGAATGACAATTTCTGAGTGTAACACACTGAGTGAGTGTGATTGCATCACATAGCTTCTTTCTTTGTTCTGCTCGAGATTGCCCATGTGTTTACTTTGTGATTTTTCGAGTTTATTCACTAGTTGAATCTATTTAGATTCCTTGTACAATGACAATTATTCAATTAAAATTAAAATAGACTTACTTGTGTTGTTTCCCGATCGTTGAATATCATTCTTTTCCCCAAAACATCTTTCACTTCTTCTGGTCGACTTCTATTCTTTTTCCCGATCAAGAAACTGAACTCCTCCTTTAAGACCGGATGACCAAGTATTGTTAGAAACATTTGTAAGTATAACTAAAAAAAAATGTTTACAAATGATCGTTCTTAACTTGAACTCACTTGTAAGTGACTCACGTAAAAATAGAAAACACCATACAATGGATAATACTCAGGAGTGTGAAGCTCCCAAATCCAGAAATAAAGGCCAAGGGCAAGATAATTTGTGAGACATTTGAATGGAGCGACTCGGAGAAGAAGTTGAGAAGCTTTCAAGTTACGGGCAGTGTCGAAGCTAAAATTTCAAGGATTTGTCGAATTATTATCAGTCTCTTTAAAAAAATCTTAGTTTTTTGGCTCAAAGACGGTTGAGAAAAAGCCCGTACAGATGACGGACAGACTGCTCTTTTATATAGTAGATAGACCTTGTATCCAACAATTCCCTAGGTACAGTTTATAAACAAAATGCACGAACCGTTCAGTGACAGTGGAATCCTTCTTACTGGCAACTCGTCGATAAGCTTTCTCGCTGGCAATTCGCAGATAAATGAAGAAAAATGTGGCAAAAGTGAAGAGAACATATTGAGCCCCATAGGCAAGATAAGTATTCAATCCCAAATTGTAGACAAGAATCAGAAATGCTGAGTAGATAAGCTGAAAAGAAAACGGTAAACTTAGTGATTGAGAACTTACAGCTACGAGATATAGTGAAATTCCTAATGTCGGTCTTTTTGTCCACATTTCGTCATACTCATGAACATAGGCCATTGCCACAAGTCTTTCTACTGAATACGCCAAAACAACCAAGAAAGTTGTACTCACAACTAAAATTTTGTTTGATTTTGTGAAAAGCAGATTCTTTTTAGTGTACTTTGAGCTAAGAAATGAGAACTGAGCTTTTCTGGAACACTTTGACCTGGTTTTTCGGGGGTAGTCAAAACAGCGCCATAATAGAAAACGTTCAAAACAGCGTCGTCAAATTTCTCAAAATCCAAGAAACCAAGCCGGTTCAAGTTTTATACCAAAAAATTCCTTACGTTCTTGGCTACATGATGGGTGAAACAGTTTTTTAAAAAAGTTAATATTTCATAGATAAAAAGAGCACTCAAAATGTGTGTCGAGTGATACTCAGTTAGTTAACTGAATATCTTTAGAGACCCATTTTGAGTGCTCTTTTTATCTATGAAATATTAACTTTTTTAAAAAACTGTTTCACCCATCATGTAGCCAAGAACGCAAGGAATTTTTTGGTATAGAACTTGAACCGGTTTGGTTTTTTGGATTTTGAGAAATTTGACGGCGCTGTTTTGAACGTTTTCTATTATGGCGCTGTTTTGGCTACCCCCCGGTTTTTCTTGTACCACTAAGATTGAATGCTCCAGAACACAAAAATACAAAGAAAAGTTCATTCACTTACACGTATCCATGACAGCATTTATCCATAAGAGCAAAGTATTGTTGAGAAGATTGAAAAAGAATAGAAAATGTCTCAACGGTCTTGTATAAACACTTGCAAGATGGGTGAGTGGTTGAGCAATTAAAAGAACTAATAGATTTTGATGACAGAACTGAAAGAGTCATTTTAAGGGGGTTTTTTTTGGGGTTAATTTACCTCTTTTCTCCTTAAAATTTTCATATAGAAAAAGACGCAGATCGAGAGGATAAATAAAGAGAACATCTCGAAGATCTGAAGTCTTTTTTTATGGATTTCAAAAGTAAAACTACAGTACTGGACAATGAAATATGATATTTGAAAAACGATCGTCACTTTCGCGCGTCTGTAACTCCCTTGTCTTTGGGTTTAAACTATTAGTGTTATACATTTTCTGAAAGCTCTTTTCAAGGACTACACAATGGTAATATTAATATTTGGAAATATGGTAAAGACAAGGGAGTTACAGACGCGCGAAAGTGACGATCGTTTTTCAGATATGATATTTCATTGTCCAGTAGTGTAGCTTTTGAACAGCTTAATATAGCTTCTAAACAGACTTTTAAAGATCAAGGACAAATGGATTGTGATCATTGTGGGCAAATTTTCAAGGCAAATTCAAGCAATTTTTGCTAGTTACAGTACTGGACAATGAAATATCATATATGAAAAACGATCGTCACTTTCGCGCGTCTGTGACTCCCTTGTCTTTGAGTTTAAACTATTAGGGTTATACATTTTCTAAAAGCTCTCTTCAAGGGCTACACAATGATAATATTAATATTTACAGATACGGTAAAGACAAGGGAATTACAGACGCGCGAAAGTGACGAGCCTTTTTCCAAATATGATATTTCATTGTCCAGTAGTGTATCTAATAGGCTTGATCTCTGGATTTAAATTGTTTGTTTTGAAATTAGAAAAACTTACCCATAAAGTATAGACATATTTTCCTCCAATAAAAGGCACGATGAGTACATCATTTCTAGTCATTTCTGAAAAATTAATTAGATTTTAAGGGAATAAAAGCAAATTGGGAAATGATTGCCATTTTAGAAAAACTAACTCATTTCAATGAAGCTTCCAACTTGAGAAATAAACCCAACAATTAACCGGAACTTTCTTTTTGCGAATTTGATCACAAATATTTATTAAAAAGCGTGGGAATTTGGAAGGGAAAATTCCCAAAATTTCTCTTAAAAGTTAGATTTCTCAAAAAATTTCTTAATTTTGCAACTACTAGAAGGCATAATGATTGGAATTGAACAAATTCCGTTTACTGAAAAAAAAACCCGGCAATTTTCATAAGTGTTAGTGTTTAGAAAAGGGTAAATTGTACCAGAAAAGCTTGAAAAGAAATGGAAAAACGATTTGTTATGGAAATTGGTCACAATACAGTGAATTTTGGTAAAAAGCGAATGACAAAAAGTATAAAGATTATTGAAAAAGGAATACGTAGAACACAAATTATTGTTGGTGAGGTTTAATGATGAAAGACTAATTGCAAAATTTAGTGTTTTTCCTCGAAATCGTTGGAGAGTTTCATTTTCTAACTTTTTGATGACAAGGATTGTCTAGCAACAGCCAGATTCGATGCTAAATGTCTGATCTGTTAACATTGGAGGCATTTGTTTGAGAGCTGCTGACTAAAAATAAGTTCCTTGTTACAAGCCTTTTTTCTTCTAATAAATGGAAATGCTTTTGGCGAAGAAAATTCGTTTTTCGAAATCCAAGACTCGAGATTGCATTTACAAAGACCAAGATAATATTGTGGTTGACTTGTGGTCGGTTTCCGTTCTTTATTTAGGATACAAAAGAAAAGCTACAATCTCTTCTAAAAGAACATGAAATGTTAAGAAGTTAGTGAAAATAGATAGCAAGAGAGACATTCAACAACGTGACAAATGAGAGGTAAATTAAGGAATTCAAAACGAAAGATCATTTATCGGAGATATGAGTGGGAATATAGATTGAAGATGAAAATGCGGGTCAAGTATTAGACTGTCTAGAAAGTCTTTTCTTTCCTGGTTTGTCTTTTACTACAATTGTAACTAGTTTTTTTTAAAATACTTTAACACGTTGACGACATTGTCACCTGATGCTGTCTGACACATATTCGTTCGCCTGGGACATTGTCACCTGATGTCAGGTGACAGTACCAAAATTGATTTTTTGTGCATATTTATGTTTGCTGATGATGGATATTAAATAAGCAAGTAGGGTAGTATCTATTGGGTTGGGGAGAATGAGTCGGCGCCGAAAATGAAAGAAATTTCTAAAACTTATAGCAGACTTTGTCAAATGATATGCGTTTGATATCCGTAGAAGGGTAACTAATTCTCTACAAAATAATATTTAAAAGAGAACTCAAACAGCGCCTCAACTCAACAAAGGATCATTTTTTCACAAAATCGATAAACTGTCATCTAGAGTAAACGGTTGGAGGGATCTTCCTGAAAATTTGGTAACTTATGTAATTGAGTGTGCTCTATCTTTTTATATAAACACCAAAGGAGGTTTATGTGGAAGAAACTGTTCAAGCAATGAGTCGGACTTTTTGTCATTTTGATTAGCTGTGTTTGGGAATCCATAAAATCCCAAAAAAGAAAAGCTTTGTGGAATCTCTCAAAAGCCATTTTGTAAAGAAATAGTGCACCATTTTGATGAAACAAAACGTGTATTTAAAGAAGGTTTTATGGGTGCAAAAAGTTTCTTTAAATCTCGGCGCCGACTCATTCTCCCCAACCCAATATATTCGACTTGGTCCCGGAAAATATCGATTTAACCGTTGATTATTAAAATTTTAATTTTTTAGGTGACAATTTCAGGTGACATTTTTTGTCGAAAAAAAACAACGTTGTCCCATGCGATTGTTTGTGCAAAAACGTCATTGTCGTCAACGTGTTAAAGATTTATTTGACTTGAAACACTTCTATTAAACTGTCTAGAAAGTCTTTTCTTTCCCTTTGGTATTCCGTTTCAAACCAACAAATGCCCCAACTTTTTGTTTCATTAGAAAGACCAATTATTCTTCTGCAAAATAACATTAAAAAGGGTTTAAAATTTATTATTAATTGGTGAATTTGTTATTTTTCAATGGAAGTACGAAAAGAAACTAAAAAACTTTCTGGACAGCCTAATCTTAACATTTAGGGTGGTACCGATAACTTCTCAAGTTTTCTGTCGCTTCACTTTTTTTTTACTATTTAAATCCACTACCAATTTGGACTTGAAACACTTCTATTAAACTGTCTAGAAAGTCTTTTCTTTCCTTTTCGTATTCCGTTTCAAACCAACAAATGCACCAATTTGTTTCATTTGTTTCCTACGGTTTGTTTTGATTAGAGAAGTCAATTATTTTTCTGCAAAACAACATTAAAACGGGTTTCAAATGTCTTATGTCTGCTGTTTTTAAGAGCTTGAAGTCGGGTAGTCAAAAAGTCGACTTGATGATACGATTTAGACACTTTAGCTAAGGAAATCTTGATTGATGTCTATAGATAAAAGATAGAGCACAAAAAGTTAGATAAATGGCCAAATTTTCAGAGAAATTCATTCAGCCATTTTCTTCTTAGAGGTTTTTATAGATTTTTTTAAAAAAAAACACGTGTTTTCACTCTTGAATTTGCTTGAAACTGAGCCCAAATTGATTTAAAAAGATGGGAAATTGATCAATAAACACTTTTTATTTAGGGGAAACCATAGCTAAATTAGTGAATTTATTATTTTTCAAGAAAAGTATGAAAAGGAACGAAAAAAACTTTCTGGACAGCATAATAGACATAATAAATTTTCGACTTGTTCAGTTATCAGTTCCTCATTTGATCTTAATAACTTGGATTCAAAAGACTCGGAAGTCGGCTTTGAACCATCCAAATAGAAATGAAAACAAGTATAATAATCAAAATTTTCAAAATCTGCTCCATCGATTTCCCATTCAAATTCGGATCTCTGGATTTTCTTGTGAGAAATTTCCCCCAAAGCTTTGAATAGAAATATTTTCTTCGCACGAATTCCCACATTATGTCACTAATTGTTCTTCGAAAAACCCTTGAAAAATGTCCCGTGGCATAGAAATTATTTTATGTACCTAATGCGTGAAAAGTCTAATGTAGCGAGTTTTGGTTGGGTAAAAGGTGAGAATATGGTCTTGGTAGTCTTGGTCTGGTAATAGGTCCTGGTAATAGGGTGGTCTTGACATTTTGAGATTGAGCAATTGTCTGAAATTGATTAGCTATAGAGTTGAAGGTTTTTCGAAATTCTGATCACAGAATGAGATCTCTGCAAGAAAACTGTTCAACATAACAAGTGTTTTCTTAAAAAACAATTACCAGCCCTTTGAGGAAGTTCAAAAGAAAGATGTCTCAATTTTTAGAGATTCAGATAATTGTAGCTTCAATGTACATCAAAGATAAACGTTAATTTGCTTTTTTTCCTCCGGGTTTTTCAACTCTCTCAAGGGAATTGTTATTGATATATTTTGATCTTATAAAACTTTGTCCTTCAGACATGCCTTGGGTAATTAAACCGGCCGCGGGGGCTTTTTCGGTCTGGTTTTTCTTGTACCACTAAGATTGAATGCATCAGAACCCAAAATTACGAAGAAAAGTCCATTCACTTCCACGTATCCATGACAGCATTTATCCAAATTCTACCCAAGGCTATGCGCTTTTTCCTCCGAGCGACATCAAGGGTACGCACAGAGTGTCAAGGGTTTAAAAGATTCTGATATGCGTTTATATCATTGAACTTATTAAGCTCAATATCTTTATGACCTCAATTCCACCTATTCCATGTGTTTTTTTTCAATAATTCTCTATTCCGTTTCCCCGGTTTCCAAGTCAACCAAAAGGCACATCTCAACCAAAAATTATAGCACTTGGGCTATTTTTGTTTTCCAAGGGTTAATTTTGTACTACAGGTGTGAAAAAGAAAAGTAAACCTTTATATTCTACTGAAAAAGTCTGCATTCATTATATTATAAGTCTACCAAGCTTGAAATCAATGCTGATCGTTGAGGAAAATTTTCCCTTTATCGACATTCATCAACTGGTTGGTTTCTTTTGCAAAAAGTGCTTAGATAGAATTTCTTTTTTTTTGATTTCAATACCTAGAATTTAGGTTCGCTGCATCATTTCGAACGAATCTTCCCCAAATGGAACCGTTTTGGGCAATTTCTTGCTTCTTGATGTGAATGACAGAGAAATGTACAACAATCAACATATCATTACAGGTGAAACGAAATGAATCTTTCTCTGTTAAATCTCTCAAAAGACTATAATTTTAGCCGAACATTACAACAAATTGTTGATCGCTCGCCTCAATTATGAAAGTGAAATCTTGGCAAAAGCGAGAAAAGAGGAGAAAACATTGGGTGAGTGATTAGGGCAATTATGAAACTGGGACAAAGCGCTTAAAAGCTTAAAAGCGGACAAAGAGCTTAAAAGTCTAATGTTCAAATGGTTATATGGATTTTCAAATCTCTGAGTTTTTTGGCATTCCAGAAGTTAGGCCTAATCTGGTTTCATAAACATAAAAATAAAACATTTTACGCAATTTTTTTTGGCAAGAGTACAAACCGGCTGAAATTTCTCTTTTCAAAAATTTGGAGTTTTTGAACTTTAAAATGCAAAACAGAGAGTCCCAGTGTGTTCCCTGTCCGCGCACACAATCGCACTCGATCTGGCATACTGCATTAGCCGATATCGTCTTTTTTTCACTCGTCCAATCGGAAGCGTCCATTTTGGGTCATCCGGTAACCAATCCGTTGTCTGCCCCATATGGTCACCGCTTCCCAAAACTAACCTCGGCTGTAGAATTGGTAAACCCAGTTCCGGCTCATTTTGGCCACAATGGTGGGTTCTCCGCCGGCCGAAATGGGATCCCAAGTGCCTGTAAAAGGGTGCTGAAGGGGGCCGCTGTGAATTTTTGGATTCATCCCAAGGATTTCGGTCCGCAGGGGCAGCAAAAACATGAAATTTCCAAGAACTTGAACTCTTTGAAAAACCAACGTTTGATAGGCGCCAACCCAATATCGCCAACCCTTGAACGCCAACCCGCGAGCCCTGCAGCGTCTCCAAAAATTTGTAAACCCATCTAAATCACGGCTTCTAGCCGGGAATGATTTTTATTCTTTTTGATATAAACTTTGAAAATCAGCGACTTATAGGCTAAAATAAAAACACAGGTGGTTGCCGTAATAATTTTTTAGGAAGTCAAACCTGGCCAGAAAAAGATTGTATACCCACCTGTTGAAAACTTTATAGTTACATAATTAAAAAGTTTTGATCAGGCGAAGCCAAGATATGTGACATAGTAAACGAATAATTGTCTTTGGTAGGCAAAAGTGTGTCCATTTATTCCCTCATTCAGTCACCGCCTCGAATCCACTGGAATTCAAAATCACTTTTCTACCGTATCTCATTTTCTGTTTTGCACAAAAGCTTTGTCCGGATAGGCTTTATTGTAGGCAAATTTTGAAGCAGTCGATGTCACTACTGTAAGGAGGAAAAAGTTTTGATTCACTGAAGTTCCCACCAACAATCAACGATTAGTTTTCATGTTCCTTTCAGATCTCTATACAGATTTCTTCACCAAATTTTTGTTTTCGCTCTGTTGCGCAAAAAAAAAAAATTGCGTAAAATAGGGAAAGCCTATCCCACACACTCTAATAGATAGCTTAGGGTGTTTTGATGGCCTTTTGCATTATCTAAACATAAAATCTTCATCTGGAAAAAGGCATCTAGAGATGTTAAAAACCAAAAGTGTAGATCGAAAAAAACATTTATGAAATCTTGGCAAAAGCGAGAAAAGAGGAGAAAATATTAGGTGAGGGCAATTATGAAACTGGGACAAAGAGCTTAAAGGTCTAATAAACGGGTTGTTCAAATGGTTATATGGATTTTCAAATTACTGAGTTTTTTGGCATTCCAGAAGTTAGGCCTAATCTGGTTTCTGACTGGGTCTGGATTGAACTGGCTTGCAGGCTTGCAGAACAACCCTAGATGTACGGTAAAAAAAAACGGGTTATGATCGTGAGAGTAGAAAAAGCAATTCAACCAAAAAAGTGAATTAATAAATGTAAAGATAAGATCATTCAAATGTTTCTTCTTGTGAGAAAACGATACCAAGCCTCAAGAGAATTCAAAAACCGGAAATGTTGCTTTCATCTGAATCACAAAAAATCCCACATTCCTTTGGGATTTTCTTGTAAAAGAATTTCTAAAGATTTTTTAAAATAAAATCAATCTCCCCAAATGGCTCTAATTAATGAAATCCTCTTCATTATTTTCCATTTCCATTTCTTTCTTTTGGCCGATTTGTGCCTTTACAAAATCCTTTTCATTTTAGTCATTCGATCGTGATTAATTCCAACAAAGCTTTTCAGTTTTTTTCATAATCTTTACAATTAGATTAGTTTGGTACATTTTGCTGAGGAAATTTCGAAGGGAAATAAAGTAGAAAATACAGAAAAATGCTTATCAATGAATCATGGAAGCAACTAAGATAAAGCTTTTGAATTCAATTTATCTAAGCTGAAAGTGAAACATTGGCTGTTTTGAGATGATCGGGATACAAGATTTCTAATTTTATGTATTCTTTTGAGTTTGTGATGAAGGTGTAGTTTAAATCCTTTTGTCTGAAAACTTGAATGAGTCTATCAAATGATTCTTTGAATTGGATTTTGTGCTGAAGAATGAAAACATTCTTCTGCTGAATGAAAACATTCTTCTGCTGAAGAATGAGAACATTCTTCAGTCTGTCTATCCCCCAGACATTCAACTTTCAAAAAGTGCTATGGATTTCATGCTTAATCCTTAAATAAGCTTTCTTTTCAGTAATCTACGGGAATGGAGCCTCCAATGTGACATCGACACTATTCCAGAGAGGATTTCGGGCAATTCTATTGAATGGAGGTTGATTTTTAGGCTTTCTTGGGCTTTTAGACTTTTAGTAAAATTTGTAACTTTCAGATATATCAACCTTCAAAAAGATGTACCCAAACGGTTTACTCTCAGGTGGTGGAGAAGAAGAATTCGATCTCGTTGCGCTTGACAAGAGATTTGAGTTTTTAAAAGTCAGTTTTTAAAGGATCATAGCCAGTTAGTTTAAAATAAAATTTAAGGCAACTCGATGGGGAAAAGGGAGAATCCTTCACCAACCGCTACCACTTCGAAGAGCAAAAGTGAGTTCAGAAGAAATATTAGGCATTCAGTGATTAGCTTTTTAAATCTCAAGATTACTTCAATATGTATTTCAGAGCGCAGATTCGGCTCAGCGACAGCGACAACTCCGGGCACTCAGCGCTAAGAGAAAACCTTGGATTCCATGATAAAAATCTTGTTGGATAAAGAATTCTAAAAATTTTATTCAGTTCACAGATGTGAATGTAATTGCAAAATGATTTCTGATTACGAATCGTGTTTACGCTTTGTGAATGACTGGGATGACGAATGAAATCGACAAAAGTCAACCAAAATCTTTACTTAAAAATTATCGGCTTTTGGAAATACACCATGAATCTAGTTCCTAGGTCAATTAAATCATTGAATCTTAACTCATAGGCAGAAGAAATTTCGCTCTCCTCACTCTCCTCACCAAAATCTTGTGATGATGATTTGTGAGTGTGTGATAGGATCCTTTTCCCTTTCCCTTTCTTCCAATGTGACCCACACACATTTCCCCCAAAATATCCATTAGTTTTTTTTTCATTTCATCGACCGGAAGTGCTTCTTTTTAGTGTCCATTAGCTCCTTCACTCGCCCACAATTTATCTCTCCCACTCAAACCACCAATTTCAAAAGATCTCTGTAATTCATTTCAGCAAAAACTTTAGATTACACAAAAAATGTAAATCTTTACTTATTAATCGATTCAGCCACGAGATCTATAAAGATCTAAACGTTCAACTATAGCTTTTTCAATGCAGCATAAAGAGTAGGCGTTAGCAGTTATTCGAGAGCTTACTATTAGGTTGGTGAATTTGTAATTTTTCAACTGAAAAAGGAACGAAAAGACTTATTCGAGACTTATCGATTCAGGCACGAGATCTATAAAGATCCAAACGTGTAACTATAGCTTTTTCGATGCAGCGTAAAGAGTAGGTGTTGGTAGTTATTCGAGAGCTTACTATTAGGTTGATGAATTTATAATTTTTCAATGGAAAAAGGAACGAAAAGACTTATTCACCTAATATTAGTCTCAACTTTAGTCTAAAATCATAGAATATGTAGACTGAGTAAGGTTAATTCAGAAAGGGCAACCTAGGAAAGGAAAGAAGGAAGGGAAGAAGGAAGGGAAGAAGAAAGGGAAGAAGCTATGCACAGAATTTGTGATGATTTTCACTCAAAAATGGGCCCCACTCTCTTTTTTTTCTCTCTGCTCCACTTGTTGGAAAAGCAAACTTCCTCGTTTTTTTCCATTTATGCTTTGATTTAGCTATAAAGTGATTCCTAAGTATTTTTAAATTCAGATTTTAACTTGTAACATTTTGATTGATTTCTGAGCACTGACCAAAGCACAGACCAAAACAATTTCCGCTCCTAGGAAATCACTTTCATTAGCACTCAACTTTTTTCCACATTTCTGATGAAATTTCTGATCAAAATTATACAAATATGAAAGCTTTTCGATTTCTTTATTCATTTCTTTATTTATTTCTTTATTTATTTCTTTATTCATTTCTTTATTCATTTCTTTATTCATTTCTTTATTCATTTCTTTATTCATTTCTTTATTCATTTCTTTATTTGTTCGTTTTGAAACCTCTCGAAAATACTTCATCAACCAAAAAAGAGATATTCGCTGAAGAGAAGGGCTTCTCATTTTTCATCCACGAATTCCCTGCAATGTTAGGGATTTGTGGGAAATCTTTCAACAATTTTCGATGAATATTTTTGTTACTCATTTTTTGAATAACAAAGCTTCATTTCCTTCATTCACCTTCATTTCTTAACCATTTTTTGCTTAAACTACTTAAACTGCTTAAACTGCTTAAACTGCTTGAACTGCTTAAACGGCTTAAACGGCTTAAATTTCTGAACTCTTCCCCTCAATATTTGCATGTGCATTTTTTGAGTAAACAAACATTTCCGATGGGTGTTGTCGTCATTTTGATGGTGAAGATCTTCCAATAAATGCTTCTTTTTTTCTCTTCAGTTGATCGTCTGACTTAACAAAAAGAAAAGAAGGGGAAATTCAATTTCGACTGCCAATTCACTCTTGCAATTTCACGTGCGAATCTCTTTTCTTTTTGATTCTTTTGATGACCCTTGTTCCTTTTTTTTTTCTTTCTCTTATGGAATTTTTAAGCTCAAAGTCCAATTAGGGTATTGTTTCTCTTTTGATCATTAAATTTTGGAGTCAAGAACTATATGGTGAAGTATATTTCAAGTGATAATAACTCATTGAGATTTACAATCAGAACCATGTCTTCGTCGAACTGGACTTCAAAAGTTTTCTAGTCTTTTTCAGTTTTAAAAATTGTTCCAATACTGTTTCCCATTAATTTCATTAAGCTTTCAATCAGTTTTAATCCACGAAGCTTTTTCAGAAGTTTCACGCAAACACAACAACAAATCGCTATTGTCCACTCAACTCAACTCAGTTCAAAAATGAATCGAACAAGAAGTCGAATGAGCCGTTTCTCGAGAAGAGAGGTAAGCTTTAAACAGACGTTTTTTTTGAAACAAAACACTTGATCTTATCGTTTTCCTAAAGATTTCAAAGACGAGTTTATTTGAAAACAAGTTTTTACGTAGGAAAGCTCAAACCAATAACAAATCGCTATGGTCGATTGAAAAACAAAACTTTAGTACAATATTTGTTTTTATTCTAATAGTGACTACAAATTACAGCCAAATAATAAATCAATCTCAACCTTTAAAAGCCAATTTTCTTTGATAATAAAAAGAATGGTCTCTGGTTGAAATCCCTCTTGAAATAAAGAGGTTTTTCTTTTCAAATTTCTCTCTTTACGTTAATTTTGGATGAATGAAAAGCAAGAAAATTGAGAAGGGTTCTATTATAAAAAATAATGAGAAGTGGCTCTGACATCGGCCGTTTTTTGAATAGCGGGAAAACCCCATCATTCCATCTCTTCAAAAGCTCTCCAAAAATATGGAAATATTTTCTATAGCCTTTTTTTCTCATAAAAGACTCTTTCTCTTGTCCCAAATCTCATTCAGAATCCGCAGCGATGTTCTTCTTTTTTTGCACAATGTTTAGGCAAAAAAACTCCATGAAATGCTTTGCTGGAAATTACTTTTACAGCTTTATCTTTACCTTTACCTTTACGGCTACGACTTTTTGTCTAAAATTCTTATAACAATGAACTTGTTTGCTAATTGATTGGAAAACGTGCAGAATATCGTAAATTATCGGCTTTATGTCGTAAAAGATTGACAAGAACTGACTCTGGAAAGACTCATTGTAATTCATTGATTGTAGAATGTTATATAAATTTCATTGATTTTGATATACAAAGAAAAGCTTTAGATAAATAAAAAGCAATCTTATAGTCAGATTGTAGTTACAATCTTTCCAGAGTTCTTGTCAATCTTTTACGACAAAAAGCCGGTAATTTACGATATTCTGCACGTTTTCCAATCAATTAGCAAACAAGTCCATTGTTATAAGAATTTTTTTGATAGTCTTCAGACTTTCAATCGTTTTAATTCAATCGTTTATTCAAAGAAACTTTTTTTTTACTTTTTTGATCATCCGATTCCTTTAACTTGCAATTCTCATAATCCTCAACATCAAAATCCCAATTTCAAACATTTTCTCTCAACTTATTCTCCCAATATTGATTAATATTTCATCATGAAAACTTGTTTTTTTGGCAAATGTTTCATTTTGAATAAATTAAGCGAGATCATCAAACTGGGAATCAAAGCCCAGAAAGTTTCAACTCTTTTTTATCTTCAAATTTTTCTATTTCAATTCCTTTTACGAAACATTCAGTGTTATAATGTTATCTGGAAACGGGAAAAGATCATCGGTGATTTCTCTTGTTGATGGAAGACCGAAAATGGCTCCCTGGCGGCATAGTGTATGTTGGAGTTGATTGTAAAGACTTCAAATCACTTTATCAACTCAATCACTTTATCGGTGTTGCGGTATCGGTCAGCTTAGGCTTAGGCTTAGGCTTAGGCTTAGGCTTAGGCTTAGGCTTAGGCTTAGGCTTAGGTTTGGGTTCGAAAATGGCCCCTGGCGGCATAGTGTATGTTGGAGTTGATTGCAAAGACTTGAAATCACTTGATCGGTGTTGCCGTATTGCAATCGGTGTTGCAATCGGTCAGCTTGATTATCTAAATCCTAGATTAGATCTAGAATTTGAATTTATTCATTCAAAACTTTCACGTAAACATCAAAACACAATCATTTTCATCACAAACACGAAAATGGCTCCCTGGCGGCATAGTGTATGTTGGAGTTGATTGTAAAGACTTGAAATCACTTTCGGTCAGCTTAATCATCTAAATTTGAATTTATTCATTCAAAACTTTCACGTAAACATCAAAACACAATGATTTTCCCCAATTTCCAGTAACAAATCTTGAAAATTCCCTTGAGAACCCTGGGAAAGCCTTTTTTCTTTCAGTGCTGTGTAGCTTACCTATCAAAAAATCGTCTCTTTTCAATTTCAATTACCCAACCGCCCTTTTTTCTAATTTCACCAATTCACCCTTTCTATCGAAAAGCTCTATCACTCACTTCCGGCTTCTTTTATTAAAAGAATTTCTTCGATTTTCTTCGACGAAATGCTGAAAAATTATTTGAGCTCAAGCTTGAGCTTTGGCTCGTTCGATGGGCATGTAAGTGCAAATAACATAAGAATACGAAACTTTATAATGAAAGCAAATCAATAACAGATTAAAATCTTATGTAAGTTCTTAAAAATTGACTTTTAGATTGGTACTTTTGAGGCGATGGATCGAGTGACGTCGAAATTCGGAGAATACGTCATTGCTCAAGTAAAAGTCAAAATTTATAACAGTTTCACCATATCCGATTTAGAGTCCAAAACATGGACAAGCTGCCGAATTCGTGAAAATGATACAACAATGTGATGTGAGTGTAAAGATTAGGTTTTAAATTGGATTAGTTTTTAAATTGGATTAGGTTTTAAATGGGATTAGGTTTTAAACAAGATTTTACTTGATACTATACAAAAAAAAGGTGTTGATGACTTTCTGAAACGATTAAATAAATGTTCGACACCCAATGGTCATTTTTAAACATAAGCTTTATTAATATTCTATTAATATATTAATAGAATTGCTTGATATTTTTGCTTGCTCGAAGAAAATGGCTTTGCTCGAACAGCCGAAAAGAAAGCAAAGCCATTTTGTTCGAACGAAATGGATTTGCTTTCTTTTAGATTGCTCTCGTTGTTCAACTCTCTCCGCAAAAAGACACCTCATTCGGATGGTTTGAGGGAAGAGTCGGATCAAAGAAAAAGGTTTGGAAAAGGGAAAGAAGCTGTGCAATCTTAGCATTAGCAATCTTTAAGAAAGTTACTGGTTTTCTTTCAGCTACGTGGTCGTTACCTTATCGAAACAGTGAGTATAACAGAACATGCAACAAGTTCTCATTATGAACTCCAAATCTCGACGATTCTCCCCGAAGAAAAATCATATGAAAGAACTGTTTATGCTGTTTATTATCATCGATGGCAGGTTTGAGAAAAAGAAATTAAAAAATTACTGGTTTTTAGAATAAAAATAGAATAACATATGCTATTATTAAGAAAAAAAAATAGCATTTAACTTCTTAGGAATTCTCTACGGAAAACTCTCGATGTGTTGGCCAGATTTTGAGGGACATTTTCACAATTTTGCAACGAAGCAAAGCCAACGGGTTTGTAGACAAATGGGATTAGAAAGTTGCTAAAAATTAACTTATAGTGTGGGTATTTTCTAGACTCAAATTTCAGTCATGCACCAATCCTCGTCCATGGCGGTGGAGCCAGAAATTCGGCTTCTTTTGTTCTTTTGTCAATGGTTTGTCGACAGGTAAAAGATTTTCTTTTGTTAACAAAATGTTTTTCACATTATGAAAGCTAAGAAAGCTAGTTGTATTTTTCTAAAAATGAATCTTCAGCTTCGACAAAACGGCGCGAGTACCCTTTGTGCGTGTATCGATTTGGTTCGAAAGTACAAAAGTGTGATCACGAAAGATTTTGTGAGTTTAAAAATAAGAAAAGTTCAAAGTTTGAGACTAATGGTGAAACGTGGTGGTCCTATCATCTAATAGGAACTCTAAAGGAGCTTTGAAGGAGCTTTAAAGGACCTAAATAAGAACTATCAAGGAGCTTTAAAGGAGCTTTAAAGAACCATTTTGGAACCATATTGGAACCATATTGGAACCATATTGGAGCCGAATCCGAACCATTTTGGAACCATATTGGAACCATATTGGAACCCTATTGGAACCATATTGGAACCGAATCCGAACAGGTGCAAAATAAAGAAATGATTCAAAAATTGTGGCTTTAAAAGTAAGTGTTTCATTTCGTAAACGGTATTTGTGCGTACTTTTGTATTTAAAATTAGAATTCAAGCGCTGTTTTGCATTTTTAGTTATTTAAAGTCAAATATTAATATTATTCTAATACTAATATTATTCTAATTTCAATATTTTAAAAATAATATCAAGAAATAACATTGAAAAACAACAAAGCTGGTTTTGAATCTCGAAATTTCAGGATCAATTCTGCTCAGTCCTTCACGGTATTCTCCAATTCGCCGTCGATGACGACATCGTTCAGAAAAATAACAAGAGCTATCAACAAGCTTTTAAGGTAAGAAGATGATCTCAAATTTGACCCATTATATCTTTATATATTTCCAGTTAGTTCATGAATGCACGAGCCTTCACCCGCTTCCCATCGTACCAATCACGAAAAGCGAAAACACCGTTGTGTTTCTGTAAATAAATCGTTTTAAAGCAATCAAATTTCTGAGAATATCACAATTTTCTAGTTCTAGTTGTTCTTTACTTCATCCAATGGCTTGGCACCTTTGAATTGCATTCCAATTCCACCAATGTTCACAACTTTGTGTAGTGTCGGTGTAGCTTGTTCATAGAGTTCATTACTATTCACCATGACCAAAGGACACTGAATATTATATTTTAATTAATATCAAAACTATTGAACTGCTTACCGTAGGTGTGACCGTTTATCGACCAATGATTGGAATTCCTGAAGGTTGAAAAGTTTGTTCTAGTTTGCAGTTCTAGTTCTAGAAATTAGTGCACCCAGGGTTTTCGGGGTTGGGGAACCGATTGAGAAGTGTTATGAGAAATACATTATAACTAAATTTCAAAAATTTGATGTTTTTGAGCTTTAAAATGCAAAAAAGAGAGTCCCGGTGTGTTCCCTGTCCGCACACACAATCGCACTCGATCTGGCATACTGCATTAGCAGATATCGTCTTTTTTTCACTCGTCCAATCGGAAGCGTCCATTTTGGGTCATCCGGTAACCAATCCGTTGTCTGCCCCATATGGTCACCGTTTCCCAAAAATTAACTTCGGCTGTAGAATTGGTAAACCCAGTTCCGGCTCATTTTGGCCACAATGGTGGGTTCTCCGCCGGTCGAAATGGGATCCCAAGTGCCTGTAAAAGGGTGCTGAAGGGGGCCGCTGTGAATTTTTGGATTCATCCCAAGGATTTCGGTCCGCAGGGGCAGCAAAAACAGGAAATTCAAAGAACTTGAACGCTTTGAAAAATCCAACGTTTGATAGGCGCCAACCCAATATCGCCAACCCTTGAACGCCAACCCGCGAGCCTTGCAGCGTCTCCCAAAATTTGTAAACCCATCAAATCACTCTAGCCGGGTGATTTTTATTCTTTTTATAATAAAATCAGCGATATTAAAATAAAAACACAGGTGGTTGCCGTAAAAATTTTTTTATGGTTACCCGGCCGCGATTAATACCCCCACTATTGTAACCATTGTAACCACCGTGAGTGATGAAGCCGATCGTCTTTCGATGCTCTGAAAGTTGCTTAGTGTTTAACTAACTATAAGTCATGGATTTTGATTCAATTACCCACTTAACAAATCAGCTTGTGGAATCCATTTCGTAAGTTTCACGTTTTTCGGTTTAAATTCATCCATGTCATTTGCCGTGTATCGCATCACGAATTGATATTCGGGGAAACGAGAGAATGCTTCCATTAAAGAAGTCTGCAAATCGGATTGTCAGTTAAGATTTTTCAAGTAAATCTTGTATTGAGTTCTTTTTAATTGACTAAAACCTTCCAATGTGATGGCATCATTGTTGCATTGGCCACTGAGCCGAAAGACATAATGAAGACACCCTTTGATTTGTCGACCAATGATTGGAATTCCTGAAAGTTGAAAAGTTTGTTCTAATTCTAGTTGTTCTTTACTTGATCCAATGGCTTAGCATCTTTGAATTGCATTCCCAATCCTCCAATATTCACCACTTTATGGAGAGTTGGTTCTGCTTGATCGTAGAGTTCATTGTTATTCACCATGATCAGAGGAGCCTAAATTTTGCTTTATATCAACTTTAGCATTAATTTTCTTAATCTTCAATCATTTTTAACCCACCGATCTGGCCACTTCAGTGTAAAGATCCGGAAAATCAGGCGGCAGATACTTCCTGAACAGTTCGGTTTGCTTCGATGGAATCATTCTAAAATTTACATAATATAAAGCGTTGTGTTTCTGTAAATAAATCGTTTTGCTGTAATTTGTTTTTGATGATGAAAAATGAAAGTGATCATTGCTCCAATCTCTCTTTATTTTACTCAATGATGCAAGTCACAAACCAAAAGACAGGCAATCTCCCCTTTCGCAATCCTTTTCCACTCAACGAATCAAAGGCAAAGAGAGAATTGTCTTATCAACACTTTTTCGTGAATTTTCGCAGTCCCAAAGTCTGTATTTAAGATCAGACCGGTAAAAATTTTGCAACAAATAGTGGCGTCGACATTATGAAGTTGATATTTCTATTCTTTGCTCTATTATCGGCTAGCTTTGCTGCTAAAGTTGCTGTTTTTTATCTGGAACTTTCAAATAGTCAGGTGAAATAAATTTTAAGCTTTCAACTTCGAAACTGAGCTTATTTTATTCAATAGAAACTTTTAAATGATCTAGATTCTGTGGAATGCAAGAGTTGCGGAGACTTTGATTGAGGGGGGACACGATGTCACATTGATCACAATTCAGCCAATGAGTGGATTGAAGAGGAATGTCCAGATCGATCCAAGGATTAAGGGTAAATGAAGAGCATGTCATTACGATTGTTATAATTGCCAGATTGTAAGAGTTCTAGTTTTGCTGGCTCAACATTATCGTAACAGCTATTATTGCTTGTTATTTCTCTCTCATTGCCTTGATTGAAATAATTTTTATAACAATTGATAGATGAAGACATTTCTAGTCTAATGATCCAAAAACTATTCCAATCGAGCAACTGAACATCAAGATATTTGAATTTAAAGTTAGATTGTCAATGAAGCAAAACGAATATGAGATAACCTCTAAAATCCGCTTAGTTAAAACTCCTTGGATTATTTTATTTAATCAATATTAAAGGCAAAGAATTGCTCTAAAAGAACTAGCATTCGTTTATTCAAAAAGCTATGGGATTAGGTTTTAAAAACAAGATTTTACTTGATACTATACAAAAAAAAGGTGTTGATGACTTTCTGAAACGATTAAATAAATGTTCGACACCCAAAGGTCATTTTTAAACAACATAAACTTTATTAATATTTTGATATTTTTGGGTAATAAGCTTCTTAATTTAGTTAATTTTAATATTTTTGTTGCAGAGTTCATTGTCGAAGCAAAAGGAAACATCACCGTCGATGAAATGGAAAGAGTTCAATCAGAATTGATCTTCAATGTAAGCATCAAATCTTTGACATTTCGATACTTGATACTAAAATACTTTTACTATTAAAAGAATCAATGTTTAGGAAATCCCTGTTTGGGATAAAAGAAGTTTTGGAATGTTGAGCATGTTGAGTCAAATCATGGGAGAATCTTGTGAAAGTGAGGACTTCAAGGAAAACTATCTTTTCTAAACTATTTTTAGAGACCATTCTTAACAAAGAGTTGTTCAAATTCCTGGAAAAGGAAAAATTTGATGTTGTTTTTCGCATATGTACGATTATTGCACAATTGGAGTCATTCATATGGCTGGGGTTCGTTTTTGAATGAAGCAAGCTGTATTCATGCTGAATATTATTCATTTTAACATTTGATTTCAGATCAAATCCTGGATCTGGCTTCAAGCTGGTGGGTTGTTGGAATTCGTGGGAGAAGCTGTCGGAGTGCCGTACTTCCCGAGTTTCATTCCACGTAAGTCAATCAACAATAATAAATATCAGAAATCTACTGTAGTGCAATAGTTAGACTAAATTTTATTTACTTATTCATATCCAACCATTTTCAGCTCGAGGAATGGACGCTGGCGCAAGAATGAACTTTAAAGAGAGAACAAAATCTCTGCTTGGACATTTGATGATAAGAATTATCTATCCAAGGTTTGTTAGAATTATTTAGAATTATTTAGAATTATTAGCAGTATGAATAAATGCCATTGCACAGTTTAAGATACAAGATTTACTTTAAAAATCTTAACTGATCATCTGTTCATCTGTTCTAGTTCATCTGTTCTAGTTCACCTGTTCTAGTTCATCTGTTCTAGTTCACCTGTTCTAGTTCATCTGTTCTAGTTCATCTATTCTAGTTCATCTGTTCTAGTTCATCTGTTCTAGAAAAATCCCGATGATGGAGACTGAAATCTTCCGCAAACACATTTCCCCCGACTTCCCCGATCTATATTCCGAGATTGCACCTACGGTAAGCAGTTCAGTTTTGATATTAAGTAAAATATTATATTCAGTGCCCTTTGGTTATGGTGAATAGTAATGAACTCTATGAACAAGCTACACCGACACTACACAAAGTTGTGAACATTGGTGGAATTGGAATGCAATTCAAAGATGCTAAGCCATTGGATCAGGTAAAGAACAACCAGAATTAGAGCAAACTTTTCAACTTTCAGGAATTCCAATCATTGGTCGACAAATCAAAGGGTGTCTTCATTATGTCTTTCGGCTCAGTGGCCAATGCAACAATGATGCCATCACATTGGAAGGTTTTAGTCAATTAAAAAGAACTCAATACAAGATTTACTTGAAAAAATCTTAACTGAAAATCCGATTTGCAGACTTCTTTAATGGAAGCATTCTCTCGTTTCCCCGAATATCAATTCGTGATGCGATACACGTCAAATGACATGGATGAATTTAAACCGAAAAACGTGAAACTTACGAAATGGATTCCACAAGCTGATCTGTTAAGTGAGTAATTGTGAGTAATTGAAGCAAGCTGGGTGATTGACCCAGCAAAAATTTGTTAGCTTTGTTCAATCAACAAAACTAACAAATTTTTTTGATTTCAGAACACCCAAAAACACTTGGATTCATCACTCATGGTGGTCAAAACAGCATTCAGGTAAGTGGATGTAAATGCTTCAATTAGATCAATTAAATCAATTCCCAGGAGACAATCCTTGCTGGTAAGCCTATGCTTGCCATTCCACTATTCGGTGATCAATTTCGCAATTCTCGAGTCGCCGAGCAAATGGGAATGGGATTGGTGATTGGGAAAGCTGGGATGAATGCCGATTTCATTGCTGAATCGATTAGAAAATTGATTGAGGATAAAAGGTAAATGTTAGCTCAGACTTTCAAGAGGACTTAAGAAAATCAAAAATGAATCCGTGAAATAATGATCGCATTTGCAGTTATCTCCAAACAGCTAAACGACTTTCAAATATGGCAGCAAAGAAGCCGATTAAACCTGAGGAATTACTCAATAAATGGACAACTTTCCTAGCTGAATTCAAGGTTTATCTAGCAATTCTACAAAGATAAAACTATTACATTAAAAAAGGAAATCAGAATTAATGAATATTTCAGACTCTTGAGAACCTTGTCCCAGAAGGAGTCAATCTCAATTTCATTCAATATCATTCACTTGATGTCATTGGATTTTTGTTGACTGTTGTAAGAGAATTGCTAAAACGATTGTAATAATTAACTCATTTTCAGGCATTCTTGGTGTTATACTTGCTTTTCTGCACACTACGAGCACTCTTCCGGTGTATTTTCTGCCGACAGAGGAACAAAAAACAGAAAAACGAATGAGCTTATCTGAATGAATGTACAAAGTTGAGGAAATAAATTATTTATCTGTCAGAAGAGTCAGAGTCAAAGTCAGAAGAATTGAACAATCAAACGAAGAACTATTGAATAACGTAGCTCAATCTCAAGCTTGCTCTACAATCTCAAACTTGCTTTAGATGCTCTAACAACTTACTCAAAACAATCTCTTATTTCCCAATTCATTTCAATCGCTTTCTCTTTTACTGAACGATTACTAAATGATTTCCGATCTTTTCGACATGTTTACCCTTTTGCATCATACGTTTTTTTTCTGTGAGAAAGAGATTTTCGTCATTCTTTCCAGGTTGGAAGTTTTGAATTGGAACTTTGTCTTTTAAATGTCTTTGAAAATTGTCTCTCATTTAAATATCTCACACTGACTTGCAACATCATTAATTGTATTTTTACAACAAAATCTAAATCTCTTCAACTCCTAAAGCTAACACAAATCATTTTACCCGATCAGTGAATTCTCTGTCTTCTTTCTCTGACTTCTGACTTGTGTCTCTGTAGCGATCAAAAGTCAATAATATCCTCTCCTATAATAGAAAGGAGAAATTGAAAGACAAATGGCAAACAGACTATTTTTCTTTTCTTTTCTTTGACCCTTATCTTCAGTTCTCTTCGTCTTTCCTTTTCCCCTTTAAAACCAAATGATTCCTATTGCCGACTTTGAAATCTCATTCTTCGCTTGAAATTTGTTAATGGCAAGCAATTTTGAAGTCTTGAAACCTTTTTGAAACTTTCTTTTCCTTAAATAATCCAAAAATTTAGATAATGCGGTTATTTTCACTACTATTTTCATTGATTTCCTTTAGCTATTCAGCTAAAGTCGCTGTTTTCTATTTAGAGCTATCGAACAGTCAGGTAAACCATATTTTTAGAAAAAATTAGATTTATACTCTACTACAATTCAGGTTATATTCAATAAACGAGTTGCTGAATCATTGGCCGATCATGGACACGATGTGACACTTGTTCCAGTTCAAGCATTCGATTTAAAGAAAAATGTGCAATTTGATTCAAAGATTAAAGGTTAGTTTTATAAAAAGAAACAATATTTACACCAAATCACTACACAAATTTGAATTCTAGTCCACGTCGTTGATGCGAAAGGTGATCTAACCCATGAAGAGATTGAAAAGGCTCAATCGGAGAGCATCTTTAATGTAAGTAAACTTTTGAAGTCATTTGAATAGTTGAATTTATAATATTTTAAATACAGGATAAACTTAAATCGTCATTTTATCAAAAATGTTATCAAAAGTGTTCTTTAATTGATCTCCCCTTTATCTTTAATTGATTCTTTAATCTTTAATTGATTAATTTACAGGATCTCCCCTTTTGGGATAAACGAAATTTCGCTCTTATGGAGAAAATGTCGAAGATGATGATGGACTCGTGCAATAGTCAGGGATTTTAAAACAACTACTATAGTTTTCTGACTTAAAGCTATTAGGCTGTCCAGAAAGGCTGTCTTTTCTTTTCTTTCCGTACTTTCACTTTCAGAAACTATTCACAACAAGGAATTCCTTGAATGGATCAAAGAGCAAGATTTCGATGTCTCCTTCACGCATATGTATGATTATTGTATCATGGGAATGCTTCATGCTGCCAAGGTTAGCAATTTTCAAATAAATCTAATCTATAGCGAATTACCACTGCTCTGCAGTTAGTCAAAATTCAATACACAAGTTAAAATTCAAAGTTGATGAATAAACTACCGTAATCAGCCACTAGACGATATTCAGTTGTCGGTTTGTCGTAGCTTGTGTACTTAAAAATCCATTATTTAAGCTTTGTCTTGAGTCAATTATGTGCTCCTTTTTCTATTCATCCTTTTTTCACACGCAAGTGTTGAAGTAATTGTGATAGTGCCAGGTTGCTTCAGTTTGAGCGAAGTTTGCCCTAATAAGAGAAAGCTTTGATAAATTGTGCGTTTTCAAGAAATCTACCATTAAACCACACCGAGACACGGTCTCACAAGAAACTATAAAGATCAAAGTATAAAGATATTTCTTACACTCGGAGCGAATTCTGTTTTCTGACGAGAAGCTCTTCTCGGTGGAGCAAAGCTACAACCACCAAAACGCCCTATTAAGCTATTATTTGCCCTAATAAGGGAAAGCTTTGATAAATTGTGCGTTTTCAAGACATCAGTTGTCGATATTCACTTGTCCGTTTGTCGTAACTTTTGTACTTGTGTATTTCTTACATAATCTTTATCTCAAATCTTGTTTAGGTTCGATCTTGGGTGTGGCTAAGCTCGGGTAGTTTAATCGAATATGTGGCTGATGCGGCTGGTGTTCCTCTCATTCCCAGCTACATGCCACGTACGATTTAACATTTCCTCCTTCAAACTTAGCCTTTAAATTTATAATAATCAAATCTAAAGAAATTATTGTTTTATGAAAACTTCAAGCTTTAGCCAAAGCCATGGACGCTGCAGCAAAGATGACATTCTATGAAAGAATTAAGAGTCTCATCGGGCATATTATGATGAAATGCTTATATCCAAGGTAATTTATAGTCTCTTGCTTGCTTTTAATCCTCTATATTGCTTTATATTATGTAAATTTTAGAATGATTCCATCGAAGCAAACCGAACTGTTCAGGAAGTATCTGTCGCCTGATTTTCCGGATCTTTACACTGAAGTGGCCAGATCGGTGGGTTACAAAATGATTGAAGATCAAGAAAATTAACGCTAAAGTTGATATAAAGCAAAATTTAGGCTCCTCTGATCATGGTGAATAACAATGAACTCTACGATCAAGCAGAACCAACTCTCCATAAAGTGGTGAATATTGGAGGGTTGGGAATGCAATTCAAAGATGCTAAGCCATTGGATCAAGTAAAGAATCAACTAGAATTAGAACAAACTTTTCAACTTTCAGGAATTCCAATCATTGGTCGACAAATCAAAGGGTGTCTTCATTATGTCTTTCGGCTCAGTGGCCAATGCAACAATGATGCCATCACATTGGAAGGTTTAGTCAATTAAAAAGAACTACTTACTTTTACTTGAAAAATCTTAACTGACAATCCGATTTGCAGACTTCTTTAATGGAAGCATTCTCTCGTTTCCCCGAATATCAATTCGTGATGCGATACACGGCAAATGACATGGATGAATTTAAACCGAAAAACGTGAAACTTACGAAATGGATTCCACAAGCTGATCTGTTGAGTGGGTAATTGAATCAAAATCTATGACTTATAGTTAGTTAAACACTAAGCAACTTTCAGAGCATCGAAAGACGATCGGCTTCATCACTCACGGTGGTTACAATAGTATTCAAGTGAGCCAAGAATTCGGTAATCAAAATGATCTTGACATTAGGAAACGATAGTTGCCGGGAAACCGTTGATCTCAATTGCGCTTTTTGGTGATCAACCGAGAAATGCCAGAGTGGCTGAACAAATGGGAATGGCTGTAAGAGTTGACAAGAATACCTTGACAGCTGATGCGGTGGCTTCGGCAATTAAAGCTCTCATTGAGGAGAAGAGGTTAGATGAAGACAAGACAAGAGGACATCTTAAAGGGGGGTATTAATCGCGTGAAGTGAAAAAAGAACGGTATCTGCTGTCACAGTATGCCAGATCGAGTGCGATTGTACTCGCGCACAGGGAACACACAGAATACAAAAAGAGCGTGTGTGTTCCCTGTGCGCTTGCACAATCGCACTCGATCTGGCATTCTGCATTAGCAGATATCGTTCTGTTTTCACCCGTCGAATCGGAAGCGTCCATTTTGGGTCATCCGGTAACCAATCCGTTGTCTGCCCCATATGGTCACCGCTTCCCAAAACTAACTTCGGCTGTAGAATTGGTAAACCCAGTTCCGGCTCATTTTGGCCACAATGGTGGGTTCTCCGCCGGTCGAAATGGGATCCCAAGTGCCTGTAAAAGGGTGCTGAAGGGGGCCGCTGTGAATTTTTGGATTCATCCCAAGGATTTCGGTCCGCAGGGGCAGCAAAAACAGGAAATTCAAAGAATTTGAACTCTTTCAAAAATCCAACGTTTGATAAGCGTCAACCCAATATCGCCAACCCTTGAACGCTAACCCGCGAGCCTTGCAGCGTCTCCAAAAATTTGTAAACCCATCAAATCACTCTAGCCGGGTGATTTTTATTCTTTTTATAATTAAATCAGCGATATTAAAATAAAAACACAGGTGGTTGCCGTAAAAAATTTTTTATGGTCACCCGGCCGTGATTAATACCCCCCCCCTTTAAACTTATAGTTACATATACAGTTTACAATTAGATAATTATGTCTCATCTTAAAAATAATGTAAAACCAAAATCCCAATTACAGCTACACCGAGAAAGCTGAACGTTTGTCGGAAATGGCTGCCAAAAAGCCGATTAAACCTGAGGAATTGCTTGATAAATGGACAACGTTTCTAGCCGAATTTCAGGTTCGGTTACCTACAGTACTGGGCAATGAAATATCATATTTGAAAAACGATCGTCACTTTCGCGCGTCTGTAACTCCCTTGTCTTTGAGTTTAAACTATTAGTGTTGTACATTTTCTGCAAGCTCTTTTCAAGGGCTACACAATGGTAATATTAATATTTAGAAATACGGTAAAGACAAGGGAGTTACAGACGCGCGAAAGTGACGATCATTTTTCAAATGATATTTCAAATACGATATTTCATTGTCCAGTATGTCTTCCTATAAGATGCAATCTTCAATCCTTTGTTCAGACTCTGGACAATCTCATCCCTGAAGGCCAAAATCTGAACTTTTTCCAATACTATTCTCTCGATGTGATCTCATTTTTGTTGTTTGTGGTAAGTGCTCAACAATAGGTATAAAGGTTACTAAAAAGACTAGACTGTAGTATTTCAGATTTTCTGTAGTATTTCAGATTTTAGACTAGACTGTAGTATTTCAGATTTTCTTCGTCTTGTACATTATTTTCGCTCTTCTGCGTGCTTTTGTTCGATGCATTTGTTGCCGAAAAAACGTTAAAGCGAAAAAGGATTAGGTTTATTCTATTTGGAAAAATATTGATCTTGTAAATAAATAAATCTATTTTAAATCTTTAAATAGAACATTTTTTGTGAACAAGTAAACATTTGAAAGGGAAAGCTGAGAAGGGGATTTCCCTCTTTGGGGAACCTGAAACGAGACATTTCCGCTCTGGGTGACCGTTTGATCAAAGACAAAAAATGTATGGTGTTATGAGAAGAATTGTTTGTGAGACATGAAAAGTTATTGAATTTTAATGTTTATTGTTAGAAATTTCCTACTTTCAAACCTACTACAGACTTTATTTTTGTTTAGAAATTTTTTGTACAGGAATTGGGTGACAAATTTTTGTAATAGATTCGTAGAAAATGTTTCCTATTTAGATCCTATTTAATAGGTTGATGCATAAGTGTTTTTGTTCCTTTTCGTCTGCCGTTTCAAGCCAACAAATGCACCAATTAAACTACTGTTGATTTCATTAGAAAAACCAATTATTTTTCTGCAAAATAACATTAAAACGGGTTTAAAAATATTGAATGCCTGGATTTTCTTGAGAGTATGAAGTCGGGTAGTCAAAAAGGGCTAACTCGATGATGCGGTTTAGACACCTTAGCTAAAGAAAACCTATCTTCGTGTCAATAGATAAAAGATAGAGAAAAAAAACGTTTGATATTTCGCCAAAATTTCAGAGAAATTCATTCAGCCAATTTTTCCGTAGAGTTTTTTATAGATTTTTACGAAAAAGGCGTTTTTCACTCTCGAATTTGCTTGAAAGTGAACCGAAATTCATTTAAAAAGATGCAAATTGAACAAAAAAACATTTTTTTTATAGAGCAAACTATAGATTAATTCGTGAATTTGTTACTTTTTAACAGAAGTACGAAAAAAACGAAAAGACTTATGCATCAACCTAATAGTTCCTATTTGGTTACTGTATAGTTCTTATTTAGCTCCTATTTGGTTCCTATTTAGTTCCTTTATAGTTTCTATTTGGTTACTTTATAGCTCCGATTTAGTTCCTTTGTAGTTCCTTATTGGTTACTGTAGAGTTCCTATTTAGTTCCTATTTGGTTTTTATATAGTTCCTCTATATTTCCTATTTAGTTACTTTATAGTTACTATTTAGTTCCTTTATAGTTCCTATTTGGTTACTCTATAGTTCCTATTTAGTTCCTATTTGGTTCCTGTTGGTTCCTTTATAGTTCCGTCAAAAGTCGGTGATTTCTCAAAAGCTAAAGGATATATATTTATTCAAGATAATCACCATTTTTTAAGAATCACATTCTGCCATTTATTGGGCAGAATGTGGCTGGCGGGCCAGTTTTCGACCTTAACTCAACCCGAAGTGCTCTTTAGCGAGTTCTGCAGCTAGCTTGCGGAAACTCACTTACAATTAGTTAAAATTAGCTATTTATAGTCTAAACTGCCATAGCAAACTATTCTAGCTTTCAAGTTTTCAATCCTTGCTCTTAAACTTTCCAATCTCCATGAATAGTTTCAAGTTCTCCTTCAATCAAAAATCCTCCATCAAAATGTCGACTCTTGGCATCTCAAGTGATCATTGTTAATCCTGATCTGAGCACTCACAAAAGACAGTCACATCCATAAATGCCCCCTTGCATAATATCACCGTTTTTCCTCCTTTCAAGTGTGTCCGCTTTTACGAGAATGGCTAGTCTTGCAGCTATTCATCGACAGCCATCCCCTGCTGTCCCTGTAAATCCCACCCACCCACCCACCCACTCACCCATCCCCTTTCCTCTAATCCTTTGAGCTATTCTCCTAGTCTCACAGTCCTTCACCCTTCCCCTATTCTTTCTCCATTTTGACCGGTTCAAAATAATCTCCTTTTTCCATTGAAATCTTTTCCATATCCCCCTTGTCCATTCAAAGAGAGCCCGTTTTCCCTTTTCCCTCATCATATCAAATACTTTTTTACCTCATTTCACTATTGAACATATCGCATGAAGACCCGGTTATTCCTCTGGAGTCAAACATTTACCTTTTTCGTGATACTTTATTGCTTTGCACCGATCTCGGCTCAGATTCCAGTACAACAATTGCAACCAGCACAGTGTATTCGAGGTAAGGCTTTTGATCAGAATATTATGAATGTTTAGTGCTGATCAAACTAAGTCAAAGACGTTTTCCAGTTAAAGTCAAGCTTTTTTCATTCTTAAAGTTTGTCTTAAAGTAAAAAAAAGTGGTATTTGAGTCCTGTTTGCATTTTTTTACTTCACAATCATCAATACCATCGGTTCAATCCAGTTCAATTCAAAGCTTGTCTTTTCCAATTGAGGGCAGCAAGAGCTTTTGTTTCTTTTTCTTTTTCTTTCCCGCTTCTTTCCATTTTCTTTTGTCTTTTCTCCAAATCTCACCTGTGAAAGTTTTTTTTGAACTGAAATTCTTCCCGGAAAAGGGAAATCCGTTCAATCTCGTCGACCTTTTTTTTGCTTTTTTTCGGAGATTCTTCATGTTTACGGATATTCACTTTTTATACTTTCATCTTTCGTTTAAAATCTCTCTTGAATCACACTTCATAAATAAGAAAGGCTTTAGATACTAGAAAGAAATCAAGAGAGAAAGTGATTATGAGTTTGGATGATTCGATAATAAGCCGATACTTTAGCAGATTAAATAGCAGCATCTGCACCTCCATGAGTAAGATTACCTAAGCACATCCAACGTGCGTCACTGAACGCAAAAAGTTGGCAATTTTGTCTAGTTTGAGCCTCTTCAAAGCCTCGGTAGCCACATGAGAATAATTCAAAAGATGCTATGAGAATTATGACCTCTAAATGTCTTTAGCTTTTTGGAAATAGATGATTTTCTTTTTTCTAACTTCTCAACTTGCTTTCCTAACAATATCTCTGTTTTATTACTTTAAAGTTAGGCTACATCTGTCTTTTTGTTAAGAGAAATGTTCTAATATCAAAATCTTAAAATTATTCTCAAACAGTCTTTGCTTTCGCTGCGCCAAAATTTGCATACTTGTGTTTGAAATGGAATGAGATGAGCGAGAGTTGAAAAGACGAGATTGTCCTCATTTCTTTGCAATGAATACAAACCGGAATTTGAGACATTGAGCTCGGAAAGTAAACGGTACAAAAAGATAATCTCAAATAGAAAATAAAGAGTTTTTAAAACATATTCAAATACTTTAAATGAATTCCTTTTCAGAAATCCGAGAGGATGTCTGTCCACAACGAGAGGGATTTGATGGAGATTGTGAAGAGAAATGTCTCAGAGATCATCCATTAAGAATTGCTTCTGGATGTTATCTAAGGAATACAGGTTAAATAGATTTCAACTTTTATGATATCACAATTTTTAGGCACACTATTGTCCTTTTTTGGGATCCGTTCTTTCATCTGTCGATGCGAACTCCCAGCCTCATTCTGTGATCCGTCACTTGCTGGTTTGTAAAGAGATTTTGATAAACAAAAGACTAACAAGTTAAGAAATATATTTTAATGTATAAACAATCTAGATTTTGTTGAAAAAGTTTGATTTTAGGCGTTGATCCGATGAGAAGAGCTTTCTCACTCCGCGCAATTCAAGAGCATTCATTGATCAGAGGATTACCAGAGAGAGTAGGCCCATATCCATCAATCACAAATAATAACAATAAAAATTGCAGACAATCTGTCATCCTGATACTTCGTTGATCTGTGCGAACAGCTTTTCACCAAATGATTGTGGATGGGGAAGACCAACAGGTCAATGGTACCTCGCTACACCGAAATCTGCTCAGCTTCCGTTTGCACCCGGAGAAGCACCAAGTAAGATTTTATAATTCAAGCTTTTCTGGGTTAATTGGCTGAGGTTTAATGAAAAATTCTTATTTACAGATGGTCCATATCTGATTGGAAGCCAAGGCACTGGCGGTGATGGTCGACTTGTGTTGGAGACATGTGGAGGACTTTGCTCAAAAGGAGAAGTCAAAATGGGACTTCGTGTCTGGAGACCTCCATGGGTTACAGCTGAATTATGCTTCCGGTAACTCTAGCATTTCTTCTTCGAAAAGTCAATGTTTTTCTAGGGACAACGATTCCCTCCTATGTGCTCCAATTCTGATCATTAATGGAAAGCCGGTGAACGAGGTTTTACCCCAAACGGATCGGTTTATGGTAAGATTCAACTCTAATCGATAAATTCTAATAATATTAAATATTAAACATAAGAAATGTTAGGTAATGATCCGTTTCTCGAACATGAGCAATAGTGATGTGATCTTTGTTGATGATGTACGATTGGAGTTTTCCGCTTGTGATTTGCCTGTAAGTGTAATGTTGATAGCTTAAAACATATATATTATAATTTTTTTGTGTTTAAGAGATTGAGCCGAACAGAGATCCAGATTCCTCGAGCTTTTCCACCACAAAGAGAGCCGAGAGAAGATGGGGATGAACATGGAGGTAAAAAAAATATTATAACTTAAAATTGATCTTTAACTAACAGATTCTTGAACTTTTCTTGGACTATTTGCAGATTTAAACAATTTTTAGGCCAAATGATATCTGGGACATCGTCACGAGATCAAGATCCCCGTAAAAGAGCATTCGGAGAGTCGAGAATTTGTGTCGGAGGTGGGTGAAAGAGATTTCAAACTACTGATTAATCAAAAATATTGATAGACTTTGTTTAAATCTCTAATAATAATCACTCTAAGCTCTAGGTGAATGTCCATCAGTACCCGAAGATCGAGAATCTCTATTGGATAGAACTTGTATCGGTCGGTCGGCCCCATATAAATGCCAAGCCAAATGTCGAACACCGGAAGATGATGGGTAAGCAAAAAAATGTTGATTGACAGTAATGCTTCTATATCGATTGCAAACTCTAGCATGTTTCAGTATCGTTTCAAATTTAGCTCCCAAGCTCGATGCATCAAACAAAAAGAATATCCATTTTCTAGACGATGCGTTTGTGAGGTTTGTTGTAGAAAAACATTTAAGAATAATATTTATTTAGCCAAGAAGATCTCCACAGGCCCATTTACCGGCTGAAGAAGAAGAAGAAGAAGAAGATAATTCGGAAAAAATGGAGCATTTGATTCATCGACAAGTGATTGATGAAAGTGGTGAAATACCACAAGAAACTGAGGATCAATTCGAGGTTGGATAAGCAGAGAGTTCAGAAAATAGCCGAGAAATTTAGTTAAACAAAATCGTGGACAATGAAGAAGGTGAAAAGCAAAATTCGGAGACCTGGCCAGTTCCACATTTGATTACACCAGAAGATGTTTGTGTTGAAGAGGGAGATATTGGATGTCAACATTATTGTAATTTGCATTCGGTTAATGGGTTAGTTTTGAAAAAGATTACGATATTTAGATTGGTTTTAAAAGTACTCAGCTGAATCAAGAATGATTTTTTAGAACAGGGATCTGTTCGGCAGCTCCTCAACCTTTCTGTCGATGCGTGACATGTACGAATTCTGTGTGTGACTTTGAGAAAGGACGGGTCAGTACAGCTATCTGATAAATTAGTTGAATTATTGTTGTAGTGAAATTCAAGTTCTCTTTTAGGTTTGTGGATGGACGGATCTGCACTTAGTGAGCACTCAATTCAACAACATCAGCATTGCCAGTAAAAAGGATAATGGTAAAAGAATTGAAAAGATAAAAATATTGGGTTGGTGAATTGAAAACTGCCGGCTATTGTCATATGTGACAGTTTGAGCACTTTCTTCAAAAGAAACCCATTTTGGTGTCAATGGAAAAGTTGTAGAGAATCAAAAATCAAGCTTATATCCAAATTTTCAGAACGATTCAAAAACTGGTTTTCAAGAAATGTCAAATTTTCGAATTTTCACAAAACTTGCATTTTAAGCGAAACTACTAAGTGTATCTTTTTGGAAATTTGGCTATCAGCCTAATTTTTGATTCTCTAAAACTTTTCTATTGACACCAAAATGGGTTTCTTTTGAAGAAAGTGCTCAAACTGCGACACTGGGACATCTCCAGTCCTCCATTTTTGCGTCTCACACTTGTCTCACACACAAACCAAAATCCTACGAAGGAAGAGGAATCTGCAAATTGCCTGTAAAATGGGCAGAAGTCGTCAATAATAATATAATGTTTGTCTATAATCTATCTATCTTTTCTTACATTTCTTACAATAAATAGCCTTGTTTGGGAACTTTTGGCGCAACTCATATTCGCGCCCTCATGTTCGCGCCCTCAAACTGACTCGCTCTAAAATAAATAGCCTTGTTTGGGAACTTTTGGCGCATTCCCCATACAGTCCGGACCTCGTCCCTTTTGATTACTATTTATTCCGGATCATGAGTAATGAGCTTGCGGGAGAACACTTCGATTCGGAAGAAGCCGTCAAAAATTGGCTTTGAAAGTTTTTCGATTCAAAACCAAAATCCTACCACGAAAGTGCTCAAACTGGGACATCTCCAGTCCTCCATTTTTGAGTCTCACACTTGTCTCACACACAAACCAAAATCCTACTACGAAAGAGGAATCCGCAAATTGCCTGTAAAATGGGCAGAAGTCGTCAATAATAATGGAAATTATTTCGAATGAATTTATGGTTTTATGTTCAATAAATTTTAGTTCAAAGTCTGGCTGTTTTCAATTCACCAACCCAATATATTCTAATCTTTAGATAATCGATATGCTTTAACGAGAATGCAACCAAAATCCTATTCGGGATTGATACGAAAAGGATTAACAGATGGACCGATCATGTTGACTGTTGATGTCTTTCCATCAGAAGAGTTGCAAGTAAGAGTATCATCATTTTTCGCTTTTAAAAAAAAATAGGTGAGAATTTGCGTGGACTCTCTTTCACGGTGTCAGAATCAAATGGTGAGTGGACGAGCGTGGAATCGAGTGACGGCAAGGATAAAAGTCACAAGAACCGATAAGGTGAGAGCTGTTTATGCTTTGAATCTACCACCAAATCATTTTTCCATCTTCATAGCCATTCTTTCAGATATTCTTGCTCTTCAACAACAGTGATGTCAATTTAAAAACTGTGGCCATTGACAATATTTCCATTCAAAGTGGAATTTGCCATACAAAGCGGAGGAGGAGACGGAGAAGGCTGTGAATAGAATTTCACATTTCTACTTCTCAGGAGTTTTCAATACTTAAACTATTCTTTGATGCTCAATTTACATTCCATTTTTGTTTACGATAAACTTGAAACGTTCTGAAAACACATAAAACTGAGAGATCAATTGAGAATGATCGAAGGATGAGAAAAAACACAAAACAGCTGACAAAACTCACGAGGGATGATAGAAGAGAATAGGAAACTGGGACTCAGTGAAAGGAATGGGCTGAGTCTCTCAGTCAATCAACTTCACACCCACAATCTCCTCTCACTCTCTCTCCAATCTTTCCCATTTCATCGATTGCTCATTTCATAAGATCCCCTTTCCATTCAATGTGATGATCAATCAATTTACTTATTTTCTGTTCCTACTCTTTTTAATATTTATCCTTCAACAATGTTCTGGTGAAGTTTCGCCGTGTGTCGTCAACATCTCAAATTTGAATCTTGAGCCAAAACATGTAGGCTTTTCAAAAAAACTTTAAGCTAAACCTTACAGAAATCATTAGTGTCTAATGATTGGCTGTTTCAGTACAATGGTTCATGGTTTGTGGTTGCAAGAAAAGCACCAATCGGTCGTGATTATCTCCCCGCAAACAGCACTTCATCACTTCTTCGACTTCTCGTCAACGATGAGGGAAATCTTAACATGACTGAATATCATTCTATGTATGGGAAATGATATATTGTATATTGTATTTCTTTAAGCAATGGTACATGTATGCCTCCACTTCATGGTTTCTGGCGTCGACAAGCGAATGGTTATCTGATGGAGATGAGAACGGAGACTGGACAATTGTTACAATGTAAGCTACCGTATTTTCTCTAATAGTAGTGCACCCTGGCGTTGTTGGTGTTACGGTTTTACGGTTTTCAAGCTTTTGCAGAAGCTCAAGACTCTAATCATCGTCAAGATCTCATCGTCAGCTACATTCCCCGACCCCACATCAATAAGTTCTGATAAGCGGTTCTCGAGATTTCGAGAAATTTAGGCGAAGCTTTGGGTGCATTACTATTAGAGAAAATACGATATATTTATTTTTAATTGTTAAATAGAAATAATAATCTTAAAGTTTATGCCGATACTTTAGTGGAGGTTCGAGCGATTTTCCATGAACTCTCGGGCGAAAACAATGAAGAGATGAATATGGTAATGATTCAGTACACAAAATGGTTGAGTATTTGATATAATTTGATTATTCTGCTAAACTGTAAGCTTGAAATATGGTTAATATTAATGTAATAGGTTGATGCATAAGTGTTTTTGTTCCTTTTCGTCTGCCGTTTCAAGCCAACAAATGCACCAATTAAACTACGGTTGATTTCATTAGAAAAACCAATTATTTTTCTGCAAAATAACATTAAAACGGGTTTAAAAATATTGAATGCCTGGATTTTCTTGAGAGTATGAAGTCGGGTAGTCAAAAAGGGCTAACTCGATGATGCGGTTTAGACACCTTAGCTAAAGAAAACCTATCTTCGTGTCAATAGATAAAAGATAGAGAAAAAAAACGTTTGATATTTCGCCAAAATTTCAGAGAAATTCATTCAGCCAATTTTTCCGTAGAGTTTTTTATAGATTTTTACGAAAAAGGCGTTTTTCACTCTCGAATTTGCTTGAAAGTGAACCGAAATTCATTTAAAAAGATGCAAATTGAACAAAAAAAACACTTTTTTTATAGAGCAAACTGTAGATTAATTGGTGAATTTGTTACTTTTTAACAGAAGTACGAAAAAAACGAAAAGACTTATGCATCAACCTAATACATAAGGTTTAATATACAATTAATATACATTTAATATACAATTTTCCTTCTAGGTTCTTTATGGTTGCCGAGTGAGAGATTCGAGTGGAGATTGTCAACCCGGCGAACAACTAATCAGCATTCTCAGCAATTCTAGACATCCACAAACTCTTCAAGTACTATATTTTCACCTACCGTAAATACTGTAATTGGACCCCATGGGGTATTATTTTTTCCCTCCCCCTCTAGGAGAGGGTGGGTTACTATTTTACACCACTATTCAAGTTACTAAATCAGGATACATTCAAATAATTTGTTCAAAAGCAAACTTTTTCTTTAGTTTTTATTGGTTTTAACCATTTGAAAATTTAACAGCAAAACGAAACAAAAATAAATAACAAGCTAAATCAATAGAAACATCCGAATCAATGAATTCATCATTTTCTTGATCATCAATTCCTCGATGTCCTTGAAATCCGGTCGATGCGAGCGGCTCCAAAAGGTCCTCGATTTCTGTCCCTGTCCGAGCATTTCCCATCGCCTGTAAGTACAATAGATTAAAGATAATAACTAAAGATAAGTCCACCAAAAGAGCGTTGCAAGTATTTCGCCGTGATCTCATTATCTCACTTGCTTTTCTTCTCTTTCGAACAGACCAATAGCTTCGATTGGAACTTTGTCTCGATTTTTTTTGTTCATCGCCTTCCGAGGCACCACGACAAAAGGGCGCAACTTTTTCCCAACGGAACGAGTAGTGAGCATCACGGATATATTCATCTTGTCGTAGCCGTGGGTGAGAACACGCGGGTGTAATTATGCGTTAGGTGGGGCACTATTAGAGGGGTGGGGTATTATTTTTTCCCTCCCCCTCTAGGGTTGGGTATTATTAGAGCGGTCGGGTCCAATTACAGTATTTACGGTATTTCCTTATCGTTTATCATTTCAGCTTTTTAAATCAGCAAAACACATTGAAGACTTTGCTTGTACGGACATCTTACAACTTCATAAAATGGATACATACAGTAAGTTTTCTTTCTTAAACCATTTAAAACTTTTGAATCAAAGAGTAAGATTTAGCCGACTGTGGTGACAATATTGTGGATGAGGATCAAAAATTGAGGCAAGAAAATGCAAATCTTTAACAATATTTCTTGCAGACATGCAAAAATCTGGGAAAACGACGAGTATGTCGATGTGGAGTGTCGAGTGGAAAATCTTGAACAATCTGGAGTGTCGATCACCAAGTTTTTTGTGGGTTTCTTCAGTCTTTAGAGATAAGTCGATTAAATATTCAAATCCTCTATTCTCTAGGATGAACCCAGAATGTTGACTGTCATTGCATACATTGATCCAATCTTGGAAAACGAACAAATCGCGCATGTCTCCTGCCTCTACGACTCAAAAACGCATGCAAAATGTCATTGGTTAAGGTGATTACTTTTAAAAAATTCTTGAATTTGACTATGCTTTAACTTTAAACACAATAGAATCAAACCAACAATTAAAACGAATCTAGACAACGTTCCTGCTTCCCAGCTGATCTAATTCAAGAATTCGAGGGTGACAAAAAGCTGAAGATTGCCTCTCGTTTCACGAAAGTCAACGGAAGTGAAGTCGAAATTGATTGTAACGTGTTTTTTCAAGATTTCTAATTGTCCTTCAGTATCTGGAATGGTTGTGTGGCAGAATGGAGATGAGTATATTACAATGCAATGTTTACTTGTGTCATCGGTTGATGGAAGCTGCGATCAACATAGGTGAGAGTGGCTGTAAAGAATAAAAGATATAAAAGAGCTACTTTACATTAGGCGGACTTCACTGGCCAATCAATAAATCAAGTAAAACCTTTTAGAGTTTATGTTTGGTCTGATGAGGACTTGATGGATCAACCTACGATCCGAGAAATCTATCGAGCTCTTCAAAATGTTTGTGTTGATCCCACTGAGCTCATCTTTCTCAACACATTTCGTTGGTTTCGAGAGTTTGATTCACTATTCAAATCTCTAGATGAATGCACAGATCAGCCAAAGAACATTATTGAAACGCCCGAAATCGAGTGCGGTCCATTGCCGAATTGGAGTCCCTTGAACACTTCACTTTTGCATGTCAGTTGATTTGCGAATTTTCAAATGATATTAGAAAATTTCGACAATCAAGTTTAGGGAGTTTGGTACGTGGCAGCTGATCTAAACGCTGATCCGAAGATCTTTCTTCAATCGGCTGTTTTTGAGTTCATTCCAAAGGAAGAAAAGTTCGTGTTTTATGAAATTCAACAATAATATTACATTAATATTAAGCTAGGTAAATTTTTAGTTCAAATGAAATAAGCCTACGATATTATGTGCAAAAGGAGTCCGATCGAGAGTGCGTTGGACCGGGAGAGGTGAGATTTGAATGAATACTTTTGAACGAATCAAATTCTGAGTACTCAGACGATACAAGTCCGGGTATAAAAGTTGAACAAAAGATCCCTTTCAGGGTCACATCCGTCTCCTCCCCAACGGAACTCTCTCCATCTCCATCAGTTACATCTATCGACAAGTACCTAAATACAGAAACAAACTGAACTGTAAGAATTAGCAGAATCACTTTTCTATTTGTTTCAGTTACCCAACAAATCTTGTACCTCGACAATCAGCGGGCCGTTTTATATTGGTGCTTCAAGCGGGCGTCAAATGGCACTTGCTTACAGGTTTTCTGAAAAGCTTTTTCGTTAAAATAAAATTCCAGTACGATATTGATGTTTTGATTCGTTCTCGTTTCTTTTCTTACAATGATTTCACTCTAATCCAACCGTATCTCCAAAAGGCTTGCGTTCCCTACAATCGACTTCGGTGGTTCGATTTGCATTGTGAGTTTGAGTTTGAGCATTCAAAAGTTGATTTAATTGAAATGATAACAATTTAACTCTAGCTTCTTGCGGCTATGAGATGTCGGCTTCAACAAAGTTGCGCAGAGATATGGTGACTCTATCACATTCTGAAGTAAGTTACAAGCAATCTTCGTTTGTGATTCATACAATTAGGTTCTGGACATCTTGACAAACGTTCAAGAACCGCAATGTGAAGTGCGAAAGATCAAAGGGCAAAGAGCACCTCTACAAACGGTCAGTCTTGATGAGTAGCTTCAATTCAATACTTAAGTTTAGCTTGAGAAAGGCGGCACTTGGTTTTTGATGGCTCAATTTGATCAAATGTCTCGTGATACATATGCTGCTGTGTTTCGATTACATACTATTGAAGAGAAAACTGCTGTTGTTCGAATGCATCAGAGCGCGTTCGTTTCTGAAGCTGATATTGTCTTCAGAATGCATTAAGATTTCAAAAATCATAAGTACAAATAAACAAAAACAATCAATGATCTGATTTAGAGCGATTCCCGGCGAAGATCGACAGTGTTTTGAGAGAATCATTGCTGTCAAAGAGCACAATGTTGATAACGATTACAGTTATGAGTTAAGATTTGATGCGGCCAAGAAAAACTCTACTTCTTGTAAGTTAAGCAAGCAAATTTTGAAACATAAACTCAACAATTTAGTCATTTTCCGTTTCCTTTTCTTTAACCGAAATGTAGCCGTTCTCTACTCGTGTCTCAATTACAAAGAAGATGGACATTGCAAAGAAGTAAGTCAGCTGAAATCTAAAAATTTACTTGTTTTAGAATGCAGTTTATGTGATCTCTCGCCACGAATCAATCGATCACGCCGAGTTGACAGTTTTGGAGAAAGTTGCGAAGACTGTTTGCATTGATCCGGCAAAGCTTTTCCATACGGCAACTCATGGTAATAAAGAGTAGAAAAATGGTTTATCAATGTTTAGATGTGTGTGTCTATGAGCATTACCGCGTCCTTCTTCCACCTCAATGTGCCAGCGTTGTCGAGACACCAAAAACGGAATTCGTTCGACTCACCGATTTCAGCTACAAGAGGTTGTCTAATTTAGCAAGAAGAATGGATCAAAGTAGATTAAAGTTTCTTTTTTAGTGATACTTACAGAAATATTCAGTGATTACGCAAAGCTTCACCTCTACGCGGTGGCCTCAAGTCTCCAGAACGAATATCCATTCAGTTTGATCTACAAGAAGGAAAATATTTTCACGAAGATCACCGAAATGTATGAAAATTTGATTTTAAAACTTATTTTTAAAGGTTCCTTACTTTTCAAAGTGTTCAGTGATGGCTCTTGTGTCATCTCTGATGTGGAGGTCTTCGTTTTACCCACCAATCGTCATTTGTTCAGAATTGGAAATGATACGGTAAACTGAATCAAGCTCATATCCTATTTTTTTTGTAGAAATCTATTTTTTTTACTTAAAATTCAGGTGCTCGTGGATCCGGTAGCTCGTCAAGATGAAGTGATACTGAAGAAAGCTCAACTCAGCAGCACAAATCTTCCCTGTCTACATACAATCGATTATCAAAAGTAAGCACTTCTTTAATAACTCTTTAAAGTCTTTCTTTTAGGACAACCTGCAGTGCTGTCACTCCACCAAAATGTCAATCCTCACCTCCTTTGTCAGCCGCTGAAGGAGTACGGATTTTCTTAACTTAAAGAGCTCATTCCATTCTAGCTTTTGGGTGAATGGCTTCTTTTTGCCTCGGATCCGTACATTGTTGCGAACAGTCGATGCAAGGTGACAAATGATCCGAACAATGATGATGTACACATATTCACCTGCTCAACGGAAAGGTTTTGGCAAGAATTCTACGAATCACCGTTGAATTTTAGTTGGAAATTCGAATGTGAACGAGTGGTTGTTTCTCGATTCACTGTCGATGCTTGGGGTGGATACAAATTCGAGAGTGATGTACCAGCAATTCACGAGAACTTCGAGATCTTTCCAAAAGGTAGAGGAAACTCAAGGCCAGTATATTGATTCTAGTTTTTATTGAATGCTTTACTCTAAAACTTTGCAGGCAATGTCTCCTTGACGCCGAATCGTCTCCTTTTCTTCCGCGACGAGCCCCTCCTTGGCCGTTCTTGGTCAGTGTGGGTCCGTCCCGAATTCTCCCTTCCTTCATCCTCGATTTCTCCATCAGAACCATCATTCAATATCCCGCATGAATTAAATGAATTCTGTGTCTGGCCCACTTATCCACAGATTAGCACAATGGACTTTTTATGTTAAGAGTGCTACTTTTAGTACTTTCAGTACTTTCATTTCCAGTCAAATTCACCGAATATCATCGGATACGAGTAGTTCTACTTGAACAACATTTTAGTCAAAGATTTCCTCAAGAATTTGTGCTTTTTTCTTGTTTTAACCATTGACTTTTTCATTTCTTTATCTCAAATTTTAAAGTTTATTAAATAAAATGTTGCTAACATATGAATTAGATAAAGAAAAGTTCAAAATGAAAGATTTCCAAAGTTTCAAGTGCTGAATGGATGAGGAAGTCTGAACAAAAGCTTCCAACACTTGAATAAGTGGAGAATCTCGGAAAAACAAAGAAAACTAAGAAAGAGAATTGATTGATTGACTAGAATTTTTGAGAAAACCGCTACCGAAAGACGAAAATTTGACGGTGCGGAGGAGGAGAAAGTTGGAGAAAAACGACAAAAATGAATAGAGTCACCGGAATGTTCAGCTTCGAGAAAAATGCGAAAATTAATGAGAATTTAAGATTTTAAGCATTTAAGTTGGGTAAAGTAAAGCTTGTGAGGAATTCTTGAAATAGAAATCCTTTTTTGAACTGCTGATAGCACCTAGTATGGAAGGGTTACTGTTACTGTTACTGGAATCTCGGGTTGGAAGGGTTACTGTTACTGGAAGTCTTACTCTACATAATCTTCTCTTTTTAAAGTTTGGTAAATAGTTTCTGTGTTTATACATGATGCATCTCTCCCATTTCCTCCTCGTCATCATCTGGAGAACCTTTTGCACAAGGAATCTCGATATCCGGTCGGAAGAGCTTTTTGAACTTCTGCAAATAGCTTTATATTATTGTTTTCTTTTAAACATCCAATAAATATTTGTTATTGCTTTTTTTTGAAGATTCCTTTTATTGAGTTTAGATTTTATTGAGTTCTTACTTCTGAAGTTGATCCCTCAGTGACACACCAAAGATAGAGCGCATAAATGGGAATACACAGCATCGATGAAAGAGACAAGAACCAGCCAAAGATGTGTCCCCATAATGGATAATCATAATTATAACCTTTGATTCGTAAAGGTTTATAGTTATATAAACCGAAGAACATCACTCCCTAAAGAAAGTTCTTATCAGGGTTTCTTCAAGTACTGCTTAGCGATAGTATTGAAAAAAAAGCTGGGAAGCTTTCAAGAAACTTGCCCCACAAACTGCTGGCGTTGCAAAGCACCAGCAGAATTTCCACCAACTCGCCGGATAATAGCCGATCATAGATCGCATGTGATCATACCAGCGACCAATTCCTGTAATGAACTCAAAACTTGAATGCTATTTCTGGAAAAACTGGTCAAACTATAAGTGATGTTGGTGTCATTTTATTGCACTTGTTGAGATCCCATTTCCTTCTACATATTTATATACGAATCGATTGTGATTCTTTTATTCGTCTTCATTACTCTAGATAAACGCTATTCCATAATCCAGTCAATCTACAAATTAACACCAATAGCACTTAGTTGTTTTTTAGTTTTTTTAGTTGTTAGCAAGAGGTTGACCCATTTAGAAGAAAGTTATGGCGAGTTGCGCAAAAAATTTAGCGCAAAGTAACCACCCCCAGCCTTTTATACATCCTATTGTCGTTTTCTAAAGTGCACCTTTTGTCTGTCTGTCTAGGTTGTCACTAGAAACATCCCGTAGAAATATCTGTGCCATTTATTTCTCTTTTCGCGCCCACCCATTTCCTTCTACATTTTTTTATACGAATCGATTGTGATTCTTTTATTTGTTTTCATTATTCTAGATAAACGCTATTCCATAATCCAGTCAATCACGAAGATCTACTACTACAAGACTTACCAACACACCACGAGATCGCCACGACTTCAAAGAACAATAACCACAGTAAAGCCCATCCAGAAGCCGCGTAAAAGTCGAACAATTGGAAAACGTAGAAACCTCCCTAAAGCTTCTGCTTTCTAATCAATTCCCATTTTTCTGACATTTGTAACAGTTGTGAGTCCAATGAGATACGAAATGAGACATATGATTCCAACGAATATTTCCCTTCCATATTTCTTCCCGCGAACCAAACAAGGATATTCGTCGATGAGTGCCGTGAAGAAACCTTCCATTGTACAAAACTAAAAAGATATTTAATGTTTAATTGATTCTTTTTATTTCACCTGTGAATCAACTCCCAGAAAGAGTACCATCGAGAAGAATAGAATTGACCAGATTTGAGTGCCCGGTAGCTGGAGGATTCCTGATGGATAAGCCAGAAAGAGAAGACCCGGACCGGCTTGAGCTACCTGGAATTGGAAAAATTGGCTTTTATGAAAAGTTTAATTCTTAGATGTTAGATAGAAGACTTCAATTCAAACTTTACGATCTTTTAAAACGCACCTCTTCAACAGATTTCCCTTGCTGAGTTGCCATGAAACCAATGAAGGCGAAAATGACAAAACCGGCAAAGATTGAAGTTGCAGAATTGACAAAACAAACCGTTAGCGCTTGTCTGAAACTTGTCAATTTTCCCTTAACAGTTAATAGACTCACTTATAAACGTTATTATGATATTTATTGTAACTTCCAAGTGCAACCAAAGCACCGAGACCAAGACCGTAGGAGAAGAAAACCTGGATTGATGAAATCTTTTGTAATTATTTTATTACAAACCTGAGTGACAGCGTCAATCCACACTTTTGCATCCCAGAGCTTTGAGAAATCGGGTTTCAGATAGAATTTGAGACCAAGTGAGGCGCCTTCAAGGGTAAGACCGCGGATGAGGAGACAGCATAGCATCACGTATGGGAATGAGGCTGTCACGTAGACAACCTGGAAATAATCTTTCGTTGATCTGTCAAATTCAGTTGGGAACAAGGGTAACGGTATTCGCCAAAAAAAACGACTTCAAGCTGGGTCGAACCACGCATGCTCGGATTGAGAGACAGACGCTCTGGCAATTCACTATATGGACACCTCGGCGCCAACGCTTTTCAGCGCCCTTTTCAGCGCCCTTTTCAGCGCCCTTTTCAGCGTCCTTTTCTCTTTTCTCTTTCTCCCTTTTCAGCGCCCTTTTATCCTTTCCCTTTTCTCTCCTTTTCTTCTGTGCTACCCTTTATTGAAAATTCGACTATTTTAGTTCCATCCACAAATTTATCTAACCTTTCCAGTCCACTTGACTCCTTTAAAGATGCAGAGATAGCAAAGGATCCAAGCAATGCACAGATACAAAGCCAAATCCCATCGAAGAGCTCCTGGATACTCAAAACCTTCAGAGATTCCCAGGACTTTGTAGCTGAAATTGTAGAATAAGAGATAATAGATAAATCTTGTTTTGTATTCTTTTTTAAACTCCATACTTCCAATATTCTTTGACAGGCGAGATGACGGCGAGATCTTTCTCCGTGCAAATTCTCCAATTCTTTTTGTCACCGACGAAGAAACGTTTCTTGTATTCGAGAATGTGTTCATAAGTGAGAATCTAGAAAATGTCTTCTTCAATAGTTCAAAAAGTGAATGTCGATCTTAAACCTCTAAATCATAGTGCTGTTTGATTGTTTGGTTGCTGTCACATGGTAAACGATCATACTCCGATCGACAGTTTGCCGTATTCCAACTGGAAATCATTTAAAACTTTCAATTTTCGCCGATAACACACTCATTGTCACAATTCCTCCATGGCACATTTCCATCAAGTCGGAATGATTGAACGAGATAACATAAAGCCCATGCCAACACCACGATGTAGTAGATATTCAACCAGAAAGCCATCACAACTGCTGCAAAGCCGACGCCTAAAGTCGATTGTAAAATTCGTCAGAGCTGAAATCTTTTAAGTCCTTTACTTAAAGTCTTTTAAGTCCTTTACCTTTACTTTACCGAGTTCTCTTTACTTCTTCCAAATCTTTCCATTCGTTTACCTTTAAATATCGGGCAAATCTTGAACATTCCCAATCCACCGACGGATAAAAGTTGTCCCCACGATGTCTCCAAGATGAACAATGGCATACCGCAAATGATAATTGAGATACCCCATGGAATCAGGAAAGCACCTAAATTTTAAACTATTCTCTATTTTGTTTAAATCAGTTTTTTTTAAAACTTTAAACACTTTTCCACTTCTTCGTTCCTGTCGACATAAAATTCGCCTCACTTTTCTAAGCCTACATGATCTCGGCGAACTTTCCCCATAATGTTGCAAGTGTGGGGCACAATTTTCCGTCTATGCTTTGCGGGATTTCAATGAGTCTCAAGTTTATGTTAGGAAGGGCTTTACGGGGAATAGAAAAAGTACGAAAAGATTGAAAAAAAAGAAAAAGAAAGGAAAAGATGACCCCTTTTCTCACTCCTTTTCTAAAGGGCTTACGGAGTTGTCCCCTTCATGGACATTTCATGCACATTTCACTTGAGAGTCCCTTCTTTTCACCAAAGAATCATCTTTTTCTACGATTGTGGCATAAAAAGAAAAAAAATATAACAATTCTAGTCTAGTCTCAAGGTTTCTGGAGAGATTCTATGTTCATTTTGATCAACGAAAGCTTTTCTCAGAAATAGCTATTCTCATTGACTGATAAACTACTGGACAATGAAATATGATATTTGAAAAACGATCGTCACTTTCGCACGTCTGTAACTCCCTTGTCTTTACCGTATTTCTAAATATTAATATTACCATTGTGTAGCCCTTGAAAAGAGCTTTCAGAAAATGTATAACACTAATAGTTTAAACTCAAAGACAAGAGAGTTACAGACGCGTGAAAGTGACGATCGTTTTTTCAAATATGATATTTCATTGTTCAGTACTGTAAATGATGAAGTAATGATACTTAGTTGCGTTTAAAGTAATTTTACATTAGATGCTTTATGAACACTCAAAATTTCCGGTATTAGCAGAATTTCCAGGCTCTCGAACGCTTTGGGACCGCCAGATGGTCCGATTTCCGCCTTTCAAGTAAACTCATTTAAAGATGTGATGAATGAACGGCACAAGAAATAAACAAAATAGCTCTCATCGACTTTCTTTCTTTACTAGGCTTTACTTATAGACTTATAAACTATAGATTCTTATAATTAAAGTGCGATTTGTTACAGAGAAATGGCTTAACCAAAGAACATTTCTGCTAGGGAAAGGGGAGCTTGAATGCATGAGTAGGTTAATTGAGAGTTAATTGAGAGTTCTAGGAATGCAGCAAAGCTTTCAGGTTTTTGATAAACAAGCAGTTTAAAGTTTTCGCTATTTTATAACAAATATAGTGAAATTTATCAATCGTGAAGTCTGCAAGCTCTAACTCTTTAGTTTCCCTAACACTTTTCCCCATTTTCAAAGACATTTTCAACGATTTCCCTCACCTCCTCCATTCTGATAGCACAAATATGGAAATCTCCAAACATTTCCCAATCCAATCGCATATCCGATACAAGACATGATGAAATCAGCCCATGAAGACCACATCTCCCGTGGTGGATCACCCACCTCGGCAACCATGATCTTCAACAAAGGATTTCACTTTAGTTAAGAAAAATAAATAAAAAACAAAGAAAATCAAGTAAAATATAAAAGTTTCTATTTGAAATCACTGAAATTGATGCTTAATCTTTTCGAATATTGAAGGATTATGCAAAGTAGACGAAGAAGCAAAGAGTCAAATTTAAATTGGAAATCTTTGAGTTCCAAAAAATCTTTTTGATTAGTTTTTACGGGATGAATTGGGGCGGGGCTCAATTCATCCCGTAAAAACTAACCAAAAAGTGAGTCCAATAAAGTCCAATGAAAGAAAAAAGCTGTGAAAAACCCAAGATCACAGTTGTGGTTGAAAAGGATCAAAAGAAAAAAGACGCTGTAATTGTCGCAATGTCGGTCGTTTTCCTTTTGGTGACCACAACGATCTCATCAAGCGGGGATGTCTTTCAAAAGAGATTTTGAACAAAAAAAAGAAAGGACCAAAGAGAGATGAAACCTCAAACAGCTGTGATTGAATAGGAAAATTATAGGGTAGAGAAGATGGATCAAATTAGGTTAATGATCGTCGAGAGGGTTTGGTCTAGACTTGGTTTCAGTCAAAAGACAGAATCGATTCAATAAGATAGATCTTTCTGATTTCTGCTGACTTCAGATCTTTTAAGTTACTGCAAACCATTTGTGCTGTTCAAATTCGCTTACTTAAACTAAACTTACTTAAACTAAACTTGCAAAACAAGAAAGATTTGAATCTTGATTCAGTCGATTAGCCTAACCAAGTCGATTATTAAGTGTTTCTAGAAAGTTATAGGTTTAAGCACATGAAAGAGATCAAGGAGCCACAAACGGCAGCTGTGACCGCCCACCGAAAAAGAAAGATGGGGACACGGGGAATTAGGAAGGGAGAAGGACCCATCCCTTCCACTCCTCCCCTCCACTCCTCCCCTCTCCTTATCCCCTCCTTGGACCAATTGGTTAAGACAAATCTCTTCACTTTGTAGATAAGGGAAAAGAAAAGGGAGGGTGGCAAATTGGGCCCTTTTCCTCACAGATCAGAATTAATGATATCAGGTGTGAGTGAAGGAAACGACTCAAAGTGATCACAATAAAATCGCGACAGATTAGATATGGGTAAAATTGGTCTTGGGCAATAGTAGTTGATGTTGTAAGTTCTTTTTACTCTTACTGGACAGGATAACTGCTCTAGCGGTGCATAAGTCTAAAATAAACGGGATTGAACGAATCTATCGTTTTACTACACCACAGTTAAACCTTTTCAGGGATTTAAATCTTCAATATTCAGATCTCTATCTTATTAGAACTTTTGCAATCATGCTCAATCAAGTTTTCTTCGACAATTGTACTCACTGGCCATTCTTTAGCAAACCCAAAAATCACATCTTGTCATTGATCGGAGAGTGTTTATTTTGAGCCTCATTTGAACTCTGATACTTTGATTGTATCGAGCTTTTCCTCTCTTTATGGATGAGTGATGAGACAATCCCTCAAAGCAAAAGAAATGAGAACGATTCTCTCACAGAAAGCGGGCCAATTTTCACGATTGATCACTTTGGTCAAAAGATTGATTGGGAGCTGTTTTTTTGTCAAAGAATTGTTGGGGATCTATGAGGAACTCATTGTCTGAACCCAAAAACAAGACAGGAGGCTAAGAAGGGTTCTTTTTTGGTTTGTAGTTAAAGTCAAAAACGGCGGTAATGGATAAAATTTGGGGGGGTTTCGGTTAAATGGATTGGATTTGATTTGGATTTTTTTGAAATGATCATTTCTTATTGCGCAAAAAATGTCTTGCATCAAGTCGGTTATATAGAAATTTTCGGTTATATACAAACTCGAATTTGAATTGAAAAGATTTTGCATTAACCCCCCCCCCCCCCCCCCCCTTTTTTTTATACAATAACCCCACCCTGAAAAAAAAATCCCCCCCTTTTTATTTTTTTTAAAGATTTTTAAAAATTAAAAAAAACCCAAACCCCCCCAACCCCCAACCCCCCCCCCCCCCCCCACCCCACCCCACCCACCCCAACCCAAAAAAAAAAAAAAAACAAAACCCCCCCAAAAAAAAAAAAAAAAAAAAACCACACCCCCAAAAAAAAACCCCCCCCCCCCCAAGGAAAAAAAACCCCAAAAAAAAAAAAAAAAAAAAAAAAAAAAAAAAAAAAAAAAAATAAAAAAAAAAAAAAAAAAAAAAAAAAAAAAAAAAAAAAAAAAAAATTTTTTTTTTTTTTTTTTTTTTTTTTTTTTTTTTTTTTTTTTTTTTTTTTTTTTTTTTTTTTTTTTTCTTCCTTTTTTTTGGGGTTTTTTTAGTAAAGAACTTCTTTTTCCCCCCCCCCCCCCTTCCCTCCCCCCCAAAAATTACCCCCCCCAACCAACCCCCCAAACACAACAACCCCCTTTTTTAAAAAAAAAAAAAAAAAAAAAAAAAAAAAAAAAAAAGAAAAAAAAAAAAAAAAACCCCCCCCCCCCCCCCCACCACCCCCCCCCTTAATCAATTTGCTTTGATTCCTTTCCATCTTCCAAGCAAATACAGGTTTATAAATGCAAATTTACTAAAATCCAAATTGTATAACATCAACAACTTGATCGAAGACAATTTTTTGTCCGTATAACCGAAAAGTACCAAATTTGGTAAACGTTTTTGTGTTCTAACAATCTAATATGCATTTGTTTTCAATTGTGTCCTCAACTAACATTTGAATCGTTAAACTCAACTACTCCACATCAAACGGAAACAACACTCAGCTTGTTTTGGATGAAACGAAAACCAGGCATTGTTCTCTTTTTTTTTGCACATTTTTTGTGTTTCAAGAGAGTTGTCTGAAATTTGTTCAACGAATACACAAGTGTATGTTTATGAAAGAGAAATGAAATGAGAAGGAAGCTCTTTGTTCTGACAAGTGGGCAAGTGCTCTTTTTTTGTATTCGTTCGATAGATCAAGTGAAGTCAGCTTTGTCGATTTGAAATTCTAGACACTCGAATTGTTGTACTGTTTCGGTCTGTTACAAAATGATCAACAACTTGATCATTTTAATCCAATAGTAGAACACATCAAAAGTTCAACAACCCCAAATCATGTTTTGTACATGCTTACTTATATCATGCAAACGTTGAAAAAGACTGTTTTCTCTTTTTCTGTATGAATGTCACGAAAGAGAGACTTTCACTCAACTCGTTGAACACAACGAATCGGATTCAGAGGTGAATGAAGGAGAGAAAGAGAATGAGAATGAGAAGAGGAGAGTAGCGATCGTGAGCCTTCGATTCAATGGATTTGAGGGTAAAAGAGTGAACGAAAATAGAAGAACGAAAAGAAGAGAAGAGAAAGGAAAGGAAAGAGGAGAGGAGATGCCGATCTGCTTGGGGGCACACGATGGGGAGAGAAGGGGAAAGAGAGGGCCGGTCTCTGTACAGAGGTGGATTGGTGACAGAGCCTCAGTCTCCGAGTCTCTTTTTCAGACTCAGCCATTTCTGTGACTTTGTTGTATCATTTTGCAATGTCTGAGCTTCTTTGTCTGCAATTTTTGAGCTAAATCAAATCTACAAGAACCACGATAATCAAAACGTCTCAATATCAGATTAGAAAGTGAACTTGTTGAATCAAGCCTAACAAAAAGCTATACTGATAAAAATGTTTCACTTATCAACTCTAGCTGTTCGTCTGTTGCCTAGTTCCATTTTTCGGCTGCTTTCTTGCCCTTCTCGTTTTTCTTTCCCTTAAAAGGAGACAGTCATTGATGAGCCTTTTTTCCATTTCTTTTCTCTCCTTCTATCTTTTTCCCATTCTCTATCGACCAATGGTCTGTCTCGTTTAGGCTTTCCCTTCTTTTCCTCTTCTTTTCCCCAAAAATGGCTCAAAGCCTAGTCCGGTCAATCCCAAGCCATTCTCTTTTAGCCCCAAAGGCAGAATAGCGATTTTTGTACCACAATTCTTTATTGTTTTTTCTTTTATTGTATTTGATCTCTTAGTTTGTCTTTATTGTAATCCCTATACTTTATTTAAAAATTCAATTTTCAAATTCTCTTTTAAGAGGACAAAGACAATAGAATGGTTTCCTTGAAAAGCGATTTTTGCCTTGAACTATTCCCCTTCTAACTAGTTTTTTGCATGGGAAATATTCAAGGTTTTGGCTCAAGAGCTTTAAAAGCTTCTACAGTGCGTTATATTCTTATTCTTAATGTGAAATAAATGTATCAATATCATTTAGATTCTGATTGCTCTACAAGACAGATTTCTCTCCCCGAATCTCACATTGGCAAAACCTGAAACGATCTCGGATTCTCTTCAAGAAAGAAAGAAAAAGAAAAAAAACTGATTCTCTCCTTTCTGCCAAGTATTCCTGATTATCAAAAAGGAAAAACATTTGGGAATTCAAATCGCATTCCATTGAATGGTTGCCCGATGGCACTTGGGCCGACTATGGTCACAATTCATTTATGATTATCCTGTGCCAGTATTCGTGATCTCAATTCTTCTCACATCTGTCCTTCCATTGATCAGTCTTTACTTCAATCGGGTGCTTTTGTCCGAAAACGCTGAAGTGGTGAGTTACAATTAAATACTACAAGTAAGGGTTTTGTTAGAGCTGTAAACAATAGTCTTACAAGACTTTTTTCAAACCCAAATCAAACCGCAAGCAATCTAAAAATCCATAAAGCCTCTCCATTTTTTTTTTCACGTTTGCCCTTGCCCTTGCTCATGAAAGAAAATGGGAGAGAAGGGGTGAATGGATTAAATCCGGCCTCGTTTCTTTTTCTTTCGTCATTTCTTTTCTCTTCATTGTGGGTGTGAAGGATTGGATGAAAAACGAAAAATTCCTTAAAGCTTTTTCTCGAGATCTTGATTTGAGAGATCAGTCTTGAAAAAGGGTTTGTTTATGATGCGGAGATAATTGAGATCCTTGATCAGTTAAGGGAGCAGATAAGGGGTGATCCTTGATCAGTTTTTATGTATAGCTTTTGATTACTGTATCAATAACGGTAAATAGGATATCTCACGGGTTGAGAGCTTAACTGAAATGATTCTAAACTGAAGAAGAGCTTAACTGAAGCGATTTCCCAAAGTAAAAGCTTTCACATGAGAGATGAATCCGTTGACTTGAAGCTCAGTGAGAGCTCTTCCTTTTTCCCCGGCTCAAACTGTATAATCTCTTTTTGTGTGAAACCGGCTTTGTAAAATCTGTTCTTCCTTTCTTTCTAAATCGATTTGGCATGAAGAATACTCAAATCGGCTTAGAATAAACTGAAATTTCTATTTAGAAAACTATGCGCTTTTAGCTAGTGACCTCAATGTTGAAGTTCAAAGCTCTTTTCCTAATATAAATATAGTCTAATAGTCTAATTCTAGTGCAAAATTGAAATCGACGTTTTTTTTTATCAAGCCAAAAGGATGGAGGGTATTTTTGGGTGTAGTTGAATAGGGAAACCTGTAAGTGGGTCATCCCCCACGGTCAACTACATGGATTTAGCCACATGAAAACGGTGAAAAGGGAATAGATCCGTCATCTATCGCACACAAAACAGTGAATTGCTTTGGAGAAATGCTTTTGAAATAAACATTTAGTCAAAAGTTTTTGAAACAGGTTCAATGTACTGACAAAGTTGATCGAGCTTTTTCCTGGGCTACTAGGCTGCTAGGCAAGCTTTTAGGCTTGTTTACACTAGCAATCGGCTAAAAAATTATTTAATCTATACTAAATATTGTTGAATCTAAGGATATAACTAATCTTTTGATTTGAAAATTTCTCGATTCGATTAATCGAAAATGTTCTTTCACACCTCCAAGAGAGTCCTCTCATTGAAATGGGGTGCTTGGTTTTGGGGTTTTCTTTGAATGGTTATGACAATCGAAATAATAAGTGGGGCTGAGAAAAGAAAAAAGGATTGCCAATGGGTGAATTGTCTCTTTTCTTTTCTTTTCTTTTCTTATTCGTTTTTCTCGATTTTCTAAGACAATACCTGTCCTCCTTGATGAATCTCCGAAAGAGGGTTCTTGAGATTTTTGAAGGAAAAGAAAATGAGGAAAAGAGAGATCTTTCAGAGAAATTCTCGAATTGAGACAAAATATTGAGAGAATAAAACCACAATTAGGAAAATGAATATGAAATGGAAATCAGGGATTTGATTTTAAATGTTTTCAGGGCTTTGACACATCGAACACCGAATATTCGGGACAACGACAGGCCTGGAAGAAGCTTTCATATATCCTGCAATCAACGAACAGAGTACAAGTTGGTTTACTTATAGTAAACTAATCAATCTTTGCTATTTAGCTTGGTCAAACAAATTCCTCATCAAACACTACAGTGGTGAGCAGAAAAAGAAGAGATCTCTCGTTGGCTGATGAATATTTTCCTGATGATCAATTCATTTCCACAACTGATCTCACAAGTAGAATTGAGGCGATTCAGAAGTCTCAAATTGTGAGTAAAGAGGATTATTGTTTGAAACAATGCAAAGCCTAAAGCTACTCTTTATTTGAAGCCTAATAAGTAGACAGTTTAGAGTTAGTATCAAGACCAATCAGTAACAATGTCATATTTTATTCTCATCAATAACCCTGTGAACTCAACTCCATTTTAGAGCCGAATTCGAAGACGGCGAGGATGGACAGAAAATCTCGTCTCAGCATTTACAAACGTTCCTTGTTATGAGGCACCATTACCATTGAGTAAACCTTTGATTTAATTTCGAATTATAGTTGCTTTAACCTTATCATCGGGGATGATTTTATTTCATAATAGTCGAGTAGCAAATTCCTTCTATAAACCAGTTATCTAAACAGAATTTAGAACCTTAAGCGTATTTTTTAATAGATTGGATTATTAGTACAGATTGAAAAGGCAATACCCATTATAAAAACAGTCTGAAGAGAAAGATCAAATCTCGAAAAAACAAGGCTAAACTCCAAATCTAAAGAAGCTACGAAAAAAAAAGAAATTTGAGAGCAGAGAATGAGATGAAAAAGCGACGCAAATTAAATGCAAACAGAAATTTTTGAAGAAAACGAACGCGATCCATAATTAATAGAATTTTAGTGAATCATCTCTCCCAACTCGTTGTTGAGGTACCCGGTTATGAAGCGATTTGGGATCTGAGTTTCTTGAAGAAACTTTGCGGCTTGCATCATGGAATCGCCGATGCGGTGAAACCGTTTGAGAGCTATACACCTTACAGGTTTATTAGTTCAGCCGAATATCTAACAAGTGAGAGATTTCAGGAATGTCTACAGTTTGGCTAATTCCTTTGCCTGTTTGTCTCCAAATTTTCTTGTCAATTGCACCGAGTTGACGCCGGCTGATGTGAATGTGGTGGGTAAAAGTGATTACCGTAAATACTGTAATAGGATCCTACCGCCCTCGTACAGCCGCGTAGTCGCAAAAGTTTTTTAGTATTTCATTTTTTTCAAAGCGCTCGTACTTTAAAAAAATGGGGTTTTGGTATCAAAAAATAGCTGAAATTCAGGGCTATTTTTTGATAACTAAGCGCGCATTGTAGCTTAAACCAGTGTCGAGAAAAACGCTGTCAAAGCTAGACTACACAACATTCCGCTCCGTCATTATGGGGGTGGAGTACTATGACAGTATTTACGGTAGATATTGTACAGTATTAATGACTTGGATAAGTAGATTTTCTCTTTATTATCTTTTAGGTGAGAAATCTCGTTGATTTCTGCTTACCTCATCGTCGGAAGATCATCGATTGCCGCTTGACTTGTGGAGATAACTGTACAGGTTTCTTTGATTTTGAGTGGCTTTTTTAAAATCAAAAATTTCAGACAGTTCTTGTCCGGAAATCCCGCAGAATTGCTCAACAGCAATGATGAGTGATCTCTTCTATCGAATATTACCGACAAATATCCATGCGAGACCACTCTATGTCAACACCTTTTTGCCAGTTTTCACAAGAATGGGTAAATTTTGAAATTCTTCCAAAATTTTAGATGATTCAGGCTACGCAACACAAAACATTTGGTTACCCTTGGTGCATTACGATCAACTAGAAGTGGCAATTACAAATTATACAAGCACTGTTGGATTAGAGATGAAAGGTCGGCAATCTCAATGGAGTTAATAGACTTAATGGCTTCAGGACTTCTAATGGAATTGAAACGTGATCGTCTTCTATCAGCTGCAATCAAAGATTCGTTTTATTCCTTTTTGGCCGCCTTTCTTGTCATGTTTTGTGTGGCTCTTCATTCAAGAAGTGTCCTCTTTTCAGTGGCTGTCCAAGTGCAGGTAAGCAGAATGTCAGGGTTAAAAACTGCACTCTTTTTAGCTACTACTATCAGTGCTTTGTGCTCTATCAATCTATGCGCTTTTCACTCCCGATTTCCCTCTTCTCAATCTCGTCATTTTTGTCTTATTGATCGCTGTTGGATCAGATGATGCTTTTCTTCTTCATTCACATTTCCCAGAACAGCTCAACGAGGAAAATTTCCATGAGGTGGGTTGGAGACTTGAGAAATCATGAGTTTTGTTATCAATATCAACATTGTTTACATTACTAAATAAAAAGAATTGACAAGCTTTGAAAGTTTTTGATTAGACGGCCTGAATCGAGTTCAATAAAGTTCAAACTATTTCAGGCTCTTGCTCACACCGCCTCCACGATGTTCTTAACCTCAGCCTCCACAGCTGTGCCATTCTTTGTCAATATTTGGTCAAATGTCATTGTTTTCAGGTAAAAGCTGCATCTTACAATAATGCGATGCTAGGAATTAGCACTCCGCTTGAAAGACCAGTAAAACAAACAGTTCTTTGTTCTTTGTGCGGCCTGTAATCGCTCGCCGTCTGGCCAAAGGCTTCCCCTTATAGCGGTGGAAAGTTCCAGATCGGGTCGTGTCCCTATGGGTCAATCTGGTAACCAATGCAGTTATAATCCTCATAGGGGTAGCACAACCCCAAAAAGCAGATTTTTAATGGGGAGATTTTGGTTCAGTGTATGTGAGTTTACTCCGCTGACCAATCTTACCAAGTACCGTCAATGCTACGCAGGGGGCTGCCCAGAATTTTGAATCATCCTAAAGACTTGTCCGTAGGGCCGGCAATTAACTTCAAGGAAGATTTAGAGGGTGACTTTCGTGAGTTAAATGGATTTTCTCATTGAACCACAACTTTCAGATGTTTTGGTTTATTTGCCGGTTTAACGATGATCATCAATTTCCTGCTGGTCATCTCATATCTACCCGCTTATCTCATCATTCAGAAAAGGTTATTTGCCTCCTTTACATCAAAGATCCGTTTTTAGATATTTTTCTTGTTTACCCAAACTTCCCGATGTTTCTCGTTTTTGTTCATCCTCATTAAAAGTGGTTTTTCCTCAAGTTCTGATACAAGTAAGTGAAATCAGCTCGTTTTACTGGGTTTATAGCCAAGTCAAACTCATTTCTTTTTACCTAAAATACTTTAAAATATTCTTTAAACTCTTGAAAATGAACTCGAAAATGAACTCCAGGGTCGTCTTCTGTGGTTGGCCTCTCTCTCCATGCTCGTTGTCTCTTGTTTTTACGTGACACTCCAATATTTCTCTCTCCCCAAATACAATCCACTGCAGCTTTTCAGAGCTGATAATCCACATGAATGGTAAAGGAAAATGAAATGAAATAAATTAAATAAATTAAATAAATGAAATAAATGAAATAAATGAAATAAAAGAAATAAATGGAATAAATTAAATAAATTAAATAAATTAAATAAATTAAATAAACTTGAATCCAGGTACGATAACCATGCTCAACCTTTATTCGAGTTTGTGGAGGCAAAAATCGCGATTCCTCTGCATGCTCGACTTGTCTGGGGGATTAAACCAGTTCAACAGCCGGCTATGTAAGATTTCTTAGCTAATGAAATCAATTTTCTTCTAGACTTTCATTAAAGCTATGTTACAGGTTCCGTGAATTGACCGATCCACCCTTACAAGATGATCGATCGTTTTCGATGGCTACCGTACCCGATGTTAAAAAGTTGGCAAGAACTTTAGCAAGGTATGTTTAAAAACGAATCTTTCAATCAGAAAATTTTGCATTCTTAGAATCCGAGCGTTGCCTTTTGTCGAGCATCCGCATCCATATTGGCCTGAGCAATTCTTAAGTTGGAGCAATCGGTGAGCTAAATTTCCCCATCTCTAAACCCGAAATCTTTCCAGTTATGTCTGCAATGATGGACTCCTTTGTTGTAATATTTCTTCTCCACTTTTCACCAATTCCTATCTCGATTATTGTCTACGTAACTCAACTTCTTATATTTTCACTCAATACAACGATACTCCAATCTTTGATGCAAACGATTTTCGGCTAATTGGATACACCGCACTATTGCCAACAAAACTACGGTAAATCTTAAGAGGAGTAGAGGGGATGGGTCCTTTTCCCTTCCTATCTTTGAAGATATTGCTTTATCTTTTTTCTCTAGATATGCTCATGTTTTCAAAAATCTCTCAATGTCATTTGCTCAATTCGATGATGGGTTGAGATTGGAAAATGGAGGATGGTACACAACGGAATGGTAAAAAAAAAAGAGAAAATCTCCAGAAAACAAAATTTTTAGGTACTTGATGTCAACTTGGTTCGACTTACAGAGATCAATTGTAATTGATTGTAAGAGTAGTGTGATCATTTCACTCATTGTTGTCTCATTGATGGCTTTGGCTGTTCTGCGGTGGCAAGTAAGTTCTTATTCAAATCGAGGGAAAGCTTTGTAACCGAGAGCACAACCTCTCGGCTACATGGACATATTTTTGCACTTCCAGGCATTTGCTTGTCTTCTCTGTATCTGTGCAATCATCATTGTCTCTGTGGGAGTTGTCGTCCTTCTCGGATGGGTACTCGGGGTCCTCGAAGCAGTGATTCTTGTCTTGGTTAGTGATTGAGCTGTTCAAATGATTGAAATTCTTTAGATCGTCGGTCTTTCCTTTGATTTCACCCTGCATTTCGGTGCTTCTCTTCCTCCAATCGGCTGTCCAAATCATCGTGTTGAAAAGGCATCAATCCTTTCAGTGGCACCCGTTTCCCTAGCCGCACTCTCATCGATTATTGCTGGAGTTCCGATGCTTCTCTGCAAGACTCATGCGTTCTTTCAGGTAGTTAATCAAGTTTTAAATTAATTTAAACTAAAACCATTGAAAGGAAAACTTAAAAAACCCTCCCAGGTTGGCGTTTTCTTGGTCGTTTCGATGTCCGTTTCATGGTTATTCGCGAATTTCTTCTTCCTTCCATTGCTCACTTTCACTCTTTCGCGGAGACAAAAATGTGATCTTTGCGATCAAAAGGATTTCCAAATGGTGCCCAAATTTTGATTTCTCCAATCATTTTCTGTATATTTGTTTTCCTGACTGCCGGTCCAATACGGGTAAATAGTTTATGATAGATCAATACAAAGATTTTTATAAGTATTTGAGTTGTGAATGGAATAAAGAATCTTCTATGGAATAAAGATTTATTGAAAAAGAAATACACAAAGAAATATTCAAACCACTTTAAAACATTATAGAAAATCGGAAATTTTTGGGCAAATTATGGAATGGAAAAGATTTCAGGGTTATTGACTGTAGATTTGACAAACTGGCTACAAAAATATCATAAATCCTACTTGTAATGCAAGAAAATGAGAGAAATTTGTACTTTATATGGGAGTGGGACAAATGCGACCTTTTTTTGCGCACCCGGACATTTGCGCACCTTTTTTTCCGCACCTTGCCCATTAGCGCACCTTTTTTCGCGTTTTAAAAAAGCTCTAAAAAGCTAATATTAACCAATTTCTATTCCAAAAGTTGTTTTTCTAGGTAATTTTAGGGCGTAGAATCGAAATTTTGACATATCAGAGCTTGTGGAAACAAACGGACGGAGTTATACAAAGAGAAAAATCGGCAATTTTCTGTAATTTGATCTAGCCTTTCAAATTGTCTTTCAAATTGGTTCCACACGCTCTGTTATGTCAAAATTTCGATTCTACGCCCTCAAATTACCTAGAACAACAACTTTTGCAATAGAAATTGGTTAATATTAGCTTTTTAGAGCTTCTTTAAAACGCGAAAAAAGGTGCGCTAATGGGAAAGGTGCGCAAAAAAAGGTGCGCAAATGTCCGGGTGCGCCAAAAAAAGGTCGCATTTGTCCCACTCCCCTTTATATCACTTTGATCTCAATCAATGATCAATGTCACGTGGTTTTTCTTATTCCACCGCGTCTACCCCAATTCATGAAAAGGAGAGACGTTTGGAAGTGAGAAAAATGTTCAAATAGTCTCTTACTCCTTTTCTTTCACAAATTTCTGTCAAATGTATGAGTAGATCAAAAATGAGAAGTCAAACAAACACGCAAACCGAATAAATGACATTTAAGAAATAAGTGAAAAATTGAAAGGTCTAATATTTACAGAACATGAATTTAGCTCTTAGAATACCAGTGGACACTTTTAAAAGTCATATTTACCTTGAAAAGTTCTCAATTTGGAGCCAGTCTGTTCTTTGAATTAAATGTTTTGAAATGGCTTGGCTGTGTGGTTGTTAAAAAGTTTACTATCTTGTCATTTTGATGATTAGCCTCATTGATAAAATCCTAGAAGTGAAAAGCCGATGTTGATCTTTTAATATCTGCACTCTAATATTGATCTTTTCACTGTTTTTGTCCCTTTTTTCGAGCAAGACTGCAACGGATTACCATAATATAGAGAAAGTATTCCCCGTCCAGAGACAGAGAACCGATTTATGAATCGATGGAAATTTGAGAAAAACCAAAAATTCAAAGGTTTCGCAATTTTTATGTCATTAAGTTGTTTCGTTGACTTTTGACTTTTAGAAATGATTGTTTTCTGATTGATGATGATTGATTTCTCCCTTCAAATTTTCCTTTCAGTTTATGTTCGCTGATCGGTGACGATTCTCGAAGATTTTTGATTGAAGAAAAGTTTTTTATATCGTTTTAAAACACGACGAAAAACTCCAAACAGTTTTTCAGGTTTTCAGAAAACTTTTAGCGAAGTAAATGAAGTTTTAGATGACGATCAATTATAATTTGGCTGTATCCACAAGTAAACCATGGACTCTATTCAAATTGTTGCTCAAATGGAGGGGATCCATTTGGAAAAGCGTTATTGGTAGGGGAAATGATGAATCAATAATTGACTATTGCAAATAAATGAGGAACCAATAATTGAATACAGTACTATTGCAAATCAATTTACTCATGATCATATCGAAATACCAAAACTTGTACTGTGGTTTGTATCTGATTTCAGTGGAATTGGTTGTTTGGTGGTGTCTCTACGCTGTGGTGAGCATCATCTACCGAAGCGCTCTCTCCCCTCGACAACAACGGTTTAAAATCTTTGATAATTCAATAATTCTATTTATTTCAGTACTTTTGAGAAAGTTGTTCAATATTTCGATACTCGTCTCGATTACATTCCTCTGAATTTCATGTTGGGCTTCTTTGTGACAGTCGTGGTCAATCGGTGGACATATTTATATCAGATTATTGGGTTCATTGATAAGTAAGTTCATTTTAATTGTACAGCAATTGTAATTTCATTGTACAGCAGTCAATCTATTCATTTAATGAAATGTTCAGTGTTGGTTTGATGGTAGCCGAGTATGTGCGCGGGAGAGCAGAAATAAGTCGAATGTATCGAAGGAATATCTTAAGATATTGTGAACTGGCACAAGTAAGTATTAATTGACAACTTCCTATCAGATATAGCTTTAAACTTTAACTGTTTCATATTTCCTTTAGGTGTTAGTCTTTCGTGATATCAGTATGAGAACGAGACGATAACGCGCGCCTCGTGTTTGCGCCCTCATGTTCGCGCCCTCAAACTGACTCGCTCTAAAATAGATAGCCTTGTTTGGGAACTTTTGGCGCATTACAGTCCGGACCTCACCCCTTTTGATTACTATTTATTCCGGATCATGAGTAATAAGCTTGCGGGAGAACACTTCGGAAGAAGCAGTCAAAAATTGGCTTTGAAAGTTTTTCGATTCAAAACCAAAATCCTACCACGAAAGTGCTCAAACTGGGACATCTTCAGTCCTCGATTTTTGACACTTGTCTCACACACAAACCAAAATCCTACGAAGAAATAGGAATCCGCAAATTGCTTTAAAATGGGCAGAAGTCGTCAATAATAATGGAAATGATTTCGAATAAATTTATGGTTTTATGTTCAATAAATTTTAGTTCAAAGTTCAAAGTCCCGCAGTTTTCAATTCACCAACCCAATAGCTTTAAATTTTAACTGTTTCATATTTCCTTTAGGTGTTAGTCTTTCGTGATATCAGTATGAGAACGAGACGTCGTTTCCCTACACTCGACACTGTTGTTGCTGCAGGTTTGCAAAATTGTTCATAAAGTTTAGGATTTCTGAATTCAATTTCAGTATGTTTATAGTGAGTTTCAGGATTCATGTTACCCCATGAAAAGGAAAAATTCGATGAGATCCAGTATCGATACTCGAAATATTGGTTGCCTTTTCAATGGGCACTCGCATTAACATATGATGCACGAAAGAAAGGATTAATTGAGTCTGATTATTATCAAGTTGTAATCACAAACGTTAGTTTAAACTCTAAAATCAATGAAAATATTTAAAAATCTCAGGAAATCAAGCAATTCCGAACGGGTCTTGCATGGATTTGCAATTATGATTGGGTGCCGATTCCTATCATGTATCCACAATTGGTCTGTCTTGCTGTACACACATATTTTCTTGTTTGTGTCCTAGCAAGACAGTATATTATATCTGAACATGCTTCTAATAAAACTGAGGTTTAAAAGATTGAATTGGAAAAAAAAACCTTGTCCATTATTAGGTTGATCTCTACTTCCCGATCATGTCAAGTCTGCAATTCATCTTTTACATGGGATGGATGAAGGTAGACTCGTTTTAGGCTAGTAGTTGAAGTTGAATAGTTGAATATTTCAATATTTATGAATGAGACGAATGTTTCAGGTGGCTGAGGCAATGTTGAATCCATTTGGTGAAGATGATGATGACTTTGAGACAAACGCGCTCATTGATAGAAACATTACTGTAATTTTTGCAAAGCTATCTGATGATAGTTGATTTTTTTATAGATGGGTTTGATGATTGTGGATCAAGGATACAATCGACCGCCCGAGATTCGACGAGATCCATTTTGGGATGAAGAGTTTGAGCCTTTGTATTCAGAAGAGACGGCAAGAGTGCCTCAGCCGAGTCTCCGTGGATCAGCTAGTCAAATAAGGTACCGCAAATTGCACTATTTTTCATATTTCTTTTACAGATTGCCTGAACATGTTCAAGAGATTCGAATGGTTTCACTGCTTGATGTAAGTGATTTCTTGAATTCTTGATAAACTCTCAATTTAGGATCCAGCATCTCCAACTTTACGACGAAGAGTCAGTGTGGTGCCGGTGAATCGGTGAGTTATTGGAGAAATTGAGGGGGAATTGCATTCTAATGTTAACAAGTGCAAGATTTAGCCACGAAGATAACATTCGTGCCAGTCGAAGATCCTCTGTGTCAGCTGCTGAAGTGCTTGGGTCGATTAAAAAGAAAATGGAAAAGTAATCTAAATTTAGTTTTTTTTTTGTTGAAGTTGGCTTTCAGATCATTCAGCCGAACTCGACTAGGAAGTGAAAGTGATACTTTGGTAAGAGATACTCTGGTAAGATGCAAACGATCATTGCCATTTAGCCGCCACCAGGCAAATCGGTCTCCTCAACCAATCTCGATACAATGGAAAATCAGAAGAAGAATGTGCTCACCACACAAAACAGCCTTCCATCAGCTGTTTATACTGTAGAAGAAGGTATGGGAAAGAAAAAAAATGAACAATCAATATAGCAATCTTTCAGATGAAATCGACAGTCCCGAAAAACCACCAAAGAGATCACAATCAGGTTTGTTATGAAAAAGTAAATCTATGAACAAGTGACTTTGACAGGTGCAAATCTCACAGCCTCTAAAGCCTTTGCACATCATATCCTTGACAATGTGATTGAAGAAGATGAAGAAGAGGTTTACAAATGAAGATTTCTTTCCAAAATCGCTTTTTGATGTTTAGATTATCAGGAAAAAGAGTGTGATGCACGCGAGACATTTGGATGCTTTGAAGGAGAAATTCGTGGGCAATTTTTTGACAAAGCTAACTTAAAAACTTTCAGGACAATGTTCAAAAAGAAACCTCTTCGATACCCGAAGAAACCGTTGAAACTATTGAAGAGAAAGTTGAAGATGATCGAAAAATTGAAGAGGATAAGGGTGGTGGAGAGATGGGTGAAGAGGGGGAAGAGATTCGTGAAGAGGGGGAAGAGATTCGTGAAGATGGGAAAGAGATTCATGATGGAGGGGAGAACGTGAGTTCATCAAGTAGATAAAACGAGTAAGCAAAACCATCAATAAATAATTCTTTTAGAAAAAAGAGTCATCTCAACAATCCCAACCACCAATCCCAAAAGAACGTGAACGAAGCAGTGAATTCTATATCGGAGCCGCGTCTCGGAGTGATGACGAGCATTGATTTCTGTTTACTTTTCCTTGTTACTCCTCAATATTTCTCTGGTGCAATTCTTGTGATAATCTAGTGTTTCTCTACATAAATGTGTCTTATTTATGCAATAAATTTTGGTGAGATTCCGGTTTTTCGCAAAATGACACCTCGCCTCTAATCGGGGAATTCTCAAATTTTTCAAGAGCAGCAGCAAAAATTTGGATAAAGGGTGTCAGCATGTGTTATGATCTGAAAAATTCGGGCATCGAGATTTGAGGGAAACCTGTTTTCAGGAAGATTTTTGGAGAAATGGATAAGGGATGACCCTTCAGGGGAAAAAGGAGAAAAACCAGCTCATTCATCTCGGGAAAGATGAGACATTGCGTAACTCGCTCAGTAGTTCTTTTCTTTAATCCTCCGCCCTTCCCTCTCAATTTCTTGTCAATCCTTAAAAGACATTGCATTATCATTTAATTACCCATTTGCCATCTTTTTGAAACATGTTACTGTATGTTTTCATTCTATTGATCGGGAGTTTAGCTGCTAGAAATGGTGAGTCAGTTGGAAATGTTTTATTTCAATTTACATTCAATTTAGCTCATTTTGGTCAACCTTGTCAATTGTGTCGTTGCTTTGTTGAGTATACGGATAGAGATATGAGAATACCGATGAGACCGTATGCAATGGCATTCAATGGATATGAGAGTACGGAGGATCGATGTTTGGCCACATGCTTGATTGATCGGGTAATCAGAAGTGGTTGAATGATGTTATCTTTGAAGGCTAACCTAAGCTTTGAATCACTAGTCAATCTTAAGACTTTTAATCCTTTCCATTCAGCGTTGCAAAGCTGTTGTCTATGGAATGAGTGGTGGAAGACAAGTGTTCACTTGTGAACTTTACGAGGAAATCGATACCCGATCGAGTCCAATCTATTCACCATTTATCAACATTTACATTCCAAGAGGGAAATGTCCAGTTAGTAAGTGTTTTCACGTACTTTTTTGGTTGGCTTACTTATCTATCTTTATTCAGAAATCCCGATCCAAGCCATTCGGATGATTCCGGCTGATGATTCGTCATTGAAAAGAAGAGTGAAAATGGAGAAAAGAGCGCACAGAAAGAATCCATTCTTTGGATAAATGATAATAAATTAATAAACCTTATATCTTACAAATTAGAAGTTACATTTACGTTACAGACACATTACAGACACGTTACAGACACAGACACACGTTACAGACACAGACAGACGTTACAGACACATACACACGTTACAGACACAGACAGACGTTACAGACACAGACACACGTTACAGACACAGACACACGTTACAGACACAGACAGACGTTACAGACACATACACACGTTACAGACACATACACACGTTACAGACACACGTTACAGACACAGACACACGTTACAGACACGTTACAGACACACTTAACCGAAACTTTTCTATCAAGCAATGATCCAAAGACCAAAAACATCCAACTCTTTTAAAACAATGTGGCTAGACGATATTTTAAAAGCTTTCCATAAAAGGGAGTGGCTCTGTAAACGAGAGACCCCACTTGACATAGAATTCTATTTCTCTTCTTATTTTCTTCTCTTTTCTTTTCCGATCCATCCTGAGTGGGTCTCCCCACTTGAAATGACTGACAATCAACAATAAATGCCCTTCCCATTCCCCTCCTTTCAACCAATCACTCTAATATTTGGAGATAATCTGCCAAAGATCATTCGATAATCGGTGTCGATATTCTATTTAGTGAAAGCTGATTTTGTCTATCTTTACTCGGAATTGAAACTGTTCACTCTACATTCAAAGGAAGTTGCTCTTTTTGTTCTTTCCAACTGTTCCAGAATCCAGAATATTATTCATTTTGTTCTTTCGAATTTTGTCTAAACAAGAGCACTGTAGGATTTTGATCCTATCTTTCAATGTTTGAATCAATATTCTACAGTCTCTTGTTTATTCAGTTCAAGTTTTACTTGCAATTTGTTTGTAGTTTGTAATTTACAACTTTTCCTTTTTTCCACCAAACCTTTTATATCCACAAAGATGAGATAAAGGGATAGCACACTATTCAATTGGATAGGAGAGAAGATGGATAGGAGAGAAGAAGAGATAAAAGATAAATCACAAAAACCACGTTTCGATTTTGCTTTCTTAAAGTTGTCTTTGGGGGGAAATAAGTGAAGAAAACATAGAAATGACTGAAGAAAAGATCTGAAATTTGTTTGCGTCAGGCACTAAAAACCAGTCTCTGATTGCAAATCGGGAAAAGGAATTTTTGTATTCAAATTTTGCGTATAAACATTTGACGAAAAGTACAATCGTTTTAGCACACGTTTTTTTGGGAGCTTTGACAGAAGAAAAAAGTATCGGCCATTTGAAATGAAGTGAAAGAGGGGAAACTAAAGAGATAGAGCTATCTAAAAACTATAGTAATTTGTATAGTTTTTGGAATAAATGAAGATTGCACACGGGTATCACATAGAACCGTATAAATATTTATAAGAATAAATTACAAGAATAAAAGTAGGCAAAAGTTCGATTAGGATTTTTGCACAACTGGATTTCGGACACGTGGAGGCGAGTCAATGTCTTCAGCCTGAAGAATCATTGTGTAAAGAGTTCATTCTTTGAAATTGAATGAATGAAATTGAAATCCAATACTTTAAAGTTGATACTGTAGAATCAAATAGAGATTTCGATAGTTAACAAAATGTCACCTGAAAACTACTGTTGACAAAGCTCGCGTTGACCGCTCCACTGTCATCACGTTTCGTTGAAGATCCACGCTTTTCTGAAATGTTATTTGTTTTGCTTTGGTTTATAGTTTCATAGTTGATAGTTTGCTTATCTTCTTTCCTTATCTTCATCAACAATCAACTCACGTAGTTGTTTCTGTACATCCATCGGTGTCAATTTTAAATCAGTTGGCGCCACGGCTACTACTGATGGATGAGATCCTCTCAACTTATGCTTGCTCTTCTTCACTTTTGTCTCGGATAAAGCGCTGAAAGTAGTTGTATAGATGGGTAATTTAGTTTTAAACTCTAATAGACCCAGTCTGGAGAAAGATTGAAAAATAGAAGTGTATTAGAATTTTTGCGGTAATCAAGGAAATTATTTCCAACCAACCTGGCAAACATTTCAGCCTCGCTTCCATCAGTTTGCAGGGATTCATCAGAACTGGAAGAGTTCTTTCTAAAGCTTTTATTTTTTTGACACAACTTCTTTTAAAACTAACCTCTGAGCAATTTTCTTCTTTTCTTTTTTCACTCTCGGACTCGAATACCCGAATCCCTTTGGTACAGTAGTGATGACTGAAGAAGAAGCGATTGAATGAACGCTGGCGAAGGAATCTGTTCCTTCCATCGATTTGCTCAATGACTAAATGAATCAATGACTAAAACTGGAGTATTTCAATTACCTTATTCTCCTTTTCTTGTTTCAAATTCACTGTGTGATCGGCAGAGATCTTTTTGATGACTGAACTAGAGACGCCATGTTGAGGGATTGGAGGAGCCTGGAAATTTCGAATCGTTAAAAAATGTTTTAATTTCAAAGATTTTTACTAACCGATTTGATCGTTTTTGTCGTTCTCTCCTTGAAGACAATTTTTGGTTCAGACAAATCGACAAGTGTCGCCGTTTTTGGTGGTTCTGGAGCTGTTTGTTGAACGACGACTGGGGCATTTGAGGGAAGGGGAGGCGCGGCCTGAACATATCATTTACAATGAGATTTACATTTGCAATTTCATTTTATTTTATTAGTTTAAAATCGATTTACAGTAAATGTTGGTTTTTGCATCAGTTCTGGCTTTGCTGGGACTTTCGGAACGGCAAATAGTGGCGTGACTTGACGGGGAAGAGTGGCCGGTGCTTGGAAGATTTCCAATGGAGGAACTGTTGGAAGGGATGGTCTGAAAGAACTTTATAGATTAAAGCCACTCTCATGAAATATCGATTTGAATATCATAAACAAATAAATCTCCAAAATCCAAAGCCCAAAATTTCCCAGACTTCTGAAACGTCAGCGTGTCCCTTCTCTCGTTTGGTTCACCATTTGAAGCATTTTGTGCACGCTAAACCTTTTCATTTTCTCAAGCTTTAAGTCTCAAAAAACCTTTGGCGGCTCAGGTGTTTTATCATTTCTGTAATGAGCGGTGTGTTGTTGAAATTGCGGTGTGGAGCAGAGAAAAGGGTTAGTACATTTACGAGCGCTCACTTCAATCCACAAAGCATCGTTGTCCTAAAATAGGTTGAATTTTATTTTGTTTTCTAGTAAAGAGATCAAATTCAATAGAATTTCCCCAACCTCATGCTCCATTTCCAGTTCATCTTCATCGAGTAATGGTCTACTTCCTCCTTCTTCATCTGAATGATCAGCTCCTTCTGTTGTTTGTGTCGCATCTCCATCTTCTTCGTCATCATCCAACTGGAAAATGCTTTGGTTCAATTATATTCAACCAGTGGAACCGTTTTTCTATTGCCCTAGCGCAGTCAGGAGCCTGCTTGTCTACGGTTCAAACGATCCGGGTTCAAACCCCCGCTTCAACACAATATTTACTTTCTCAAACCCTTTACCTTTTGATCGTCAGTGTTGCTGTCCTCTTCCGTTCTCGCTCTACTGTCACTACTCGCATCATCACCAACTCCTGAAATAATATAAAGATTTACATGGACGAAAACATTGCCAGATAATTGAATTGCACAACTCTTAAGCTCACCATCAATATGCTCATAGCTGAAACGTCGCCTCGACGCCACTCTCACTTCATCCATATCAGAGGAGTCCTCCTTAAAATTCTTCAATTATCCGATAATTTTAACAAAACAATCCTCAATATTTATATCTGATATAAAGCTGTTATTCTACCTGTATAAGTCTAGCCAAATCCCCAGCCGATCCCACCGAGTCATCTCTTTCTCTTTCGCTTCTCATTCGGCGTCTCTCTGAAATGTGTTCTTTGTCAAGGAGTCTTGTATCATGCATTTGATTCATTTATAAAATTTATAAACAAAAGATTTATCTATGTATAGATACAGGCAAGTAGCTAATACAAGTAAGTAAAATTAGGCGAAATGGGAAAGGCAATTGAGCAGATCACAGATGATGAAAAATAACTGGGCAAGAGCAAATGGGAAAGGCGCTCACTACTTGAAAATGGGGTTTTTTAAAGTGAAAATTGGGTAAGCACCTCGGAAAATGGGAATACTGCACTGTGTGGGGTGGAAAGATAGAAAAGGGGAAAGTACATGCATCAATGATATGACTAGAGAAGGAAAAACACTATATGAATACATTTTATTTGAGAAGGAAGGACATTTTGACAATTTTGTTTGATACTTGTGACTCTTTTTGTCGAAAACATTATGTAAATTGGCAAAACCTTTCGATTTGAATAATGTTTGATTGATCAAATGTCAACTGGCATATGTCAACTGGCATATGTATGTCAACTGGCATATGCAATTTTTGGTTTGATAGCCAATTAAAATCACAAGTACCAGACACCCTTCTTTTAAGGATTGAAACTCTTTGATTCACTTCTGGTTTTTATTCGGTTTCTACTTTATTTCTACTGTTTATTATTTTGAAAACTTTCTCCACAAAGATGTGGTTCTAGGTGCTGGTGGTGGGGGTGGTGTAGTCTCTTCTTTCTTTTTTCCTCTCATCTCCTGCCCATCCCCATCTATCAATTTGATCTTATGAACCCTAACCCTTGTCCCCAAATGGCCATTCGAGGTTTGGATAAGTGAATTGCAAGATTGAGAGGCAGAAGTTAAAGGAGGAAATGACAACGAATCATGCCTTTTACAATCATTCTCCGGGTATCTACCTGCAGCTGAAGGAGCTTCGAAAGGAGCCGCGCCAAACGGATCGCGTGAATCGATCGAACATCCATCCATCTCTTCGATAAGATCACTCACTTAAATTGTTATCTTATTTTAAATTACTCTATATGCTTAGAACTACTCTTCTCCCTCATTTATTCTCACCCTCTTGATTTGGATTTCTTGGAAGTTCATCGAAATATGTGCCGAAACTTGAATCATCCATTCCCTCACTTGTCGATCCATAAGGAGCTGCCGTGAATGGATTCCACTAAAAGCATTCTAATTTGCTAAAGTCTTTTACCCAACCTGTTTCTCATCTCCTTCAACACTTTTGTTGTTGGGAGCTGTTTGACTGTACGGTTTAAAGGCACTCTTTATCACCGTCGAGCAATCGCTTTGGTTTCGACGATGAAGGGAATCGGTGACGGTTGTCTCTAAAAAGTCTTGCAACTTATTCAGCTTTAAAAACTTACCATCTTGTTGCCTTTTCCCGGCTAATCTCGGTCTTCTCGCAATTTCATCAAGTCCATCAAAACTAGCATCGGCCTTCATTAGAGGACAGGAAAGGGGACCCAGATCGACATCGGGAGGGGGAATTGTAGCTGAATAGAATCTTTTCTTTTCAATCTTGAAATTAAAATGTCTTAGATTTCAGATTTAGTTGTTAAACTACATGCAAGAGAATGGCTAGCTTACCAGAGGCAACACTCGCTGGAGGGATATCCGGTTCAGAAGTGCTTGCCACTCGTGCTGATCGTGGAGTCATCTGTGGACTTGCACAAGCCATGTTGGGTAATCGGGGAATGCTGTTCGTCGGTTTTGGCCTTAAACGTGGATTCACAGAAGTGGTCAAATGACCCGATGATAGCACAGAAGACGATTCAGCCGTCGGACAGAGTTGAGACGTAGGCACTTCTACCTAAAAACGTTTTACTCAATAGCCTTTATCAATTTCCAAACCTCTTCTTTTTTTTCCGCTTCCTTTTGCTGCTTTACAGGGGTCATTGCTTGTTTGGTGGGTTTTCTCCCTTCCATGAAGTCTGTTATACAGCGTTCCAAACAAGGGCTTTGTACTTTCTAAAATCTTTTCCTAGTTTAATTGTTTTTACTTTGTTTACCTCAATATTATGCACTGGATTTTGTCGTTTAGCCGCTTGAAAGGCCAATGAGGCAGTTTGATAGATATTGGGGCGAGTGTCCAGTTCGGCATCCAATAAAGCTTCTAAAATGAAATGCTTTGTATGACAGGCTCTAGTTATTTGGTAGAAATCAGCTTCTATTTACTAAATGAACTTACTTATTGTTGCTCGAATCTCTAGAGGATATTCGGGAGAATGGGGAAATGTGAAAGCGCAATTCTGAATGGAATTAAATCTGTTTTCATTTCATTTAACTCTGCATCTGAAAGGAATTTGTTTTAATTACTAATTGTTACCGTAAATACTGTAAAAGTACCTCACCCCCATAATGACGGTGCGGAGTGTTGCGTAGTCTAGCTTTGAACGAGTTTTTCTCGACACTGGTTTAAGCTACAATGCGCGCTTAGGTATCAAAAAATAGCTGAAATTCAGGGCTATTTTTTGATAACAAAGACGCCTTTTTTGAAAGTACGGGCGCTTTGAAAAAAATGAAATACTAAAAAACTTTTGCGACTACGCGACTGTACGAGGGGGGTGGGGTACTATTACAAAATTTACGGTATGTGATTGTTTAGTTGAAATAAATGATATAGTACCTGAATGGCCATCGCCGAATCGCCGAATGGAAGTGAGAAATAGCATAGCTTGTAAAGCATCACACCCAACGCCCAGATATCCACTTTTGCGCCTAAAAAGTTGAATACAAATTACACTTTTCCTATTGGCTCTTTTTTGTTTTCAATTCCAACATACCAATGGGTTTTGCTGAATAGAAGTCGATCATCTCGGGTGCTCGATAACTCAATGTCGTATATCTCTCAATCTCCTCTTGGATTTGGCTCAATTGGTGGGTTTCCGTTGAAAGAACCTAGAATTCTTTTGAATTGACATGAAGCTACAGCTAAATTGGCAGTTTTTCTATTATCTACTCACCCTTGTCGTAGCGCTTCCGAAATCACAAAGAACATAAATTGGAGCGGCTCCTCGATTTCGCTCATCCACCAAAATGTTCTCCACTTTTAAATCACGATGAATGACAGGTGTGGTTGAGTGATGAAGACGGGCAACTGCTTCACACATGTCACAGAAAATAGATAAAACCTAAAACCTCTTTGATTAGGTGAATTGAATCGTTTGGGCACCTTTTGTGCAGTTTAAAGTGCATATTTCTAGTGCTCACCTCAGCCGGTGTGAATCCTTTCCCGTGTGTTAGCCGATCATTCATCAAACCAAGGACCGAATCTAAAATGCCACATACTACAATGTATCTACTTTATTTGTTTTTAGATTTATTATGTCTTGAGATAAAATTTTCTCACTTTTATAATAAGCGGTGAGAAGCATGTAATCATGAACTCCATTCTTCGACCTCACCAACAAATGATCTACATATTCGACAATGTTTTTGTGTCCACGAAGGCTACTCTATAAAGATTTTTGATGAAATATTGATTAAATATATTGTTTTTAGTTTGATAGTTTATGACTTGACTTACAATGATTTGACACTCTCTTTTGCAGGCTTCTACTTGTCTCGGATCATCATTGATGAATTGCCGTTTGAGGGCAAAATTTCTATTCTTCTTGTCGGTTACAAGATAGACGATTGCAAAGCCTCCTAAAACGTATTTGCATTGATAAATTGAATAATGAAAGATGATGAATAACTCTTACTACAACACAACAAATCACTCCTACAGTGAACTTTATTATAGAAGACATTCTTCAACCCTTTTCCATACTCACCTTCAGCTAATTTCCTATCAATGACAACAGTGTGTGATTGTAGATTGAGTATTGTCCCTCTTGCATCTTTTTCTGTTCCCTCTTTAACCTTTTTATCTTTGGGGGATTCGGTGTTTGAGAGTGGCTGGGCCTTGCTGGCATTCCCACCGAATAGACCGCCCAAGGGCATCGAATGCCCTGAAATCGGAATATTGGAAAAGAATTGGAAAGAACAAAGACAAATATAAGAAGAACCTTTAAATATACTGAAAAAAGAGTTTAGAGACTTTAGAAATCAAAGAAACTTGAAACTAGAAAAGTTTATAAATGTTTAAGTTTTTCGGAAAACGTTCCGTCTAATCAAAGAGCCAAATTTCTTTAGCTAAATCAGCTAATTGATCGAATTTTGTCTTTAAAACCTCTTCAATACTTTGAGAATCAAATTCGCAATTTTAAAAGAAAACTTTCATTTTCATCTACTAGAATGATAAGTGCAAAGGGATTTCAATGGGAGTTTTACGATCGATGCCCAGCTGTGAATCGGCCGTTTCTCACAAAAGAGCACAAAGAAATTGGTGTCTTTTGGAATGTTGTGGAGGTGATTTTCTTCAAATAACCTTCAAATAACCTCAAAGTTATCTTAATTCTTATCAATAAAAGGTATGTTTTTACAAAAAAAAAAGTCTTTTCGCAAAGATTTTCTCAACATTTATATACACACAAAAAAGAATCACAATCAAAATCACAATGACCCGCTTGAATTGGAGACTCAAAAATGAAAAAAAAATGGAAAGAAAAGTAATATCAAGCTAGATTTTAATATTACTAAACACTTCAGCGACCTTTTTCCTCAAAACTGATTCATTGAGGATAAAATCAGTGCCCAATTCGATATATCCATCATCAACACGAAGAGATGGAGAAACAAACTCCAGTTGATCCTGAAGATTCAGATTAATATTTTGTTGTTGTAAACTTATTTTTTTAAGTAATTATAAGAGTTTTAGATTAATACTCTAAATAAATTCAACAAAATTAGTCAAACGCTAAAAGTTACGAGCAAATAATATGCTCATTCCAAGCCGCTAGCCGTCTAACGGGTGTAGCAAAGTGGTTGGGTGGCGGATTTCAACGCCGCACGACCCGGGTTCGACCCTAGGCAAGGCATGATGAGATGCACGACGGTCTTCAAAATAGATTATGTTGACAAAAACGTGTGTTCTGACTCTCTTTTTGCTGTTCTTGATGGATTTTAGTTTTGACCTTCCTTTAAGTTCAGCTTTTCTTGCAGTTTTCAATCTTATTTTCTTTCAGAGAGTAAAAAATAATATTCCTAAGATTTGCCTTACTTTTATCGGAAAAGGAATTCCCCTTTTCATTCCCTGACCAATTTGTGGGGCCACAAAGTTTTTCGCCAATGGGGCAAGTCCTTCAATTGTTTCCGGATCGATGTCAGCGAGATTTGAGCGATGTAAACGGATGGCCAGTTTGTTCAATTTCATATCACCTAGATGAATGATTTGTGATTGAACTTTGAGATTCCATTCAGCATTTCTCTAGATACTCACCAGATAATCGACCACCATTTGCTGATAGCTGTAAATCGACTTGTCCGTCCGCTGATGCAACCATCACTTGTCTTTCAAAACCCTCATCATCAACATAAGTGATGATTCTTGCTAGAAATGGTTTGAGTATTTTTTAAAAGCATAGTTTAAAAGCTTAAACAAACTTGAGAGAGTAATCGCTCCAGCATCGCCATTGAATTGGAAATCTGGTAAACCATGGGGTAGCAAAACAAAAGAAGCATTTGTATCAGGGTAAGCTTCCTGTAATTTGAAATTAGATTGGTTTATTGAAGATTATTTTCAAAATGTTCATTGCAATGCTTACTGCCAATGCTGGAATCAATCTTCCAATACAATATCCCCCATTGAGATCTCTTGTTCTTCTCCTCGTACACGATGTCCTCAATAATCCTTTATAACGATCAGGTAGATTATTTACACTCATCTAAAAATAATTTTGATAAAATATGATATTTTACCATACTTCAATGTTTAGCTTATTCTTTTGATAGGCATGGTATAGTAAAGAGTTGAATAAATAATCTGATCCATAAAAATAAAGCATTCTTTCAGAGGATTCTGGAGTATGCATTGGTCTAAAAGAAAAGATATTTTAGAAACACAATCTTTGTTTCTTTGTTTACTTTGGATAGAACGGTGTCGAATAGTCACTGTTTTCATAGCGAACTTCTCCTAAATCATTCTTTCTTTTATTTCCAATCTTCTTACTATTATACCTTTCATTTGTGTCTCAAAATAGTCTTCAGTCACAATTGGATCAGCAATATTGCGATTGTCAATGTAAAGACCGTCAACAAAATCGGAAATGAATCTGAAATGAATTAGAGTCAGAGATTTATCCAATTCACTCACTTTTGCATGATTCCACCATCATCAACGATCGGTGTTTTGAAGCTTTCACCGAGATTAGTTTTACTCAACCTAGAAATTAGAGTCGAACCAGTCAATGAATCAAATAGAAATGCCAAACCTAGCAAATATCTTTGGAGAATTGTTTTCAACGAGATTCTTCAACTTTCGACAAAACATATTTGGAATTCGTTTTCGGATCCCGTCATTGATTTGGCCCTGAATTCTAACTGTTAAAAGCCTTCAAACTGTCACCTTTCCTCACCTCAAAAGCTTTGATTAACCCACTGGTTGGCCCAGTTGGATAAATGTTGAAATTTGACTGTTGAATGATTGTCGAACAATTTGAGACACGAACGTTGATCAAACCTAGAAGTTGTACACATTGAAGACCAAAAGCATGCCAGTAAGTTCTTGTTTTAGTGATCTTTTCATTGAATGAACTAACCCGGCTCAGTCCTTATAAATTCAGCTGTCATCGCGATGGTCATTCCTTGAATAAATCCGTCGAGATTTCCAGAAAGCTAAATGTTGGATTCGAAAGAATTCATTAAAACCTTTTTCATTAAAACCTGAAAAGGAGGAGCTGTTCCATCAAATGATCCAGCGATTCTAAAAATATTGTTTTTGAAATGTTCTTTCTTTTACTGAATATCCATGTTCTCGAGTCCAAAGACAATGTAACGAGGAGGTAAAAAGTTAACAACGGAAAACTAAAGAATAGAGATTGCGTAAAGTAGTGTAATGTCAAACTTGTGGCGGTCGATATTGAAGAACTCTAACATTTTGTAGATTCACAAAGCCAGTGATTCCTGATTGAGAAAATGGATATTGAGATGAGTAGCCCTGAAAGATCTTCAATGAAAGATTCAATGAAAGATCCTGAAAGATCTTCAATGATTCTGGTACACGTTTTAGCCATTTTCAAAACTCAAATCCTTACCCGTATATTTGCGATCTGTTCATTGAATAGTTTGACTGCGACAGTCTTCAAATGATTGATTCCCTTTTTGGTAAGTCGTATCCGAACCCCCGGGTTCCCTGAAATTTCTTCTTCTTAAATGTAAATTTTCACAATTCACTTCAAATCTAAAATAGCATTTCCCAGTCACCAACTCGTTTTCCACACATATCTCTTGTCGAGATTGAGCGAAGAGATCCATCTTCCCTTTTGTGGATCCACTTCAGGACCGGAACATTCATCCCTTCTATTTCTTTTCTATTTCTTTGCTTACTTCCTTTCCATGGATTTCAATTTCCCTAACAAAACCAGCAAAGAGATCAGGGAGATCTTCCTCTTCTTTTGCTTTCTTTCAACAAAGTGTTGATGGTTTCTCCCTCACTTTCCCTTTCTCCTTGCCGACCCTCAAAATTTAGCTTTTCTTTTCACTGATCTCTCGGTCATGGATGGCTTTGAGAAGAAAGTGATATGTGATATAAAGAAAATGAAGTGATTTTTGAGCGTCTCTTTTATTCGATAGTTTTCGTTCTAACATACCACCTCTATCTGGCAGCAGACCAAAATAATCTGGTACGAGCAGATCTCTACTCTAGAAATCATATTGCAAATTAAAGTTGCATTATTGGTACGAGCAGATTTTTCAAAATTTGAAAAAAAAGAGCTAACAACTCTTTTGGGCGGCACAAAGTGTGTGTTGGGTGATGTTTTAGTGAGAACTTGTTTGATTTCCCCTTTTCCTTTTTGGATCTCTTCGACACAACTGGTCTGATTTTCGCCCAACAACACCCATTTTTTGCACGCACTGACCAGGCTTTTTGGATTCGAGGATGGTTTTTTGAAAAAGCGAACTTTAAAGAATATGGAGGTGAAGGGAGATTAGGAAAAAAAACTAGAAGTACCTAATCCTTATAGCATTTTACGGCCAACAAAGCATTCAATTTGAGATCCTTGAGATGATCAAGCTCTATAGATTTCAAACATAAAGTAAAGGTCGTTTAAATCACAATAAACTTTAGTTTATTGATTCTCCAGTCGGAATAAGAGTTTGACAAATGTAGGAATACTTAGGTACTGAAGCAAAGCAATCCGGTGAGGTTTACTTTAGGTATAAGTCTGGTCTATTTGTCGATTTTAGACTTTAGATAGTTTCAACTAAATCCCTCACCTGGTATTCGATTCCATTTGTTTGAGTACGCAAAAATTTGCCTTGACTCAACATGATGCACAACAAAAGAAAAACCAATGAAGACGAACAGAATGAATAAATTCCAGCTTACTCTATGTCTGGAATCAGAAAATAGCATAATCTCAATGAATCGAATGATCAACAGTACACTTGAAGTATTCTCATTCGACGGGGATTTAGAACGTTTATCCCAGAAAACTTGGGAAAATGACTAAAATTGAGGGGTGGAGCTGGGAAAAAGAATAGAAAAAGAATAGAAAAAAGAAAAAGGGAAATCCTCTTTTTGGTAGCCTTCACAGGGAAGCTAAAAGAAGAGGCAAACTGGTGCAAGTAAAAGTGCGAAAGATTGGGGAAAAGGAGGGAAAGAAAGGGGAAAGTATCTATGGCAGATCTACCACTTGCTCTTGAACCTCTACGTCAGAAATTGGGGAAAACCGATATAGGAGATTAATCGCAATAAGCTGCACAATAGATAGTCTCATTTTTGACAGGGCTGATACTTTCTCTTGGTGAATGTTCAAGGACAAACTTGTACATGAGTGCCTTTTTACAGCGCTACAATAGAACAACACAACGGTTTTGTTTTTTTTATGTTTATTCGATCATTCATTTCTTCGAAAATCTTTCCTCGAAACGTTTTTGTCTTTCTTCTAAAATCTTCTTGAAATTCTTCTGCTGCATACACTTTTTGCACAACGGTTGCATATCTTCTTCAAGTACTTTATCTCTAAAATTGTTTTGGATTGATTTTTCTAGGATCACAAACGTGAGATTAAGGCAACGATTGCAGCCACGACACACATAACAACCATGACACCAACCCTGTGAAAGCAACTGATGTGAAAGCAACTGAAGCAACTTGCTGTATTACCTTTTCAAAAATTCGAATCGATTCCCCAGTTAAACCTTTTGAGCATCGGAAGCATTTCTCTCCGAAATTCTAAAAGATTTCTTTGGATTTAAGGATGTTACCTTCACGAGGATGTTACCTCAATATAGTGTTCCTCACAATAAGGTCTTTCATTCTTCACAAAGTACGGTTTCCCATAAAAGGCCACGTTGCATTTAACGCAACGGAAATGCTGAAATGGATTCAGGCTCAAGTATTCCAGAATAATTATTTTTAAATCAAGAATTGATGTGTACAATGTTTAACTCTCTCACCTCCACATGAAAGTGTCTGCCCATTGCCATTACTGATCTTTCATTTTGCGGATCGATCGCTCGTTTACAATCAAAACAAATCTAAACTTTTTGTGTATCTCATTGTTAACCTTTCGAAAACGCTACCTCGCACTTCAAATCGTAGCATCTTGGACAAAAGAGTTGGTTTTTGTCTTGACGAGCAGCAGGGGTAAGGGTTCGCCTAGAGATTTCTTCCAGAATAATCAAGAATTGATGCGCTCGATGATTTGAAACAATTTAACTACTCTATCTATTCTAATAGAAGCGCAGCCTTCTATAGGAGCAATGAAAAATAGAAGGCATGCGCTTCTATTAGAATAGATATAGTACTTGATTCTAGCCACTCTCACTTGCAACTGGTGCACTCAAAGTGATAGGAGTGAAAGAAATCATTGTTCACTTTCAGCAGCTCATCCTCATCAATCGATTGGCGACCTGAAACTTCTTTGTATGCGTTAAAAAGCTTTTGCTTTACAAATAACAACAGTTTAAACTTACATTTCACACAGATATAGTGGGCTTGTTTTCTCTTTAACTCCTTACAATCGTGACAAAGCTTTCTAAAGGTGAGTTTTATTGATATCATTTTAAATTTATTAATCTCCAGCTTGAATCTATAGCTTATAGTTAGTTATTGATAATCTTTATCTTTATCTTTATCTTTCTGACAATGAGTATAACTAGAGCTGACTGTGCATCAACGATCCACATTCCATCATCTAATGTTCCCTCACATTCGTCACATTTAAAACACTCCGCATGATATGAACCAGTAGCCGCTTTTATAACGTGACCCTCCAGAATGTAAGTAGCTGAATTTGGGAGAATGATAGCAAAAGCCTTTCAACCCACTGCATATTTTGCAAATCGGAGCATAGTTGATCTCAAAATCGTGTTGACAATAGTTTCTTCCCTCGAAATGGAAATAAGTTTTATCTTCAAGCTCTTCAAAACATTGAGCACATCTAGAAATTTGATCTTGTTAGACGTTTTTAAAATTTTATTTCACTTGAAACAACTTAAGTGCCATAAAGTGTTTTCGACTTTAAAATGTGGTTCTCCACTTCGGAACTCTTCATGGCATTGATGACATTCTCGACCGGATACTGTTGAGACTCGACTAAAGTTTTGGTTTTGAGTTTATAAACTTGTGAAATCAATCCATTTTGGCTCAACTTTTTGTCTTCGATCTCTTCTGTGTACCTTTACCTCAACGGTGAGTCAATTGACGTGGGAGATTGTGGAGAGCTCGGGAAAGAATCGAGATTTCTCGGGCGTATCAATGGCATTTACTGGTATTTTCCCCAATTAAAAGTTTATTAGAGTTCCGTATAAAAACGAGATGCACTCCAGGAATAGATGGACAGGAATGTACAAAGTTGAGGAAATTGACGCAATCAATAGAGAGCAGCGAGAAAATGGCAAGAGATAAGGTGCCAAGTCAAACAAAATTTGGGAAGGAAATTTCACGGAAATACATGTCATATTGTGATTGGAGAATGGGGAAATGGGGAATTACAGTTACAGTAATGCGATGGCTGTGGAAATACCCGTAGATTTCAATTCATTTACGGTATCTGTACTATTTCAAACGATTTCCGTGAATCCTCCATTGGGCACGCCATTCTCAAGGTCTTTTGTAGCTGGGGAGATCTGAAATGAAGATTGGGGTAATACTGTGGTTTCAGATTTTAAAGTTAGTTAACTTCAAAACGCACTATGTTACAGTATTGGGCCTAGTTATGCATAACTCTAACTGTTACCCACAGCGAAAGTACAGCTGTTTTAAAAACTATATCTGTTACTTCGTTCTTAAAACTCTAAAATCTTATGCCTAAAAGCTTGTTTCGTCCTTTTACTCCTCAAACTACAGTAACGTTTTCTCGCCGTACATACAAATTCACGAAGCTACACGCCACTCCGAGTGACACTGCGAGTGCCCGCTGGCTTTTAAAATTTCTCACTCTTTCTCATTCTTCGTTTGCAGCTTTCTTGTTAAAACTTTTACTAGATCATCCCAATTCTAACTGTTTTGAATCTTTAACATGCTTTAAAAAACTTAAGAACCTAAAAGAAGCCGTGATAAGAGCCTTTAGCTTGGGCAAGTTTCTAGTGGTTCTATGCAGAGCGATATTCCTGAATTTAAATTTTATGCCATGCCCACCTATAAAACATTTAATTTAGAAAATGAATTTAATGAAGAAAATGAATTTAATTTAGAAGGTTTTGGCTCTAGTTTTGACCTTGAAAAATGCCCCAATAGTCAATAGCTTGGGCTCCAAATAGTGAAGCACACTATAAAAGCGCGCACTTTGCCCCGAAACTCGGCTTAAAACGCATTTTCCCAAGCTCTTATTGTGTTTTTCGGAATCTACGCATAAAATTACCCTAGAAAAGGTGAAAATTTCGAAAATACAAGTCGGGTCCGCACACTCCACTAGTACCAACTTTTGTAAAATTAGAATAAACACTAACTTTCCCAAGCGTTGCGGACCTCGTAGCTTTCTTCTCAATTTGTTGCTCAAGCTTGCGCTTTTCTCCTTGAGCCAAACGTTGATGAGCTCTTTTCAACTAAACAGTCTTTAAACTTTGTTACTTTGGTCACTTTTAAAGTTGCTCTTTTGCAAAATTTCTATTATCAAATTTAGATATCGTCTCATCAATTGAAGGGACCTCGCGGTATCGAGTGACGTCAACTGAAGAGTTGCCAAAAGAGGTATAATGTTTTTTTAGTTTTGATTTTGTTTGCCGTTTTAATGTGATCAAAATTGAAACGTGAACGCATGTTTCTGAAATTGTAAACCCAATTGAGCCTTACCACATCGACAATAGTAATTCCAAATCCGAGCGTTCCAATCACCATCAAGACCACTCCAATTCCCCTCATGATTTTCGCAGTTGTACGTGTCATTTCTGACTCATCAAAGGAACTTCTAAATTGAGAAAGTCGGTAGTGAAATCTCTAACTTCTCTGACCTAAACTTGAAAGGCTGGTTAACTTTTGATTGACTTACGTAGCATCGTCGCTTATTAATGTCAGCACGATTCCTAATCCAAGTACAAACGAAAGAATCAATGCTGCGAAATTCATCACTCAGATAATATTTTTGCAATAATGTTGAACCGGAATTTGATTGAGCACTATCTAGAATGAATCAATCAAAGACAATTTAGAGGCTGTAAAAGGATGATTTCTTTTTTCGGGAATAGAATAGTCAGTCTTATCAGAGGATCCAAACCTTGTCTACTTTCGGTTTTATAGGTCATTTCCAGTCTTTATGGGTGAAGTGATTTGGTGTTATTCAATAACGAGCTTCTTGAAATATTTGAAGAATGGAAATGGGAAACCAGATAAAACAAAATGACAAATTGGGTACTTTTAAATAAAATCTTATAACCGTTTAAACCGATTGTCTTGAAGTTAACCTAAAATCGATGTCTAAGTTCATAATGAATGATAATTTTCGATCAATTTTAAATTTGGTTAATATTTTATTGTTTAGATATGGGCAAGAAACGAGTTGATAACGCTTTGGAGGTCGTGTGCCGAATCGTGCCCTACAATGGATCGGACCCTTGTCTGACGGTTGAAGATGAAACAACGCTTGTTGCAATTGCACCGGAAACGACAAAGAAACAAGGAGTTAGACCAGTAAGTTTTTGATTTTATGTTTCTATTAAGCACAAGCTTCAAATAAATCGTTTCTCTTTAGGAAAGCCGAACCTTCAAATTTTCACACGTCTTCGATGAAACAGATGACCAACGCAAGATTTTCGACCGATCAGCCATGGACCTCATGGAGAACATATTACAAGGAAAGAATTCTCTTCTCTTCACGTACGGAGTCACTGGCGGTGGAAAGACTTACACAATGACGGGCAATACAAAAGCGGTTGGCATTCTACCGCGATGTTTGGACGTGCTCTTTAATAGCATCAAGAACAAGTAAAATACAAAGTTTTACTCAATTATTGTCGTTTTAGTGCTGAGAAGTTCATTTTCCAAACAAATGGGCGCAATGGTTACGTGATCGCCAATCAAATGGAAGCAACATTGGCACGAAAAGCGGCTGAAAGAGGAAAAATCGACTACAGTACAGAAATCAGCAATGGTCGACAAGTAGATGGACGACAAGTAGGTTGCATCAGGTTTTAGATATTGTCAAATTAAAATTTTACTAATAGCCTGATTTAGGTTTCTGGATTCTCGGACGACTATACTGGCGCTGTTTTTGTCTCTTATGTAGAGGTCTACAACAATTACGTCTACGATCTGTTGGACGATTCTATTGGGTAACTTGGGAAAGATTCATTGGTTTTAATGTAAAAGGTTTCAGGACTCCAATTGCTCGTGATACTCGTGTCGACATCGCAAATTCTGTTTATGTGGATGGCGTATCGGAATTTGAGGTTGAGACAGCAGACGAAGCTTTGGAACTACTGGCTCGAGGTGGGGCAAAAAAAGTTTTCCACTAAATTTCAAATTTTTTAGGAGATCAACGGCGCAGAATATCGGACACTCTTTTGAACAAGTCTTCTTCTCGCTCGCATTCGGTCTTTACAATTCGTCTAGTACAAGCTCCTTTCGAGTAAGTTGGACGTGCTATGTCGTTACTAATGTTTCTTTCAGATCTGATTTGGCCGATTACCCCACTACGGACCAAAGGCAACTTGTCGTTTCGCAGCTATCACTTGTCGATCTCGCTGGAAGTGAACGCGCCAAACGAACGCGAAACACTGGTGCAAAACTGGCGGAAGCTGGGCAAATAAACAACTCGCTTTTAACGTTAAGGCAATGCTTTGAGAAACTGAGGTACGCTTTTTGCGATTTATTTGATTAAGACATGTGGGTTTGTCAAAAGCAAATAGGTTTTTAGGTATAATCAACGCCGAAGAGGAAAGGAGAATTTGCAAGTTGTGCCATATCGAAACTCAAAGCTGACGACTCTCTTCAAAAATTTCTTTGAAGGAACTGGAAAAGTGCGAATGATTCTCTGCATGAATCCACGGCCAGATGATTATCAGGTTGTCTTTAAAGTTGCGCTTTATTTTTAATTTTCGTTTAGGAAAACCTCAGTGTTCTCGAGTTTGGAGAAGAGAGTCGGGCAATTTGCACCAGAGTTGGAGAGAATGTGATTGCGAATTTGGCTTCGACGCGCCCACCTGTTCCCAAGCGATTCTTTTTACGATGGAATCAAGAGGTATGACTATTTTTATAAATGATTTTAACTTTATTATTCAGGCTGATAGAAACGACAACTCATCGCAAATGTCAATCTTCCCGTCCGGTGAACAAATGCCACCGGAAGCAGGAGACAATGAAGAAATGAGCGCGCACTTCTCGAGGCTTCGTAATTGGGCCGAACAACGCCAAAATCTTCAAGCGTCCCTTTTGCAGAACATGAAAGAATCGGGTAAGAAAAACTTTATTAATTGAAAAAAATTGCTTTCTTTTAGCGGTCCTTTTTGAACCAAAGCTTCGAGCCGCTCTATGCCTCCTGGACTACCGTAACTACGAATTAGAAGAACTGAAAATACAAAAGCTGGAAGATGAGTCGGCCTTGGCACGAGTTCAGGCTCAACTGAAGCAAGCAAATGTATGTTCCTTTCGCGATCTATCTAAATAAAAACTTTAGAGAGAATTGCTTTCACTTCGCGGTCGACTGAAGATTTACGAAGAAGAAGACGCACGAGCCATCACCGCCGAAGAGCAACAACGACTAAAAAATAAATCGGAGCATGAGAAATTGAAAGAAACGCAAAGGGCACTAAGGAAAGTGAGTACATTTAGTTTTGCTAAAATATTTTGTGAGTTTAGATCAATGAAGTTTGCGAAAGTACGACTCGTTCTCCATCAGTGGCACAATTGAAGAGCACGTTCAATCAAATGGCAACAAGTACAAAGCAAATAGCTTCTCCCGTGCGAAGGGCCCGAGATGAAACGGAAAAGGGAGGCGCCGGTTTTTACGATCCTCGTTATCAACGCAGGTAAATTTCATGAAAATTATAGATTTACTTTCCTAAGTTTTATCCTGATTTTACGAAATATTTAGGTCAAAGTCTGCTCCTCGTATGTTGGTCCATCAACCCCTCAATCGAATCCCAACCGGAAACATCCTGAGAGCCAAAGTGCCGCCAAATGCCATGACTACAACTGCCCCACAGACGAACGCGTTGAAGAAAAGCACGGATTATGTGCTCACTCATCAAATGGTCGACAAAGTAGGGAACATCTCGACTAGCATCGTTAAGGTGAGTGGTTTTTGTCACATGAAACTAGTAGCCAATTGTTCCGGAACAGTCGTTTTCAGTGATTAGGTATGACAGCTTTTTAAAAGGCACTGATTTAACTCTTTAGGGCCACGTTATTCCAACGGCTGGCGGTGGCTCGGCTGTTTGCTTTGAGAACGTCGAAAAACTGACCCACGAGAAGTTGACAAATCGAGCTAATGGAAATTGAGCTCTACCGGTTGCCGTATTCTCTTTTATTCTTGTCAATTATAATTGTTTGTGCTTTCATGGCTGATTACACTTTAACATTTGTTGTGCTTTATTTGTTCTTTGTGAATTAAATACCCTATGTTTACCTCACTATTATTTTTGTTCTTCATTTGCTCATAATGCAGTTTCCATTCTCAAAATCCCTATTGAGATTATTGGTGCTCAAATAAGTTGTACTCTTTCTGTAATTTATCATTCTTTTTCGAATATCACATGATCCGTTTCTAATAAATGTTTAGCTCAAGAAAACGTAAAATTACAAATAAAAATGGCGCCTAGGGTATTGCAAGAGACGAAGCAAAAAATTGACTTAAGCTTTCGCTTACTTTCACACACTTTGTCGGAACTATTTTGCCATTGGGGATATTTTCGACATTTTGGGGATATCCGCTTCAACTGGTCGTCATTTGAATTGGTGTGTAGTCTGGGAAATTTGCGAGGCAAACTCATTCGTATTCGAGTCGATAAGTCGAGGCAATTTCTAGTCGGCAACAAAACTTATTTAAATCTGCCAAATTCACTTTAATATTGATTGATCTCTTGTGCTCTGCCATGGCTAGCTAGATGCGGTTTGCGGTGAGCTTCTGGATTTGAATACACACAAGTTGCTTTATCGGCACTCTAAAAACTTATTTTCCTCAGTAATAAAATAATTTCAGTTGGCGCCATATGCGCCGCACGGATTCTTCCGATTCTTTCGCTTTCTAACGATTTTAACGGGATGCTTGATTCTTTTTGTGATCGTGAAATGGAGGAACAGCCCAGACATCAGCTCGGTGCCCAGATTTCCGCCACAAAGGTTAGTGCAAACACAAAAATTATTCCTTAACTTGGTAAAGGTAGAGGATAAAGAAACTGGTTTTAAAGGCAAATTTCGTATTTGCGCAATCGCATCACAGATATGGGTAGCTAAATTGAAATTGAAACGGAATTTTCAAAGAAAATCTACGGAAAATACAAAATAAAAAGCAATTTAGAATCCCAGAATATGTCTGCCCGTGCAATCTCACATCAAATCGTCCCATCCGTGAGCCAATCTTTCTTCCAAATGAGATTCACACCGAATCTCGGGCACTCATCCTTGTCGAAAGCATTTATTCAAGACATACAAAGATGATCGCCCAAATCTTCAATGCCACAAAGTTGGAGAATGCTTTGATTTTCTATAATCTTATCTTTCAGATATCCTCACCAATTGGAGACTTTCTCGAAGAGTTTACCGGATTTGATTACGGGTGAACGAGGCCGATTCTCTGTGATAATTGTCGAGAATTACTACAAGTATCTAAATATGCAAAGGTGGGGAAATGAGTGAACAAAGCTTTCTAGGATGTGTCCATGCTTACTTTAGATTTCAAGTTTATCTCATATTTCATTTTCAGTTGGAATCGTCAACTCATTGATAATTACTCGAAAAGGTACAATGTGACAATCATTGGCTTTATGACGAGCAAGATTAATGAAGTCTATCAACATGCTCGAATGAAGGGATCGAACTTGGTGATGTGGCAAAATCAAAAGGTTAGTAAGATTTGATAAAAAGATAGTCTTTACAGGCGGCAATTGCTTCTATTAAATGAAACACTTTAGGCTTTCAATTTGAGCTTCTCCCAGGAGTCTCTTGTTCCATACATTGCCCGTCCTGAGGTTTCAATACAAAGTCTGATCCCAGACTATGAGGATTGGGTTCTTTTTGAGGTAAACTTACAAAAGCTGCGAAAACCGTTGTGCGTTTGATTACTAAGATATAGCAAAAATATTCTAGCCACAAAAGAATTTCGAAACGGTTCTTGCTTGTGAAGATGCCAAAGAAAGGCCAAGGGCGGCGATAATACGGGATCTCGGTATGATTCTCAACACTGTAAACTAACTGACTGCAAATTTTAGGAGCAGAAGATGGCGTGAAAAGAATCCTGATCGGGCACAATGTCTCCTTGTGGATCGTTCGACTTGGGCTCTTGGACTCGCTTAGATTCGCCACACAGGGAAGGTAAAGAGCTGAACTTGATGTTGAATGAAATGAGAAAGTTATAGATTTGGTTTCTCACTTGATCGCTGGATACAAATTGATATCGACGATATTTTTGTGGGAGCAAGAGGAACGAGAATGATTGAGGCCGATGTGGATGCTTTGGTGGAAGCACAGGATAGGCTGAGGAAAGAGGTAGATAGAAAATTATGTTTAAACAAGAGATGGGTTGTAATTTTAAATGAAAACCCATAGTTTTCCAAACATCGTCCATTTCAGATTTCTAACTTCACTTTTATGCTCGGCTTTTCTGGGAGCTATTTTCGGAATGGAGATGATAATGAAGATCGAGCTGATGAGAAATTGATTGGTATTCACAATCAGAAATTCAAACCTGCTTTATCGTTGTCTGTTTAGAAATGGCCTCTAAATTTTACTGGTTCTGTCACATGTTTCGTCACAATCACCCGTTGGAGCATAATTTCACATACCTAGAAGCGATTATGTACCAAAATAAGATGTTTGCTGAGGTAAGGAACCAGTAAATTTATAATTCAAATGAAACTTTTCAGACAATGAAGATACCAGTGCCGTTCAAATACTCGATCTCACCCCAACATGCCGGTGTTTTCCCTGTTTATCAAGAACTTTATGATGCTTGGAGAAATGTGAGTCTTGTGATGATTAGCCATATTAGACGACTTTTAGGTCTGGGATGTGAAAGTGACAGCTACTGAAGAATATCCACATCTACGACCAGCTTCCGATAGACGAGGTTTCATCTACAAGGGAATTCAGGTAGGCCAAGCTAGCCAGGTAGACGACTAGAGATTAGAGTGTGTTCTTTGTGATTAAATAATTAATTGAAGAAATTTGCATTAACAAATTCTTATTCGATTAATGCATCGATTAAACAAATTGGTGAATATGCTAATTAAATGGGCTGAATGTCTTTTAGAAAGCGCATTGATCACGAGGAACACTAGTCGAGATCGAATCGATTCTAGGTACTCCCTCGTCAAACCTGCGGTCTCTACACGCACACTCAATTCTTCCATACTTACCCCGATGGAATCTCCCGTCTTCTCAATAATGTTTTTGGTGGAGATCTCTTTTCTTCTGTGTTATTGAATCCGGTTTGAAAGGTTTCAATGGCTAGTACAATTTTGACATTCAGATCTCAATTTTTATGACTCATCAGCAAAATTTTGCTCACGATCGGCTCGCGATTTGGGTCTTTGAGAATTTGATCCGATTTCTAAAGTGAGTGGAAAGATTTGGTATTTAAAACCTCAAAATTAGATGTCATACTCGTCTTGAACTTCGCTGGACGGATCCGATCTCCTCTGCGGATCGATATTTTAAAATGTTTCCCCAAGAGAAGACTCCTATTTGGAGTGTGGGTCATTTATACCCAGCTAAATAGGATACCGTAATAATTCTAATAGAAGACCATGGTCTTCTAATTTTCAACCCCCAAAATTGGTGAGTCAAAAAAGTAGGTAAAGGTCCCCATGAATCAAAAAATTAAAAATAGTTAAAAACTATTTCAAACGATAGCCCTTGCCCCAAAACATGCCAAAAACATGTCTAAAAGTGAAATTATTTTCTTGCCCGGACTCCATAGAAAATCTTTCAAAAAAATCCATGTAGGGGACCACATGAAAATTTTTCCAAAAGTTATTTTTTTTTTCAAAAACTCGTCCCAATTTTACTGCCGAGGCTAAAATATTACTATCTGGCCCAAATCTTTCTTCTACTTGAACGTTTTAAAAGTCCCGATTTCAGGGGTCAAGGGGTGGTCTTCTATTGGAGACTGGTCTTATTGGACTGGTCTTCTATTAGTTTTGGTATATATAAATCAAGGAATCTTTTTAGAATCCTTGTATTGATGCCAGACACAGAACCATTCTTCCGCCTGCTTTCAATTGCTCAAATTTCACTTTACCGAATGTTCTCATTGTTGGACCACAGAAAACGGGTGAATTGAAATGAGAGAACCTAGATTAACCCTGATTGTAAACTGTGAAACTACTTAGATCATTTAAAAGTTAAATATACCTTGAGGATGTTTAGGTACTACAGCACTTGGTCAATTTCTTTCACTTCATCCAAACGCCTCGACAAATCTCCCGGTGAATGACTCTTTTGAAGAGTTACAGTTTTTCGGTGGAAAGCACTATGAAAATGGACTCGAATGGTGAGTTACAATCAAATAAGCTTTTCTTTCTTGTTTCTTTTATGAACTTCCTTCTTTTTCAGGTACATCGACAAATTCTCCCCTTCTTCGACAGTCTTTGAGAAAAGTGCAACTTATTTTGACAATACTGAGGCTCCAATTCAGGCAAGAAAGACCAGAAATACCCTAGATTTTATAGGATCTAGGTTTTTACTTTGATTCCGAATGCGAAGATCGTCGTTGTGCTATATGATCCCGCACTCCGCGCCTACTCTTGGTTTCAGGTGAGTTGATTTCGAAAGCATGAAAGTTGTAAATACAACAATAACATTGAGCATATCAAATAATGTATATGTATATGCTTATGGATTTATTTTAGCATATCAAAGCTCATAACGACTCGGTGGCCTTGTCGGTGTCCACAATGGATGAGGTCTTAGAAGCTGATGATGGACCATTGAAGAAGTTGAGGAGTCGATGTATTTCTGGTGGAAGGTAAGTGTATTTAACAATGTCAAGTGGGCATTGTATCGTATTGTAGCTGTTACTAGTTCACTTTGATTTGTACCACTGTTTAATGTTACGAGCAGTTCAAATTTTCTGTTGCAGATACGTCTATCATCTTGATCGTTGGCTTGAGTATTTTCCGTCTTCACAAATGGTATTTGTTGATGGGGAAATGTTCAAGGAAAGACCACCAATTGTGATGAATAAAGTAGAATGCCAAGCAAACGAAGGTTAAAGGAATTTTATAGCTGATTGCTGATTTGGAGCTACCGAGTTTCGACTATCACAATGTCTTGCGGTTTAGCCCAAGCAAGGGTTTTTGGTGTTCGGTGAGACTTAGAAAATGTTTTCTCTGTATAAAGCTGCTATTTTTCAAACAACTAACGCGTAATAGAGGTCTTAATATCACTAGTGATATCAGTTAATATCAGTTAATATCAGTATAATCATAAACCACACATCATCAGCAGAACTCAAACCAAAGTATGCTTCAGCTCACTAAAGGAAAAATGAATTGTCTTGGAAAAGGCAAGGGACGACACTATGAGCCGATGAGTGAAACATTGAGAACGAAACTCAACAAGTAACTACAATAATAGTTTAGAAAGCCAAAAGAAACCAAAATTTCAGAATTTTCCAACCTGACAATGCGGCATTGCAGAAAATCCTGCAAAAACTGCATCTCCCCATGCCTAAATGGCTCCGATCTTCGCTCTATAACACAAAATAATAAATCATTTACCATTATTTTTTTTCAAACTTTCAAATTTTATTGCTGTTACTGCGTCAACTTGCCATTACTTTATTTTTTGAAACGGGTCATTTTAATTTCCAACTATCTTACAGTATGCTCAGACGGTAAATTCTAAAAGGTGCTATTTTGATTTTTGTCCAAAATAAATTTTTGCTTCATCTTGCTGCAACTTTTCAATCGTTTCGAGGCTCGGTAATATTTTTTCTTTGTTTGCAGTTTTATTTAAGTGGTTTTCTTTAATCAAAGTGCCGTTTATATAACTTTTGTTATTTTCGGGCGGCTGCTCTCTTCAGAATGAAGTTTTACTGTGATTACTGTGACACGTTTCTGACCCACGACTCGCCGTCGGTTCGAAAAACCCACAACCAAGGCCGAAAGCACAAGGAGAACGTGCGAGAGTTCTATCAGGTATTGCTTTTAGTGCTTATTTTTGTGAAAAACGTTTACTGGAAAGGCTAAGGATGAATCTAAAAAGTGAAAGAGGTACTTATGTCCATGTAGGGTATTTAATTTGGGAGTTGAAACATCGTTAATTTTGTTTCTTTAGAAATGGATGGAAGCTGAAGCACAGAAGCTTGTTGATGCCACCGCTAAGGCTTTTGCCGCCCAGAGACCTGGTGGCCCACTTGGATTACCTGTAAGTTTTGTGAACTTGTTTGCATTTTTACATTGCATAAGTTATGCATTTGCAAACTGGCCCTTTCATTTCCCGTATTCTATGATTCGTTTTAGACGATGCGAGCTGCCCCATTCATGCCGATGGCTCCAATGAATCCTATGGCAGCATATCATGCACCATTTCCTACTGCTCCTGGGGTGGGTTTTGTTTACAATTAGCTAACCTGCTCAAAAAAAATACAGCCATGAAGACAATGGTTGTATCTTTATTTACACTTACTTTTAGTCATTTAAGTTCTATCATAAAACCTAGGCTATGAAATGAAGCTACTATCTTTTTTAGATGAACCCATATGCGATGATGCGAGGTGGAATGATGGGTGGCCCACCACGTGGCGGAGGTCCAATGATGCATTAAACAATCACTTTTTCACTGTAAAGACTTATTCATCTCTACTTTCTATTTATTTTTATCTACCTTATTTATTATCCTATTCTTTGTGTTGTTTTATATTCTTCAAGTAAAATAAATCGTTTATCGGATACAAGCTTGCTGTGGTGGTTTGTTCCAACCTATAAATTTATTTTTGTTTACAGGTGGATATTCTGTTAATTACGTAAGTAACTTTGATAGGAATTTTAGTGATTTTAGACAGACAGCCATGGATGACACAATTGAGAGGAGGCTGATACGAAAATTGATCGGTGACACGTTTCGGATGAACGCACTCATGTTGAAGAAGTATGATTTTAAGCATGTTATTTTATCGAAAAGGAGGTCGCTGGAAATTTACCGTTTTGAAGAGAAGTGGTTTCTTACTCATTTTTAATAGTATTTTAAAGGCTTGTTCATTTTAGGGATGCTCAAGAATTCTGCATCGACACACTCGAGAGAGTTGAGGAAGATAAACGACGCAAATGGATGGAGCGCATCATCGAGACGATACGGAAACAGAATTGTATCTTTTTCAAAGTATTTTTCACTCAAAGAATTCTTTTATTTTAGTAACATCTGATTGTGTAACGCTGGACGACTTCCAGAATATAATCAAACAAGTTGTCACTTCAAAATCGGAAAAGTTTGTATTATTTGTTTTATTACTGACAAAACTTTTCAGAGCAACCGCTTTGATCAAGATCTTTGATGCCTTTACACTGCCGTATATGGAATTTTGTACAGAGAAAAAGCATATGGTGAGTAGCATATGAGTTTTAAACGAGACTGGCTCAATTTTCTTTAACTATTGAATTTAGTTAGTGAAGGAAAGGAAAACTGGTGGAGGAGTCGAGAGAATGACAGCCGTTTTCCGGCAACGATTTCTTCAAATTCAACAGGTATTAAAAATTTGAAGATTCATTGAATTTGAAATTTTAGCGGATATCCCGACTAAATGTTTTTGATGGGATCAAATTTACAACTGTCGAGGGATTACTGGCTGTTTCTCACCGCATTGATGAAGCCGTTGTTTTGGGAATGCTCACGCAACAAAAAGTTGGTTATATCAATTGTAGTAGTAAATTATCTGAGTTTTGCTATTGGGGTGGTTAGATAACTTTGACAAAATTATATTTAGGCGAATACATGGCACATTGAGGACTTAACAGGATCTGTACAAGTCGAATTCACGCCCGATACCAAATTTCATGCCGGTATTTTCTGCGAGGGCGCTGCAATGATTTTTGAGGTACTCACATCATTTTCTGTTATCTGCGCTTTAAAAGTTATGAATTAGAACAGGTGTTTACATCTTTGTTTCCCTTTATCCGTTAGTTGTGACGGGATCAAAGAGATTCACCTGTTTATGCAGTCAAATTTTTTTACTGGCTACATGCTCTATTAGAAATCCGTTTCGTATGCTTTGAAAATTAGCAGTGAAAATATATAAATGACTTAGGTTGTACATACAAATGTGAAGTGGAGAAGTTTTAGGAAATAAAGAATTGATAGTTGCTATAAAGTTGAAACTTTGATGGTATGAACATTTCAGGTTTCGGGAACAACATGATTTCAGGGTTTCTATCAAGCATTGCTGTTCACAGTGACTGGGGTAGGAATGGTGCCACCAGAAAGTGCAGAGCAAACGAGAAAAGCTTGTGGAAACACGAATTGGTTCGGTGGAGAAGAGAAGTTATGTTTCAGGTAATGCTTGGTAGAAACCCTTGATAATAGTTTGATTCAAACTATCATCAATGATTATTGTTTAGGGCAAATCCTAAGTTGATCAAACTTGGCAGTTTGCACCAAGATGCGTCTATTGTTGTGTTGAGTGATGTACACCTTGACGATCCTTTGGTAGGTTTAGCAAAATTTAATGCAAAAATCGGCAGTTTTTTTAGGTGTTGGCTTGTTTGCGACATCTTTTTACGGGATTTATTTCGGCTCCACCGGCAGCTTTTGTCTTTTGTGGAAATTTTTGTTCCCGATCTCGTCAACCAGACACTATGCAACTACTTGATAAAGGATTTAGGCACGTTTTTTCTATGAAGCTTGTATATTTAAAAGCAGATTTTGCATATATAATTTAAAGTTTTCTAGGCGATTATCGGACGCGATCAATGAGTATGCAACTTACTACGCAAATTCTCATTTCATTTTTGTGCCTGGCCCCGATGATCCTTCATCTCAATATGTACTTCCTCGTCCTCATTTGCCTGTTTCTCTATTTCGTTATATGCAAAAAGTTGGTCCAAGGTTTATCATATCAAAATCTGTTTTTAGGTTCCAAACTGCTCATTCGGTTCCAATCCTGTACGGATTCAATTTGCTTCATCGGAAATAATCGTTTTTCGAGAAGATGTCATCGAAAAAATGTGCCGACATGCGATTCGAGTGCCGAGTGATTCAAAGGTTTATTTTAAAGATTGTCAGATCGTAAGAAGATTTTCGTTTTTTACGTAAAGATTTTCATTTAGGAAGTTTGGTCGGCTGCCGTGCACACAATATTGAGCCAAGCTCATCTCTCGCCGTTGCCTATGCATATTGCACCGGTACTATGGAATTACGATGATGCCTTAAGGTGAAAAAAACTCAAATTTTAATTTTAATTAGTTTTTAGATTACAACCACTTCCAGACAATCTCATCATAGCCGACAAATTTGAATCATTCAGGTTATTTACTTTTGTAAAATGAATCTTTTTTGTTTAGCAAAACTGTCAAAGATTGCAAAGTGGTCAACCCGGGATCGTTTTATCGCACACCACATGAATTTATGGTTTGTGATTAAAAAATCGGATAATACAAAAATCACTTTGAACTCTAAATGCAATTCTTTTATTTAGGTCGTTTATCCCCTCAAAGATTTGGTCGAACCATCTCACCTTGGAAAGGTTCGAACCGAAGATAACAGTTTGTAAAATTTTCGTGATTTTTTTTTTCTTGTGATTTGACATAGGAAAAATTGTTGATTCTCAATTTTATACGTGTTTTTGTTGATCTTGCTCATTTTATTGATCTTTTGAATGTTGGGTAAATTTCATTTGTGCGATCTCTGGATTTTACTTATTTTAGAAGTACAATAATTCATTCTACAGGGTGTTCAAAAAAAGCCAGTTCCCCTTAATTTTCCAAGAAATTTCTGGTGGCTCCTGATGGTCGTTGTGGTACAAAATTAATTTTTTGGATTTTTTTTTTTTTTTTTTTTTTTTTTTTTCTTTTTCTTTTCCTTTTTAATAAATTTTTCCAACCCCCCGTCCCCCTCATAGATTTTCGCCATAAAATTAAAACTTTGTACCGGCATCGTGGTGCATAATACACCATTAGGATAAATACAAACTTTAACCATACATTTCATCGATTAATGTTTCATTGGAAAAACGGGACACTTCTTTAATTTGAAAATCTCTTAAGTACGACAGATTATCATATATGGTAGACGAATAAAGTGTTGGGCTAAAAATCTTATACTAACTCTAATATGACACCACAGTGCCGGTACAAGGTTTTGATTGTACGGCAAAAGTCTCATGGTGGCTCAGAAATTTCATGCAAGGGAGTCATGAGAGAAAAAATATCAAAAATTTTCCAGCCCAAAATATCCACTTTGGCACCACAACGACCATCAGGAGCCACCAGAAATTTTTTGGAAAATTAAGGGGAACTGGCTTTTTTTGAATACCCTGTGTTTTTCATATGGTCTAAATTTGAGAGGGATGACGTTTCTTTTGAGAATAACATAAATTGTCGAGACAGATTTTGAGAAATAGACAATTGACTTATTCGTCATTTGAAATTCGGCAAAAGAGCCCATCAATCAAACGTCACATTGTTGGCATCGTGGATAGAATTGTGACATTATCTTGGAAAGAATATTCTAATATGAGTACACTAATATGCGAGATTAGGCTCGGTTAGCAAAAGCTACCGTAACTTTTTAAATGACTTACTAGGGAAAGGGGTTGATGGAATTGATGCGCTTTCGATTCAGGACCAAATGCATCTTACTAAATTGGCTACGAAGATTCCGAATCCGAAATAAAAATTCGCCAATTTGTACTTTTCCTTAGTTAGCAGTCTTACTAATTGAGTTAATGTCTGCATCTGCTGAAACACATTGGATGAACTGTACCTTGTACTCCCTGGGAATTCTCTCAACTCCAACTACATAATTTTTTTTCTGCTTGCTATAAAAATGTAATATCTAACATCATAATTAGTAAACATTTTTGAAAAGTTTTCTGAAAAATCCCTTGCCCCATTTATCTCAATTCAGCTGTCATTCACAAATACGGTAATTTATGCCGAATGAACCTGAGAAAAGTCGAGAAATGAAAGTGAGAGAAGAAGGAGTACTATATACAGTATACACAAGAGAGGGGGCTGAAATGTGTGACGAAAATATGAAAAGAAAAAAAGAGGTGGAGTCGGAAAGAAGTCTATTTCAGGGGAATCACCTGGTGGCATTTCTCCCGCTGAAGACAGGTGAAATGCGAGCTTATTGGGGCCACATCTTGACGTGTCAATCTCCTTCATCCCGCACAACCCTCACGCTGTTTTGTTTTCGATTTGACTACTTCTGTTTCATAAGAAGTAATTTGATTTCTTCGTGTACATGATATGCTTTTGAATTAAATAAATTAAGCGCTTTTGTCTTTCTGAATATGGTTCTTTAGCTAGATTTTGAGTCAAGACACAGTTGCATTCAAATTACTCGTTTTTTTTTTGTTTAGAAAGTAGTGACAAGTCTAGAAACGATTGCAACTGCAAAGACAACCTGTTGTACAGATCATAACCTGTTGTACAGATAACTGTTGTACAGATAACATAATCTGTTGTACAGATAACTGTTATCGACATTCTACATTGTAGTCATTTTCGGTAACCATATCTGGCTTTAACCATACTATTTTCATCTTTGTAGGCAGATTCGGACCAAAATTTGCCTAAAAAAGCTATTTAAAACAATTTAAATTTTTCAGGATGTCGGCTTACTTGTTACTAAGCTATTTTCGTATTACTTATTATCATTTTCCTAGAAATTATCTACTTTTAAGAAACATAAACTTTTGCTGTTCTTTGTCTTGAACTCGTAATACATATCCTCACTTATCCTCTTGGATCAAAAGGGATCAACTCTTGTATGAGGAAGAACAGAAAACAAATGAGACTGCCTTTTAGACTTTGTACACGACCTCTAGATGCACGTAAGAGTTTGCCTTTTCAAATGATTCTTGGCTATTGTCTAGGTACTCAACCTTATCCAACTTCAGTTAATTTTAAGAGAAGCGTTAAGATTTATAACGAATAATTTTGCCAAGCGCTTTCAGATAAACACTCCTTTTTTTCTTCGCAGACAGAAAACCTCAGACTTCTAGACTAGACTTTTCATTCTTTGTCCATCAAATATATACTATTAACTTCTTTTTTATTTTCTTCAATCTACTTACTCTTAGCTCATCCACATTATTGCTTTCCGTTTGTTTTTGTCATCAAAACACAGGTCACAACACAGGGCAAATCTGCAAACTTCTACTTGAATACCTTTAAATTTTGAAATTTATTTCAATTTTCAGGTAAACTTGCGCTTGGCGCTTCCGAAAGAAAGTAGAAAAAATGATCTCGAGAAAGGTTTTCCCGATAGTTTTCTCTGCAATTCTTCTTCTCCAACTCGTCGAGGGAAATCTCTCAATTGGACGTCTCGGACCGATGCTTGGACCAAAAAGGTTTCGAATGAAAGTTATTACTTATAAATCTAACAAATCTGCTTTAACTATTTTCATAATCTTTTACATCAAATTTACAGATCAGAACGATCGTTGTCTCGAGCTCAATTGGAGTATTTGGACGGCTCTGATGTGTCCAAAAGAGCTTCGGCTCCTTTGAGTATAGGTTCGTAGAACAAATGAAACATTTTTGAATGAAACAAGAGAGTAGAAACATTTTTTCTTAGCCACAAGCAAAAGAACAAATTCCAGAATTCCCGTCATGCATGCGAGAGGCTCATGACAAGATCATGGCTCTGAAATCGAAAGCCCAAGAATTGGAGTTGATGATTGAGAGAGAAATGGAGAATCTCCGTCAATGTGCCCTTCATAATCTCTGATCAAAAATCGAATTGTTAACCCTGCTCAAATGAATATCTATCTGAATATCTCTATCTCTTTTCCTTCCATTTCTGTCATCTTTTCCTTTTTGTTTTTCTGTCCATAAAGGGTATCCCATTGCTTTCTTTTCTTTTTCTAGCTTGTTTCCCATTTAAAGTTGAGTTCTGTTAGATTTTTGATAGCTTTGCGTCAATAAATTCATTGTTAAGCATTCAAAAAGAGTTTTAATTAGAGTGGGTTCCCCGCGATCATTTAATTAACCGATTAAAGTCTTAAACAAGTGCATTGCCTCAAACACAACTTACAGACAGTAAAACCAAATATGGGAATGGAAAAGAGAAACGAGTTTTACTTTTAATAAAAGTTGATTTCAAGTGCTTTCTTGTTCCTGAAAAGCACAAGTCCCGATTCTTGTGCTTCAAGTGCTTTCTTGTCCCAAGTACCCTGAAACAATAAAAATCATTTGCTAAACAAGTCATTGCGAATCATCAATACGTTGATTGGTAAGGAAATTCCTTGCAGTACAGTCGATCATTCAATTCTCTTTACACAATGCTATTCATTATGGTAAAACTTTAGAGTGCTTTCTTGTCGACTTTAAGTACCCTGAAACAGTAAAAATCATTTGCTAAGCAAGGCATTGCGAATAAGAAAGCATCACATTCAATGCGTCAAATATCAAACCCAATTTCTTACTCTTGTTTCGTCATCCAAAAACCAATTGAAATTCCTCAGTTTACCCTGAAGTTTAGCCTTACTCTTGAAGTCAGTAAAATTTCCTTTATAGCTGTTTTGGTTGGATTTGTTTTCCCGATATCTTTCCCGACGATCTCCATCTCATTCATCGACTCGTTCATGAAATGTCTCTCCTTTCTCTTGTTCTTTTCCCACCTCAAATCCAGAGTTAGATTCCATCTTTGAAGCTTGGCAAAATGAGGCAAATCGGTGAAAATTCACTTCTCAAACAAAAGCCTTTCTTAAATCCGAAACATTCTCTCCCCGTTTGTGGCATTTTATTTGACTATTCGATTCAATAATCTCAAATGGGTTTATCACAAAATTTGCGAATATTGGCTATATCGATTCTTGTGCTTTTCGTTATTGGAATTATTTTAGCGTTGAGAGGGACGACGAAACAAGAGTAAGAAATTGAATTTGATGCTTTCTTATTAGCAATAACTTGTTTAGCAAATGATTTTTATTTTTTCAGAGTACTTGAAGTCGACAAGAAAGCACTTGAATCAACTTTTATTAAAAGTAAAATACGTTTCTCTTTTCCATTCCCATATTTGCTTTTCTTTCAGAAGAAGCCGAGCCACAATCACAAATTCACGAAAATATCGGTGACAATGTTGAAGTGGATCCGATTAATTTCCAAATCGAACAACCAGATGATACTAATGGGTAAGAGGAATTTGAGAGAAATGCATGAAAAACATTTTAGAGATTCATCACAAGACGAACTCAATCAGATCATCAATACGTTGATTGGTAAGGAAATTGCTTCCACTACAGTCGATCATTCAATTCTCTTTACACAATGCTATTCATTATGGTAAAACTTTAGAGAAAGAGGCCAAGCTGACACTGGACCAAGAAGAAGGTTCGTTTTTCTTTTGCAAGCAAAAACTTGTATACTAATTTAGCTCTGAGAACAACAGGAAATGATATGAAAGGATTTGAGGAACAAATGACAACACCCGATATTCTTGAGATTGATCCATTTGCGATCGAGGCGGTAGGAGATTATAAGTTGGTTGCGGGCTTGAAAGTCAATAATAAACTTTAGACAACGACAACAATTGACTCAAAGTTGAGCCTTCAAGAAGGTCAAAGTCCTGAACTCGTTCAAACTGAACCGATAAAGTCTGCAATTTCCAAAGCTCATTACATAAATAGTTCTAGAATTTTGACACCAAATGAAGATTTTAAATGGAATGGCGATCCAAGAATTGACCAGGTAGGAATACATGCTTTGACTGAGCGTTGATTGAGCTGTGCACCCCTCAGCTTTCCGACAATTCCCTTGGCTTTAAAGTACCCGGGTACTTAGGAGTGCCATTCTCCTTATAAGTAAGAAGTGAAGCTGTATGTGCTCTGCTTTTTAATAAATAATTATATTCTATTAAATCGAGGAATCTCGAATTGTGGAAGAGACAAATTCTCGACGAGGCGATACTTTTGTGTACAATGTGAGCAATGTACTCAATCTTGCACCAAATCAGGGCTCACCAATTGAAAATGGAAATCCTGTGGCTGTTACTGGTGAGCTTTTTAAAAGAAAAGCATTAATATCTAAACAATTTACAATCTTTTTGCAGATCCAACCACTCAACAGGTTTTGCCTATCAATTCAGAAAGTGTCACTGGTATTTTCATTTCCAAGATTCCGATTCGAAATATTTCAGATCCAATCACAACATTGCTCGCTTTGACGCAGAATAATGCCACAGTGATCCCTGAAACGAATACAACTGTATATGAGAATGGGACTGTCATTGGTAGAAGAAACAAATTTGATATCTTTACGCAAGTTTTAGGACAATTGGTGACCCCAACGCCAGCTCTGATTCAACCGATTGGATTTTTGGAGTTACACACGGAATTACCATCAACACCCGAAACGGCTGCTGCAAATCCAGATTCGATTGTTTTAGCGGAACGGCAACCAGATGCACAAGCTGTAGTGCAGAAATTGGATGAAACAGGTATGGTCGCTATTTCTAAAAAGAGGTAGTTTCAGTTCGAATCATCAAACTGTTAGAAATTGTAGTTACTGACTAAAATAAAGTATCATTTCTTAACTAGCAATGAGCTTTTCTTTTGAGATTCAATCGAGGGCCCTCAATCCTTCTTCCGTCCTCCACCTGATACAATCCTCGAAGTTCCCGTTCTCACTTCTGTCCGAGTTGTCAATGGAACACAGAGTGATGTTAGTCTGCTTTTAAGAGACAATAGAACAGATCTATTAGATTCTATAAAAGATTACTGTACTAAGAAGATGCTTTACGTTTTTTTATTTTAGATAAAAACTCTCTTTGATGTCGGCATTTCCCAAGCCAATGATCGTGAGTTGAATTGCAACTAAAACCCTCAACATTATCTCTCAATTTTAGCAATCTCTTCTTCAACGGATCAATCTACACAATCAAATATCTCTATTTAAATTAGATTCTATGAAAAAGTCCTCAACTCAATTCTTTACCGGTATTTTATGTGATAATTATTGTCTGCGAGATAAATCTTGATTGATGGAATAATTTAAAGCTTTTTAGGAATCACTAAATATAAAGGAATTCATGAAAAAGATTGTGTCATTGCCTATGTACACAATGGAGAGTTTGGAGTAGATAAGAGCTTGGGTGAAAAGGGAAAAAAAGGAGTACCTATACATTTTGATCGAATTGACACAACGAAAGGAAAATAGATTCTTCAGATTTTTTTTACATTTATATCTATATATTTCTTATTCAAAATATAATGAAACCAATTTTTTATCGCAATTGGGCCTTAGATCTTTCTTTGTCTCATTTCTCTTACCCAAAATTATTAAATTACATGTTTAGATTCGTTCTATCAACTAATTTGATTCCATTCTACTCATTTTCTATTAGTTTAACTTATGAATTTCCATGAGAAGCTATTGAAATGTCTTTGAGACGGCCATCAAGATATCGAGGAGGACAAAAAGTGAATGATGCAAATATTGAGATCAATGCTCTTTTAGAAAGTAAGAAAAGGAAGACTTGACTTGTAAAGACTTGTACAACTTTTCTTGTAAAGACTTGTACAACTTTCAAAGACTTGTACAACTTTCAAAGACTTGTACAACTTTAAAATGTAACTGATATTTGAAAATAATATAAAAATCGAGTTGCAGCACAACCATTTGATGATAAACCTTCTTCAACTGGAGAAGTTCAATTTGATGAAGATGGAGTAAGTCTTTTTTAGATTTAGCATGAGTTGAAGACTTTAGCTTACCGTTGTTCATAGAGCAATTGAAAATGGGAACTATAACTTGCTGATCTTGTCATTATTTAAAGCTAAAACAATCGAGGAACGGTGAGTGTGAAGAAAATGATAAAGAAGAGCAGAGAATTTCTAGAAAAAGCAGAGAATATAGCAGAGAATTTCTTTTTATAGCAGAGAATTTCTAGAAAAAAGCTTGTGAATGCAAAGACACAAAAACATTTGAATGCCGATCGACCGAAAGGACTCACTCCATTTCATATGGCAGCTTATGCAAGAGGTTTTATTCAATACTTTATTTAATCCAGTTTAATGACTCAATATCTATGATCGACATTGAAAGAATTTAGAAAATTTAGGAAAGAATCATTCAATGGAGGAGACTCTATATAAAATGTTGATTGAACTACAAAAACATAAAGGGTATTATAATAGAATCAACTGTAAATCTCTATATTCGATGAATTAAGGAAAATCGATGAACTGAATAGTAGTGGTTTATCTCCTTTACACTATGCCGCTTATCGAAATTCTGTACTTGCTGTTCGAGTGTTGACTCGATGTGGATGTGATTTGAATGTGAGGGAAAGGAGACAAGTTTTGAAATTGAAAAACTATTGAACGATTGAGCTTTGATTCATTTCTAGGCTGTGAACCAAGAAGGACGAACACCGCTGATGATTGCTTGTATAAGGAAAGCAAAAGAAGTGGTGAGTGAAATAAAATGGATTTAGGGTTGATTGACGGATGATATCTGATTGATATATGATTAGCTTTATCATTTCAGATTACCTTACTCTTGAATAAACGAGAGACTCTCGATTTTGAGCGAAAAGATCGTTTCGGGAACACTTTTCTTCATTTAATGGCTCAATATTGTGATGAAGATCTGATCAACACTTTTCTTGATATTGATGAAATATTGAGAATTGGTTAATGAGAATCTATCATCAAATTGTAGCTTAAAAGATTTAGATGATGGGAGATTTTTTGAAAGAATCAATCGCGTTCAAAAATTGATCAATTTGCCGAGTCAAGAACGAAGAATGACACCATTAAGGATTGTGGTGGAAAGAGGATTTTTGACTGCATTGCAGAGGTGATAATGAAATGTGAAGGGAATATTATTATACTTTGTTATTTCAGAATGCGATTTCTTCTTCGATGGGTGCCGGCTGAACCAGAGAAAGTTGAAAGGAGTCAACAAAAGAAAAATAAGGAAGAGGAAAGGGAAAGGATTGAAAAGGCGAAGAATGAGACAATTAAGTAAAGAAAAGGAAGTAATAATTGAATTATCAAAGTATTCAGAAATAATACTGACATTCTTCACATTGCTGCCTCAATCGGGAATGGTTCAACAAATCTGTTGATTGTACAAGAGTTGATCAAGGTTGCTTGTTATACCGTAATTGTATAGATCTTAAAGTCTAGTGTGTCAAATCTGTAACTCTTTCCAGTTTGGATTTCCAATTGAAGCTGAAAACGATGATGGGCAAATCCCTCTCCATATTGCAGCCAAATATAATAATTATCGAATTGTGGAAGAACTTTTGACTGAACATCACAAAAAGCATATGGAAAGAATATCTAGCAAAGTATTGTTGGGAGTTGGGTTGGGAGAGATTATAATAAGTTTAGAGAGATCAGCTGTACAAGAAAGATATAAAAAGGTGTGTTCAAAAGATCAAGGATAACAAAAGTGGATATTGGCAAAATTTGTTGACTCTCGTTGATGAGGAAGAGGAGGAAAAGGAAGGAAATCATGAAACAGTTGGGATTTATTGGAAATAAGTTTAGTAAGCATTTCAGGAGAGTTTCTCAAAAGGCACAGATAATATTCAAATTGTGTTCGATAGAGAACGGAGACAGTTCGTGACGGTAAGTCAATTATAATATCTAAAACTAACAAGCCTGGATATATTAAGAGTTAAGTCTAAGAGTGTGTTCTTCGATCGATTAAAATTTGAATTGTCCAACTTTAATCCATTAATTCATTGAGAACACTCTAATGAAGAGATATCCCATAGTTTTATTATGATATATTATAGCATAAAATGACGCTGAATTCTTTTAAACGAAATTTTTCCACTCCAGGTTCATCTCGACATAAAAAACGGTGATCCAATCATCGAAATCTATGATCCTGTTCAAGAATCAAATGGAGAAACGGTTCAAATAAAACTATTTATCTCTAAAAGAACATTTCAGCTATCTTTGCAATTTCTTTCTTATATTTACTCTTTCTATTCAAGTATTTCTTTTCCTAAAGGAATCGTCTCTTTTAGAAGAGTCTTTGGATTTACACAACAGGTCAGATCTTTTATTAATCTTTTTTCAATTCTTATTTTAATGATTATTTACTACCGTATTTACTCTATTAGTGGGGTCCTCTCTAATAGTGGGGTCGTCTGGAGGGGGGTTGAAAAAATAGTGGGGTCCTCTCTAATATTGGTTAACGAAAGTTGATACATCATTTGCGTTGTTCTCTTGGATTTTAGTTTCCCTTTTTCGTCGAGCTTTTACTGTTTGTTAATGTTTTGTTACGGTTAAAGGTAAATAAAATATGCCCCCCCCCCCCCCCCTCCCCCCCCCCCCCTTCCCCCCCCCCCTCCCCCCCCCCCCCCTTTTCCCCCCCCCCTTTCCCCGCATCTCCCCCCCCCCTTTCCCCCCCCCCCCCCCCCCTTTTTTCCCTTTCCGTTTTCCCCCCCCCCCCCCCCCCCCCCCCCCCCCCCCCCCCCCCCCCCCAAAAAAAAAAAAAATAAAACCCCACCCCAACAACACCACCCCCCCCCCCCCCCCATCCCCATTTTCCTCCCTTCTAAAAAAAAAAAAAGCAAAACGGAGGCCCCCCCCCCTGGTTTTGGGGTCCGGCCCCCCCCCCCCCCCCCCCCCCCCCCCCCCCCCCCCCCCCCAAAAACAAAACCCCTTTTTTTTTTTTTCTCGGGAGAAGGAGAGTATCCCCTTTATTATTTCTCCCCAAAAAAACAAGCCGACAAACCCAACCCCAATTCCCACCCCAAACCCGGATTTCCCGGGCCCAAAGTGTTGTTGTCTTTGTAAGCTCAAGACTTGTTTTTTCAAGAATTTGGCCCGGAGAAAAATAGATTATCTTTTTTATTTAAAACTGGGTTGCGTTTTCCCCCCCCCTCCCCCCTCCTGGCCCCCCCCCCGCCCTCATGTTCACCTTTTAAATTTCTCTAATAGTGGGGTCGTCTGGAAGGGGATTGAAAAAATAGTGGGCGACCCCACTAATAGAGTAAATACGGTATATATAAAAGAACAGTGTCTGTTTGTCCGTCCGTTAGGCGGGTGTTTTAGCTGGTCAAAAATATAAGAACATATTCCAGAGAATCATAATGTCGTCCGGTCCATTGGCCTTTGGGATCTTCCTCGATTTGCTTTTCAACAAAGATATCTCAAAGTTCACCATCAAAACTTTCTCTTTCTACACTGTATTTCAGAGCTCGATACAATGTGGTGGAATTGCAGAGGTTAATTGTTTGGATAAAAGAATCGGATGATCTCGAATTTGAAATGTTGCAGTCGTATCAGTATCGGAGGTCGGGAATTTAGCATAGCTGTATAGTTGGTTTGCTTTAGTGATCAGGAAAACCAAAATCTATCAAATGCTGCTTATGAATGTCCAATTGAAGAACTCGAAGAGCTACAGAATGGCAAAGATGAAAAAAGTTTGGCGAAGGTATATTTTGTCGATGGCTGATCTGACTTTTAAACATTTAAACCCCAAATTTCCAGTCAATCATTGCACCTCAACCATTGTCTGTCTGGAGACTTTCTGTAAGTGATTCCGTTCATTTTAAATATTTAATCAAATTCAGGATCAAAACGAAAGGATTAGCGACGAAAGCCTGGTTTGTTGGCTTTTCAAAAACAAGGTCTTTTTTAGTTGAGGATCCCGGGAGTACTTTTGGATCCTGAAGAAATTGTGGTAGAAAAGGATAAACGGGCTTCGAGTATCATTGAACTACAGGTAAATAGATGTTTATACATGTAAAAGAACGATTTTAGGAACATTCGTTCAGTCCAATATGGCGCACATCTGATCAGGTTAATTGAAAGGTAAAAAAAGCTGTTACAAAGTTTTTAGGGAGATGGACGACGATTTTTCTCTTCAACTTTATCTCAGCAAACAACAGTACGGAAGAAGAGTTTATCCTTTACTGAAGAACTTTCAGATTGACTCGGGAATGATCGAAGAACCAGAAGATATCATCGAGGTTGATTCAATGTTTATTTGACTCTAAACACAATCAAATTCAGATTATGGATTCTAAAGAACGATCAAAATCAATCGACAAGCGAGATATCAATGGAATGACTCCTTTATTGCATACAGCTTTTACTGGAGCCTGGGAAGCGGCTCAAGTCGGTCAAGATTTTGAAAGCTATCATTGTATTACACAATCTCAAGCTTGTTTAGGCGTTAATCAAACGTTCCACAGCATTAAAACCATCCGAATTGTTCTTTGATGAAAATAATGCAGGAGAGAATATGATTATTGTTGCAGCGGGGAATAATCACCCAGAGTATCTTGATGTAAATGATGAAAGAGATTTTAAATGATCCTGATAGCTTTAGAAACTTTTTGAAGAGCTTTCAAAGAGGCAACTGCTAGATAAAAGATTTTGGAGCAGGTGATAGAACTTGAAATTGATTGAAACCAGGTTCTAGGTCAGCCTCAAGTCAAACAACTCCATTGCATTGTGTGGCTGAGAATGGGTCATTGAAGGGGACTATGGTGAGGCTTCTTATCTCATTCATGGTTATTTCGTGAATATTTAGAAACTGATCGAAGAGCACGCTCGAATCGATTCCCTAAACAGTCACAATCAAACGCTACTCCATGTTGCGGCTAAAGCTGGCCATTTACCTGTCGTAAGCCAGGATCTTCTTGAAATCTTTCTTACAATTGTTTAGGTGGAGTACATTCTCCGTCTTCCCGACATCGTCTCAATAATTAATTATAAAGATTACCGCTGGAACACTCCCCTTCACTTGGCAGCTCAATTCGGTTCTCTATTTTCATTTCCTTTTGCAAAGAAAAACTCGTTTCAGGTTTTGAGGAGATCATTCAAGCTTTATTGAGAAAGGGTGCTGATCCGAAAATTCGAAATTTCTATCGAAAAACTGCGTTTGATGTGGCTGTTGTGGTAAGGCGTTCGTTATCTTGAAGATTGTTATCTTGAAGATTGTTATCTTGAATATCGTTATCTTGAAGATCATTATCTTGAAGATCGTTATCTTGAAGATCGTTCTCTTGAAGATCGTTCTCTTGAAGATCGTTATCTTGAAGATCGTTCTCTTGAAGATCGTTATCTTGAAGATCGTTATCTTGAAGATCGTTATCTTAAAGATCGTTATCTTAAAGATCGTTATCTTCAAGATCGTTATCTTGAACATCGTTTCTATTTTCAGAAAGGACATCTGGAATGCGTGAAAATCTTATTGAAATATTTCAAAATTGATGGAGAAAATGACAGAATGTAAAAATTCTTATACTTATCAGAAAAAGAAATGTTTCAGCAAAGCACCCATTCATTATGCTGCAAAGCATGGTCATGATAATGTTGTTCAATATTTGTTAAGACATGGGGCACAAATTGGTGCGTTCAAACTTCTTTGAAAGATATGGGTTTTCAAAAGATGTCTTTAGATATTCTTGTCAATATGGAAAGTGGTGAATCGGACGAAACTGCATTAACAATTGCGCTTGATTTTGGCCGACGGTAAAAAAGAAAAAGCGTCAAAGTTGTAAGATTGTTTAGAAACGTCGCAAAGAAACTTTTAACAAAAACAAATGAATTGGATCCACTGAAAAGTAGAAGCTGGGAAAGTCTGTTGTTCCACAAAAAGAAGAGAACGGAAAAGGATCAGGTATACAAGTAAATAAGTTATCGAACTTGATTTTAGGATCCCTATGATACACCAATGAGGAGACTCATCAAAGATTTCCCCGATTTGGCTGAATTGGTGATGGATCAATGTATTTGGTGAGTTGAATGAGTGGGAAATAATGCTAGTATTTAGTGAAAGCGATGGAATAATCACGTATAATTTTGAGTTCATCGATGATCCGTTTTTGATGCAATTGAAAGATGAGAATGGGAATGAAACTGGTACTTTTAGTGAAGCTTTTAGTTGAAGCTTTTAGTTGAAGCGTTTAGTTGAAGCGTTTAGTTGAAGCTTTTAGTTGAAGCTTTTAGTTGAAGCTTTTAGTTGAAGAGCCTAATAGCTAGATTCTGAGTAGCCGGATAGCTAGATTTGCTTCAATTTCAGGCGAGTATCGCGTATTCGATGAAAGAGGTCGACGAGCTATAATGGAGAACGGAGATGTCCGTCGAGAAGCAACACTCTACAGTAAAAATGGCTCACAAATCTACAAAGAACATCCAATTATGCTTATGGTCACTTTAAATCAATCTATCGCATATTGGTAGAAATTTAGGCAAAATCCGATAATCCTGAAACGAAAAAGTTATTGGAGCATCGATTAGTGGTTAAATTTATTGATTATCGATGGAGCAATCTCGGGCGTTTTGTATCGTTCTGGCTTTGTAAAGGAGATCAAAATGATCCAGACTCACTGAGAATTTACAGCTCTTCTGCCATATGCAATATTTTTGATTCTCTACACGATTATTTTGCTGAATAGAGTGAAAGTCGAAGAATTAGAGGTGGACGATAGTGTGAATGCGACAAATGAGTCAATAATCAACTTGACCACTTTCATTGATCACAATCTTGCCACGATTCCTTCAGAAACTCAGCGAAATATCAATGATTTGGATTTGATGTCATCAAATGGAGTTTGACTCAACATCATTCAACTCTTTAACTCATTTTTAGACTGTTTGGTCAACAAATTTGATTTTATCCGTAATTGCTTTCGTTTTTTGGTGCTATCTGCTAATTAAAGAGGTGAATTGTAAAGAAAAAGTCGTCAAAAATCGTCAACAACTAAATTTAGATCTTTCAATGTTACAGTTTTGGCTCAAAAGCCTACTTCTCGAGTGGCGAGAATATAATTGAATTAACCGTTTATGGACTTTCATTAACGACAATCATTTTGAAAGCAAGAATTGTGAGTTTATTTTGATTCTTAAACCTTTGCAGTCGAGAAAGATAGTGGAGAAATCAAATAGGAGATTATGGGTACGTAAAATGATCTTTAAAATCTGTGCAGTGTGTGAGAGAATACCGATGGGGGCAATGATTATTAGATATTTATTCCGAATCTAGCACAATACTAATCTAGCGAGAAAATAGAAAAGAATAGAATCAATCATTGGTTCAGTGTTTCATAGCAATACGAAAAGAATATACGGAAAGAATATGAAAGGACAATATAAAGTGGGCTCCGTCCCTTTTATCCGTTCCTTTATCATAAAAGCGATCTTTTAGAGGCGGGACAAGAAAATCAGACATTCAAATCAAAACATTAAATAAGATTTCACAGAAAAGAGCCACTTTTCTGCACAAAATCTTAATTTTAGGACAATGACCCGAAAAACAACGATTCGCAAGCATTCTGGATATTTGCCTCAATTGTCGTCGTGCTTTCGTGGCTTAATTTGGTAAATTGTAGCTTATAATGAGGATTGAATTCAATTTTAAATTTCAGCTAATGTTGATCAGCAAATGGAAAACCTTTGGAATCTTCGTTCGAATGTTTAAGAAAGTAGCTGTGACTGTGTTAAGCTTTGCACTAATGTTCTTCTTTTTCATCATGGCATTTTCATTCAGTTTCATTCTTTTATTAGGGGACAAGGCAAGTTTGGGTTCTTTTCCAATATTGGGGGAGCGGTCCGATTATCGGGGGAGCGAAAGGAAAATCGGGGGAGCAAATTTTGGCGGCGCTACATATGTCCTATTTAAAATTGTGACGAACGGGAGCTTGCTTTGTTGCAAAAAGTTGGGGATGCTCTTGAATGCTTGGGGACCTTTCGCCGTGCGCAAGTGTCACATACCCAGCGAAATAGATCTTTTCGCTTTGAGCGGACTTTCATCGATTCGCCACATTTGCAAATCCACGCCTGGATGACTCCTTTGGTGACGAAATAATCGATTACCGTCGATTTCTTGACGCACAAATATCGGAGAAGCGCATCGTCGTTAAAGTTTTAAAAAAAACGTTGGAGTTACAGTCCCGGAAATGCATTTTTCGAGGGGGCAAAATTTGCTCCCCCGATTTTCCTTTCGCTCCCCCGATAATCTTTCTGCTCCCCCGATATTGGAAAAGTACCCAAGTTTGAAATGTGAATTGAAAGGTAAAGCTTTAAGCTTTATAGGAAGAATTCTCTCATATCGGTCTTTCATTTCTGAAAACTTTCGTGATGTCAACTGGGGAAATGGAGTATTCTACGGTGTTTCTTGGAGAACAAAATGAAGAAAAGTTTGAAATTTTAATCTTTACCCTAAAGTCGCGAGTATAAGTTCTGTTTGGTTTTCGCATGCAAATTGACGGCTGTCTCCGGTGCGGTGTGTCGAGGGTTCGAACCCCGCTGCAGCATAGCTTTTTTGCTTTTTAAGAACAATAATAGAAGTAAATTTATTGAGGGTTATAGCGATTTTATGCTGTTATTTGTTGCTCCGGGCGTGGCCCAGCGCGTCCGCCCTGCTCCTCTCCGGTGCTCAGTCTTATGGATCCCTCCCTGGCCTCTTCATCCGGCCAAAGTCCACGTCGACGGTCGAAAGAGATGCTTTCCAGCGTCCTCTTCAACACTATCGTCTGGATGTATCCATGCACATAACAAATAGCAATGGCTGTCACCCTGTAGTATCCCGCGCTCCAAGAACAATAATAAAAGTTTATATGTCGTAGCCGATTATGAATTTCAGCCGATTATGAATGAGTGGGTCTAGGAGCGTCCAACCATCAAGTATTTAGTAACATTCAACGCAGAATCATTAATAATTATGTTAAATTTTTTAAATTAGAAAGATTAGATAAAAATAAAAAAAATTATGGGGCTTCAAAGTTTTCTCTTGAACAAACAGTTTTTTTTGCCCTAACTTTTTTTATTTTTATCCAATCTTTCTAATTTAAAAAATTTAACATAATTATTAATGATTCTGCGTAGAATGTTACTAAATACTTGATGGTTGGACTTGATGTTGGACTTGGTTGGACTAAATTAAGGCAGAACTTATACTCGAGACTTTAGGGTAAACCTTTTAACCTTTACGATTAGAAGTTTATTTTTTCAGGAAATGGCTCAGAAGGGGTGCTCTATGTATTTTCGCAATCTTCATCTTTGTAATGGTGATTCTTGTGATGAATCTTTTGACGGGTTTAGCGGTCGATGATATTCAAGAGATACAGAATAGTGCAAAGATTGAAGGGATTGCGATTGAAGTGAGCGTTGGCTTTGTTAGCGAGAAAGTCGTTCATTAACAGGCAGATTCCGTACTCCTCACACAAACTGTTCTCAAAGAAAAATCATTGAAAAGATTGAAGTACAAGCTCGTTGAAAGCACGACAAGAAATCAATCATTCGATAAATTGATTTTGAAGAAAATTAAGGCAATTTGGGCATCGATATCATTCTCGTAAGTTGCAAAATTGTACTTTGATAAAGAAAGTTTAGAGTCATTTTATGCTGGTTATCCGTGTGCTCTTGTTTTTGCAATAATGATGAGGTTAAATATGTTTTGAGTTCAAAAAACCCTCAAGTTTCAGTCAGAAATCGATGAGGAAGAACAAAATGAGATTGAGACTGAAAAAGCGCAAAATGAAAAACAAGCAAAAGTTGAGATGAGTTTTATCGATGAGAGATTTGCGGTCAGTGAAGCAGTTTTCATCAATTTTATATTTCTTTAGCAAGAAAGTCTCGCCTCACTAAGTACAGAAAAGTTGCTGGCTTTGAATCAACAAAGTATTTATGCATTGCAAAAGGAAGTGGTTGGTTTGGGAAAAAGATTCATCTGTATCTTTTGAGATTTAGAAAAATTTGAATACAAAGTTGAAGGATCAAGAAGAGGTGAAGGGTTTAATAAAATGCTTTATTGGGGAAATTTTGAAACATGTAGACACAATCCTTGCTCGAGTCAGTGTTTCGTCGAAAAAAATAGATTGTAGGCAAAACTAGGCTTAGGCTTAGGCAAAATAATCTCATTTTTAGGAACATCATGTCAAGGAGTCAAAATTGGTTGAAAAGCTGGATCGAATTAGTGAAATGTTAGAGGAAATGAAGAATGGAAAAGAGTTTGGATCGGATAAAATGCAAACGGGGAATCAGGTTGACACTTTAGTTCAAGTTCAAGTTTCTAAAAACCAAGCCAACTATCTAAAGACCCAGATTTTAGATGGAAACAATGAAGACGTTGGAAACAATGAACAATGAAGACGTTAACATTGAAGACGACGGAAAGGTTTATTTAAAACTCTTCCTTATATTCAAAACCAGCTAAAAACCCGAATTTTTTGGCCTAACGCCTAGCAGACGCTTCTATATATAGTTGTTAAACATTTCTGTAGGATTCGAGTAGTACTGAAGCTGAATGGAGTGATGAATTGATGGATCCACCAGCGGTGAATTTTACTGAAACTGAAGAACAAGAAGAGTCGGACAATGAAGCGTGTGCAAGTCTTGCCACAATGCCACAATTTCCACTGCCGAACAATCACAAAAGAAAGGTAGATTTTGTCTTTTTGAATCCAGTAAAATGAAACGAATATTTTAGCTTAGCACAACCCGTTGGGCTTTATTAGAGTCTTCACCCAATGATCCGGCTGATTGGAAAGCACAGAGATTCTCTGATACATAATCCCGATAATATTCGGAAAGATCTCAACAACTATTTTATCGTATTTTTGTTATAAATTGATAATAAAGCTTGATAATAAATAGGTTTTCAATTCAAAAACCCTGTAGTGATTATTGTTGGTTTAGATATAATCTTTATTACAGCGATAATAGTTGGTTCAGTGGTTTGAGATTGGGAGAGTAGAGGCACTCCACGGCACACATCGGCAGCTCGTTCACATTGCTTTTAATGTAGATAGACATCGGTGTTTCAAGAGCTAAAAAGTTTTTGACAATCTAGCCAGGTCAAGTGTTTTGGGTGGCACTGGTTTGGTTTTGCTTGGTCTGGTCTTAGGGAACGGTCAGATTTCATCAACAGAAATTCGACATAATACATTGCACACAATGGAGTTGAACGGATAGCGACGCATATTAAATCTTGCACAATAGGCGTTCGTCCACATAGGTGTCTAGCTGGCCATTTCCATACGTGGCGATCTCGATCACGAGATCGTCACGACAAACCTACAAGTTTCATTCAGAAACCGACAAGGAAGAACAAAATGAGATTGAAACTGAAAAAGCGCAAAATAAATATGCATATTGATGATATGATTAATATGCAAATCTTTCAAATTTCTTTCCCGTTCCAAATCCATTTAGATCTATCCTTTTTTGAACACTCTAATGCACAAATACATTATTCACATTGGGAAAATGAGTCGAGATATAAAACATCACATTCATCTCTATCTAACACTTTTTGCTATGCTAAAGATTAAATATTTCTATTTGTTGATTCTTTTTGTCCTCATTGTACCTTCAACAGGTGAGTTCAGATAAGTTTCTTCTAGAAAAGCTAGCAAAGTCATAGAATATCAATAGAGCTTGAAAAGATAAAGCTTACAGTAAAGAAATCTCTTCTTATAACATTATTTAAGAAAATTTAAGTCAGTCTTTGTGGCTTCAGTTTGCCGATTTCAAGAAAAAGTCAAGGTTTTGGCCGACTTTCCTATTTGAGACAATTACTTGTCCTGAGAGCTGGAAGAGATCCATTAAAGGATTTTCGATATCCACAGCCACCAAAGTCGAGGTTTGTTTGAAGTTAAAGCTTGGAGTTAAAGCTTCAAATTTCTCACTCTTGATCCTTTTCAGTTTCGATGATTTTGATGTGAACGAGTTTTTCGATGACGGATAGATTGACGACGAATAGATTGACGTTTTTCGATGACGAATAGATTTCTTACTTCAAATGGTTTTTTCTCTGATTTCATTGAGTTCAATAAATATCTTGTTTGCATTTTTGAATCAAAATTTTCTTTTCCATAATCTTGTTTCATATCCGATTATGCCTTCTAAAGCAAAAAAAAGCAGCATTTGGTTTCCCCCAAAATGTACACAGTGTTGTACTTGGGTGGAAAAAAAGAAAAGAAAAGATATATGGAGAAATATACACAAGTACCGGTTTATGAAAGAAAAGAAGCAAAGAAAAGACATGAAAAAGTGAAAAAACAAAGAGAAAAAGAGACTCCCGAGGTGAACTCCTTGACTTCGAACTCCTATTTTGAGTGAGGAAATGGAAAAGGAAAAGAGTGTTCAAAAGTTCATTACATTTCTGACTTTCATTTCTTTATCATTCAAAGCTTTTGATTAGTTATTCACTTTTATTTGGCGAGCAAAACATTTTTGCAAACAATTCCCATCAAAACTGGGTTCCAATTTCAATTCGTACCGACTTCAGTTGGGTTTCTTGGAGTTCCACTGGTGCAGAATTATGCATCAGCTCTTTCCATCAGCTCTTTCCATCAGCTCTTTCCATCAGCTCTTTCCATCAGCTCTTTCCATCAGCTCTTTCCATCAGCTCTTTCCATCAGCTCTTTCCATCAGCTCTTTCCATCAGCTCATCAGCATCAGCTCGAACATAAAGAGCTGATGGAGCTGATGCATAATTCGTGCAAATGCTGTCCTCATTCCACCCACCTTCAACCATTCTGTTTGTTTTTCCCATATTACATCGATACAAAAGTGTAAGAATGTCTCATATTGACCTCTTTGCCTGCCATTCACGAGGTCTCCCCTCTCCTTCTCAATCTCAATCTTGATCTCCCACCTTTCACCTTTCATTCGAAGCCATGCTTCATGTATAAACAAAGAATTGCCTCGTAATGGTGTTTACGTGTTTTAGCACAATTTGATCGTTGTTCAATCAATTTATTTTTACGTGCCATAACTTAAAACTATCTCTGATTATTGAAACACTTTTTAAACAATGCAATCATTTTTCTTTTTCAATATTTATTCGTGTCAAGCAATTGCAAAAAGAGAAAAGAATGGAGGGAACAGCATCCGATTCCCTTGCCTTCCCCACCCTTCCCCTGTCTGTCTTTGTCCTTACCTCATCCTTTCCCCTTCTCTCCTTTTCCTTTTCCAATCATTGCTCGAGGATTCAACCATAAGTGACATAACATTCACTCACTCATTCCATTCATTCTCATTCTCCTTCACTTTTTGCCACTCCATCCCTCCCTTGCTGACCTTTCGTTTTTTGGCGTGCTTTGTCTAATATATTATGGATCTCTGACGAGGATCAGTATAAAATAATATTGCAAATTGGTTTATTTGATCTTTGTTCAATATTGTTTCTATCACTTTCTTTTTCTAAAAGATCTTTGTAATCTTTATTCTGCGTATTTCTGCTTCCAAAACGAATTTCAGATGCCTCTCGACTTCCGATCATTCATATCTCTTTTATCATTTCTTGTAATTGCTCACACGATCTCGGTCGCTAATGTACCAATTTGTGTATGTCCCGAGATCAAATGCCCAGTTTGCGAAGGTATCTTTTCATTCGAATGATCAATAATACAGAACATGAACACTTCGAAACATTTGCATTCCCTTAGATTGTTCATTGAGTCACCGTTCATCGGCTCTTCTCAAAGACAAAGAAATACTCAACAACAATAGGTCAGTCTCTCTCGGAAATCTCCCATTCAAATACAAGAAAACATCAAACATCGCAAAAAGTTTATGGCTTTTCGAGGAACAAAGAACATGTTACAAAGTGTGCAATAGTTAGAATTCTCTTTTAAAATGACTTCTTGAAATGGTAGAGCTTAACGGCTACAATTCTCTTTTAGAATTCAGTTCAATCCATCCCCTAGATGGTCAATAGTGGAGGATGTAAAGGTGGGTACTTCAGAAGTATTTCAAAAGTACTTCAGAACTACTTCAGAACTGAATTTATCCAATAATTTCAGAGATCACCAGAAACAATAAAGATCGGAATATCTCAATTGAAGGTTTTATTTGTTTAAGAAACTTTCTTTAATGTGATTTTAGTCGATAACGAATGGAAATTTGAAGGAACGAGCTCATGTAACAACTCGAATGAGTGTGAATGTCGAGAAGAGAGAACCACTCATCGAACAAGCACCACATGGTAAGTGCAAAGATTCTTATCGGAACAAACTCACCTACTAAAATCTTTCAAATTTTAGCCAGAAATCTAATCATTTCAACTCCTCAAACAAGCACCGCCAGCTCAGCGCGGAATATCGGCGCTACTAGGATCTCGTTAAAGCCAAGTGAGTTACAAAAAGTTTTCAAATTCAAAGATAATGTTTCACACTGTACATTCAAAAACTATCTAGCCAATTTCGAAGAAAACTATCTTTCCAAAGTAGAATTTCCAGTCAATTTGAATACAACTCGATCTTTCGCTTTTCGCCGTTTGATTTCTGCAAAATGGGCTCACACTTTTAGATGGCCGACTACAGGTTTGAAAGATTGATCTTTTTTTTTCAATCCTTTAGATTTTTAGAGGTAAGACTACGAACAATTGCTCCAAAACAGAAAATCACGTTGCGGCCTATAATGTAGGCTTTTTGTTTTAATCAAAAATGGGAAATCTTTAGAAAAGATGATTATGATTTGAATGAAGAAGAGGAAATATTGAGGAATCGGGTACTGGCACAGATTAAAGAAAAGGTTGGTGCATGGAAATGATAGGAAGCAAGAGTTATTAGTAAAATAAGTTTAGAATGAAGTCGTGAAGACAACGCCGACAGTGCTTTCAACTACAGTACCTGTTGCGACTTCGACAACAACTGAAACCACGACGACGAGTACAACCACAACCACAACTACAACCACAACTACAACCACAACTACAACTACAACTACAACTACAACTACAACTACAACTACAACTACAACTACAACAACAACTTCAACGACAACCACAACCACAACAACTACAGAAATCACCACTACAATGACGACAACTACAATATCAACAACAGAAATGACCACAATCTCGACAACCAATGCAACTACAGAACCTGCAACTGAAGCCCTAACTACACCAGTTTCTTTAGCTTCTACTACCATAAGTATTCCGATGAACTCCGCTGAAATCTCTAGTCAAAAGAGATCAATCGATATACAGCCGGAAAACCAAGAGAAAGCTGCCAGTGATTTATTCTTTAGTGAACCGAGCATAACAACCACTCAAGAGACTAGTACAGAGATCTCTGTTGATTCGATTAGCACAACATCACCCCCGACAACCACGCCTAGAGTCATTGTTTCTTCTGATTCACCGATTGTTGAGCAAAGTTTGGTTGAATTTTAAAACCAAAGAAATCTTTTTTTAGTTTCTCCATCAGGATATGCGTCAAGTTCACTATTTGGCTCTCGGACTCACACTTTTGATCCGACGAAATGTAACAATGGAGAGTGGGCTGAACTGTTGGAAAAGGTTTCGATGAAATCTTTAAATGCAGAAAAAATCTTGATAATCATTCAGAAAATGATGCAAAATGATGCGACAAGTTCAAAGCAGAGAATCTCGAATGAATTGGGCGAGTCGGCTCTTCGGGCGGTCAGTGTTCTCTGCTCGAGGACCACGATCAGGTTCCAATTTCTTTAAAGCTAAGAATAAAGCAAATTTTGTATTTGACATTATCAAAGCTAAATTTCAACCTCAACCCCCTTCCTTTCCAGTTTCCGATTGGTGGCCACAAAATACTGCCAGATGACCTCGGGCGATGTGACTTGTCTCATCTTTGAACCATAATAACAAATAGATTTTAAATTTGCTTTTTGTCTGTACATTTTTTTGATAACTCTCAGGATTGTAAAATCTTCTAGGTTCATTCAAATCACCTCAAGCTTTTTCATAAACAAATCCTCACTCGTAAAGATCCTGTAAAATTGTCTCTTGTCTCTTATTTCCTGTTTCACTACAGTATGCCAAACTAAAGTTTCAGCCAACAAGACTGAATATCTTCAAGCTTTCTAAATAAGGGTAAAAAAGTAGTCATAGCCGTTCCAGCATACTGTAATGAGACAGGATAAGGTAACTTTGTCGTATCCTTGACCTTTTAAACACATTGAGTTTTGATACGGGTTTATTCATTGAATCTTTCATCTTTATTGTCAAGTCTTTTGCTTATTTTTTAAACTTTAAAATTTTGTTACGTTAAACAAGTAAATAAATAAGTTTACGATAAATGCACTTGTTTAACAAAAATAAAGGAAGTTTCAATAAATTCGCATTTATCGTTTAGAAAATTAGAATTTATCGTTTATACGTTTGGAAAATGTTTTCATTTTAATTCACTTTATTTTCGAGTATTTTATTTCCAATCTCTTGTCATCGAGGCAAACAAAAAAGTAATTTTTATAAATTTTCTCGAGTTTCTTATGAGTGCAGCATTCATTGTTAGAGCGCCATTTGGGGAGTGGGACAAATGCGACCTTTTTTTTGCGCACCCGGACATTTGCGCACCTTTTTTTCCGCACCTTGCCCATTAGCGCACCTTTTTTCGCGTTTTAAAAAGCTCTAAAAGCTAATATTAACCAATTTCTATTCCAAAGGTTGTTTTTCTAGGTAATTTGAGGGTGTCGAATTCAAATTTTGACATAACAGAGCGTGTGGAACCAATTTGAAAGACAAAACGGCTAGGTCAAATTACAGAAAATTGTTGATTTTTCTCTTTGTATAACTCCGTCCGTTCGCTTCCACACGCTCTGTTATGTCAAAATTTGAATTCGACACCCTCAAATTACCTGGAAAAACAACTTTTGGAATAGAAATTGGTTAATATTAGCTTTTAGAGCTTTTTTAAAACGCGAAAAAAGGTGCGCTAATGGGCAAAGTGCGGAAAAAAAGGTGCGCAAATGTCCGGGTGCGCAAAAAAAAGGTCGCATTTGCCCCACTCACCTTGTTTAACAAAAATAAAGGAAGTTTCAATAAATTCGCATTTAAAAACTGCCTTAACAGTAAGAAAATTAGCATTTATCGTTTATACGTTTCGAAAATGTTTTCATTTTAATTCACTTTATTTTCGAGTATTTTATTTCCAATCTCTTGTCATCGAAGCAAACAAAAAAGTAATTTTTATAAATTTTCTCGAGTTTCTTATGAGTGCAGCATTCATTGTTAGAGCGCCATTTGTCATAAACCGAATGAGCTTTGATTCGTTTTGTTTATGTGCTGAAAGGGCCGATGTATTTCTCTTCAAATGCGTTTATTTAATTCTTTAGTGAGCGCCTATCAAACAATTGAAAACGATTGGGATTTAAGCCAAACGAGGATTGGACCAGTATGTGGTTGGTTTGTTTAGTTTAAAATTTTAGCCCTTAAGTTTTTATTCTGCTGTCGTGTCTTGTGAAATTAATATCTATTTAATTGTCCAGGTAGAGCGCACGGTGCAAGATGTGCCATCGGTTCTCAACTCAAGCGCTTACTCTACCCGTGTCTGTTCACTTTCGTCATCTGCCTTCTCTTCATTCTTCAGTTTGCTCTTTTCGATATTAACGATCAATTCTTTGATTAAGGAATTCTTCATCCACTGTTCAAAAAACTAAAGAAGAATCGACCACTATTGCTGCAACTATTGAAAATACGCCAGAAGAACAACTACTGACTTCAACGAAAGCAGCGTTGGATAACAATAGTGTCCCGTTGATCATTGTCATCACACCCACTTACAAGAGGATCACTCGATTAGCTGATATCACAAGGTTGGGAATTTCACTCGATTCTTTAAATTTTAGTATCTGTATTTTCTACTTTATATTTTTTAGGTTAGCGAACACGCTTCGACAAGTGCCACATTTGCATTGGATAGTTGTTGAAGATGGGGAAACAAAATCAGATTTGGTGGAAGCTGTACTGAAACGCTCGAAGATCCCGTATACTTATTTGGTTGAGAAGTTCAAAATGCCTAGAAGTATGTTTTGATTCTTGTTTAGATTTAGGATTGTTTGAATTGTAATCTTAAGTCGTTCAGTTTATGATTGTTTTGATGACAAATTTCTTTATTCAGCAAAAGGATGGTCGCAAAGAGATAAGGCGCTCGGTTACCTACGGAAACAATCACAAGATGTGGGCTTTAGTACTGCTATTTTTTCAAATCATGAAATTTTCTCTTTCCTAAACTATCAGCTTTTGTTTAGATTATCGCTGATGGTCGAAAAGCCGTTGTGTATTTTGGTGATGACGATAATTCCTATGATTTACGATTGTTTGACGACTACATACGAAAAGTGAAGAAAATTGGCATCTGGGGAGTCGGTTAGGCACATTTTCACTTTTCTTTTCCTTCAGCCGACTCATTTTTTACATTTTCTTTTAGGAACTGTTGCCGATTCTTACATTGAATCACCAAAAGTCGAGAATGGAAAGGTTTGATAATGATAGTTTTATTCAAAATCAATTTTTTAGGTAATTGGATGGAATGTTTTATATGCGCCAAAACGAAAATTCGCCACCGATATGGCCGGTTTTGCGATAGATCTCAATTTTTTGAAAAAGTGAGCTTTTGCAAATAATGCACTCGAAGGATAAACCTTGATAAACAAGTTTTAGTTCCAAAATCACTTTTTCAAACTGCGAAAGGGGGCGAATTCCAGAGGGATGCTTTCTACATGGATTTGGTCTCACACTTGACGATTTGGAGCCATTTGGATTTGACAAGGTTTACTTTTACATTATTGAGACTACGCTTTCGGTTACTTAGATATCCGAAGTCAAGTAATTATACATATCTGATATTGTTTTTTTAGAAAAATCCCGATTTGTTGGTGTGGCACACAAGAACAAGACTCTTCGTAAACAAAAATCAAGATACATACGGATATAACGTTGAGAAAATCGAATAAATATTTATCATATATGTACATTGATCGTTTTTTTGTAAAAAGGCTAATGAGCACTTGAGATTGTAATTGTTGGGATTTCGTCTTTGGAGAGTTCTGGAGAAGTGTCAAGGGAGGCAGATTCTTGTAAAAGCTGAAATATCACTAGCGTTATCGTTTCTTTCTTTGACGTCTACCTCTCTCCAAACACCATATATCCACCCAAAAAATCCGACTAAACATAAAACGCTTCCAATGATTGTTAGAGCAGTTGCTTCATGCGTTGACATGTGATCTTCTGAGACAAACATACTAAAAGATTGACTCGAGGATCTGTATGAGTGCGCTTGCTTAACACATTCACGACGACAGCATTTTGAGTGTACAGTCGCGTAGTCGTTAACTGTTTTACTGATAATTTGGTGAAGATTCAAAGATAAACTAAACTACCGTATTTTCTGTAATAGTAGTGCAGTCTATAATAGTAGTGCAGTCTGTAATAGTAGTGCAGGCTGGAGGGGGGTTGAAAAAATAGTAGTGCGCACTACTATTACAGAAAATACGGTATTATAGTCATTCGATAGCCCTGAATCTCCTCTTGAAAACGAGTATAAAGTTAGAGAGAAATTTCTACGAAATAAATAACAAAAGTTTTTTGAAAACTTGTGTTGACATGAAAAATAGTTGTTATTAGTTCGGCGGGCCGTATTGTCGTGAATGTGCTAATATCATACCTATATCTTGTTCCAACAAGTATCAACAAAACACCAGCAACGAGAATAAATGAAGAGACAAATATCAATGCTTTCACAACCATCCATGTTTTGAATGCCATCGCGAAATCCGGAATAAGTGGAAGGGAATAAAAGAAATCGACGCTGAAAATCGATGTTTCATTATTGCTTCATGATGTCTTATTACAAGTTTTCAAGATCTCCGAGTTGTTTAATGGCAGTTCATTATTTGGCATTGAAAGCTGGACTAATGAAGGTATAGAGAGAGCTACACGAGTATACGGTAAGTACCATAGTCCAACTACTGTGTGCTACAATAATGGTTTGGTCTCAACCTACCAGTTAAATCTCTCTTCCGATTCATTTTCTTTCATTCTTAGAAATACGAAAAGCGATTGGTAACTGTAGCCGAATGAATGTACTGCGGGTAGACTACATGAGGGTGCAATTTCAGGGGAATTTCATAGGAATGCAAACACTTTTTAATCTCCAAAAAATGTGACGAAAATCTCGGCACTCATTTTGTGTGAAGAGGCCGCGAAATGGGGGTACTAAAGTTTTAGGGACTGTGAGAAATCTCTTAAAATTCGACTCTCAGAACTCTCGCTCCTAAATTAGATATGGTCACAAAATTTGAAAGGGAAAAAAGGAGAAAGAGAAGTGTTTTGTTGGTTTTGTGTGTGCTGAAGATTGTTGTTGATTTTTGAGGCCATTTGGTTTTGCGAAGGGTAAGGTATCCAAGAAATTGTTCAAGGTACTGTTCAAGGTACAGTAAAACCCGCGTTTACTACTGTAACTGTTCCTTACTGTAACTGTCAAACGTTCTAGTATTCAAGAATAACATAGTTGAAGATTTTTCTAAAAACTGGAAGTCGACAAGGAAAATAGCTCACAACTTGAATCAATTTTGAATCGAAAAACCGGTGTGTTGAGTCTATGCAAGTTTGATCTCTTTATCCAATTCTTCCGCCCAAACACTCCCCCGATTGCTCACTCATAATTTTATGTGCTTGTAAATTCTCTCGATAACTCTCTTCAAATTCGACAAGAATCCATAAGAATAAAATTGATAGCCTTTCACTTTTTTCGAGGTTGGAAAAAAGGGAATCTTGTAGTTTAACAAAATGTTTTTATTTCGAAAACATTTATTGAAAAGGAAAAGTTTAGTTTGTTTTCTTTGTTTTCTTTTTAATTCCCACTCGTTCCCGCGTTCTCGTAGACGGTCAGCTAAAGATATTCTGGGTTAATCTTTTAATTTAATTGACAAATTTTGAAGCTAGTCAGTTTGTTGGCTTATAAAACTCACAAGTGCATTCAACTCTTGGACTCCTTTGATCTTTGACAATTTGTAGGGATTGATGTTACAGAAGGTGACTGATGGGAAGTTGGATGACTCCATGCCGAGCTGAAAATCGGGTAGTTATTCTTGACCAGAGTCAATACTGGATGGAGAACAATGATCAGATAAACTTTTCTTAGAACCCACATTGAGCATGACAATCTTACTGAAGGCCAAATACTGGGCGAGAGTCGACGAAAAGAGATAAACGAAACCACAGGCGGCGAAGAACAAAATCACTCCCCAAACCATTGCGGCACAGAGCTGTTAGAGAGATTAGTATATTTTAATCGCTTTTTGACTCGTTGATCCATTTGAACTTACTGTGTGTGCTTGAGCCATGTGTGGAACTCCGTGACACGATGAGGTCTCTCCCCATTCTTTGCAGCAAGCCTTCACCTTGCTGAACAATCAAAATGAGATCTTGGGGATAAACTTCTAAGGAGCCATTTGCTTGCTTGTAGATTTCAAGTTTACTTATCGTACCTCCACTTTGATTGATTTTGATCTTCAGCTCCTTCTTTGTGCATCTCATCCACCATTTGATCCATCTCATTATCGTCCAATTCCGAATCCGATCCATCATCCTTGAAGATTGAATTTAGTTTAACTTAAAAGTGAATGAAGATCAGTATTTCTTACAAAACTATTGTATTTGTTCCAATTGAAGAGCCTTTATCTATTAGAAGAGCCCCGTGTAGACAAAATTCTCCCTTTTTTCGGATTTGTCAACTCCCGGATATAAATGCTCATCTTTTTAACGACTTCCAAGGGCTTTAAATAATAGTTCTAGACTAAAAACGCTTAATAACGTCGAAAACCGGATGAAAATCAATAAAAACACCCATTTTTAAGCTCTTAAAAATTTGGGTATACTGTAGTTTGGACACGAAAAAGAATTTTGGAGGAACATTAAAAAATAGAAGAGCCGGCTCTTCTATTAGAGTGTTTAAGATATTTCATTAACTTGAATCCTACCGAAAGACTGTCGCGTCGACGACGGAGTTCTGGTGCTGCCATCGTTGTGCTGAAAATACACTATAAAAGCTTTCAAAATGAATCTACTGTTAAACCAGAAGAGTTCTGCATGTTATATGCTCAAATGACTGTTGACTAGTGCTTCAAAATGCAAACGTTTTTTTCTAAAAACCGACTGTTTCTTTTGTGTTGTCACCTAGGAGGCGTTGTGCATTTCTAAAGAGCAAAAGTTTTGAACAAAAAGCTGAAACAAAGAATTGACAAAACAATTAGAAAATAATGATGTAAAGGAAAAAGAAATTGAAAACTTATCAAAGAAGCTAAATGGATTTGAGAACAAAATGTTTGCCTTAAGTTAATTAATCATTTTTTTTGGTACTTTTCCAATATCGGGGGAGCGGTCCGATTGTCGGGGGAGCGAAATGAAAATCAGGGGAGCAAATTTTGCCAGCGCTACATATGTCCTATACTATACAAATTACCACCATAAAATTCGCGAATTACCCGTTATTCTCACAACCTTTATATTAGATCATAAAAAGTGACTTAAAATACCCACAGCGAAATAGATCTTTTCCCTTTGAGCGGACTTCCATCAATTCGCCACAGTTGCAAATCCACGACTGGATGACTCCTTTGGTGACGAAATAATCGATTGTCGTCGATTCCTTAAACGCACAAATGTCGGAGAAGCGCATCGTCGTTAAAGTTTAAAAAAGCGTTGCAGTTAAAATACACTCCTGGAAATGCATTTTTCGTGGGGGCAAAATTTGCTCCCCTGATTTTCATTTCGCTCCCCCGATAATCGGACCGCTCCCCCGATATTGGAAAAGTACCAAAAAAATGAGTAATTAACTTAAGGCAAACATTTTGTTCGCTCCCCCGATATTGGAAAAGTACCATTTTTTTTTACATAGTCCCAACTATGTTTAAAACAGTTGAAACTTTTGCTTTTGTTTTTTTCTGTCAAAATCTTGGTACTTCTCAATTTTAGGGCTCTTGTCGTTGACATCTATGAAATTTGAGACTACAGAAAAACTCTGACTGAAAACTAAGTCTCTTTTGTTACAGCTAAATCCATTGATGACCTTTTTCTCTTTGTCAAAAATGATCAGTAAACAAGTTTGAGTCTTCACCTTTGAACAAAGCCATCTTATTCAATTTTATAACTTCTTCGAGAACCATCTCATTTCCTCTTTCACTTTTCTTTTTGCTGATGAGCTAGAAATGTGAGTTATGACCATCATTTGTGCCCAATGTCCCTCAATAATTGAAAATTTTCATTACAATTTAGTGGCACTAAATTCTTAGAATTGGCGACTAACGATTCCCCAAAATTGACCAATTCTCCCCCCCCCCCCCCTTCTCCCCTTTTTTCCTTCTTTTAATAAAAAAAAAAAAAAAAAACCCCCCCCCCCCCCCCTAAAAACCCCTTAAAAACCCCTTTAAAATTTATTTAATTTAAAAAAAATATTAACCAATTTCGATTGCTAATTATCATCTTCTCATTCTCAAATAATCGCTTCTTTTCATTCTTCAATTTTATATGTATTTTGTGGATGAAAAGAAAAGAGAACAAGAAAGAAAAAAGAGAATTGAGGAGATCGACAAGACGGACATTAGCCAAATTAGGTTTTCTCCTCGACTCCGCCAACACGCACGCACAACGAAGAGAAGAGAAAGAAGGGGAGAGCTTGCACAGGGAAGGGAATTGTGCTTGTGCTCTCTCCAGAAGACCAGACACGCAAACCCTGGCATCATTGTGTGCCATAACAAGCGTTTTACTAGATTTTGTAGTTTTTGAGGTTCTTTTAGTCTAATTCTCAAAAATCTCAGAGATTTGCTGGGTGAGGGTGCGGTGAGTACAAAAAAAGTAAAAGATTAAATTTTTTCTTTGTTCTGATGACTGAAAGTTTTTTAGTTCTTCAGTACAGTTCTGAAGACTGATCATTCTTTAAAACGGAAGCATATTTCCCCTGTCCAAAGATTATTTCCTTTCAATTCATTCAAGTGAGTTATATGCTTGTTCTACTTCTTTTGATTAAGTGCTTCAACTCTATTTTGTTTCTAATGTCTTTTTTCTCAATTCATGCTTTTTACTCGCTCGAGTTCATATCGAAATGGTTGACTGGATGGGGATTTTTGGGGAGCCAACCCATTTGAGCCATCATCGTACTCGGAAAGCGATGAATTATGAAGAGGGAAGGGAGTAGAAGGGACTCCCCTTCCTCCCTCTTTCAATCCAATCTTCCACAAGATTTACCCCTTCATTTCTTTTCATCTCTTCATTCAGGAACTCTGCTCTTTTTTTCTATGAAAGATATTTGAGAGCTATCGAATGAGTCATTAATTCTTAATGATTGGATTCAAGTGGAGTCATTTGATAGGAGAATGAGAATACCTAGTTGAGGATTCGCTTTGACACTCTTTTCCTGGTATCGGATCTTTGTCCTATTAGGTTGGTGAATAAGTTTTTTTCGTTCCTTTTCGTACTTCCGTTTAAAACCAACAAATACACCAATCGAACTACGATTTGTTCCATTAGAAAGGCCAATTAGTTTTCTGCAAAATAACATTAAAACAGGTTCAAAATGTCTTATGTCTGGATGTTATTTGGGAGTGTGAAGTCGAGTAGTCAAAAAGAGCGACGCTCGATGATAAGGTTTAGACACTTTAGCTAAAGAAACCTATCTTGACCTCAATAGATAAAAGATAGAGCACAAAAAGTTTGGTATATAGCTAATTTTTCAACGGAATTATGAAAAGGAACGAAAAGACTCATTCACCAACCTAATAGCTCCTTTGGCAATTTTAAAGAGGATAAAAATATAGCGAAATAGAAAAACTTGCCAATTCTGCTTTTGTTTCTTAACCACTCCAAACTTCGCTCGAACATTCTAATCATTGTCATTCTCTTTTTTCCCGAGACTCCGAAATTCTCAATGACCAATTCTCAAGGGAACAATTTCTCGTCCAAATCGATCTCTAGGTTTAGAAGAGTTTGAGAGTTAAGTTAAAGGAGATGGATGTTGTATCTTATGTTTAGGATTTTGTAAGACAAACTTACCTAATCGCTTACCTAAAACTGCAAATACAGTTTGAGGTAGATAAAAATGAAATTCAAGTTACAGGTACTGGACCCTCATTTGGGATAGGGACACAGAATCTTTCCTTGATATCAACTCAAACAAACAACGACTCTATCAGTCTTCTCTTGCTCAGAAACCGAAGCCCACTTCACTTCATAAGATCTCCCCTGTATTCCTTCCGTCTTTTCCCAAATCTATCCCATTCTCATTGTCTCATTCCCGATCTCCTTTTCTTTTTCCAAATATTCCCAAGGGACCGATTTCTCCGTCGGTCCCATTTTTGGTGGTTTTTCTCTTCTCTCATCTTTCCTTTTTGATCCCTTTTCCTTTCTCGCATAAAAGCGTAAATGGGACCTTCCCCCTTTTCCCCTCCAATGCCACAATTTTTGCCTTCTCACCTCTTTTTTTCATAGCTTTTATGGCCCGCTCAATTTTTTTTTCACCCTTACACACTCAAAAAATTACAGCGTGAATTGGAAGGCAAAAAGCCAACTTCCACCCATTTCAGTGAAAAAAAGAGGGGGGTAATTTTAAATGCATTCTCTGAATACTTTCTTTTGAGCAGGCATTCAGAAGTTTTCTTGAGTTGTTGACTACAGTAAGACTGGCATGTTCATTTTGTGTTAATTGCTGTTTATGCATGGAGCTTTGGATTTTGGACATCGATCTTATCAAGCTATGAGTTATCATAGCTTGTAAGTTTATGGTTTTCTTTCCATTTATTACTAATTACACTGCTTGAGTGATATTTTTGGATATTGGGAAAACGAGAGAAATCCAACGATGCTCAAATCGTGGGAATTTCCCTTTTCGATGTCCCTCCTTTACTTCCAATCTTTAATTTGAATAGAAAGCTTTCACAAGCACTTTTCTCCTTAAATTCACATCCATTTCCGGGTGTTCTTGTTGTGAATTCGATTGTTGATCATGTTTCCATAGAGTTCTTGAAATATTGAAACGATCGCCTCTCTTGTTCAATCAAGCGTCTCCGATCTTTCATAAAATGTGTTGTTTACATTTTGACCCAGAGTTACGGCCAAGCACTCAGCAATATTATTCTTGTCCTACTAAAGAAATTGAGTTATTGGTTCTTGCAGAACATTTAACAGATTTAGGGTAGTTTAAAAGAAAAGTTATTCCAGTTCAACCATAACTTTTTAAACCCCAGCTTCCATTTTGTGCTTGTCCATACTATTTACCATTTTTGATTTCCCTTCGAATGAATCATCTGGTCATTCAGCAAGAGAAAGGATTGAATTGCTCATATGGAGAATGGCATCTTTCGAATAAACACACAAAGCAATGGGAGAAGAAGGGAGGAAACGGGAGAAGTGTGGAGGGAGAGGAGTCGGATGGAGGAGAGTCGGATGGAGTGTCCCCTGGGATGGGTCCCCTTTTTTCCTCTCTACTTTGAATTTCCATTGCAAGTTTGGCGATGAAGAAGAACTGGAAGAACTGGAAGTTGCTTGGATTTCTTCGCACCCCTTCAATCCCTTCAATCCATCCAATCTCTTCCTTTTTTTGAGACAAGCTCTTACCTGCCTTCTACCGCATTCAACTTCCTTGTTTGGTACCAAGTTTTATTACTATTAGAATTCACGTTCTACTTAGCAAGCAAGTAAGCTGCTAGAAAAGTGTATCTTTCTGGGCACTTGTCTTGACAACAATTTTAAATTTGGCAACATTACAGAGATCACATTGTTCCTGACAAGGCCACAAAAGTTTTTAGAAGATAACTTCTCTTAAAAATAAAGCCAAGACATTCAGAATTATATTCCCTTGCTTGTTGTTGCTCTGATGAACTTTTAGACTCTAGATATGCTTTGGATAGAAGAATAACAGCTAAAATTTCATCAAATAATCAATCGGGGGTTTTGTTTTGAGCTTACTTCATGACTTGATCAGATATAATGGCCCATGTGTTCAATTTCTATCCATCCTCTCATCCACAGCAGATAGCTTTCTGTCCTTCACAAAAAATGGGTTTTTGTGTGAGAAATCGTCACTCATTTCGCCGGATTGATGGCTGTTTTTTCAGCTTTCTTTCCCGTGTCCATCTTTTCCCCCATTTTCCATTCTCATCTCAATCAACAACCACGAGTCACCATCAATCATAGCACATTTCTCAGCTTTCCATTGATCAATCCTTGTACTGTTACTAGCAATTTTGTTAATCTGATTTTTGTGCCCTTTTTCTAAAAATTTCGATTATTTCCAAGCACCCATTTCACTTCAAATCTCTCCACAGCCTTTTCTCAGCCTTTTCTCAGCCTTTTCCCCATTCTTTATTTATCCCCTTCATCGCTAAAAGAGATTTTCTCATAATCTTCCGAGAAATTTCTTTCATTTTTTCGAAATTCCAAACTCTTGTTTGGGAATCTTTCTATTTTGCGGTGTTTTGCTCTTTTCTCAATCCATTTTTTGTCTTTTTGAGGCGGTCGATAGAAATTCTCACGTCGGATTAGTCTGCATCCCGGCTACGGCCTTTCACAGTTATAATATCCCACAAAATTACAAATCACTTTTTTTATTTGACTTTTAACATATTAATCTTAAACGAAATTCAACTACTAGACTGAAATCTGTGATTGAATAGATTCCTTTCCCCTTGGTTACTTCACTTCCGTCATCGAAACAGGTGTTTCCAATGTTTCCAATGCAAATCCTCTTTTCTTTTCATTTCAATCGAATCCCCCTTTTCTTTCAATCGACCACATGTCCACAATCACTTCTTTTACCATTTCTTCTTTTGTTTTCCTAGATTTTGAAATATAAAATCAAATTTATTATTGATTTTCCCTTGTTCTGGACCCTTCCAATCACTTTGTCTCCGAATAAAGCTAATGGATAAACATTGCCTTTTCACTTTCCAGACTTCAAATATTAATTTGATGTGATTTCAGGCACTGAGAGCAAATAATTTATTTCTCACCGCTTTTCTCTGATCGCTTTGTGGTGGAGGGTGGCTGAGGAAAGGAGAAAAAAGGTGGATGCGGTCATTGAGTGACGAAGAAAAAGAAGAAGAACACGATAAACGAGTATGGGATCGACCATTCAGTCAATCATTTCAACATATTCGCCCATTCTTCATCGTTTGCCTCTTTTTGTGATTCTCGCCCTCACTCCATTTCTTTTCAATGTTGCTGGTGGGTTAAACAAGTTTGAATTAGGTTAAGTATTCAAAAAAATAACCAATAGTAGAACGTACAAACTCGAAGCTCTGTTATAAAATAGGATCCATTTTGTAGTCCAATTTTGTTCGTTGATCTCAATTTCATCAAAAGAAAAGAATCACGGGAAGTGATTCCATGGGAAAAAGAGAAATGAGAAATGGAATGAGAGATCGAATTTCTCTTTCTGATTGCTTTTTAACCATTAAACAAATCATGAAACAAGAAAAGATTTCCATTAATTTAAAGAAGATCTAAAGATATCTTTACATAGAACAAGAAAAGATCTCCTTTAATTTAAAGATATCCTTACATAAGATGAGATTGTGTATTAGCTAAACTAATAGCAAGCTATTGTATATCTGAAAATTTTTAGACGGTGCCGTTAAATGTTTTTGCGATCGCTCGTCATGTTCTAATGAGCTTATTTGCTCTGGAGACTATTGTGTGATCGGATTGAAAAAAGAGGGTTCGTTTTTTTCATTCAGAAGTTTGTGTTCTCAAAACCTAATGTCCAATAAACTAACTGAACATTGATCCAATTTCATCGTTCATTTGCTAAAGCTTTGAATATTCAACGAGTTGTTGTTAGAAGAACTCACTAGATCTTTCAAGGGATAGATCCACTTGCAAACCCCATCCTCACCCTACACTCCTCCCTCTCAATGATATCCCTCTTTCGTCATTATGCACACATTTACATAATCTCATTTGTCGCGTATTTATTGGGGAAATGGGTTTAGTGAACTGAAAGTCGAACCATTTGGATTATGGGGTATTGAAATTGAATGCACTAGGATTATCCTATCAGCCTTAATGTCTTGAACAAAATTTGACACCTCTTTCTTTAAGTCTCAATTAAAACCACAGTTTTCTTGTCTCTCAAAAAAAAAACTCGTCACCAACGAAAAGTTGTTAGTGCATTTGGAGACCAAGCGGGATCCCTAACATGATTAGAACGCCTCAACACTTGAGTCGATTCTCGCGAAGATTCGTTTCTATGTGAAGTGGAAGATCTCTCTCTTCTCCAAATTTCTCTTTTTATCCAGAAGGAACCAACACTAGAATCCCCTCTTTTCTCCCACCGAAACGGGCGCATCTTTTGCAAATTTGGTCACGGAGATAAATCGGATTTTTGCCCGCCAAGCCAAGGATTTTCATGTATTCACAAGGAGAATTCAGAAGAGACATTGTGGCAAGGCTTGGGGGAAATTCCGGAACGGATAAAAGCTTAAAGGGTAAAACTCTCTTCAGGTTAAAGTTTGGAAAACGTTTAAAGAACCATTTTAGTTTTAGGCGAAGAGCACAAGTTGATCCAAATGTGTGCAGATGGATCGTCGGGAAAAGAGAATCGATGTGATCGACTCGTTGATAATTGGCAAGAGGTAAAGAATAACATTTCAATCTCTAAACACAGTCTAGCTACAGATTGTTAGTTGTATTAGAAAAATCATTGGCCTCTCTAATGAAACAAATCGTAGTTCAATTGGTGCATTTGTTGGTTTTAAACAGAAGTACGAAAAGGAACATTGACAAGCCATATTGACAAGCCCTTTCAAATACACCACACAACTAATAGACTTCCTTTGCGAGACGCGACCGAGATTTCGAGATTCATGTCGCTTTACTAATTTGGCAGCCGGCCGAAGCTCGACCCGGCAGCTTGGTATCTTAATCCCTGTTTACACATATCACGCATCTATTCCACATTCCTGGGTAGATAAAACATCTATTATGCTGTCCAGAAAGTCTTTGTCCAGAAACGAACCGTAGTTCAATTAGTGCATTTGTTGGTTTTAAACAGAAGTACGAAAAGGAACGAAAAGAATTTCTGGACAGCCTAATATAACCTAACAATTGCTTTTCATTTGAGGGGAAATTAAATAGAAATTGTCTCCAAAAGGGAAAGTTTGAATGCTAACTGCATGCATTTAGGGAAAACTTTAAATGTAAACAAACTCGACAGAAATTAATGCCAATTTCGAATTTGTCTCAAACTGACCGCCATTTTCCGTAATCACTCTTTCTCTTTGAATCATTTTCTTTAGTAAAGGAAACGAAAAGAATTCTACAACAAGCTAATACAGTACCAAGCAAAAGTCATGCAACATCACTTTTTCAAATAGTTGAGGGTTCACTTTGACACTCTTTTTCTGGGTCTCGGATCTTTGTCCTGTTAGGTTAGTGAATAAGTTTTTTCGTTTCTTTTTGTACTTCCGTTTAAAACCAACGCACCAATTGAACTACGGGTTGTTTCATTAGAGAGGCCAATTATTTTTCTAATACAACTACTGTATTATTCTTCTTAAAACCCTCTCTTCCAGCTTTGTCATTGCTCCGAAGATTTCTGCAACACATTCGCTCATCTCCGATCTCAACTCGATGAGATTCCCAATTCAAGAGATCAAGCTGTTTTCTCATACTCGGATCCGATGCACCCCGTTCATTCAGTAAGTTTTAAAAAAAGTTAATCTTTAGCCATTGATTTTCATGTGCATTTTCTTTCCCAGGTTCAAGCGCAGACACAGGTAAACGGGTTTCCAGCACCTTTTCTCATTCATTATTAGAGTTTTCTGTTTCATTAATAAAAGTAATCAATTTGATTTTCGTAGGTTCCCGAAATAACAAAGGTAAATCTATTTTTTTTTCAATTTTGCTATCGTATTCTCTTCAGTAGTCAACAAAAAGTTATAGAGGACTTTTTGGAGGATTATTGCATATCTTAAGGAGAATACAGTAGTTTCAGTGTGTCATTACATAGACAAAAACTTTATCCAATAACATTTGTCAACTTTCAGGGTGAGGAGGTTGCCCGAAACCAGCGTTCATCGTTGATCGTTCTTTTGGTGATCATCCCATTATCCGTTGGTGGAATGGCTGTTTGTCTCATCTTTCTCAATTATCACTGCAAAATGTGCTAATGTTTGCACAATTTTTTGTGTAAACGAAGATGGGTGTTTCGTTTGAGAATTTGAAAGTTGAAAAGTTAGTACAAAAAGATGTAAACTAGACTCTCTTTGTTTGAATGGGAACCACTTTCGCATTCAAATTGCAACTTGGTGGTGTTGTAAGCAATTTTCCTATGTTAAGTTATGTTAGCTTTTGAAACTATCCGATAAGGGGGCTGGGACAAATGCGACCTTTTTTTTGCTGGAAAGGCCTTAGGAAAGGTCGTAGAGCCTCAAAAATGTTTTCATAGAAGGGAATCGTATGCGTAGATTCCGAATTTCGACAAATCAGACCTCACTGACATGTCAAATTTGGGCTAAAAGGCAAAAACTACGCAACTTAACGCTTTTCCGCAGTTCCGCTTTTCCGCTTTTCCCTTTTAGCCCAAATTTGACATGTCAGCGAGGTCTGATTTGTCGAAATTCGGAATCTACGTATACCATTTCCTTCTATGAAAACATTTTTGAAGCTCTACGACCTTTCTTAAGGCCTTTTCCAGCAAAAAAAGGTGCGCAAATGTCCAGGTGCGCAAAAAAAGGTCGCATTTGTCCCACCCCCTGATAAGTTAGTTATTTGAGTTCAAAAACTCAACACCCATCCAACCTAATACCCACAAATCTTGCCTGCCAATCTTAATTTGACTATTTCATTTTTGTCTTTCGTCTTCCTCCTCACTGATTTTCCTCATTCTTGTAAAAGCAACCTTTGGCATTTTTTTTACTCACAACTGTGATATTGGGTAGGCTATTTTCTTTACATAAATTTATTTAAATGTAAATTCTCAACTAATTTCCAGATAACAGCATAACAATCGCTCAACAAAGAGATACAATATCACAATGTGAAAAGAAAGTTCAATTCAAAGCAAGAAGTCACTACAAATTGCTTATGAAACAATTTAACAATCTAGAGAAAACCGTAAAGAAATGTGAAAAACCCGTTAAAAAGTAAATAACAAAATACAGATATAACAATTGAATGTTAATAGTGACCTTCCCACAGATCACCATATTTCCAATCTTTGAATGGAGATGTTCCATATGGTGGAGGGATGAATTTTTGGCGATCGATTCGTCTAAAAATTTAAAGATTACCTACGCTATTTGTACCTAATATCTTTTTTGTATGTTTCAAAAATTTGATGACAAACATTGAGTAGAAAAACCAACCGGAAGAACTCAAGTCGATGGAAATCGGGTTCCTCGTGTGTCCCATCAGTGACAGGGCGCATAGCTTCATAGACACGATCTTCTCCAATGCCATGTATTGTGTAAGCATTCATTTTTGTCACATCTGCAAAAATTAACATAAAGACAGCTCGAATAGTCATATATTTGTAATAACTCACTTGCTGGAAAATATGCCAATGGGATTTCGATGTTTCCCTTCCAAACGTCACCTCCCACCCATTGATTCTGAACGGTGAGCTCCAGCTCTTCGCCTAAATTTTAAAAATAGTTTGCTTCCTTTGTAAGTAATATGCCTATAAGCTCTTTTCGAAAACTATCATGTAGCTTTATTTAAAAAAAACCCTTTGAAAAATTACCGTTGTTGAAACAAGTCCGAACTCCATCGAAAAGCAGACACAACCAGTGTCCGTGTGGGCTCACTTCCACTTCAAGGTATTGATTGTTGTCGTTTGCAAAGAAAAGCTCCAACACCTCGTAGTCCCATAGCTAAAGTTTAAAATTAAAAAAGCCGAAACATAAAAACAAACATATCAATTGTAAGTCTAATAAAAAAATCACTTACCCCTGGCGTAACTCCTGGCATCATTTCTGGTTCCGGATCATCGTAGAATGGAGTCTAAAAGTTCAGTCATAGAAGCTTTAAGATTAACTCCAACCAGCGATAAGAATTCAGTGTTATGATTTTTACAATATTTCCTTCAACAGTTTACCATGCCTTTAACACAAAGAACCCAATAAATTCAAAACTAACCGTAAACTCGACAGTCACCACTCGTTTGTGTGGCCTATTCGGGATCTTCTCGAATTTCCATCCTAGATGAATATCGGTGGGTCGATGTCCGATCGTATTTCCGTCCCACGTCTTGTCAATCGTCAATTTCAGGCCGGGAATGTTATCCTAAACAATGATATTGCTAAAAATAATCAAAAACTCTGTGTTTACAAGGCCAGAGCTTCTCATTACAACTAGAGCTTCTCACTTGTTCAAAACATTTATTAATTTTTACTCTACCTCATCTTTATAAATAAAATAACTCACCCTATTCTTCGACACTTGTACTCGCAAGTTTTCGATGTGAGTGTCCTGTGAATTACGATCCATCTTCCTAAAAAATAATAAATTTATCAGTAAATTGAAGGACAACAAGAAAGCAAACAAAAAACCGGTCACTTGATAAGAGAATATTCAAATGCTCTGGTAGCTGAGAAGGAAAGACTCAATAAAAGAGAGTACATTGTTTCCTTGTGTACTTTGGGGGAAAATGTTTACGAGTTGCCCGCAAAAAAGCAAGAGTTCAAATTTTTTTTATTGCATTTTCCAAGTTTAAGTGATTTCTTTTCATTTTCCTTTCTTTGATCACTTAGATCTAAGTTTTTGTGAATGAGATCAGGAAAATATTGACTCGTGCAAGCGGGCTTCAAGTGGTTTTGTCGAAAAAAGTAAACAAACATCGGAAATGTTCTACTTGTCTGACCGTTATGAGTTCGAGAGGATCTATTTTGAAAAACTAGAGTCACTTTCGATATTATTTGCAATCTATAAACTTGTAACGCTATAAAAAGAACAAATTCGGCGTGGCGTACTAAAGAAAATGATTCAAAGAGAAAGAGTGATTACGGAAAATGGCGGTCAGTTTGAGACAAATTCGAAATTGGCATTAATTTCTGTCGAGTTTGTTTACATTTAAAGTTTTCCCTAAATGCATGCAGTTAGCATTCAAACTTTCCCTTTTGGAGACAATTTCTATTTAATTTCCCCTCAAATGAAAAGCAATTGTTAGGTTATATTAGGCTGTCCAGAAATTCTTTTCGTTCCTTTTCGTACTTCTGTTTAAAACCAACAAATGCACTAATTGAACTACGGTTCGTTTCTGGACAAAGACTTTCTGGACAGCATAATAGATGTTTTATCTACCCAAGAATGTGGAATAGATGCGTGATATGTGTAAACAGGGATTAAGCAACCAAGCTGCCGGGTCGAGCTTCGGCCGGCTGCCAAATTAGTAAAGCGACATGAATCTCGAAATCTCGGTCGCGTCTCGCAAAGGAAATCTATTAGTTGTGTGGTGTATTTGAAAGGGCTTGTCAATAGGGCGGGTATCCGGTCTGTCTTCTCCTTCCTTTTTTCAATATCGATTTCTCTTCGATCTCTTCATTTTCCCTGTCCAAAATTTGCCCGTTATCTGCCCTTTTTCGTGCGAAAGAAAACTTGCGCGAATGATCAGCTTGCTCAATCACCGCGTTCTCCCGTTACGCATCGAATTCTTTTCAAGCTTACGCTCACTTAGCTGAGTTTTTTTTTGCATTGTTATCATCTCTTTTCCTCACGTTAACCCTGAAAATATCAAGCCCTTTTTCTCTTTTCCTTTTTGACAGACAGTCAATTTGTTTTATGAATCACTTGTGAGGCTGAATATACACAACAACGCCGAATATTTTTTTGATGAAACCCTCGAATTTTCCATTCACTGACAGGAAAAAACAGAATTTCAATCTATTTTGACAAAAGCTTGTTTGATTTCGGAAATCTAACACAAAATTCCCCCTTCACTAAGACTTATGGAATGTGAAAGAAAAGAGAGCTTAGCGGCTTCTCCAAAAGGTTTTCTTACATTTTCTTTTCAATAATATTTTTGAATCTTTTTTTCATTGTCTGAATTTTTTTCAGAGAATATCGTAAAGAAATGGCTGCTTGAAATGGTGTCTCCATTGCTGAAGACGATCACTTATAGAGGGCTGCTCCCAGCAGCTCTCATAGCAGGTACCATAAAGAACTTTTGATAATTCAAATTTCACAAAACAATACAACCTATGATCCAAAATTGCAGCTGCTTTCATCCGTCCATCATTCATCTCAGTAATTTATCTGGTACTTGCCCTCATCGGACCAGTTCTACCATCAACATCAAGAGGAGCTCCGTTGAATGGTTTGTCTTGCGATAGTAGACAAAAACTAAAGCTTATCGAAATTTAGTAACAGTGAAATTCTATGTGTACATCGTCTTCCTTGTCACAATTCTCACAACGATAGCACAATGCGCATTCCAAGTACGGTTTCTATTCCTGAACCCCACAATCAGATTTTGCAGATATATGAGAGCACTAGAACAATCAAGACAACAAGTGATTGTAGCGATGATCTCTATCGATGGTTGAGACAAGCTGGCTTCTTGAGGTTAATCAATAGAGAAGACTTACAACAATAGCAACAATGATCCTTCAGATATGTAGCCGATACTGGTTTTGACTCGTGGAGAAGTTTCCTGCCTGAAGTATTTTCATTGAGTTAGTAAAAGAGTAGGAATCTAAAATGACAAATTTCTTTCAGTTTGCTCTTTTTGCACACTGATTATCGTGCAATGTCTCAATCATCAAGTGTTCATTGAACATCCAGCGGGAGTTCACACCGTTAGAACAAACAGCAAGTGGGTTTTATAGAAAAATCTAGAGGTTTACTGATAGATCAAAAAGCACCAACCACAACATTTTAGTAACACTCAAAATGCCACTCAAAGAAGTAACGTTGAAGTTCTTTCTCGAGCTCTTCTCATAGCATTGAAACGACTCTCGAATGCGGCTCTTTTCATCTTCGTGGCACTAGCGGGATGTATTCAGGTAACACTGAAAAATGATCAAAACTCAATTCCCTTTTCAGCCATCAATTCTCAACAGCTTCTACTTTTTGATCTTTCTCTTCATGGCTACTTGGTGGTCCACATACAAACCCCTTCGACACTCCATTTACAATAAGATGAAAATAGTAAGCAACAATATTTTTCTTGTTCTATTCAAATTTTAGACTCTTTTGTTCTATTCGGGTCTACATCTTATCCTCATCTATTTGTATCAAATTCCGGAAATCTCAAAACTTTTACCTCCTGATCAGACAGCTGCTAGGTATAATCTAATCTATAAATTCTGACCTTCATTTTTAGAATGATTGGCTTTTCTCAAGTTCTCAAAACTGATTGTTCTATGTTTTACCACATCGAGATCAACAATGCTTTGGCGTGGAATGTGGCAATCAATCCATTGATTGTAAGTTTTTAACCTACTCTAACCAGTTATCTAAAAATCTATAGATAACCGGTTTCTATTTTCTCATCGTACTGCAATTGAATTGGACTTCATCGGGCACTCGAAATTACCTCGATGATGAAGATGCTTCTTCATCAGTTCACGAAGAGGTACACTCCCTTTAAATCTTCTTTTTTTGTTGCTCTATCGGGGATGCGCTTTTGTTGTTAATCGATTTTATATTTTGAAGCATGTGAAAATGTTAACTTTTTATTTATCGATGGCCTGATGTTAATTTAAGATACAGGGTGTTGATGAGAACACAAATTCCGAGGTTGAGGTTTGTTTAAAGATTGACTTCACTGCAGATTTCTCTAACAACGTTTAACCATTTTCATTTGGCATGCAGCTTTAGTGGTGATAGATTAGTGGAGTGAGGATTCTTGGAGGAATTGTATGTGGTCGTACATGTACAGTTCTCAATCACTTTTGTTCTTGGAGGAATTGTATGTAGTCGTACATGTACAGTTCTCGATCACTTTTGTTTTCCTGTAGCTAGGTGAAGCTTTTGTTTGCTTTAGCACCCACTCGTCGGTGATCGGGAAACTCAATCAACGATCGTCCCATCTGGATCATCGAATTCTTCAACTAACATTCAATCACAATCCTCACCACCCACAAGACAACAACGGGTATTTGAGTTTGGAATGTTTAACTCTTGAACAGTCTTTAAAACTTGAGAAAGATTCTAAACTGAAGCTTCTTTTCAGCTCGATTTACTCACTTTATTGGCTGTACCGGTTAAACGCTTCAAATTGCTCAAAACAATTGCATGAAAGCACATAAATTCTCCATTAACTTTTCTATCCAAAGTCATTGTGTGAAAAGCTTTGAACCAAATAAATTTTTAGCTACTGGACACCGAAGAACGAAGTCCGGCCAATCGTGAAAGCGTTCCGATGAGAAAAATCACGAGTCAAGTCATCGATAAGCAGAAGATCTCACAGATTTTCAATGGTTTGTTTAAAATCTTTGAAATCTCATCAAAAATCTTTCAGTCATAAATCCATTTGAACGTAAGTATGAAAAAATGTGAAAATCTGCATGCATTTGGATCCCTCTGTTATTTTAGTGGGAAATACGGCGGGAACTAAAAGGAAAATACTGTAAGATATTTAGCTCCTGGTAATGAACAAAGTGGGACAACGGCCCAGACGATAGTGGCATTGATCGCTTTCTGTGTTGAGCATTCATACGTTTTTGGATTAATGACGATGATGGTGAGTTGAAAGTAAAAGTAAACTGAAGTATATTATGGTCGACTGGTTAAAAGCCCTGTATCCCAGTCCAGGGAAGTCAAGGGTTGAACCCTTGACCCCAAGGGTTCAATCCTGCCGGCTTTAATTCGTTTTTCTCCCTACATTTCGGGCCTAGAGCTTGTGCTTGTATATTATTTGAATCACATTATCCTTGTGAATAAATGTATTTTTTATAAGCTGAATATTTCAGATCTGGGCCCTCTTGTATCATTCAGCTTTCGGATTGGGTCTCCTTGCATGGGCTTGTATCATTTGGATGTTCAGAGATACTCGATCTGTTTCATTCAAATGCTCTCCTTTCATCGTTTCATATGTTGAGGTTGGTCTTGAAAACCTAAATTTGTGATCAACTCATCAACTCTTCCAGTTTCTCCTCGTTATCCAATACGTTTGGAGTATGGACCTCGAATTTTTACCGGCAAAAGCACAAACGGAAACAAAAGCCAATGTTCTTGAAATTATTGGTTTCATCAATTATTCTGGATCGGATTCTTTCCTTGTTACCTTTGTAAAAGTAAGCATTTTGCATTTGGTGTTCAGGGAATTTCAAACTTTCGAGCAAAATTTGAGCTAATCAAATCTAGTCGTGTTTTTTGAATGAGTCACAGAGTTCTCCATCACTAAATATTTACAGAGATTCTCTTGAAAAATTCGTAATCTCTTTTGCAAAAAGAAATTGTTTCATCGATGTCCAGGAAATGATTTTAGGTGTTGCTCAGTTTGCCGATATTTTTACTTCATCGTTTGAAGAGACGAGACAGCCATTATAGCCGTTTAACTGGTTTGTTTGGGAAAATTGACGATAATTGGAGATGATCTCTTTTTGCAGAACACGAGAGACAACGGAAGCTCAATTATGGAACTTTTGGAACAAATCGGACACAAGGAGTGAACAATGCGGTGAAAGTAAGAGAATACAGTGATTTGAAAGGATGAAAGGTTGAAAATGGGAAATCGAGTGGGTACAGGGATTCATTTACTGTACCTACCTAATCACTTTCCAATATCAACTATTAGATACTTTTCTCATAAACCAATAGAAATTGACGCTTTTTCAGCTAAGATCCCAATAAGCGCATTCACCACAATTGGAGGGTAGACATTTCGAAATATCATAGATCTCACTCACACGCAAAAAGTAGTATTTGTGCAGGAGAGGCGCGCGATCATGAGCTCCACGTTTTGTTGTTTATTTCATCCCCTTTCTCTCCCATTTTCGCTTTTCTCTTCCCCATTCTTTCCACTTTTATTCATTCTTTTCTCCTTTTCATTCTCAATCCCCATTTTGTCCTTTTGTCATAATCATTTATCCGGTTTACAATCGGATATCGATTTTAGACACGTTTTTTTTTCTATCGGAATTGATATTAAAAACAAACTCTTGGAAAACATTACGTAAAAGTTCTCTTGTTACAAAACACACAAATAGCCATACAATTTTTAAATTAAAGCTTGCTTTAACAACTTTACAACTTCGAAGCATTCTTTTGAACTTTGTTTGATTAGCTGCTATTTTTTCTTTATCCATTTTTATTTCTAGACTGTTTCTCTCCTTAAACGATTCCAAGAGTTTTTCTAACTCCAACACTTTTCCCTTTCTTTTTCATTTGTGCGTTTTTTGGGGAGTTGGGCGTTGTGACCTTGAAGTCCTCTGCTCTGAATCAAATACTTTACATATAGGTTTGCCGATTTTTACCCTCACTGACTCATTCTTGGTCTTTCACTTCATAAGCCAGTAAACCTCCGATCCTCCTTTACTCCGCCTTGTTTGCCTACTTTGATACAAAATACCCCCCCATTAATCAGTTTATCTGAATCTCATTCCATTTTAGACTCCATCTCGTTCACAAGCTGTCGTTGATTGGCTTTCATCAATTTTTACAACATATTGGATACTCATTGTTGCTCTTGTGCTCCTTCTACAGGCACTTGGTGAACGAGCCTCTTTCATCAATATCGGATTTTTCATCTTTTGGTCGCTCGGTGTTCTACAGTTTAAGGTAAGAACAAGAAATATATGAACAATGTCAGCCATTTGTCGATTTTTCAAACTGTTCACCCAATCCCATTTTCAGCTTTCCTTCCGTTTTTTCCGTGGAACAGTCTATGCTTCGTGGACTTTCTTGATCATTTACACATCGGCTGTGATCATCGCAATTTATACATACCAATTCAGATCGGTAAGAAAGGCTAAAATGTTACTTTTTCAATCAACATTTTTCAGTTCCCCGAATTCCTAGAAAAAGCGGGATTATCGAAAGACTGGGCACACAATATTGGACTCTACCATTACGCCGATGATAAATCGAACACGTGAGTCACAAGTGTAATTTGAAACCTATTTTTCATGGTAGCTCTGAAATTAGAATAGCTACTAACTTAGGTCAGATGAGGCGATTGGTTTGAGGTGAGTGATACTAAACGATACACTCACACCTTTTCGTTACTCCTCAAAAAAAGCTGCTTCAATTTTGGATATCCATCTTGGAATTTCCAACAAATCTGTGCTTTAACTAGTCTATTAGGCTGTCCAGGAATTAGTGAATTTGTTATTTTTCAATGAAAGGACGAAAAGGAACGAGAAGACTTTCTGAGCAGCCTAATACTTTGTTACAAAGCGCAAAACAACGACTGCCAAAACATCAGATCTTACCTCTGATAAAGTTTATTTCGTTTCAGAAAATCCCTCTTCACCCGTTTATTGCTACCGATATCATTATTTGTGGTAACAATGCTTCAGGTATGTTTAAGCAAAAACCATCATAAAACACCATTCAAATCAAAGCACATAATGACATAAGAGTGACAAGAATATAATAGAATGTATTTCAATTTTCTCTCAACTTCAGCTGAAATTCTTCCACGAGCCATGGTCACAAGCTGTTCAACCAATTCGAGCCACCAGCGATTCTGAACCAGGAACAAGTAATCAAGGTTCGGTGTTGGGCAACATTACTAGCAGACCCCTGATTAGTTTAACTACAATACTAACCAAGTTTCAGAGTGATAAAATTCGATAAGGCCCTTGTCTCTGACTCACATTATTTGTGGCAAAAAGAGATTTTCTTTTTGAAAAGATCCGTTCTCATTAACTTAAACTTCCAAAGTATTCAGTTTGATTCCAACTGATGAATCCAGCCGCAAAATGTCACATCTCATTTTTTTACCCTCACACAAAAACTGTCCATATTTCAGGAAAAATTTCCCCTGGGATTCCCAGCCGCTTCTTGAGAGGTTTAGAGAAACAGACGATGAGTGAAAAATTCAAAGCATTTGTCATTGTCTTGACACCATCTTTTGCATTAATCTTCAGAATCATTTGTGGATGCAACCGATCTCTTAATGTTTTGCCATACGTAGAATGACTTGAAAAATTCTAGATCGTGAAAGTCATTCTAGCTCTTTCCACCTACAAACCGGACTAGCTTAGCTTAACCAATCTGAAAAAGGTCAAGTAACGACCCTGTTTCGAAGCATATCCAGCAACCCTGCTTTTCTTCATTTCATCAACAAAAATATGATTCCTTTTGTTTTTTTTTCCCATTCTCCTTTACCCTTTCCTTTCCTTTCCCCCTTCCCAACTGTCACCCGGGGTTTCAGTTTGTCCACCTTTTTCGTTTCCCTTCCTTTTCTGCCATTTTTCACAAACGATTCATGAGAATTTCGTTTTTATTTTCTTTCAGAGATGCGTAATGTCCATACAAACAAATCGTTTTTTCTGACTCATTGTCAAAGATTTCATCGATATTTCCCCACAAATTAATAAGGCTTCTCACTGAACACTTTCCCTTTTTGCATCCAAAAATACATCATTCTCTTCATGCAAATTTGATAAGCCCGCAACGCGTAAAGGCCATTTATCAATGGTCTTTTGTCGAGTAGACAAGGGAAGTTTGCATTGAACATCTAGCATTTTTATGTTCTACAGTTTGCTAACAAAAGCCTTTCAAAAACTCAAAAACAAAAAAGAATTTTCACAACTGCCAATCAGATTTAATAAAGAAGGCCAGGTTTATTATTCTTTTGATATCAATCTTCTAGGTCACCGATTAGTCTTTTTATCAAACAAAATCACTAATTTTGTCCCTCCGCCTACTTTGATTGCAGCAATTTTCCCTCACATCCCATTGTTCATCTAAAGTTTTGCTCATAAACCTATTATTAGTTGAAAAAACAATTTTTTCGATCATTACGAGTGTGATTGTTTTTGTTGGAGTCTTCTTTGGTCAGCTGTCTTTTCTCCACATTTTTCCTCTTTCCCTTCCCCTTTTTTCATGTTATGTGTAAACTCTTTGAGGATCCGCTCTCTTTGATCTTTATACATACTCATTAGACACTTTAATGCCCCTGAAATATAGTTAGAATCCTATTTACGTGTTTAAAAGGACTGGCGCAAAGCCGCGCGGCGCGCTTTCTAAAGCGTGGATGCGCTACCGTACGCTGCACAAAAATTCCCCTTTCGCCATTCTTTTCCATTTTTCTGCATTCCATGATGGGGTCGGGACCTTTGTCCGGTTTTTACGCCGAGTCCCGCTAAGTTTTCTTCCCTCTTCTGTTAAATCTATTCTGTTCTGATAGTGCGTTTTCAAAGTCCCCCTCTCCCCACATTCGTTCCCTTCTTTTTATATTATTTGCCCATAGTTTGTTTAAAATTCTAAAATCGTTTTGTTTCGTTTCTCTCGGCCTCCTTCTAATCCATTGTCTTCGAATCTTTTTGTACGTGCCGCATAAACTTAATTTAACCTAAACTCTTGCGCCTAAACGCACAAAATCTACCAAATCAAATCGCCGCGATCTTGGGTTCTGTGTCTAATTATTTTAAAAAAGGCTTGCTAAGTCTAAAGCTGTTAGGTAAGGGGGTTAGTTACTAACTATATAGTTACAGCTTTTCTTGATACAATCGGAAGATCTTGTTCATTGTTCATTTCCAGTTTTTGTTCATTCCCAATTTGCCCTTCAATTTAGCGATTCGAAGCAATCCTTTATGGGTCGTCATTTTCTTTTCTTCTGATATTCAATGTTATTACACAGTGTTCGTGATATTCCACCAACTCTTCACTTTTCGAATCTCGAGAATCGTCTATCGTTCATTGATGATTCCACCCAAACCATCTCCGATAATTTCCCGAAGTTTCCCGATTATCGGAAAATACTCAAAAGTGCAATTAGGAGATTTCGGGGTAAAGTAAAAAGTAGAATAGGATCCTTAAGTCATGAGATCGACCCAGAGCGGCAAAATTTTAGTCATTTGGTATATGTTCAAATTTTAGCCGTCTCCCTCTCGGCCCGTTTGAAAGCATGGGCTCATTATGGAAGCGAATTGTTGTGGAGAATCATGGAAGTGCATATTGCGAAGATTGTCTTTATCACAGTGATGGCCATTGCATGCAAAAATGTAAGTTTGATCATCAGAAAATCATCTCTATTATCTTTAACTTTAGATCACAGCCATGTATATCCCAGTTGTGGTCCTCATTTCCCTGGGCCTATGTCTTCCACGCGGTGCAACGGGTCTCCTTGGTCTCATCCTCACTGCATATCTTGCTGTTCTTGCCCTAGCCAAGATGGTTTTCCAGGTTTGACCGATACAGTAGAGCATAGAGCAATTAACAATTCAGATGAGCTTCATTAAAGCCGATATATTTGGAGACGGGAATGGTACATGTGAAGGAGATGAAGGGGAAAACGCCACTTCCTACAATATGTCGACGACAGAATGGGCCGGCTTCAAGAAAAATCAGAATATGTTCAACGAATTGGGGGTGGGTTGAAGAGATAAAGATAGAGTGCACAAAATTATCTACTGTTTATTCATTTTAGGGTCTTCTTGTCTCAATCTGTGCCTTGACTCTTCAATCAATTGTTATCTATCGACAGAGGAATTTCCGAATCCGAACCTCACAACCACCAAATCTGAGGGTTCGTTGAAAACACTTGATTTAAAACTTTTCTTTTAGCATCGAATCTTCCCGGAACTTGATCCCGTCACTTATGATCACAGTCTAGTCAATTGCTTCAAGTTCTTCGTTGATTTCGGGTTCTACAAATTTGGGTTAGAGGTAACTTTAGGAATTTCCAATAGCTGGTAACGGGTATCCCAAAATTTAGTGTTGCTTGGTGATGATCGCAATCAATGCCTGGATACGAATGGACATGTTGGGAGCTGTGGTGATAGGATGGCTTGCTGTCTTTGCTCTGTCAAAGAGAACAATGGCTAGGTTTGTTATTGATGCATATTCTATCAAGCTTACTCAAAATGAATTATTTTAGATGGCTTTGGCCGATCTTCTTGATCTACTTGGTCTTGCTATTGCCTATCCAGTTCTCAATTTATGTCGGACTTCCACCCAGCTTGTGCATTGGTAAGTTATCAGAATAAACAAAATTAGCTCTAAAATTATCTTCAGACTATCCCTGGAAAAATCTCTTTATAACAAACCCAACAAAAAGAAGAAATCTCCTCATTTGGTTGGGTCTTGCCGATTATGATATTCAATGGACATCCGCCAATCTTCTCGCTGATTTCTTTTTGCTCATGTTTGTCTCATGCCAGGTAACAAAGCTTTTTCTGAACTTTACTAAGCTTACTCTTATTTATCCCAAATACTCTTTAGGCAGCCGTTTTCCGTGTCGAGGGTCCAACACATCCGGCTGGTGATAACGATTCTATCTACAAGGATGGTGTCTATCAGTTCAAAAATAATCCTCGCTATGATTTTGTCACAACTCAAAGGTAGAAAAGCCGTGAAACCGAAAAATATGTACAGGGAATTTAGATCATTTGTGGATTATTTCAAGAAGTTCGTCTTCTTGTACGCTCAGTGGATGACATTAGTGACGGTGATGGTGGCTGGACTCGGAGGTACGTATTTCAAGTACATGTTCAATATCAGGCAACTACAAGGTGTCTCAAAATTATGCGGACAACTTTTTGGAAATGTAGTTGTCGCAATTTAATTTATTTTAAAGTGTCAAGTGTTATATAGAGAATTGTAACCCATAAACTTGGCTACATTTATCTACTAATCGGATGTATACAGCTCATTCAACAAGTCCTTGAAGGAGCACTAGTCGACCCCTATCCGGCGCGCTGTCATTTTTGACGATGTTCTACGTAATGTCTGCATAATTTTGAGACACCCTGTAGATAAAAATCTTTATCTCTCTAGTGCAGAACAAAATGCAGAACTTTAACAATTTCAGGAACATCGTTGTTTGCCCTTGGCTACCTTTGCTTAGCTTTCTGGATTCTGTGGTCAGGAAACGCGCTCTACGTGATGAAAAACCACAACAGAACCATCAAGAAGTAGGCTTTAGATATTGTAGATAGCTAAATATTTCAATATCTTGCAGATTCATGATCGTTCTTGGATACACCGTTTTCTCGATGTTTTGCAAAGTGTCGCTACAGGTTTATACCATACCAGCTTTGCTAACACCATACCACCCGCTTCGCGGGCCATTAAATTTTCGGTTCCTTCCTAATACTAGGTACCTTAATAAAATTGGGTACCTTAACTGTGTAATGGGTGCCTTAAGAAAATCGGGTTTTTATTAGGCTTTTTTAGTTTTTATTTTTGCCAAGTTAATTCTAATTGTATTGATGATGTTTATTTTGCAATTTTTCCTGTATTTGTGATCCTTTTTCAACAGTTTATTTATTTGGCAACAAAAATCAGTAACCCATGACTTTACAAGATTTGCTTTATTGGACATTTTTCGTAGACGTAGGGCAAAACATCAAATCGCTGTATAAGGTACCCGTTCCACGGTTAAAGTACCCGATTTTTTAAGGTACCTAGTAAAAATACAATCCGATCGGATTGGCCCCCTTCCGCTTTCGCCGTATTTTGCCAACGGCAAAAAGCGAGGAGCGAGATTCCGAAGGTACATCGCAGCGTCTACGTGACAGACAGACAGACATCTTATTTTTTATATATAGCTAGATATGCTTTGAGATACGGATCTTGTTCAAAAGTTCTATTTAGGTTGTCGGTTGTGTGTTCCTCGGAAGTTTACACGGAATCCCTGGGAAATGGGGCTGTATCCTTAGACAGATCTTTTCGATTGCTTGTGTCAACAATTTAGCCATGGAAGATATTGCTAATCTATTTCCTGAATGTAAGTAATAACTACTGAATGCTCTCATGTATTTGTAATATGTAAAAGTAAACAAAGTATCAATTTTTAGCAACCGAATTTGACAAAGATTGCCCTGTATCTGCGGCGGAGACGAGAATTGGATTTGACACGCTCGCTTTGGCTTTCTTGGTACTTCAACTACGTATCTTCCATTCGTGGTACTTCCAACATGCAATGACTGATTTCAGAGCGGAAATCGTTTTGGCAAACAGGTATGGGCTGGTAGTTAGCTATCAACCGGAATCTATACTTAAACGCTTCAGAGGAGCCGTCCTAGCCAATCAACTCATCGAAAAAGAAATGAAAGAGCAGACACAACAACAAAATGAGAAATTCAATGATATCAAGCGACGAACCGATGATATTAGAGCACAGTAAGTTCATAAAGAGTTATCAAGATAAGATTCAATTCAGATATCAAAAACAGCAAGCTCTCGAACGTACTTTTGAACCGAAGACGTATGGTCAAGGTAGGTCTATCCGTTTTGCATATCAGCTTCTTCATGATACTTCTTAAACTATATATTTTTTTACTTCTCCTCTTATTTTTTGTGCCATTCCAGTACTTTTGGTGTGGAACTCGTCGAGCACTAGTACTTTTGATTAGACTTTTGATTAGCGCTGTAAATTGTTTCTATGCAAGTCTACACCAAAAAGTGCCTTCAGCATGAGTTCTGTAGGAATAGGTATTGATGACTCGAACTTTTCTGTTGTCCCTTGTGCATGGTGTAACTGTTTCGATATGTGGTTTGTGTAACTTTTAGCCTTACGTTCCGGAAGATTCAGCCGTAGCCAACCCGGCTCTCCTGTAAATAATAATCTTGATATCAATGAAGACGATCCGCTTCCATTTTATGATCCTGAACGATTTGAAGGGGGTTTGTGCGAAAGAGAAAACAATGAAACACACAAGAACCGCTTGCTGCCGGCCACGATTTCTTTGAAATTTTTTGTTGAATCGTCAACTTTGCTTCAGCTTGAAACGTTAACTGTGCATGTTTGCATGTGGAACTGACTGATCTATCGATTGCACGAGTCTTTATTTTCCCCGTTTTGGGTTCTGTGGCTGTTTTTTAATAGTCTTCTAGACATGGGCTTGAATGCTTCAAATTAAAGAACCCAAAACGACTCCTTTTTGTTTATCTATCTCTTTTCATTTCTGTTCGTTGTACCCACAAATCCTTTCTTTTTCAGCTTCTACCACCAAAATTTGTTCCAAATACTGAAAACCAGATTCACTTTAGCTAAAAGAGCCGGCGATTACTACATGTTCGAGAAAGATCCTGAAAATCTTGTTCCTCCAATTGAATCATTTGTTCCCGAGGTTGATCCGGAAGGATCTGAATTCAGAAGACTCGATCCGACCCAGGTTTGATCAACACCAATAACTTTAATAATTAAAATTCTAGTTGGTGTACACGGCTGTGAACAAAGACATGAATCTGTCGGCTTCAATGAGACAAGTGGAAAAAGCGGAATTGATAAAAGATGATGAGGAGAGAAGAATGATTGCTGCTGTCACACCTGACACACCACCTACTGAAAGAGTTGTCGATGAACCGATTGCCGAAGAATCTGGTAATCTATCTACTTTTGGAAATATGAAATAAAGTTTTCAAGTTTGCCAAAGCAATCCTGTCTTCAGATTCCTTCTTCATAGCCACGTTGAAGTTTGTGTTCAAATTTGCCTACAATGTATTCGATTGGACAGCTGTGTTCTTGAACAGGTAAAAGCTGTTTGAAGTAGCTTTTGCATGGATGCTGGAGTTGGCATCAAAGTTTGGCCATAATCGAAATGATCTTTGTTCAGGCGTTCCCGCGAACATCGCTATGTCGCTTATGTGCTGGGTCGAGAGAAACAAAGACTGAAAAATGAGTATGGAGAGGTGAATAGTTCCTATATACTAGATAGAAAAGTGCAGTGTCTGGCCGATGCGTCTGTACGGGCTTTTTCTCAGCCGTCTTTAGTCCAAAAAAACTGAAATTTTTTTTAAAGTCTCAAAATATAATAATAATGCAAAAGTTTCCAGATTCTCTGTGATTCCACAAAACCGATGGCTGACCTTCAAGCCCTTGTCCCACTTCAACAACTTCAAGTGGTTCGAACTGAAACCGACATTGAGAAGTGGGGAAATCTTCGAAACCGATTTCAGCATAATTTTAGACTTGAGTCAGAAGCGCTTGGTGATTGGCAAAAGCGAAGTGTGTTTGCTCGTTTGTTCAACGCATTGGGTGACTGTGTAAATGCACATACTGATGTCATCTGTTATGTTCTGGCAATCATGGCTCATGCTTATTGTGCAGGTATCCACGCGCATCCAACGTATCAAATTCATCCAAAAATTCACTTTTAAGTTACTCATTACAAGTTGCCCATTCAGGCCTTATCACCCTTCCACTTCCATTACTGGTTTTTTTCTGGGGTTCCCTCTCCAATCCCCGACCGAGCAAAATGTTCTGGATCGTTCTCATCGCTATCACCGAATCAATTGTAAATCATTGAACTCATCAAAAAAACCCTCAAGATTCAGATCATCATCAAATTCATTTTCCAATTTGGCTTCTTCGAGTTCAACACAGAACAATCCCAATCTTTGAACAACAAGAATCAATATCAATGGAATAAGGTTCAGTTTTGGAACAGAATCACTTAACAAATCTATTTTAGCTTTTCGGAGTCCAAAGACAAAGCTACTATGCATTTTTGGATGTCACTTTGTTGATCTTCTTATTCTATCATCGGTGAGACTTTCTTGCTTTCATTGTTAATCAGATTTCAGATACAATCTTCGTCGGCTCGGTCTATGGAAAGATGCAAATATCAATGATACGTTCTCTGGGAATAATACAGCTTCGATCGATCCATTAGAGCTACAAGTAAGACAATGTATTAATAAAATTCGCCAAAATTCATGCATTTTAATAAGTTAGTCTAGGGACAATAAAATACTTGTAAAAGCTACGATAACCTAGTGCATTTAATGTTTATTTCTCTTTGCTAGGCCTAGAGAAATTATCAAAAAGTGGCTCAGGGAATTGCTTGGACAGAAGAGGGGAAAACCCTCTTCGAGAAATGGCTTGAGGTAAGATAAGGATGAGTTTGGTTTTGAATTTAACTGATAAATGTACAATAATACTAGTCGTGCCCATCATTCACTGAATTGCATTTTTATTTTGAGTGCTGCATGTCTTAAAGCCAATTCTTTGAACTAAAAAGTTTTCAGATGACCATGGAAAACACAGAATCACCTGAACAACCACAAGAAGAAGCTGCTGAAGGTGAGCATTTGAAAAAGGAGTTTTGGTTTCAAAAGTGAAATTTCTAGAAGACGCTGAGAAGAAAAAGGAAATGAATCCATTTGCCCGTTTCTTCAATCAATTATTCCGTCCGAAGTTCCGTTATATCCGAGATCTCTATCCATTTTTTTTCGCTTTTGACATTATTTGCATCTTCATCATCAGTAAGTTGGCTAAACGATGAATCAAATCAATTTCCAATTCAGCCTTTGGATATTCATCATTCGGAGAGGGTGGATCGGGGAATGTCGTCTCGGATATTCAATCGAATCGGATTCCATTGGCATTTGTTATCATGTTGATCGTGTTGACGTGTATGATTGTGATCGATCGAGGGTTGTATCTCAGAAAGGTTAGTCGAGACGTCTAGAATTTCTCCAATGGCTTCACAGTTTATGAATATTGATCCATACCAGATAAAGTCTCGTAAATAAACCCATTTCAGGCGGTCTATTGCAAACTTGCCTATCAACTGATCTCCATCATCTTCCTTCACATCTGGATTTTCCTAGTCCTTCCATCGATCACAAAGAGGTAAGAAACGAAATGAGTCTCACTCACGATCAGGCCCAGGGGAGGGACTCCTATTTTTCTTTTTTGGCCCCCCCCCCCCCGGAAATATTTTCTGGCTAAGGGCCTGCTCACGATCACTGAATTCTCTACTCTTTCAGAGAAGCCTCCTCGAATAGAATGGCTCTTCTGTTGTACTTTGTGAAGTGCATGTATTTCCTTGTCTCAGCTTGGCAAATCAGGAATGGATATCCAGCTCTTTGCGTCGGAAATCTTCTCACTCATGCCTATGGACTCACCAATATGGTCTTCTTCAAAATGTAAGTAATTAAATAGTGAAGATTTGAAGTGCAACTGCTTGAGTCTAGTTCTCAATAATGTTCTTTCAGCTTCATGGCCGTGCCCTTTTTATTTGAACTTCGAACAGCCATTGATTGGACTTGGACTGACACCTCAATGCCTCTCTTTGATTTCTTTAATATGGAAAACTTCTATGCCACAATTTACAACTTGAAATGTGGACGGCAATTCGAACAAGTTAGTTTTGAATGAGAATCTGTTTTCATATCTATTGGTTTACAGAGTTACCCAGCTCCAAGAGGAGTCGAGAAAGGATCGCTGATCAAATATCTGATGGGAATTCCAATGATTCTTTTCATCATCTTGATTATTTGGTGCGTTTTATTCTATTAATTTGCAAAAGTATGCGGAATTCAGGAGTCCTCTCATTGCCTTTTCTTTACTTAACAGAATTGGTGTTGTTTTAACGCCGAACATTGCAAGGATGTCGATTTCTGTTGATGGATATCCGGTACTTGAAAGTTATTGTCAAAATATGATTTAAAACAATCTAGCCGCTCTACTCAATCGAAGCGCAAGGCACTGAGCTGAAACATCTTACAGCAGCAGAGCTGAGCGGATTGAGATCCGGCTTCAGTGTGGCTTTTGTACCCGGACCAATGCAAGATGATTCGATCAGAAAAAGTCGGAGTGCTGTCTCATTCCTTGATGAATATACTCAAGATGACTCACTGGTAAGTTTAGAATTGAAATATGACTTGAATTCAAGTTGTAAGACTTTAAAAACAAAAAAATGAAACTTTAGAAAGTGCTCTTCCGTCCGGAGTCCGAGCAATCATGGGACATTTCAGATGACTCGAAAACGGCCATGATGTGAGGAAACGTTGCTTTTTTGCAAGATAATTTTGCATTGATTTAGAGCTGCTCTTAATGACACAACGACAACAATGCAAATGCAGATTCACATCTCATTCACTCGCCCTCGACAGGACAGCAGCAAGGAGCCGGTTACACATACTAGTGAGCCAGAAATTGAATAACATGTTAAATTTTAGTCTGATACACTTAGAGGTAAAAAATGAAGCACAAGTGATTTTCGATTTTTGCTTGCGATTAGCCTCTTGCTATCTCTTTGCTTTCATTTTCAATGTCTAAATTTTACTTTAGGTGAATTCTCGATTGCGATGGATAACACGACGAAAATTCGAGAGCAGATGTTGAAAGCGCTGAGAGATGATACGGTTAGTTGGACTAATCCGCCTTCAATTAGTCAAAACATGAAGACAAATCCGGTTCTTTTCAGAATTCAACTGTGATTGTCAGTAACGCGATTCCCGTCTATCTAATCGTTCCAAATGAAGGAGAGGTAAAGATTCCGATAAATTCCACAAACTCACCTCTCTTTTAGGTAATTCAAGCATCCGCCCTGAATTGGGTGATGAATCAATTCGTCAAACCGGAATTGAAGCAAAACAGTCTCGCCACATTGAAGCTCACTTTGAATGCACAAAATGTGAGATTAGAAGAGATTAGTTGTAAAGAGATCCCCTTTAGTTGTGGACGGTTGAAATGCAACGACCAGAGCTGAATGCGACGAATCTTCTTCTACCAGCGGAAAAAGTGAAATATGGAACGGGTGGAAAGGAATATTTGCAACTTGTATCATTTGTTGATCGAACATTCCCGTCATTCTTCGCGAAATATGTGCAAGGAGGGTGAGTGATGCCTTTGGCAGTATCAAAGCTCAGTGTTAAACCTGCAAGCACACGTATTAGGCTGTCCAGAAAGTCTTTTCGTACTTCCGTTTAAAACCAACCATTTGAACTACGGTTTGTTTCACTAGAAAGGCCAATTATTTTTTCTGCAAAATAACATTAAAGCGGGCTTAAAATGTCTTATGTCTGAATTTTTTTTGGAGTCTGAAGTCGGGTAGTCAAAAAGGGCGACGGCTCGATCGTGCGGTTAGACACTTTAGCTAAAGAAAACCTATCTTTGTGTTAATAGATAAAAGATAGCACAAAAAGTTGGGTATATACCCAAGGAATTCATTCAGCCAACTTCTTCGTAGAGATTTTTATAGATTTTACGAAAAACACGTTTTCACTCTCGAATTTGCTTGAAAGTGAACCCAAATTAACTTAAAAAGATGGAAAATTGAACAATAAATACTTTTTATTTAGAGTAAACCATAGGTTATTTGGTGAATTTGTAATATTTCAACGGAAGTACGAAAAGGAACGAAAAGACTTTCTGGACAGCTTAATAATAAGTCTAGCTGAAAATACCTATTGTGATTAATTCCAAGCATTAGCCATCTAATTTCAGTGTCATCGCCATGTACATCGCCTTGGTGATCGTTGTGGGCAAAGTGTTGAGAGGTCTCTTCACAAATCAACCACTTGATGTCATCATCGCTGAGATTCCTAATCCAGATCATCTACTCAAGATTTGTTTAGATATCTATTTGGTTCGAGAAGCGAAAGATTTTGTGTTGGAACAGGTTCGTGATTCTAGTACATTTCTAGCATCCATCATCTTTCAGGATCTCTTCGCGAAATTGATCTTCTTGTTCCGTAGTCCCGAGACGCTCATAAAATGGACCAGATATAAGTTCAAAGATGACTAAACCATTACCCATTATTTATCAATTCTAATTTGATTTTTCTTTTCAATGTCTATAGCTCCAAATTCCTAGTGATCAATTCATCTTGCCGTTTGAAATTGCTTCAATTTGTGACATTTCCTCGTCTCGAGTCTTTTCACAATTTCCCCGTGTCACTGTTTTTCCCAATTCAGTTTTAGTTACGGTTTTGTGAATACTTTTTTTTCTGTTTGTTGTGAGAATCTTGTTATATTGCGAGTATTTCAAAATATCTCTACGATGTGCATATGTATTTCTTTGCTGATACTTTCCCGACGTCAAAAACAGTACAGTAACCTAGAAATTAGCATATAACAGCATTTTATAGGGAAAGTACCAGTTATTTTTCCATTAATTTCGTGCTTTTCCTTTGGTGCCGTCTCGAAATTCTCTCTTTCCAACCAAAAAATATTCAACGAATTTTTTTGAGATCGCTCTAATTTCATTTTTTCATTCTTTCGGGTGCTCATTTTTTCTGTGCTAAATAAATTCCTATCTGCTAGTTATAACAGAGAAATTTGCAATTTGTCTGTCCGTCCGTGCGCACGGAAAATTTGCATTTGTGAAGCGAATTAACATGAATTTCTAAACAAAATTTATAATTACCGAATTCAATTTTCCTTTTATTTTCAAAGTATTCAGCTGTTTGATTGGAAGTTGCAACTGAAACTTTTCCCTGTCCACTTCACTCTTACTTTTTCATCTTGCAATTTCAGCGCTTATCTACTTCTATATGAATTGTCATGCTCATGCTTTTAGCGTTATTAGTGCCCAGCTGTAAACAGTTAGTAAACTATAATTCCCCTGGACTGAAGTTCTTGATCAAAACGTGAAACTGCACCCAGGCAATGTTTAATCATGAATCAAAACCAAATTTATTTATTAAAATCAGTCATCCATTCGGTATTCCACATCGTTGGTGGCAATGGCAATTTAACAATTGTTGGTCTTGTCATATCAACTTCCGAATAGGGGTTGTTATCAAGGGCAACTGGCAGAGATAATGGAATCGGAATCGATTCCCCGTTTGGATCATCGGGTTCAATCGGGGAGAGTGTTGGGAATTCGGGGAGATTCTCTTCTATTTGCTTCGTCTTCTTTATCTTCTTTATCTTCTTTATCTTCTCCATTTCTCCTTCTTTTAAATTTTCCCTAGCTGATTCCAATATCTCATCTTCCATGATTGCATCAAGAATATCAACACTATCAGCATCATCATCAGCTTCTTCATCCCTTTTTTCTTCAGCTGGTTCAACTCTGATCTTATCTCGATGAGCCCGATAACTGTCCACAACTGTTTCCCCTTGTAATTTCCCTTTGATCATTCGATAACTTGCAGCCATTTCCTCTTGTTCTAAGTTTATGTTAAATTTATGTTAGTATTCAATCTCTCACCTGGGGTAGTCATATTCTGTCCGGAATGCCTCCTGTAGCTCATCTTTGCCTCATTTTTCTTTGCCCATTCACTCTGCAAGTGATCTTCATAGTCAAAATCTCGTTGTTGCAGCTTACGAGCATGCTAAAGTTGGTCAAGTCATTTCAACTTCACGGCTTACTTTACCGGCATCACAAATACATCTTCAAAACCCTCTTTTGGATCATTAATTGGTGTTTTTGTTGTAGTTGGCGGTGGCTTGGTTGAGGGGTGAATTATTGAGGATCGGGAAAGAAATCTCGGTACCGAGAAATCTAAACACTTTTTGGTGCAATTGTATTTTTGTTTATTCACCTTCATTGTGCATCCTAACTCTTTTCCTCATTCTCTGAAATCCAAGGGGTGCTCGAGTGACAATCTCTTCAAATGGATTCCCCTCCGCTCCTCCATTCTCAACATCATCGCGTAATCGTCTGAATTTTTCTAATTCTTTTCTTTGAAACCCTTTTGATCTATAATCTCACTTGTCGAATGGCGCTGGAGGTGGTTTTGGGAAATCCTTCTAAAATTTCTATTGATATGTCTATCACATTGATTGACAGTTAGTTTAGACCCACCTCGAGATCTGTGCTTTCAACAGCATGGAATTGTTGCAGGGAAATTTCTTCTGTATTAGGTTTGAGTGTGGTGAAAATACGGTTGACGTTTGGTTCGGCTGATGGCCGAGGGACCTGAGGAATACATGTATTTGGTTGGGGAATAAATCTTTTCGTTCCTTTTCGTACTTCCGTTGAAAAATAACAAATTCACCAATTAATCTATAGTTTGCTCTCGATAAAAAGTGTTTATTGTTCAATTTTCCATCTTTTTAAGTCAATTTCGGTTCACTTTCAAGCAAATTTTCAAGGGAAAACACGTGTTTTTCGTAAGAATCTATAAAAACCTCAACGAAGAAATTGGCTGAATGAATTTCTCTGAAAATATTCACCAACCTAATAACTTGTAAATGAATCGATGTTTACCTTTTCCCTTTGTTCGGCCAAATGATTCAATTCCTCGAAAGTTGTCCCTCCATATTCATAATTGGATAATGCCATCATATTCAAATAAATTGCATCAAATGGTTGCAATTTTCGAACATCAAAATATCCATGTGGAAAAAGAAAAGGGACATTTCTTTCACTGAAAACAAGTGAGATCCACGAGGAAATCAAGATTAAAGAAACATACATCAGAGAGAGAAAAATATACAGATAGTGAATGGGGAGAAATCTCTGTGATCTCAAAAGATTTGGATGAAAATTGGCAAAACCATTTCACTGCCATTCACGCAAAACTGGATCATTTTGCTCTTTCATTGCTTTCATCGATCAAACTGGATCAATGACTGCGAATAAGACAGGTTTGATCTTGTGAATAAAATGCTAATAATGAAATCAAACAGTTTATTGGTAACAAATCAATAATCATCCATCATTCCCACTTCTCCGCCTTGTTTTGAAAGTCTCCACAATTCTTTGTTTCGTATTAAATTCCTGATCCCCAGAAACTGTCATGTTTTGAGTGAAGACGCAGAAGCTTAAAAGGGAAATGAGGGAGTGATTGTGTTATCTCTTGATTGAAAGAAAAGGGGTCAATGAAAGAAATGATCGCCCGAATGAATGTTCTTTAAATCTCTTTTCCCCTTTGTCGAATCACCAATGTTTTTTGGTGCCAACCTGGAATATTTTGGTTGGAAAGTCGACTCTTTCTTCTCTTTCTTCTTCCTGGTTCTGTGTTTTGAAATTTGGCTTGACTAGGCTTGACTTGACTTTCATATTATCCTTCAACAGTCGACTATTAGTTTTGAAAGGATTCTCATTTTCCTTAAACTGTTTAAAATTTCAAATTCAAACATAGTTTAACTTCGAATCTTCTACTATTATCTTTAAAAATCTATCCTTTCAGCCTATTTCTGAGATCGAATTGATCATTGGATAAAAAGAGGCTAACAAATGTCTTTGATATTGTGAGCAGACTCTTTCCGATCTTTTTTCCTCGATTATAAATGAATTGATACTTTGCCTTGGATAATGAATTTTAATTTATTAATTAAATGACCAATGACTAATGAATTTTAACCATAACTAGAGTTAATACAACTACTTAGTATTACTATAATAACATATCTACAAGATTCTGTGGCTTCTCTGAAAATAACTAACACGTAAAAATTTTATCGTTGGAAACACAGAGATCAGTAGCTTTCCAGCCTGAGAGAGAATTCGTAAACAACTTGGCCCAGAACCAAGTCTTACTACTCGACAAAAAGCTCAGCTGAGGAGTTTGTTCAAAGATACACCATCATTTGGGGTAGGAGGGAAGGGCATCCCGCATGACGGGCATTCACGTGCCATCGAATGACTGAAAGGGGAGAGACAAGTACAAGACTCCCTTTCCCCTTTTCTATACATTGTCTGTGTCTCCAGTCTATTTCAATCTCTTCTCTACTCTCTTCCCATTTCATGTGTTCATTGGCGTTTCTCGTAGCCGTGTCCGTTTTGTGCCGAGGTCACATGGGACTGCCGGTGTGCGGCGAGGGAGGAGAAGAGGAGGTGCCATCTAGCCCCTATCCCTTCTTCCTTTCCCCTTTACCGTCTACCTATGATTTTTTTCATTTTTAGGAATTGGAAATTTTAGCGCTAGTTATTTTCCCGAGTTTTTTCTCTTTAGTTTTGAAACAATGAGGCTTTGACACATTTTCCTTAGTCAATTTAAGGTTTCGCTTTAGCTTTGTCTAAACAGCAAAAGAATTTGGGCAGTTCTATGTAACCACTTAAAATCTACCCTCTACTTTGACATTTATTTTCAAATTCATCGTAAAAACACTCAAACGTTTGAATCACTCGGCCTTTTGTTTGAAAATAACGATGAAGTTTTGCGATGATTAACTAAAAGACTAAAAGACTAAAAGACTAAAAGACATAAAAGATATGCCAGAAGCTTCGTCGGTTAGAACTTTAAATGAAGCAGATAGCCTTTAGGTAACTTTAGTTACCTAAAGCAAAGTTACCTAAAGCAGATAGCCTTTAGGTAACTTTGCATTTGTGATAATTGACAGAAACTGTCTAAAATCTTTAATATCTTTGATCATAGGAGGCATTTAAATTGTATGATAATTGTTTATGATAATTAACCACCATTCATTAAGTATCTTTTTTTCTAGAATTCAGCTATCCACTCTATTACTATTAGCTCCATTGTAAGCTGTACTCCTCGAAATTGTGATCAATTGTGATTTTTTGTGTAAAGAGACATAATTATCTACCAGAGGCTTTCTCTAGTTTGTAGTCTTTCTTGATTATTGACTTCAGTGGTCAGGCCGGGAAGGGGGATGGACAATCCCCTCAAGAATGGATGGGGGATCGATGCCTCTTCTGTGTCTCTTCTCTGAGCCTTCTTCACCCCTTCCCCCGTCCACTCTTTCATTGGAGGGGAAAATCAACACTCTCCCCTCCCCTTTTTCTCTTTTCTACCTTGTGCAATCTCTTCTAAAATTTCTTAACTCTGGTTTTCTTTAAAGGCTTTCATAATCCCCTTGTAACAATTGTGAGCCAGATCTATGGGGTTTGCTTTGAAAAAATTGCTCACTTCTTTTGTAAACTCTTTCTGAAAAAATTTAAGACCACTGAATGGCTATTCCAGATTTCATCACTTTCCCCACGCAATTTTCATTGCACAATTTTTTAGACAATTTCCTTGCCGTCTTTTCCGTAACTTTTTCCCCCTGGACAAATCAGCCCATTTATGGTCGCCATAAGCAAAACGTTTTTCAAATGAATCATTCTTTACCTTTTTCTTGCTAAGGGAATTTCTTTAATCCTTCTAAAACAGTTTTGAGTCATATTCACTTCTATTATCGCATACAATCAAATAATTTCAGGGCAATACACGAGTCGCCCCAGGTTTTACATTGCAGGTGAACGCTTGATGAATGCACGACATCAGAAATATCGTTTAGTAAGTATTTTTTAGCCAAAGACATAAAAATCCCGTAAGATTTTACGCTGAACTTCACAGAGCTAGCTCTAATTGTTGATCTACAGACCCAGAAAATTTCAGAATGTTGATCTACGACAAGTGAAAGATGCGACAAGCGCTTTTCTCCATTCCCTTCTCTTACATCGATCCGTTGGAAAGGTGAGGGAATGCAATAGAAAAAGGGGGAAAAGAGCGCTGTTTTTATTTTCTTTCCCATTAAAAATTCGTTGTTTACGTGACCATGAAAAAGGCTTAAAAAGGATTGTTTTCCACTCGTAGATTTGAGACCTTTATTTACGGGATTTTTGAGGGAAAATACATTCAAAGGTCTTAAAAAACGCATGAACATCACTCAATTTTCACTCAAGCTTTAGACAAACTTATGAAAGCTTATTGTAAATAAATACAGTGATTGAATGAAATCTAAGAGCCAATATTTAGTTCACATACAAAGAGGAGAACAACTACACGTTGGGATCGCTTGGAGTTGGAGAAGTTGACTGCCAAACAATCGATTTGACATATGTAAGTAAAGCTAATTAGCTAAAATGAGAAATTTTACAACCACAATGTGTTTGACTATAATACTTGACTTGGACAGTTGGGTATTTGACGTTTACAGTTTAACTTTAAGCTTCACAACCTTTCTCAATCTATCTTTACCACAAATACCGCATTTTTCACCTTCTCCCCCACATTAAATGACCACAATTTGCACAAAGATCCCATTTTTCTTTATTGAAAACCTCAGCTTTCATCACGGGAAGTATTTCAAAGAATGGATTGCTTTTGTGTCAATCTCTCATAGAACGGGGGTTGTTGAAAGGGGAAAAGACAATCAAAATTCTGAGAATTAGAACAAAAAGAGATAGAAAGTCAGGGATTTTCAAGAGATCTATAGAAATACAGCTTGTTGATATAGTGTGCTTTCCGAGAGAGTCCTTTACCTCTTCAGCGGGCCAGCTGATCCATTAAGCTCTCTCAGCTGATTTGTCTCTCTCTTTTCCTCGTAGAATCCTGAATTAGAACTTTGGTGGTTTTGAGTGACAGCTAGACAAGCTGGCACCAAAAACAAACGATAAATGAAAAGAATTCATAATTGATAACTCTTTTTCCAGGTAAGGATCAATAGTGAAGAGCTGTGCGCCTACATTGATGAACAGGTAAAGAAAATGAAAAGAATAAAAGGAAATATAAAAGGAATTCTAAACATAAAGCTAAGCATTTAAAATTAGCTTTATATTTAGCTTTATAATGAGTTTCAGGTGCGCGCTTTTTATTCGGATGTAGAGGAGAGTTTCACCTCTCATCCACCAACTCCCGCCTCTTCTCCATCAAGTCCTCCATCTAGATTTAGAGGTTCGTTTCAAGTTTTATCGATCATCATATCAAAATTGATTCCAGAATTTTCTCCATCATTCAACGCCTCAATTGGTGTAGAATTCTTGCAAAAGAAGAAACGACAATGGCCTTTATCGGAAGAATCTGTGTCATGGGAAGTGTGGAATCTCGGATTGGATATTGTTAAAGCTTCAAATGGTAAGAGAACAACAACAACAACAACAAATACTGTAATAGTACCCCACCCCCCTCGTACAGTCGCGTCGTCGCTAGTCGCAAAGGTTTTTTAGTATTTTTCAAAGCGCCCGTACTTTCAAAAAATGGGTCTTTGGTATCAAAAAATAGCTGAAATTCAGGGCTATTTTTTGATACCTAAGCGAGCATTGTAGCATAAATCAGGGTCGAGAAAAATGCGTTTAAAGTTAGACTACGCGATGCTCCTGCCGTCATTATAAAATGATGACGAGAAAAATGCGTTTAAAGTTAGACTACGTGATGCTCCGTCTTTTGATATCAAAAAAAAGCCCTGAATTTCAGCTATTTTTTGATACCTAAACGCGCATTGTAGCATAAACCAGTGTCGAGAAAAACTCGTTCAAAGCTAGACTACCCAACACTCCGCACTGTCATTATGGGGCTGGGGTATTTATTACAGTATTTACGGTATATAATGTTTAAAAAAAGACAATTATGACTTTAATTTGTATAACAATATATCTCAATTCGCTTTTTAGATGAACTATCGGTGATGAGGGAAAGTGTGGCGGAGGCTCTCGGTGAAATCGTTCTCACAATTTGTTCACAAATCAATCGACAACAATATATGCCCAAAATGCCCACAAGGTGAAAAATATTGAATATATACATTCCACAGCCGCTGCAGAACCGAAAAATACAAATCAAAGCTTTAGATCCGAGCTCAACAGCGTTTTCGACAGTCGTTTCACCGATTGCCAGCCGTATCTTTACAAAATTATGCAATCAACGCCAAACACACGTACGTTATCTAATAAATAGTGATATTTTAAGCATTTATTTCCAGGAATTCAATCCCAACGTCCACTTGTCGCCTTCCAAAATGTGCTGAAGAATCTCGCGTATCCAAGCTGAGCAAGTCATTCTTCAGTCATTCTCCATCCAATTCATTCCATATACTCGTCAATCATTTAGCTTCAGCTGGTGACCGATTTGTAGTCTAATATCACTGTCCTCCTTTTCCGGGTCTCAATCCCCATTCGACTTCATCGATTCTTTCCAAGATTTGCATAGTTAGTCAAAAAGGCTAGTTTTTTCTGATTAAGGGAATACTTTGGACAAAAAAACCAAGGATTCCTTTGCCAATTCACCTCAAAACATTTCAATACCCAGGTGCCGATAATCAGGTTTCCCCACACAAATTCATCCCCAAAAATAGCGAATCCTTCCGGGTGCCAAACGGGGGAAGGGATCCTTCCCTTCTCTTCACCCGATCCATCCACCGCATCTATCCACCCGCTCCATCCACCGCATCTATCCACCCGATCCATTTCTCTCCTCAATACAGTGTGTTGACGTGTCTTTCCCCCGTCTGCCGTCAATTCAGATCAGTCTTTTCATTTCATTTTTTCATTATTCGTTTCTCGATTTCCCTTGTGTACCTGAGTACCTAAATTTGGTCTGACATTTTTATCGTGGAGCTCGATTTGAGCTCTGTTTGACGTGGAGCTGGAGGTGGAGCTCTGTTTGACGTAATTGAACCATCTTCAAGTCAAACCAGAATCCGTCTCCACCAAATAAACATTTTCTCATTTCCCCCATTTGTAGGCATAGATAGTCCCATTGTACAGTTCTTTTTATGCAATTTCTTCACCTCAACTCCTCATTTCTCCAAGAAAATGGGTAAATTTTGTATTGTAACTGGGAAAGCAACGAGATTTGGTGCAAATCATCAGCCTTTACTGTGCACCAAATCACGTGCGTTTCTATTTTTCTCTTCTCAATTTTTCTCACTTATCTCCCGATGATTGAATCGCATTTCTAATCAAAATACATTTTAAATGGAAACTTTTGTTTGTTTGTTTGTTCAAGCGCTCAACTGAATCTTCTCTTTTCTTCTGCCACTTCAAATAAAAAAAAAATCGATGATTTTTCGCTGAGAATTGTCTTTTTCTTGTTCTATTAGATATTGAATGTCTGTATGCAAATCTTTTGAATATTTTCGATTGATTGGAATAAACGTGGTATGTACAGAAAAGAGGTTCCAAAAGAGGGAAATCGATTTTTGCTTTACACTTTTTCTTGGTTGAAAAACCAGTGATATTTTTTGTCAATCCGGAAAAGAGATTTCACAATTCTTGTGTATTGTTTTGTCAACAATAATGGAAAAAAAAGGGATTCAAGAGAATTATTAGTTGTATTTATTGTTTTCATCAGGAATTTTTGATCAACAATCATTTCCATTGAATTTTTTGAGTTTTTTCAGCGTACTGCAGTATCCTGTAGTACGCTGCATTCAACGTAGTGCAGTATTTCAGCGTACTGCAGTATTTCAGCGTACTGCAGTAGGTTTAGGACAAAACAAAATCAAAACTTGTTTTTAGTTCCTCATTTTAATCTTACTAATTCTTGTAATAAGCTTTGAGATTCAAAATTTCGATTTTTGATTTCCACAAGCATTTTGAGGCTCGTAATTGGCTTATCAGAGACGAAGAATCTCCAAATTGAATCTCCCTTGGCAACATTGTGAATTAGCTTTCTTTTATTTATTAAACTAAACTAACACTAAATCCTTTTCATTTCAGAAAGCTAAAGGAAGCATAGCACCAGTGTATTCCCATTGCTGCCACGATGTCATCTCTGCAATTCTCTGCAGCTTTGGTTTGTCGTCCATCCGCTTCTTCACAACTCATCCCCATTGCTTCGTGTGTCGTTGATTCGAGTAGTGCAGGTTGATTTTTAAAGATGTTATATTACAGTTTGACAACCTACTTTAAATGACATTTCTTTGATACTACTAATTTAATGATTTAGCTGGGAACTCATCCTCACCATTCACCCGTCATCCTCCATCACAGAAAGATCTCTGTGCGGCTCTCTACTCACAAATTCGAATCCATTTCACCAATCATGGACGCTTTGTTTATGATGGGTGAGTTTGAAACTTAAAAGATTTCGATATCGATTGAGATTATGCATTTAGAACAGACTTTTGACTATTAGAAATCATTTGAACTTCTCCATTCCAGATTCACAATCCACTACAGCGTTGTTGTGGCTGATCCATGTACATTGATCTACGTTGTTGTGAGTGAAGGAGGAGAACCTGATCCATCGGCTATTACTGCACAAAAGTTGATGACGGATATACAAGTATCCAAGAAAAGTTTATAGAACTCACAAAATTTTCAGGGAGCTTTGTTATCCGAAGCCCAATTGTTGATGTTGATGCCGCAGTCATCGGAAAACGAACTTGAGCCCCACATTCAGCCGATGCTCACCCAATTCTTGGTTAGTTTATAGAAATTGACTTGATAAAAACATATTTCTACTCTAAAGAACGTTTTCTTAGTGTGGTGAAGAATGACTCTAGAAAGGCACTAGTTTCTAGTCAATTCCATTCGTATTAGCACTCAAATCTTCAACCAATCGTTTCAATTGCCAGTTCTTGAAGACCAAATTTACTTCAACCCTCACGAGTTCTATTCTTTCAATGATCTTTCTCTCGTCAATGTTGACTCATTGAATGGCAGTACTCTGAGAAAATGTTTACCTTTTTCACCCAGTCTTTCGATCAAAAAAAGACGAAAAGAAGTGCTGAAAATCTCTGAATTCTCTCCCTCCCCTCCCCACAAAATCCTTCTCAAATTCTGTCCCCAACCTCTCCCTTCCTTTTCACCTTTTTCTGTCATTCCTGCACTCTTTCATCACTCTTTTCTTCTCCTTATCGCAATTTTTCCTCTTCTAACAGACCCCATCAACTTCTTTGCAGACTTCGTTCATTTTTTTTCTTATCGATCGAATGATTCGACATTTCACCCAAACACCCATCACTTGACTTCTTTCTTCTGTCGTCACATCAATTTTTGATACGATTTTGAAATATTTGCATCTAAAATGAATTAGTTTGTAGATTTCAAAAAGGTGCAAGTTGAGAACTGATAGTTTTACGATATTTTGTACTAGAACTAGCACTCCGCTTGAAAGATCCAGTAAAAAAACACCGCCCTCTAACCCCGTAAATTACAGTTTTATTTTAAATCCAAAGCCTATCTTGGAGACAAGCTCAGGCCAAAAGAAAAACCCACTATGTAAAGTGGCCTTGGGGTGTTCTTTGTGCAGCGTAACCGCTCACCGTTTGGTCAACGGCTCCCCCTTATAGGGGTGGAAAGTTGTTTCCACATCCGGTTGTGTCCCTATGGGTCAATCTGGTAACCAATCCAGTTTTAAGCCTCATAGGGGTAGCACAACCCCAAAAGGCAGATTTTTAATCAGCCAATTTTGGCTCAGCGTACGTGAGTTTACTCCGCTGACCAATCTTGGATCCCAAGTGCCGTCAATGGTACGCAGGGGGCTGCCGGGAATTTTTGATTCATCCCAAGGACTTGTCCGTAGGGTCAGCAAATAACTCCGAGGGGGCAGTAAGAGGGCATTTATATGGTAAATTTAGTGAGTTAAATGGATTTTCTCATTGAACCACAACTTTCAGATGTTTTGGTTTATTTGCCGGTTTAGCGATGATCATCATTAGTCAGAAAAGGTTACTTGTCTCCTTTTCATAAAAAAAAATCGTTTTTAGACATAGATTCATTTTAATAATCGATTTTACTTCAATTTTTCAGTCTTTCTTACAGTTCTCGGAAAGTTTTTCGTGACTCACATTGACATTCATCGCAGCATTTCCCTCCATCCTTCATTTTCTCCATTTTCTCTTTACAGACCTTTTCCCAAACTTGTTGTTTTTGTATCATGTGATGAAGGGGAAAAGCTATCAATAATATTGATTTGTCCCTTTTTTTGACTCGGAACTTTTGTTCTAAAAGTTCTTCCTACTGTGACTTTCTAAAAACAACCTTCTTGTTAAGGAAATGTTGCCAGCTCAGAATCCAGGCGATTTTGAAACAAGATTCTTAAACAAAAAAAACATTCACTGCCTTTTTCTTTGCAAAAATGACGAAAGCACTCTAAAGTGACCAATTGTTGGTGGGTGAATAGGGCAAAGTGATCCTCAACGTGCACATAGGGAAAGAGTGCTGCAAGAGACCCAAGTAGCCATCTCGGAAAGTCCTTGTGTCATTGAGTCCTTCAACTGACTGACTCTTCCCATATATGTAGACCCAAATGGCATTCAAATTTGCCATTACTATTCATTCTCTTTCCCATACAAAGATGAAATTCGTTGAACAACTCCGCGAATATTTTCAAGCTAGAGAGGTGATACCGGAGATTCCGATGCGATCTAAAGTACCCCCGAAAGAGACCTTGAGCTCTATATTTGTTAAGGTAAGACGGAGAAAATTTTAATCGTCAAGCTTTAATCGATTAATTAATTGATTGCGGGAACACAAATATTAGTACTGTAGATTTTGGATAAGTAATCAAACCCAGCCCACCTATTTGTGACTATTTTCAGCCAAGTACTCTGTTTGTGTCAAAAATTCTCCCAGGTATCCCATTTTTGAAAATAGCCATCCCACTGAATTGAAGAACAAAGAGCTCTTTCCTTTCCTCTTCATCCATTTCCCTTTCCCCTTTTTTTCCATCAGCCTACACACCTCAGGCCATATTCGGTTTCACCATAGTTCCTTCACTCAAACAAACGCCCTATTGCCTTTTTTGGTAATTCATCGACAATATTTTAAGAAATTCAAAAAAATCACTCTTTACTCTAGCTCAACTCTGAAATCAATCCATCAAAAACAATCGAAAAATCGTTTTTCTGATTTATTTGAGCCAACCCTGCGTGGAGGCGTTTTGTTTTTATAAACATTCAAGAATTTTTGGTTTTTTTTTTCAGTAAAAACTTTAATACCAGTTACTGGTTTGAAGGTGTAGACAACACAATTCCAATATTTTCTTTTTTTCCAAATTTTTAACAATTCCAATATGTCAGCTACAACACAATTCCAATATTTTCATCAACATCAATATTTTTCTAATTTTTTACCCCCAGAATCTATTTCATAAACACTGATAAACGCGACTTTCGATTTTTTTCCCTCTCTGTCGTCGCGGTCGAATCAAAAGCTCCTTTTTTCCTGGTGATTCATCGAATTTGTCAGTCGATTCTTCTTTTCTCTAAAGTGCCATTTGAATGCTTCACACAAAATAAAAAAATTGTCTACTGTTTTTGATTGATTCTCCTCATTTGTTAGTTCAAATTTCTCACTGAATTTCTTTATTATGAATACTAACAAGCCTTCAACCGTTTCTATGGTTTATAGTAATATTTTGGTAAGAGAGTATTGCGTAGATTGCGTAGATCTTTACTTTACAAGCTTTTATTTCAGATGACCGAGAATAATCAACAAGTCGGACAGACACAACGAATGCAAGAGCTGAGGGCTCAAGTCGAGGATGTGAAAACGGTGAGTTGAAGAAAAAGTATAAGATTGGATAGAAGATTGAAGAGAATTGGGTCTAGAATTGGTTAACAAATTGATATACTGATCTGTACGACGATCTGTACAACGATCTGTACGTGATTCTAGATAATGAGCGAGAATGTGGAGCGAATGATGGAAAGGGGAGATCGATTGGAGAATATCACAGAGAGGAGTGAACAATTGGCGACATCCGTAAGTTCAAATGAAATCAGATATTCGATTAAAGAGATTAGAAAGTAGACAAGTGATAAAATTACTGTAATATAAATCTAAAAGAATAAGTTGACAAGAACCTAATCTCATCTTTTCAGTCCGCAAACTTCAAAATGAATGCTCGTCGAGTGCAGCGTAAATTCTGTAAGTTTTGTTTCTTTTTCTACTCAAATTTAAAAAGAAATCATTTGAATATTTAATTCTAGGTATGCTTAATGCCAAGTGGACGATTATCTCAATCATTTTCGTTCTTGTTTTGGTCACAATCGCCATTCTTTTGATTCTGAACTGGGCTGGTGTGTTCAACAAGAAATAAACCCATTTATTCCAATGATTTCCCTTTTTCCCCCTCAACATATCATTTCTTCTACTTATTCTCTTTATCCAAGGTACTTCAAGATGATCAATTACGGCTTTCCCCCTGTCATACTGTATTTTTTCTACAGTGCAATACGGTCCGATTTTCTTGTGTGTACAGAATTTCCCGTTCTTTTCTCGAAAATTCCAAAATGATTCAATTCTATTCACTTTATCTTTTTTCTAAATCAATTTTCTCAAAAATTTCACAATAAAATTTGAATCTGATAAAACGTAGTGCTCATTTTTTTATGTAAAATTCAAATTTTGATTCTGTGATTTTACGAAGCCTTTTTTGTTTTTGTAAAAGTTGAGTAGTGAAGCATAAATAGTGAAAAAGAAATTTGGGTTTATTGAAATGAAATGCATTCTACATCTAACACTCCTATATCTCTTCGTTAACAATTTTTTGTTTGATTCTAATGCTTTTAAGCGAATCGATGGACTCAACCCGGCTGAAGCCGAGAGATTCGGGGAAATTCATTGCATCCAAATCGGAAAACGTTTCGATTTTGGAGGATGGAGTCAGGAAAGCGGCTAGATTGGTAAGATTTGTTCTCTTAAAAAGGCTTAAAAGGAAAGTTAGATTAGATCATTCATTGTTGGAGTTTAGATCATTCATTCCATTAAATCAAAGCCTTTTTCAGATCCTTAACGCGGTGAAAGATGGTTCAATGGAGAAAGTTCAATTCGCAGCCCAAGATGTTCACCCAAAAGGTGGAGGAACAAAAGCTGTTGATTGGTGAGTGAAGGATATTGTGTAATTGAGTTTATGTGTTACGTCAGTTATTGAATCTATTCAATATCGGACGTTCGATTCAGAATCGAATGAAACTCAATAACGGGCATAACATATACCGTATTTTCTGTAATAGTAGTGCAGTCTATAATAGTAGTACAGTCTGTAATAGTAGTGCAGTCTGTAATAGTAGTGCAGTCTGTAATAGTAGTGCAGGCTGGAGGGGGGTTAAAAAAATAGTAGTGCGCACTACTATTAGAGAGAATACGGTAAAAGGAAATTTTCTATTTAGGGTCTTCCTCTTAGATACAATCAACTTCTCGTTTTGGCCGGATGAGGGAAAAAGTTACGAAGTTTTATGGAAAGAGAAAAAGTACACGGGATATTTCGCTGCTTGTGCTGCAGTGAACAAAGCTCTCGAGAAGGGAATTCCGGTAAATATACCTAAAGTTATTGCACAGAATTTCACAAAAGTACGGTGTACATTCAAATTTTTAGGTGACAAGCGCCGAATGGATGGCTAAAGCTTCTCTTCAAGATTTGGAGGAGATTTTCCGATCTGATACTCGTAAGTCAACAATAAAAGATTACCAAATCTGATGGCTTTGTTTATTACTAAATTAGTCTTCAATAATGTTGAAAGTCATAGCTTATTTCATTGCAATCATTTTCAGCTCCATTTGCCATGATTCCACTTTTCGAGGAGAGACAAAAAGCGATCAATGATTCGGGAAAAGTTCTTTTGGAGGTATTTTCGTGTCGCTATTTGTCGAAACAATTTATAAAAGCTTCATTTTTCAGAAATTTGATGGATCTTTCCACAATGTTGTGAAGAAATGCGATCAGAGTGCGCAAACACTTCTCCAACTGATTGTCGAAAATTTTGTCTCTTTTCGGGATTTCGCCGAGTTCCATGGACAGAAAAGCAAGCATTTTAAAAAAAAATCATTTCATATTGCACTGCTGCTTTAAACAAGTCATGTAACAATCCCATTTCAGTTTCTTTATTGAAAAGAGCGCAAATTTTGGTTCTTGACGTGTTTGGTGCATTGGAGGGACATCCTGAGGCCAACTTTGGAGATATTGAGTTAGTTGGATATCATAATCTTCAAGTATTTTTAATTTCAGTTCTCTCACAATGTTCGCCGATTATCGTGTGCCCCAGGCAATGGCTTTTCTTGAAGTACTCAAGTATTCTGATCAATTATTGGAAAAATTGAAGAAAAAGGGACGATTGATGGCCGCTGGTGATGAGGAAATTGAATTGAGAGGATGTAGTATTGAAGCGTGTGAGGTGAGGATTCGAGAGGATTGAATTCAATGAATGTATGCATACTGAATAGTATTTAAAGTCTGATACTATCTAGCAAAAGCTTATAGTGACATTTCCAGCGAATTGTGGCCTCGATTGAAGAACTTCGAGTGAACGAAGAAGAGTATCAACACTGTAGAAAGGTTTGGAACATCTTTAAAGCTTTGTAGAAATCCAAAGCCATAAGAAATCCAGCTTTGAATTACAATACAAAAATTGCAGGTGACATCGGCTGATGTGGACGTCTTTCTGTGGATGTACAGAAGAGCGCATGCAGAGAAAGTTGAGGAAGCTGTACCCATGCATCGGACGAGGACTATTTACTATTAGATTAATCTAATTATTATTTGTTAGATGAAAATTGTTAAATAAATTGTTTTTATTCAAGAAAATCAACGTTTATTTGAATGAATAAGTGAATTTTGATGAGAATGAAAAGACGATTTGGGAATTGTATTAAAAATGAGACAAAAAACAAAGAAAAAGACTGAAAAATAACCCGTATTCAAGTTTGAAGCGTTTGAGTAACATAAAAATATCCTAATATTCAATAAAGTTTAACAATTTGTTCAATGGGTCTAGATCTACTCCTTGCTCTTCTTGATCGATCCATTTCTGCTTCGGATTCTGGATCGATCGAGTGCTCTTTTTTGTATCGACTTGTTCTCTTAGCACGAGATTCTTGTGATATTTCTTCCTTTTCTCCTTCTGGATATCCCAATGGTAAAATGAATTGAAGCTGCAAAGATGGATTTGAATCGAATTTGATCGGCTCACCTTTTCTGTGCTTGGCCTATGCAGAAGACTTCGTATATCCGGATCACAATGCCTGGCCGCTGTTGCTATTGTGGATAAGCCAGACACCTGAACATTTCTTTACACAAAACAGTCTATTTGTTTTTAATTCTTTTTTATTCTTTTCTACTATCATTTAACAAGTGAATCTTACTTGAATAGCAGCTAAAAGTAATCCCAAAAGAGTTGCGACAGCTGTCTCAGCTCCTTCAACTGGTACCCAATTATCGCTCTCGTCTCGATGTGAAACCTTAAAAATTTGATTTGGAAAAAGAATAGAACAATAAGTTTTTAAGAATTTCCAGTTTTGAACTAACATGAGCGAAAAGTAGGATGAGAAATGGTGCATCGGATAGATAGGCTTTCGACCAAACGTGGCTTAAGGCAGCAACCATATTTGAGTCTTCGGCTTCATCAGCCAGACTAAACTGATAGTTATTTGCCGAGAAATGTCACTAATAGTAAAGAAAATGTTTTCTGGATACAGAAATTGGACTCACCCATGCTCCAAGGCGTACCGCTTTTTGGCGGCTTCCTCGATCAAATGTCGAACCTCACATTTTGTCTGGAAATTCTTTGAGTTTTGATTCGAATCTTTATAAGTTTTTTGGCAACAGGATTTTAAAATCAAAACCAGCTTTAACCTTTAATCAGCTTTAACCTCTAATCAGCTTTAACCAACCTTTTCAGCTCCTACAACACATATTGTCCATGGTTGATTAGTGGATGAAAAACTGGGACATGTGTCTGAAAGCTTATTGCTTAAAAATTAATAAAGTCAAAATTAAGTGGTATTACGAGGGGTCAAACCCGGATAGTATGGGCCCTAGACAGGCCCGCTGCCGACTGCACAACGGTGAACAAACGTGGGCCAAACAAAAAGCCGTTAAGTGGGCTGTACTGCTGGTTTGAATATACAAATGATAGTCAATTTCATAATTGTAAATTTGCATACCTGCTGTTCTGACGATATTCTGAACGACTTTGAATGGAACAGAAATATCCTTGTAGACATTGGTGACTCTTCTTCTCTAGAATATCAGATTCTTTTCTACTCAGCCAATCATCACCACTTACACTCATTTTCTCGTAAAAAATTTGCGAGTTCCGTAACGAGTCTTCTTCAAGAGTTTTCGATGCAGACACATGTCCCTTAAACAATGCAATCAGTTATTCTTTTTTTGTTCAGTTACCTACAATTTCTCTAATCGGTTCTGTGTAATCATCGACTGCATGGAGCTTCGCTGAAATCTAAAGAAGAATAAAAAGATCCACAAAAAAGATGCTCACATTTTTATCGGCTGTTAAAGCGACTTTTGTATTCCTTCTGGAATCAATCAATGATAAATCTCCTTTCTTTGGCCCTTTCACTTGATAGAATGAACTGAAATTGACTGTAGCTTTGAAACAAGCAACAAATAGGTAAACAAACAAGATAATATCCTTACCGAGCTTGATATGCAATGAATATCGTGACTCCAACCAGCACACAACAATTCAACACAGCTTCCTAAATCTTTTGTTCAACTTTTTATCGAAGAGAACTTTTCAACCCGATTCTCATGTAGATATTTTTGAACGAGAACGAGTGGAGGATCTCCTGGACTATCTTTTTTGTCCGAAAGTTGAGCCATTCCTAGCTGATTGCTCTGCTCTTTTCTTTCTTCTCTGGAAGAGAACAGCCTTTCTTCCTTTCTTTTTGTTCAATTGTTGGTTGATCACTTCCCCCTTTTCTACCAAAAAAATCGGCCGACACCTCAAGACCCGGAAACCTTTAAACAATTGGATTTTTGATGAATGAGTTGAAAGATTACTTGAAAAGAAACGTTCATTAAAGAAAATGGAACATAGAACCATTTGTTAGAAGCAGAACATTTGCATAGAAGCAGAACATTTGTTAGAAGCACTTTGAAATCACAATAGTCAAAGCAAGCTTGTCCAGCTTGCAGTCAAAACAAGCTTGCCCAGCTTGCAGTCAAAGCAAGCTTGTCCAGCTTAGGAGGATACACTATGTATTTTGTTGGTTATGAAATGAGAAAAGGAGAAAAGGAGACTGTTTAATCGTAAGATTGATAGCAGCCGATACAAATAGTAAACATAGAAATAAAGCAATTAAATGAAGAAAGCTATTTCTCGATCAAGATAGATAAGAGAGTGATCAGATAAAAAGAAAAACCAAGGAAATATCATGAATTCAATAGAGGGATATCCTTTGATTTTCTTTGCAATTCGATCGACTTTGATGCTCACATGTGTCCAACAACCAAACTGTGTAAAGAGAGAAACGAAAGGAGAATGCCAAGAAAAATGAGGAGAAAATGAAGAAAAATCGGCAGAGAAGGGGAAACGGGTGAAGACACAGGCTAAACACTAAAAATTGGACTCGAGGGAAGAAAATGGGTTAATGTAAACGTTAAATAACACGTCTGTTAAAGAGAATGACAACAAGAGTTAAGATTAAAGAAAATCGAGCTAGTGTGGAAGCTATTTGTCTCTTATCAAAAGTTATCTATAGATCAGCTTTAAATATCTACAAATAAGAATTATTTGGAGTTAGATACCATTGCAGATCTTTGGTTGATCGTTTTGCTCATTCAACAGACTCTTGACGAACTCTAGTTGTCTATGAGAGAAGAAAATAAACAACCTAATTGCTCACTTCTCTAATTTTTTAATGTTTCCCTCTTTTCTTTTTTTCTTTTCTTTTCTTATGTATGAGCTTGCTGACGCTATCTTTGACTCAAAGCAGGTGTCCCTTCCATTCTTTTCCCTTTTCTTTTCTCATTTCTTTTCTCCTTCCTTGATCCAAATCTCAACAACGGGCCAACACGTAAACTGATCGAAACTCTTCCTCCCCCACTCCTTTTTAATAAAAAGTGAACAAGAAAGTGACCTTTGATTCTTTAAAATATTTATTTGATAGAAAATCAATTGATATGAGGCAAATGTATAACTGAAACCTTGTTTATTGATTGATCATAATTTATCGAAAAGATTAGACTTGAAAAAAAGAGATCACGGAAAGAAAGGCATCACTAAATTGAGCAAAGAGTAGAGGGAAATTTTGAATAAGAGAAAGAAGACTCGGTCAGCGCAGAAAGTTATTCAATGAACGGATAAATGATGGCCATGAGAGTGTTTTGATCGATTCGAGAAGCTGGCTTGAGATGGAGATTGAACGGAAAGTGATGGAGATTGTGGAGTGAAATTGAAGACACCATTCCCGATTGGTTTTGGGGTTTGTAAGTTCTGAAAGTGTTTAAGTGCTTCCGATATTTTAGGCTGTCGAGAAAGTCTTTTCATTTCTTTTCGTACTTCCGTTCAAAACCAACAAATGCACCAATTGAACTACGGTTTGTTTCATTAGAAAGGCCAATCCGAAAAGAAACGAAAAGACTTTCTAGAAAGCTTAATAGTTGTCTTACCTCAACGGTGAATGGTGGAATGTGTGAGTGTGATCGATGTCTTCTTGCATGTCTCCCAGAAACCGATCTGAATTGACCCGGAAGTGATGATTCGAGACTTCGACTTCTGGTTGGATGACTCGTAGATTGATGAGAATAAGAAGAAGAAGCTGAATGGGGAAGCATTCCCAAATCATCATGATCAATCACTTCTACCACTAGCTAAAAGATAAAGTCTAAGACATTAATTGAATCCACTTACTTGAGGGACAAATAATGGAGTTGGTGGCACTCGATTCTCGACACGAAGTTGCCCGTTTACATTTGAATTCGATGGGGATTTATCTGCGGTGACCCCGGATTGTCATCTCATGTCTCTGAAAATTTAGTTAATGAAGATTTGGATCAGTCTCTAAGCTCAAATTCTTTTCAGCTGAGCCTACTTTGTCGGAGATGCAGTATCAGAATCAGAAGGTGTTCGATCACTCGTTGAACACAAAAGTGAAGAAATTGTTGAAGCCAATTTGACTGGGAAAGGCTCAAGAAAGAGAAAGACGACATCTCGAGGGGCAGTGATTGCATTCAATGAGACGGGAACTCTGAAATTGTAAGTTGATTGCTGAAAACTGATTGCACAATCAATATCATGATTCTCTTTCAAATTTACCTAACAAACGGTGTGCGATTCTTTCTCTCCTTGATGAAATCATCCAAATGAGCGACTTTTCTTTCCATAAAGTTGATCACTTTCGATCTCTGAATTTAATGTTTATCCCCTTGTTATTTTAATTCTTTCTTGGATCTTTATTTTGTAAAACCTTCACTTTGCTCTCATTTCTTGCAATGCTATCTAGCACAAGGGCATAATGATCATCTTCGGGATGCCTAGCGACATAACGAGCAACGGCTGCCATTTGAGTTTCCTGAAATAAATGATGAACTTGCAGAACTTGCAGAATAAAAAAAAGTTTTGTAAAAGATATCGGTTTTAGTTTTGCTTGTAACTGACCAATGTGGCGTGTCTCTCCTTGCAGATATGACTGAGAGTGACTTTTCTCATCTTGTAGAAATCGAGATCGATATCTTCAAAACGATCATCTGAACCTGAATTTAAAAGATTGTTTTAGAAAGTGTAGGTACATTTTCACATTCACTATACCCTCTAAACTTCCTCCAATCTCCCCAAAAACAACTTTCTGTTATTCAATTTCCACGTCAAATCCCCATCAATCTTTTGAACCAAAAAAAAAACGTTTTAGAAACCCCAAAATTTGGAGAAAAATTTTGTAGAGAACCCATAAGATCAAATCTTTTTATTTTTTATTTTCTCATCAACATGCACGTGAGTTCCCCTTTTTCTTTTAATATTTTTGTGCTTTCTTCCAAAAATAGAAATTGTTTTGTTGGAAGAGATTCTTAATCCGATCTAATTTTTGCATAGGAAACAGTTTCTTACTACAAATGCTATAAAAGAAAGATAATTGAATAAATTCTGTTTTGTATTAGACTTTATGTACTCCTTTTGTTAAGCTGAGGCTTTTTGAGTGCATTTTCACTAGATTGATCTTGATCGGATTAAGAATTCACAAATTTTCACGTCTACAGCTAGCATAGATAGCTGTTGTCCAAGCTAGAAATGACTTTGTCTTGAATGTGTTAAGAATTGATTCCGGAAAGGTATTGCCGCAGGTATTGGCTTGTATTTGAACTCTTTCTCTGGTCAACTCCCTTGTGTTCATCATTTTCTCATTTCAATTTCCAATTTCCCATACAGGATTGCCTCTTACCCTTCACCGCAAAACCCTTTCTAAAACCAGAGGAAATTCATTTTCCTAATTGAAATTATCATCCAGATTTGTTTAATTCTATTTTAATCTATTCACTCCTCAAACGTCAATCAACCAAGGCTATTTCTGTTTTGAGGACATCTTTAACTCTTTCGCTAATTGCTCTCTAAATTTAAGGATGGGAAGAATCACAGTGATCTTCCAGTGAGATTATTCATGATAAAATCTAGCTTTTTTTTCAATTAGAGCATTAGAAAACCTAAACTTTGCTTTAATATAAATTTACAGTTAGTAAAAATCATTTGAGGACCCTATTTTCAGAAGAAACGAAGAAAAAGCGAGAAATTTCCCTAATCGGCTTATCGGACATTTTGCCAACGAGAAGAGCAGACCGGAAACACGCGAAATCGCTTAATATTCTCCTTTAGTCCACAATTACTGAAATAATACTGTAGCCCGACTATTAGAAGATCTAGTATTATAGGATGGCTTAAGGGTTTGTCTAGTGCTTTTTTTTACAATTAGCCAATATCTACCGTAACTCTTTCCTCATTTAAATGAGAAAAGGGGAATTTCCCCGTCTAATTCCTATAATATCTGTTAATTTCTGAAAGTCACCAAATCTCAAAATTCAGAAAAACTTAAGGACAGTGTAAATCTATTTTTGATTTCCTATTTTTAAATGAAAAAGCGGGATTGACATTTTGGATCGGAAATTGGTGATCTGTTACCAAAAAAGAGATGGCTGTCAAATTTAGAGAGCAATTAGCGAAAGAGGTAACGATGTCCTCAAAACAGAAATAGCCTTGGTTGATTGACGTTTGAGGAGTGAATAGATTAAAATAGAATTAAACAAATCTGGATGATAATTTCAATTAGGAAAATGAATTTCCTCTGGTTTTAGAAAGGGTTTTGCGGTGAAGGGTAAGAGGCAATCCTGTATGGGAAATTGGAAATTGAAATGAGAAAATGATGAACACAGGGGAGTTGGCCAGAGAAAGAGTTCAAATACAAGCGAAGACCTGCGGCAATACCTTTCCGGAATCAATTCTTAACACATTCAAGACAAAGTCATTTCTAGCTTGAACAACAGCTATCTATGCTAGCTGTAGACGTGGAAATTTTTAACCGAAGGCATTCTGGGATGGCGAATCTGAATCCGTTATTAGTTTTTAAGCAACTTTAACTTCCGAGTCAATACGGTCATCACAAAATTCTCTAACTTAATCAATATTAAACCGAGTAAAATATCCAAAAAAACGTTTTTCTTTAAGAACTAATAACGGATTCAAATTCCTCATCCTCGAAAACCCCTGATTGCAAATTTTCAGCCCAATTGGCCTCAAAAAAGTGCTAAATCCAGGTATGGTTGGGCTGTATTGTCGCGAATGTGTTGGATTATCGAAACTCTTTTCAAAACAAAGCATTACCTGTTGAGAAAAGAATGACTCTTTGCTCGTCTCTTGATGAAGAGAACCCGAAATCGGTGAGCATTGTGGACACTGTTGAGACAGCGTTTGGAATGCACATTCCATACAGATCCAATCTGAAAAAAGAACAAGATTGTAAGAACACAAATAACTGCCTAATACAAGTAGTTCAGATTAGGGTATTCAGTCTAGACTGTCTGGTTTAGGGTATTCAAGCTAGAATAGGAGATTCGGTCTAGAATGGCTAGATTACAGTATTTAGTCTAGTCACTCTCGGAGTTTAGCTCGGTTTAGCGACCCAAATTTAGCGTGTCATTGTATAAAGATGATTGTCAAATGTTCAACCTGACAATTCTCTTGGTGAAATTGAAATATTGAAGAAAGCCTCTCGAGCATTTGTGATACAAATCCATTCGTCGCTGAAATCGATCAATTATTTCGGTAATCTATGTGTGCAAATTAAATTCACAGCACACAAATCAAAAACAAATTAAAAAGAAATAAAAGAAATCTACTTCTTGGTTACCTTCAAAGCTTTCAAATTGATCTAAACGGCTATTCAATTGAAATTTTAAGTCAAAAGTTGAAAAGCACTAATTCAAATTTAAACCTCCAATCTTCCTTTATCCGCTTCATCAATTCCTTTCAAGAAAGCATTCAATTCAGCTGAGAGCTGCTTTTTCCCGTTTTCTTCTAAAATGAAAGATTATTTTTCAAAACACAACAAAATATCTAACTTTCTTGTCCTTGATCGACAGTATTTTGAAGGATTGCTTCTTCATTGCAAAGATTCAATTCCAACGCAAACATAGCTGGATGTCTTCTCTCAAAATCTTCCATTGATCGAGTGTGATCACCTTGGAGGAAAGATTCTGATCTGAAAACAGTATAATGTTTAGAAATCCTTTCAATACCAAAAGAATTCGACAGTTCAGTCTAATTTGAGTTGCTATGTGGGGAAGCCTTAACATTATCATCTTTACTGATCTCTTTACTCATCTCTTTACTCATCTCTTTACTCATCTCTTTACTCATCTCTTTAATGATCAAACTAACTGTAAAGTTGCCATCTTTTGTCTCATTACATAAAATTATATAGCCGATACTGTGTATTCTTTAAATGCTTCGTTTAAAGCCTTCTTACTTTCTTTTACGACTCTCAAATAAGATTTTCTAAGAACAAACTTAAGAAATGAGTTGAGTGAAGGGACGATATCAACAATAAATCTTTGTTGCATTGATGTGGAAAGACGTGCAGAAACCATTGAAAGAACCCAATCGACGGACAAAACACCCGCATCTTTCTGAATGAATACAATGTTTCGAATCAATACCTTATCAATGAATACGAATCAATGAATACCTATTCCTTACCCGTAACATATCCTGTATCTCATGTGTACTCTCCACAGTATTCGAGACTTTATTCGGCAAATAGGTGAACACGATATCCTCTGTGTTGATGAGAACGAAATCGAATTTTGTTACCAATTCTTCTATTACGAGACCTTTTTGACTACCAGGGCCACCTGAAATAATGATGACAAACTTGAGGTGAATGTAATGACTGACCAAAGATAAAAATGATGCATTGATTGCTGATTGGCCTCCTCAAAACTCCACTCCCAATCGTCACAGGGATTGGTGGTGGAGGAGCAAATCTGCAAATCTTTCATTATATTATGTGGACTTTTTGTGAACTATTCTACCAATTTGTAAGATTGTTTGTATCAAATTACAAATATATCGTACCCACCTATCAGGTTTTGGATCCTTTGTTGAGGGATTGGAGGCGGAAAGCGATGGGGCGCATCCCATCACAATCCGCACACCACCAAAGATTTCCCTCAACCACCCACTCACAAAGGGGAATCCACCAAGATGATCTGAAATATCGAAAGATTTAAAAAAGAATTATTATTGAGAGATTGCTACCGTATCTATGAAAAAAAAAGAAGAAAACCAGATAAAAATGTCTGTATAAAATGGAATGCACAAATTGTACTCGATCTACAGAGCTGAGAGCTGAGAACTTTCAATGTGGAAGTTTCTTTTTGAATTAGAATGAGTCAAAATGTTGTACTTGCACTATAATACTACAAGTGTTTCCTTGAAAAATGTCAAGATGATCGTCATCCATCGAATCAAGAGGATAAAGAGATTATATCCCGAAATAATAAAATATCAAAATTTTGGAGAAGTTGCAGAGCTTTGGAATAAATAAAAATATACAAAATAAAACTTTTCATTGGTTTTGCAAATTCAAAACAAATACTATAACATATTTCAAATCCAAAAAGTAGACTGAGAACAGTAAGTATTCAAAGTATACAAAAAGCTTAATGTCTTTTAAATGAGAATCGGATCATTGAGCTCAAACGAATGCCTAATTTCCACTGAAGCATGCAAATCTACTCAATTTTTCGAGAAAAGCAAAAATTCGATGATTTGAGCGGAAATTTGGGGAAAGAGAGAGTCCCATTTGTGGTTGACGAGGAAATTTTTGAAGGAATTCATTCATCGACCGAAAACAAAGAGGAAAAGTCCCTAAGTATTAAGTATAAATGAGTTTGGCGAGACTTCTCATAGTGAGAAGGGTTTTTTTTGGGGTTAAATTTAAAAGAGTCATCACTTATTTGGTAAATAATAGGCTTAAAAAGTGAACAAGAAGAATGGATAGTTTCAATTGTTGAAAATTTTGCCAGAGTATCAAATCTAGATGAGCACTGCTGACAGTATCCCTACGATGCTTTGGAATGCTACGATTAAAGCAAAGACACGAATTGGACTGTCAAATGTATTATTTCTGACAAAGTTACGGAAAAAATTTACTTGCTCAACTGTCGACTTGACTAAAATGTCTCTTGGTCATAAAATACATTTTGATTTGATTGAAACGACCCTCACAAAGACGTAAAACTGGATTAGATCATCAGAAAGTTCTTCGAGAATTTCAAACGGGCAACGAAATGTCAAATTTTAATCAAAAAGTGGACTCACCTTTTCTTTTTGCGTCAAGATTCATTTTGAAAAACAACTATATTCTAGGGATTCCATCGAAATGAAAGATTGATGAAATGAATAAAGAAAGCGAAATTTTAAAGATTGTCAAAAAGACACTTGAGCAGACACAATTGATCTTTTTTCTAAAGCTAAAAAGCTTTCATATAGTTTAGTTTTTAATTAGTATGTTTTTCTCATAATCTCTAGGGAATTTGAGATTCGAAAAAAGAGAATTTAAAGATGAATTTGTGACTAACGAGCGGAGAATTGAACAATAGCCAACAATGAAAGAGACGAGTTGTGCTGTGAATGAAAACAAAAACAAATCATGAAGATAAACATTGGCAAATAGACTCAAGGCTTGACTTGACTAAAATTCTCAAGCCACAGAGAAGTGGCAATGCGTGGGGATCTTTACCAATCGATTCGTACACCTTTTCTAGTTCGAGATCAATCCACATCTCTTCAATAATCTTGTAGTCGACAGTTCAAACAATGCAAAACACTGTGAAACCAAAAAAGCAAATGGTGTGTCGATTTGATGACGTTGAAATGAGGAGGCAAGATGAATCCATATTTCATCGAATAAAATAGATAAGAGTTTATCGTATCGCTAAGATTGGAGAAGATGTGAAGAAAAGGAAACCTTAGATTTGGATTGGAGAAAAAAAGAGGAAAAGAATTGAACTGTTGTAGAGGGAAATCAGGGATCTTTACATATCCCTGCCTGGCAACCCTGAGAGTGAGAGATGGATTCCATTTGGATTCTTTCTCAACCATCCCCTTTCATTTCCATTGTCATCAAAATCTTTACAAATCGAGATTAAAGCTTTTTCTTGAGGATCGACAAAGTGAAAAACTCTTTTGACATCAATAGGCTGAGTAGAAAGAAGAGTTGGCATGAAATGAGCTATTCAGAAATTCAGCTATTCGACGTTTTCTGGTAAAACGTGAGTACTTGAACGAGCTTGATTCTTTTGGAAGTCCGAACCAGCTTAACCATCCTATTGCATAACTCAAAAGATACGAATTAAAAACAAAACTACAATCGAAAATCCATTTCTGGTCGGCCATCGGGATAAAAGATTAATCTGCAGAAAAGTCGATGACAAAATTTGGACCAAAAAGATCTTCGATTAAAAATATTTGGATTTGATAGAGCGGAATGATGAAAGATTCGTGAAAAGAAACATTATAAGGATTATTCTCCAATAATAGCTTAATTAGTCTAGACAACACATTTTCTGTCTATTGTATTCTGAAATCGAGATAGTACATTGTATTGTAATTTTCACGGTTCATTAGGAATCAAATCAAAGGAAAGTTTATAGAGCATGAAAAGATTTAAGCTCGATTTTACAGTAACAAGTTAACTGGAATAATTTAAATAGATCAATGAAATCCTAATAGGTAAGTTTCGAGTAAAAAAAACACAGACAAACGATTGTTGGGGTCAAGCAGAGGCTTCACAAAGCTCTTTGCACAATTTGGCTTCTGGAAATTAGAGAAATAATTGAAGAAACAAAGTCTAATGGTAAATAGAGAGTTTTGTGGACTTACTACAAATAATAAATGACCAGAAGATAAACCAAGTTTGTATCAAGTGTTAAAAGAAAGCAAGGTCATGCTTGTGAGTTGAGTAGCTCGTGGAATACTTCAAGCAAAGCGAAGGCTCAACAATCGATTAATCTTATTAATCTTAATCAACAATTGATTAATCAACAATCTTATGAGTTTCTTCTCATAAGATTACAAGCTATGCATTACAAGCAGAAACAATTCAAAAAGTTAACTACATAGAGGCAAAAAAATTAGCCTTTACGTGCTGGCCAGAAATTCGTTTCGCGATTTTTCAGAATCTCTAAACTGAACCACCAGATATCAAAACGTTCTTTTATGGCTTTTCTTTAAGGAAAATTTATGTGATAGCTTTTGAATTAAGCTTTTGAGCTTTTGAATTAAAGTTATCTGAAGTAGAAAAATCTATTTCAAGGAAAATCAATTTTCTTGAGTATTTTCAATCAAAAGCTGATTCCAAAAGAAATAAAAGGCCTTTAGACTTGAAATTGTTTGCAAAATACAGTAGGCATAATCATCAACATTGACTTGAAATTTTGAAGAAATACATGGTGTTTTGATAAATTGCGAGTCAAAAGAAGTCTGAAAACATCAAAGCTGATTCGGTATTGAAGCTCAATCATTTCTCCCCTCAAAAATTGTCAAAATAAAAAGTTGTACTGCTGTTTTTAGTTTAAGATTTCAGATATTGATCTTTAATTTTAACCATACAAAAGCTTGCTAGCTGCTTTGGTTTCTTAGTTACTTTGTTAGCTACTTTGTTTGATAAATTTGGGTGGAGCGAAAAGATTTAATGGACAGCCTAATAAATCAAATTAAAAAGTCAATGGGTTTGTTCTTTATGTTTCGCAAAACAAGAAATCAAGAAATGAAATGAAAAGAACAAGAAAAACAAAATAAAACACAAACAACAAACAACAAAACAAGAAATGAACCCTTTTCAAGTTCATTGAGGCGATCAAAAGACATCGAAAAGTCGAAGTTGAAAAGTGTGTTTGATGGAATGGAAATAGAGGTTGATGGAAATGGAAATGAAAAGGATTTCCTTGTCTTCTCCTTTTTCTTCTTTTCATTTCCCTCCTTTTAGCTCTAAAATTCCCTCATCTTAACCATAGTAACATGCGGAATATTCTTGTCGAGTGAAATTCTCCCCATCCATACTAATCTTCAACAAATTTCTCTTCCCTCCCACAAATCCGTCAGATTTATTCAAATTGGGCCACTCAATACAAAAATGGGTTTTTCATAATTCCAAGGAACCTTTTATTTACACAAGCAACTCTATTGATTGGCTAACATTTATAAGCAGTTTGTAAATGACCAATATGGTCACGGTCAACTTTCGAGCTTGAAACTAACCATAAAAATTTCCAGCAAACCCAACGCGAAGTCTCTGATTTAATTAGAATATATGTTATGTCCAATTTTGAAAATCCTAAATGGCGATGGCGACCTTCAACATACAAGTGAAATGGTGATGGGACGGAAAGTGAAGCTTCAACAGCGCCGTTTAGTTCGTCTTCCGGATTGGTTCCGTCTTAATAGTGTGTATCTTCTTCAAACTCGGCCATATTCCCCCGATTGAAACCCTATCGAACATCTGTGCACGTGGAATTTCGCGGATATCGATTTGCATCGAAGAGGAAACTTTGGGACATGATTCAGGAAATTTGGAGTAAAATTTCAATGCAAAAACTTCACAATTTGGTTACAAGCATGCCAAAAAGAATGCAGGAAATCATTAAAGCTTAAGAAGGCCTAACTACACTACTGGATAATGATATTTGAAAAAAGATCGCCACTTTCGCGCGTCTGTAACTCCCTTGTCTTTACCTTATTTCTAAATATTAATATTACCATTGTGTAGCCCTTGAAAAGAGCTTTCAGAGAGTGTATAACACTAATAGTTTCAACTCAAAGACAAGGGAGTTACAGACGCGCGAAAGTGACGATCGTTTTTCAAATATGACATTTCATTGTCCAGTACTGTAGGTATTCATCATTTCATGTTTTCATTCACGTGTCAATACTTCTTTTGACCATTTTTGCATATCTTTTGTACTTATGAATTTTTCTCTTTGAATAAAAAGTTTAATTTAATGGTTTTTCTACTTCTAACAAGTTTAGTTCTTGTAGTATCTAAAAATTGAATTGAAAATTGAATCCATTGAAAATTCCCGATTGAAAATCCATGGATAGAAGGAAAATTTTCCTAAGCCTTTTAGCCTAAGCCTAAACCTTTCAAAATCAAACCCAATATTCATAACTGGTTATTCAAATCACATATCTTCTTTGCGCCACATAAAAATCGACGGGCAGCCAGGTAATAGGGATTTTATGCAAAGCAAAGAAGATTCTAGAACGCTATAACACTCTTTGCTTAGCGCTAATTATAAGAATCTGTAACCCCATAGTACCCGGCAGCCAATCAAGAAGAAGCTCTCTTTCTTCATCTCAAAACCTTCTGCTGGACCAAATTCCAACTCAAATTGTTTAACTTTGAATCCTAGTGATCATTTTCTACCTTTATTTTAGAAATTTCCATATGCTTCTTACCTTTATGACTTCTTCTCTTCGTGGACATTAGCAAAAAGAACAGATCGTTTTTAGAGCCGAACGAATTCCAGATCACTTTAAAATTCATCACTTGAGCTTAAAATTATAAAGAGCAAAATTTTTCCATAGGAAATTTCCACTTTCCGTTCAATCTTCGATTTCAAATCTTTCGAGAAATCGGGATGAAATTATCGCGTCAACAATGGGATATTAGCGGAAGTGAACTGGTTTCCTCAAAAAAAGAAACATTTCGGAAAATATTTTCCACTTTTTCACGATTAACTAGAGTATTTTAAGAGTTTTTTGTAAAACTATGGCCTTTCCGCGAAATGGCTAACTAAGATAAGATAATAACTTAATCAAATAATCAGTCATCAGTCCGAACTTTCAAGCTGATAAATGTAATGTGCGCGTGGAACATACTCTGGTCTAAATTTTAAAAGTAACCGGAGTACGATAGCTTTGTGGCTTCTAGAACATCTTTTAACCACGAAACACATCCAAACTTTTTTGGACACAACTAGTAGGATTTTTTTTGCATTCAATTGCATACCGTAGCTGGATATGAGAGAACAATAGTCATCCAGTATGTTTCAACTTTTTCTAACTTACTAATTTTTCAACTAATCGCTCTATTTAAGAGAAAATTTGCTAATTTCCCCATTTTTACATCGATTCAGTTGGCTCAAGAGCTTAATTAATCTTCATTTTTGAAGCAAAAGACAATAGGGATACGGTAACGAGGGATACAGTAAATTATGAGGAGATAAAGGATTAGATCAACTTTGAAAAGAATAAGAAAGTGAAAAGATTTAGAGAAAAATCGCGAGAAGAAAGCCGGGAGGTGAGTATTTTTGGTGATGATGACGCAAACGGAAGGATAATCTCCTCACAGTTTTGGTGAAGAAATTAAGAGATGAAAATGAAGGGAAGGGAGAGGAAAGGAGGGGAAAGGAGGGGAAAGGAGGGGAAAGAAGGAGGAAGAAGGGGAAGAAGGGGGAAGAAGGGGGAAGGAGGGAAGGGGAATCTCGGGGAAAACACAACACAAAATATATGCAATCCAGTCTTAAATGGATTTGGCAAGAAGTTAACGTGTTGGTGTTCAAGAAGAGAACGAAAGACTAGAAAGAGAAGGGAATCTTGTATTTATTAAGGTGACTGCTACCTATATGTTTGAGTAATATTCTAAGCAATTCTTAACCAAAGATATAAATTGATACTTACCACTTCGTCAGTAATATTTATTTACATCTTTCACTTCTAAATTTTGGCATATGGCAACCGTAAAAGAAAGCATTGAGAGATCACAATTTGAGCAATGAAAAGGGTTTAGACTAGAAAAAAGAAAAATTCAAAAGTTAGAAGTTATCTCTAAACAACTTGGGTTCGAAGTTCGGGAGTGGGGAACCAGGCGACGCGAAGGAAAACGGCAAGGGCTGCCAGATTGAGGACCTAGGAACGAAGATTTAGTTAACAATGTTCATTCCTGGTAAAGTTTAATCTAAAATTGAGTTTGTCCTTTGAAAAGTTACCTCAAAAACGAAGAGGAAAAAGTGATCGAAACGACCGAAAACCCGAGACCATTCATGCTCAACCTGGAACTCGTTGATTGTACAAATGCATTCTGATTCTGAATATTTAGAATGACATCTTATTTTACATTTTCTTTAACATTTCCTATCATTTTTCCTACCCACCATTTTCCTATTCATCTTTTGCTCTTGCTTTCTTCTAAATGAGCGCTGTGTCTCGGCGATCTCCTCCAAAACCGCGTAAATAGCGAAAAGCTCGGGAGATTTCATTCTGAATTTGTTTTTTAATAACTTTTAACAATAAATTTACTAACTTGTCTAAAGAAATGAAATCTGGTCGATAAAATGAAGTCCGATAAACAGTTGATCTCCTTTTTCGATCGGGGTTCATCAAAAAAAGACGAAGCATGTTTCGAGATGGAGTTTCATCTGAAATCAAATCAAAATTTATATCAAAATGCAACAAGTTCTAGATCGTTTCCATTTATTAGCTTAAGTGGAATAAGCTCCCTACTTCTTTGGATATATTGCTTGGCGATTGCGAGGAAAGTCATCGAGATCGACACACCAACCGCACACAAACAAATCACAATCAAGATGTAGTACCCTGAAAGTTTCATTTTTGTTAGGATTGTTTGAGTAAGATCAACACATTGCTAAAGTCTAAAATCTAAATTTTTAAAGCCCTTACCCAACAATGGGATGGCATTACTTTTCGGCATTGCTCCTGCCACAATTCCAAGGAGAACAGTCATCGCGAGAAGACTTCCCAAACCAAGTGAAACCTTGATTCAAAATGTAATTTTCTTTTCAAAGCTATAAATAATACAATGCTTTGAATACCTTTTCATTTCTTGGTCCATCCGATGAACCTGGTGAGAAAATTCCGAGAATCGAAAGAGCTGAGATGAGAAAAGTCGGAGCGACGATCACTGTCAAGTAATAGATCGGGCGACGTTGTAAGTGGAAAATGTAGTGAATCTGAAAGTATTTGCAAATAGTTAAAAGAACCTCAAACTTTCTTGTCCAATGAATGATAGAACAAACCTCAACCCGATATTCTCCCTCTTCTAAGAATTCCATATGTCGAACAGTGATGTTGAAAAGATGCCATTCTGTGTTACCCTGAAATAACTAGTTTTTTTAAAGAAAAAAAACTTTAACAAGTGTGAGTATTTTAAGAATTTTACCGTAAAGTATGAATCTTTTGGTGGTGAAAAAGCTTGAACGACCATTTCCTCAATATTCAGCAATGGAGAAGCCAATGCAACAGCACAAAATTGAGAATCGAAAGGGAACATTTCTGAAAGATCAATGGGCTCATTAAGGTGTTTTACTAGAGGTATTATCTAAAACCTTGGATCAAAACATTGTTTCATAGATTCCCGTTCACTAATAGACGTTGCATTCCCTTTGAATTGATTCGCTTCGACTTTTTGTTACTTTGAGTTTAAACCTTTTTAAAATTTAATTCTTACTTATCCGGGTATTTCCGTCTTTCTTTCTTCTTCCCCCTCATCTTTCCCTGTTTCTCTCGGCAAGTTAAAGAACCGGATAGCTCAGTGGTTAGAGCATTTGTCCGTAAAGTAAGAGGTCGAGGGTTCCATCCCCTCTCTGGAAATCTGCTTTTTCTTGTCAATTCTTTAACTTCTTGATTATTACAGACGTTTGTGTGTGTCTGTCCGTTCAACCCATGATTTGAGTCCCAGTGGGGATTTCGGTCTGATTTTTTGGGACAATATGTAATTGACTGCAGCGGTTTAGCCTGTCAAATCAGATTTAACAAATTTCAAAGCCGTTTTTGAGCAAAGTTGGAAAAACCGAATTTGGCAGCAAGATTAAAGGTCGCCTAAGGGTACTTCAAAAATGAATTTCGGGTTCATTTTCTCAGAAAATATTGGGGAAACTATGCTTAACTTTTAGCTCTGGAAACATTTTGAAAAAGTTTTGTGATTTGAAGCGGTGATGGTGGAGAATTTCAAAGCGGCGGAAGTGACGGTCAAAGGGATTTCGGATAAACGGAAAAATTTGCCTCTCAAACTCAGTTTAGTTATTGAAATGCAAATTGAGTAGTAAAATAATGAATTGTAGTAAATTTATCAACAATTAATACTTAAGTTTGACTCATTTGAACTATGCATCGGCCCAAATCGGTCGGCAGTTAACTCCCGGGGTTAGCTGGTTTTCTTAGCGCTTGAAGCTTGTTTCCATCAACGCCTATACTTTCACGTGACTCACATGTATACTTAGACAAGAAAAAGCAATTTAGCCAAAAACATGTCAATCGACACCCACTTTCACGCTTTACGCTCTCAATTTGAAACCCCATAAAAGTGTGTGGATGTTTTTTGTAGAAACCTCTTCTTTTCGACTAAATTTTGATGAGTAAACGGATTAGAGATGAACCTCATTCACATCAGAATAAACAGACGAATATTAAAACTTTTTCGTGAATTTGATCGTTGAGAGATTCAGAAAAAAAGTTACCAGTTTCAATTCGGCAAATACATGACAATTTCTCAGGCATATTCAGCTTGATGGCACCAGTGTGATAGAGCTGAATTTGGGTCGAACTTCATAAAGCAGAGATTGAACTCACTCGAACGTCGGCACGATTTGGAGTCAGCATCTCGTTCGTCTCAAGACTGAAGCAACAAAGTTTTTGTTTTCAAAACGTTTTTACCTGTTGTAGACAAAAAGCTTCGGTAACCAGACCATACTTTGTGGGACGATCACTTCCTTTTGACCTCGATACTTGGTTGGATTCCAAGCGAGTCTAAGAATAGATTGATGTCAAGTTTAGTCATGTAGTAACTCTTGTTAAGCTTTTGCCGGTATTCATATTTTAGTTCAAGCTTCACAAGCATCCACACTCACCTCTTATCATACCATCTTTGTGTATGGGAGATCACATAGGCGGCAATTTGCTCGTTTTCTCTCTAAAATATACAAATTTTGTTATATCCCATACTATTTTAGAGTTTGCATTGTTTAAAACGGTATCTTTTTAGATTCTTCAATTTCCTGGTGTCACTTTTTAGGAATTTGGAGGACACTCATTAGCTTTGTTCTTGAAAAAGAGACACAAATGAGTGACATCCATTCCTATCCCTTCATTTCAACCAGACATTCATATTTCTTTCAATGAATATGAAAAATATTAAGGAATGAAATGAACAAAGAATAAAATTCAGCTCTATGATAAGATTTGAGAATTTTGTGCTGAAAACGTTCAACTAAGATGAAATCTATTAATTTGGCTAGAAAATCTTTTCGTTCCTTTTCGTACTTCCGTTTAAAACCAACAAATTTGAACTACGATTTGTTTCATTAGAAAGGTTGTTTACAAATGCAACAATTGAACTGCCTCAAGTCAAGTCTGAAGTTTTTGGCATAAACAACGACCCACCAACTCAATGAGAATCCCTAGCACGATCGTCATATTGACCATCACCGGTCCATGAGTGAATGGAATCACTCTCTTATCATAATCGGCAAAAATATCACGCAGTATCAATGAGGTTTCATTGTCTAAAATATGCACTTGAATCTTTATATCTTTTCTATTGTACGTGTATAAATTTCTTTCAATAACCCACAATGGCCATAGACAGGTGGAGCCGTCATCAAACACGCCCCGATTACACCAAAAAGCAACAGCATTCTGAAAGTTTTCGAATGATAGATATTCAAGAGAATAAGTCAGTTCAACGATCAAAGACACTAAAGTATTGCTTCAAAAAGATTCCCCATTTCTTTTTTAACACAAACAAACAGAAAGCGTAGGTGGATTTGGGTGAAAACTCGCACATTCAGTAATTTTCCCAAAAAGATCATGCGACCTAGGGCAAAAGAAAGCTTTCAAGGTCTCTATTTTTCTGGGTATCAAAGAAATTTTGACAAAGACCTATGATCATTTGGATGAATTGGGTGGGGGAAAGAAGAAATTTCATTAATTTACTCAAAAAGCGACGAAGCTAAGAATGGATGGGGGATTGGCGAGAATCGGGAGTAGAAAAGAGTGATGGAGAATGGGAAAAAGGTGCTAATAAAGTCATAACAAGTTTGAATAAAGCTACTTATGGAGAGTTACTTATTTTGACAAGATTCGAACAACAACTTATTGTTTTGCAAGTGCTCTTGATCTTTGGTTTATTAGATTTGCAAGATAAAGGTTCCCGAATGGGTTACTTATGTTCTAAATTCAAATTTAGAGATGAATATTACCTCTTGAGTTGATTCGCTGGATACATGACAAATATAAATGATAACTGAATTCTTTAGTTTTATTCTTTAATTGGAGACAAAGTAATCCAACACCTTACTCTCAGAAAAACTTCCTATCTTATTCTCTAGAGAGAGATTCGAAAGAGATTTGAGGCTGGGATAACGTAGGAAACGAGACGAGTTCACGTGGACCCAAAAAAGAATGAGAAAAGAAAAAAAAGGAAAGGAAGGAATGGTAAGCGTGAGTTGAGAATTCCTCAAGTGACCCTTGTGTCTTCTTTTTTCATTTCTAACTTCCCCCCTCACTTATTGGCACATTCAGAAAAAAACGTCTCCTCAGCTAAGGCTCTCAAATTTGATCCTCGTCCGCGGAGAAGAATCAAGTTTTGATAATTAGAGAGTCTACCCAAAGAACATCTTAATTTGAAACATGTTTACTTGGAAAATGAAAAAATGGGGATTCAATGGAATAGAAGAATTGGACAAAAGTACATTCAGGAGAAGTGTTCATTCAAGATCAAGTAGACAAGTAGACAAGGTTTGCCAAGTAATCAAAATAACTCTAATAGGTTCGATTAGTTGTGCTATAGCTAAAACTACGAGTTCACGTGGCTACCATTACCAAGTCGAACACTTATCTAGATCGAAATAACTTCTATCCATTTCTATACGCATAATGGGGCTATTCTGGAGAACACTTTAATCTCATTATTTCCCGGAACTCCATCAATTATCATAAATTAAACTGAACATTGCTGGGAAAGACATGAAGAAACAAAGTCTTTCTTAAAAAGATCTTCAGTCCTTTAACATGTGAAAGTTTTCACGAGAAAGAAGTTGAGCCAATAAAGTGGGAAAGCATCATAAACGGGCTAACCACAGCGTTCTTCTTCATTATATTGAATCGAAAAGAACTTAAAAGTAAATATCTTTCAAAGAAATGAAAGTAAATGAAGGAAAAAAAAGGAAGACTCAAAATTACGAACACCAACGATTATCAGATCCCAAAAAGACCTCAGAACTTTCCCTTTTTGGCATACTAATGGACAAAAGTTGACGTTTAGAGTGGCCCTTGGTTGTTATCTAGTTATGGGGAGATTTATACATTTAACTAGAAAATAGTTTCGACATTTTATAAAGCTTTAGTGTATTTAAACGGAATGGCTCGATTTGTCACCCCATTCTCGATTCTCCACTTTAATCTCTGAACTCTCAGCTAAAAGAAGTAAACGAAACACTTCACCCCCAAAAAATACCTTCTAAGAAAGAGTGTGGGAAGGGTAATTTTTGGCGTTCTCGAGATCTCCTAAAGAGTTCTATCTCAAAGTTACGTGAATCATTGACGAGAGAAAGGAGAAATTGTGAAGAAATGGAGAAAAGGGAACGCTACGTATCGTTAGTTGGCCGCAAAAGGGAAAAGCTGCATTTTGTTTTCGAAATGCTTGACGTAAAGGAGTGCATTGAAGGATTTTAAATCATACGCCTTTTGCCACTTCCACATTGAATAAAGTGGAAACATATGTTTTTGTTGAGGAAACCCAAGAGAAACTTCAGCAAAAATTAAAGAAAACCTTTAGGTTCCACTGGTCTAGGTATTTCCACAAGTAAAAATTGATGCTAATTTTATAATCAGCACTCTAGTTCTGTAATCAGTTCAAAGCTTTAAAAATAACCAGCATTATGCGGATGAATATCCAGCTTCCCGGATCTACGTGAGATCAAGAAGTTCAGTTGAAATTTGAAATTGTTTGAGGTTGTCCAAAAAATCAAAGAACATTCCGTTTTGAACTCGGGAAGGGCGAAAATGAAGTTATCTGACGAGGTTGACTGGTGAGAAAAAAAGAGAAGAAGATCTCACAGAAAACGCTTACCTTATATGTTTGGGATGTTGTGAAATAATGTGTCCTTAATATTAAAATATTAAATAAAATGTTCTGGCTTAATATTAAAAATTTATTGTAAGAGATCATTTAATTAAAGTTTAAAGTAAGCTCTATTTACAAAAAGATATTTTATTTAGAAGGAGAAAAAAATAACATAAAAATCACTGGGATTTGTTGAGATTCTTTTCGTACTCGTTGAACAAAGAATGCTGTAGATCGGTGATACGTTTCTGCATTTGAATGAGAAGAGATATTGCTGACATGCTCTGAAATATTATGATTTGTAAGTGATTCAACTAGTTTAAGTTCTTTTGAAGTGATTTGGAGGAATTAGTGTAATATTCTATAAAAAGCGATAGCTTTGGTTAATAAGTTTTGTCTATCAAACACCACTTTCCGCTCACCTGTTGATCTTGAAGAGATTTGGAGTCAAAATCATTTAATCTCTTCAACGTTTCCTTCAATGACTCAAGAATGTTCTTGTCTTTCTCGATCTCTTCCGCCTTCTCATTCATTGTTTCTTCACAGTTGTCGTTGGTTTGCAAAGATTCTATAGGGATCTCTCCAACCTCATTCGTTGGCGTATCCAATTGTTGACTGTGACTGTTATTTGATTGACTTGTCTCTACTTCTACTGTAGCACTCTGAATTGCATCGAACTCCTTTGCATCTTCCATAGAAGTTGGCGTTGATAGAGTCTCTTTGACAAGTTCTTCGGGACAGGCAGGCTCCGAATTAGATTCGAATTGAATGGCAGGCTCCGAATTGGATTCAGTTTCAAGAGCTCCTTCTGGAATTTGAACTGGTTGAGTTGAGGGGCTTTCAAGATTTTCTTGCACTGTAGTTTCAACTCCAGCCGGAACTTCCTCTACAATTGTTGGTTTAGCTTCGTTTGCATCCATCACAATTGGGTTTTCAGCTACTTCTTCTGGTTGAATTATCTTCTGAGAGTCCTCCTCTGAAGCATTGATAACTTCTTCATCTTGCTTTGCAGTGCTTTCTTCAACGATTTCTTCACTCATCTCCTTTGCTTTCACTTCAGCTTCGGCAGCTTCCTTTTCTTCTTCAATCAATCTCGCCGCTTCCTTTCTCTTTCCTTCTTCTCGTTCTTTCATTCGTTGTTCATCGGCAGCCTAAAATATTGTATTATGATTTTGTTCTTTATTAAACTATTTAAAACTTTAGTTCATAACAGCTATTGTTATGAACAGCATTCAATCCACCTTTTTCACTCGGAGATTCTCCTCGTATTCAAGAAGTGCAGCACGAGTCGTTTCAACGCGGGGTTTCCGTAGCCAAATAAGTGATTCAATCTGAATAATATTTTTGTTTTAACATATTTTCGTGCTTTAATAGTGTAATCAAATAAAATCTTCGAATTGCTAACCTTCGAGACTTGACAATTTGCGAGATCACCTATTGTTTTGATTCCTTGTGATAGCAAAGCTTTTTTGAAAGTCAAGCCACTGAAATGAAGTAAATATTAGAAATTTAATAATTCACATACTTGGAAACATGTGGACTGATTTGATGAATGATGTTTTGAATTGAATCATTGCAAGTGATGAGAGATGGATGGAGAATCGATGAAGATCCGGTGGAAAGAGAAGTCGAGGGAATTGTCAGGGAACGGAGTTGAGAAGGAGGAGTCTTAAAGGGTACAATATTGAAAACATTTTGTTGTCTACTTTTCGCTAGGAATGAAAATCATTAGATATACCAAAGTATTGCTGCTAAATCGTGGGAGAGTTTTGAGAGGAGTTCTTCTTGAAATTTCAGCTTCTTCTTGCATCGCTTCGTTACCATCAAAATGCACACGTCGACTCTAAAACGATTTCAATGCATTCTAATAGACATTTTCTAATAAACAGACATTCTAATAGACATTTTCAGTTTGTCTCAAGCTGAAATCTATTCAACTTACCCTTTTTTCCAAGCTGATCGGCGTCTTGGGTTTCCGTAAAATACTTGGTGTGCTTGACTCATTGACGATAACTTCAATTGATTGGGTTCTACAGTTTTTAATCTTTTTTGGATTTAGAGATTTGCTACTTACGCTTTGTCTGGGCTACAGTATTCTTCCAACTTCTCGACACTTTTCGAATCCTTTTCCGAAAGATCGGTGATTAGATCTGCCATTTCTTCAATCGGGAGCTTTTCCAATGATTCTGTAATACAAATAATCAAAAGTAATACTCAGGCTAACCAAACGTGTCATAATAAAGACAATTATTTAAAAGTTATTTGAAAAAAGTACCTTCTTTAATTGGCAAATCGAATTTTTCTTGAGTGCTCGAACTCTCCGGTATCACCAAGCCATCAACTTCATTGTGATCTGAAATGCAAAGTTTTCGATCGTAATTTATGGAATACCAGAAGCTATCTTTTCTTGATCCTCCATTTCTTCTTGGATAAATGGATCAGCTTTTGTTGTTAGTGCCGTTCTTGGAGCATCAACTAAAATCGACTTGTAAGTTAGACAAATGTTGATGTCTCTTACCATTTAGCTTCTCTGCTTCAACCTTTTTCGACTCTTCTTTCTTGTCAACCTTTGGACTTTTTGCTTTTGGAGTCTTCTCCTAAATAAGATACTTTATCAATCTGATCTAATTTGCAAACCTTCTCATCAGTGAACACCAATGATTTCTTCTTTCTTCCCCTTTTGTTTGATTCTGGCGTGTTTTCTTTTGAAGCCTTTGAAGCTATAAGTTCTTTTTTTTCATTTTTCACTCTTCGCAACAAACCTTTTCCTTTTACAGGTTCATACTTGACGGGTGTCGACTTTTTCCTGCGTCCTTGCAACACATTTCCACTCGCTGTTGATAGAGTTGAGATATCAGAGAACCGCTGAAAGATATGTTATCTTATCATACAGTTTTCTTCTTACTGTATCTTCATCGCTGATCTTGCTTTCTGCTCTTGTTGACTGCTCTTTACTTTCCTCCTATAAAACTTCTTAAATAAATTCTTTTTGAGAGACAAACCTTATTGGTCAGCAGTTTTTTTCGTAAATCGTCAAGACTGATTGAGTCACTTTGACTGAAAAAGAAAAACATTGTGGGTCGTTTAGATGAATTCTTACTTGCTATAATTGTCATCATCATTGTCGACTCTTGTGGGTTCTTTTGGAGTCATCGATGCTTTAGAGGGTCGACCTCTTTTCTTTGGAGCCGCTTTGTTAGAGAAACCCCTGAAAATACGATGACAAATAATAAATTCATATAAAACAAATAAAACATATCAAAACAATTCATATCAAATAAAATATAAAACAAAAATCTATAACAAACATTGATGAAGATTCATCGAAGAGATCGGGCATCGAGTTCCACATCGGAGTCGGCAATGACTCTTCATTGTCCATAAATGGTCGATTCTTTTCCCTAAATAAATTGTGTTTATTTTTGTTTTGTTTAATATTATAAAGCTAAACAAACCATTGTTCCATATATGTTTCCTTTTGATGTTCGCTCAATCGAATCTTCTTTGGTTCCGATGCAATCAAGGGAAAATCAATCGAATTCTCATCTGGGCCCAATGCCATTTTTAATCGCTTTACCCGTCCTAGAATTGTTTCTTTATATCAAATGAATTAAAAAAATTTAAATACCGTATTTCTTCGAATAGAAGACTGGGGGTAAAGAGTATCATCGCGTACTCCTGCGTAGCAGCCCTTTTTAAAATTTCTTTTCTGCATAAAAGCTTTCAATCAAGGGCTATAGGGCTGGAAAATGGCTCAAAAATACCACATGAGCTAACAGATTTTTGAGCCATTTTCCAGCCGTATAGCACTTCATTGAAAGCTTTTATGCAGAAAAGAAATTTTAAAAAGGGCTGCTACGCAGGAGCACGCGATGATACTCTTTACCCGGTCTTCTATTCGAAGAAATACGGTAAGTAAATTGTCTGTAAAAATGGTATAAGTAAATGAGGTGAGCTGGATCTTACATCAACAAAACAAACCTCTTTTCGAAGGTGTTACATCGCTTGTATCCACCGAATTTCGTGGCTTCAACATTACACTTCTAAAATATTTGTTTTCAAAAGAAAACAATAACAAATTAAAGGCCTTTAGGCTTTGGTTAACTTAGCGTTTTTCAAAGTCTAAAAACAGGCGCGCAAATTGTGCTCGTTTATTTGTCACTAGGTCTACCGTATCTCCTTTGATTTTTTTATAAATCCCACAGAGGGAGGTCTCATGGCTTCGAATCAAATGGCTTTTCTTACAAATTTTCACTTGAAAAAAGTATCTTATTTCATAAGAATAAGCATATTGCTTGATTAAACATTCATTTTATATCTTCAAAAATGATTTTCAAATGCAAATCCTTATGTTACCTTGTTTTCCGAGTGTTCATCCTTGATCAAATGCCTTTTTTTCTGAAGACTTCGACCTAAATAACAGTCTCGTAAAAATAAAAATAGCTAAAGGTTTTGAAACTGCATTAGAGAGCCAAGTGCCTAGGTTAGGACAATTTTTCGTGGAAATTATGCCAGATATTCTTTGCAAACCGATCCCTGTACTTTCGGGATCACTTCCTATCGATTACCCATCTGATAATTGCACAATTACGAGAGCAGATGTTCTGATAACAAGATAAACTCTCGATTTCCCATTTTCTATTTAAAGATTTGTTTATTCATTCAGATTATTGCTCTTTATAAAGTGTAAACATATGATTTTTAGTGAATGTCCCGAAGGAGCGATGGATTCTCTCCAAAGAAAGATGTTCGAAGAAGTTGCCGTGAAAGGCAACCAATGTACAAAAGTCTTGATGAAAATGCGTTAGGTGAGCCTAAGCCTAAGTACATACTTCTAAATTTACATTTATCAATTAGGTATCACCACGAAGAGTGCCCTCTTTCAAAGCTTACTTCGGAATGCCGAGATACAACGCAAAAGGGTGGGTGAGATTGGAGATGTTCATGTTTTTTTTGAACAAAAGCGTTAACTAATGACCAAATCTTTACCAAACATTAGATTTTAAACGGTAAATTTTAAGGAGCAAAAAGAAGAGGATCAAAGAGAAAGAGATTTGCTTCATAAAGACTATGATCATGGCTATTCAACAAGAGCACGAACAATCCCACAAAATGGACACAAACCAAGTTCGGATGAGGAAGAAGATGAAGAGGAGGAAGAAGAGGAGGAAGAAGAGGAAGTGGAGACGTTCCAACAAGAGAATGTGAGAAAAACGAGGAGAAGGTTGGTGTAGATGAGACAAAGATGAGACAGAAAAGCCCTTGAACTAAATTTAAAAGTGAATGCCAGATGTTTGATGTGAAATACTCTCTCATCACTCAATTTTAGACTTTCTTCAACTCATGAAGACTCACCTCAACAGCTTGTCACCAATAAAATCACAAAGAAGAGGCGTGTGATGATCGAAGATGAGGAGGTTCAACTATTTGTTTGGAAAAAGACGTTTTATTGTTTAGAATGGCGAATGTAGTCGAGATCATGTCGATGTTGGATTATCGATGTATGAAAGGATAAAGAATCGTCACAATAAGAGGTAAATAAAATCATGAAATTAACAAATGAATCCACTTCAGTCTAACTCCGGAGAGCCGTAATGGTTTGAGAAGTCACTCTCAGCCGCCAACAAATGGACATCACAGGGGAAATAATCGATCGCTTCGTCTACAACAACGATTAGCACGAAAAGATGTTGATGAAGAAGAGGTTTCGGATTGAAATAGAAACCAAAGACTTCATAAAAATGCTGAAGATAGAAGTTCATAAAATCTAAGGTTTATAGGCTGAAAGCAGCAACGAGAATGAACCAAAACAATATCAACTTCGCCCGAAACGACCACAAAGAGGCTCCTTTCACATTGACTCACCCAAAAAGTTAGAGGTTGAGAGACAGTTAGAGTTATTTTGTAAAAAACTGTTCAGCGATACTCCAAAATCGATGAATTCCTTTTACGACGATCGAGGAAACATAGGAAACAACACAAAACGTAAAAGTTAATAGTTTAAACAAAATGCATAAAACTTTAGCAAACGACGTGATGGGGCAAGCACTGATTCGACGGATACAACGGATAGTGAAGGAAAGAAAAAAGTACATGGGTTAGTTTGATCTCATTTAATTTGGGCAAAAGTATTTCAGACAAGATCAAGAGAAATTCGAGAGAAGACTTGAGAGAAGTATGCAGGCTTCACGACAACGATTCTTGCCGATCAATCTTTCAAGTAAATAAAAGGAATTCAGATCTCCATTCTGAAAGACTTTTATATTAGGCTGTTCAAAAAGTCTTTTTGTTTTTTGGTTTAATCTTTGTCAATGCACACGCCATTGATACCTAATCCTTTTCAGAGAAAGACTTGGTCTCATCCGAAGCAGTGATTCGTGAACGTCTCCGTCAAACCGGTGCTTCTTGTTCTGATATTGACCCAATGGGGATTGATTCATCTGTCACTTTTGATCAGGTAGAAAATGTTGAATGGCAAAACAAAGAAGACTTAGGTTGGCGGACTTGGAGCACACATTCAATCATTGAAAGAAGTCGTGTTATTTCCTCTTCTTTATCCGGAAATCTTTGCTCGTTTTAACATAAATCCACCAAAAGGCGTTGTCTTCTATGGGCCTCCAGGTATTTCATTTCTATAGAATAAGGAAATCAATAGAGTCTTCAGGTACGGGCAAAACCTTGATTGCGAGGGCCTTGGCAAACGAGTGTGGTCAAGGTGAAAGAAAGGTGGGTAGAAACAAGATTTTGTTTTGCATTTCTAGAAGATCTCACTCACTAATTGACTGCTAAACATCCTTAAAACTCATACCTAATTTAAATCTTAAAATCTTATAATTTAGGTTGCATTCTTTATGCGCAAAGGAGCTGACTGTCTCAGCAAATGGGTTGGAGAATCGGAAAGACAACTGAGGTAAAACAAAGTTAAAACATAAAGCATTTAAGCTTATTCTTTTTCAGAGTTCTCTTTGATCAGGCTTATGCAATGCGTCCATCAATCATTTTCTTTGATGAAATCGATGGTTTGGCGCCGGTTCGATCAACGCGACAAGATCAAATTCATTCAAGGTATTCATAACATAACTAATTATTTAATCAAAATCATTCATTCAAGTATTGTCTCGACTCTATTGGCCTTGATGGATGGCTTGGACTCGAGAGGAGAGGTAAGTAAGAGAAATGGAATCACCACAAAAGTGATAGGTTGTCGTGATTGGGGCAACAAATCGTTTGGACACTCTCGATCCAGCTCTCCGAAGACCGGGCCGATTCGATCGAGAGCTCAAATTCAATTTACCTGACTCTGCAGCAAGATTACAAATTTTGGAAATTCACACAAAGGTTTGAAAGCTTTTATAAAGGAGATCATTGAACAAATGAGTCAACATTTAGAAATGGGCAGAGTCTCGTCCCGATGAAGATCTCCTTCACTGGTTAGCCGATTCAACAAGTGGCTATTGTGGGGCTGATTTGAAAGTAAGTGTTTGCTGCAAAAATTGTTAATCTAATAGTTTAAACATTTAAAAGATGAATTCTTTAGTTTATGTGCACGGAAGCAGTGTTGATCTCTCTTCGCTCTCGTTATCCTCATATTTATATGAGTCGTGAAAAATTAAAAATTGATCCAAATGAGGTAAAGTATTCAATTATTTGAAGAGAACTAAATTATTAAATTATTAAATATATTAAATTATTAGATATATTCAATTATTAGATATATTCAATTATTAGATATATTCAATTATTAGATATATTCAATTATTAAATTCTAGCTCGCTGTTTCAAGAGAGCATTTCCTCCAGGCAATGCAAAGAATCACTCCGGCAAGCCGTCGAGGTCTCTTTCCTTTCTCTTATCTCTCATTCTCTCTTTATGAGGCCTCTTTGACGGCCGAACTTTCGGCCCACGTAGTATAGTGGTTAGTACTCCACGTTGTGGCCGTGGCGACGCTGGTTCGATTCCAGCCGTGGGCAATTCTTTTTGCCAATTTCAAAACTTATACCCTATTATTATCAGATTTGACGATACCATCGAAACCGTTGGATGCCAGAACATCTCTATTGCTAAAGGACACTTTGGAAACAATCTTGCAAATAAGGTTTTTATTTTGAGTACAAAAAAAAGCAGAATATTTTAGAGTACCAAATGGATATCGCTGCTCTCAATCTGTTCATGCACTACGAGGAACCGAACATGAACTCGAGAAAGTGGTGAGGGCCTTGGAAACACTTCCAGTTGTGCCTCATGGTAAGTCATCCGTTCAATCTATAAATTCAAACAAATCCCAGAGCGTTTAATCCTTTGTGGATCCTCAATTTGTTCGGATGCTGGACAAACCTCGTTTTTGTTGCCAGCTCTCCTTGGAAGATTGGATCATCTACCTGTATTTTCTTTGGAAATTGGACGACTATTTGTTGATGGAAGGCCTGAGGTTAGTTTTCAAGTAGAAAGTCAAACAATCTTCATCAACAGCTTCATCAACAAAACTATTCAGGAAGCTTTGGCTCAAACAATGCAAGCAGCTTTGCGTTCAGCAGCTACCGGCCCTGCAATCTTGTTGCTTCCAAGCGCTGATCAATGGTTCACGACAATGCCTTCATCAGTCGTTCACATGGTACATCCCAAACTGAATATGCTAACTCTAAAAAAACTTTAGTTACATTCTGCTCTTGAAATGCTTACTGGGTTCACCTCTCTGCTCTTCTTGGCTACAATCGATTGTCATTTTGAGATTGCTCCACCTGTAATTCTTTCGTTGTTTCGACCGGCTAATGCCGTAAAGGTAAATTAAGTAAAGATGTTATTATGACATTCTCTATTGTTACATTGTAGACGCTTACAAGACTCCTTTACAGCGTCTAACAAATTTCTGTTTTCAGATCCTTCCACCACTGTCTGAGCTCCGTCGTAACTATTTCAATTCAATCGTTTATAATGCTGCTCTAATGGAACCAAAACAATTTATTGGTAAAAACTTGAATAATTTCTGAAAACATTCTGTTTTTAGCCGCAAACTATATCCAACCACCATTGGCTTCTTCATCAAATGATGGCCATGTGAGGAAGTTAAACGCGAAAGAAAGCAAAGAATTGGAGAAAGTCTACGATGGACTACTTAGACAAATTCGAATCTTTTTGAGAGACTTATTGGGTAAAGAATGTTCAGCAGAAAAAAAAAGCTATAAACCTTTTTAGCCAAATTAATGCGTGATCGTCGCTTTCACATTTTCACCGATCCAGTTGATGGAGATGAATACGATGACTATTATCAAATTATTAAAGAGCCAATGTGTATGGCGGATATGATGAACAAAATTGATAGGTGAGTGAAATATATACCGTAAATACTGTAATAGTACCCCACCCCCATAATGACGGTGCGGAGTGTTGCGTAGTCTAGCTTTGAACGAGTTTCTCTCGACACTGGTTTATGCTACAATGCGCGCTTAGGTATCAAAAAATAGCCCTGAATTTCAGCTATTTTTTAATACCAAAGACGCATTTTTTGAAAGTACGGGCGCTTTGAAAAAAATGAAATACTAAAAAACTTTTGCGACTACGCGACTGTACGAGGCGGGTGGGGTACTATTACAGTATTTACGGTAATTACTTTATTCAAGAGGAATTCGAAAAAGTCTGGACATACAAAAGAAAAAAGAAAGTATAAAATATAAAAATTAAATCTGAATACAACTTTCGAAAAAGTGTTTAGAAAAGTGTACACACATCCAGATCAATTCCTCGCCGACATCGAGTTGATAAAACGGAACGCTCTTCGATACAATTTTGATCATCGACCTGAAAGTTTGTTTTTAAATCAGAAAATCTAAATATGGATGTATAAAATTTTAAAATAAAAATCTCAATCTATGCCAATTCAGGTCGTTCAATTCGTCATCAAGCTGTCGCACTTCGAGACATGACCGAAGCCCTATTTGATCTTGAATTGGATGAAGAATTTGTGGAAAAACTAGAGAATACTCAAAAGCTTTTGAAAGAATGTGGAATGGAGATTGAAAGAGAAGAAGAATTACCATTTGCCGAAGAACATGAAGCGGCAAAGAAGTGAGTTTACCGATGTAGAATCTAGTCTTTGGAGACTCGACCGTTCCCACGTAACTTCGCAAAAGTTTACAAATGAATTTTCAGGGCTTTGAGTGAAAAACCTCCAAAAGAGGAATCATTTGAAAATGAGGATTCTGATGAAGAGCGCGATAGTGAACACGAGAAAGAACGAGATGTACCTCGGATTAGAAGAAAACGAAGAAAAACCGGCACCTACTTATTCCCGTCACAGAAGAGAAAGACCAAATCAATGGAAAATGGGTTTGCAATGTAATTTTAGTACTTTTGAAATAAAAATTCAGTCATTCTTCCTTCAATAGAGAAAATGGAAAGGAATCGGAGGGAGAAGAAAGCGTTTTGGGAGATGATCAAATGGTAAGTGAAAATTGCCTTGGAAAAACCTTGGAAAAACTTTCAATAGGAAGAGAGAATAAAAAAACACTAACATTCTAGAATGGAATGCCAAACGGCAAATGTGATTCGCCTGAAGGAAGTGTACCTTTGCTCAACGAAAGTCCGATCAATGAGATCACTTCAGAACAGAAAGTTTTGATCATTGATCAAGATAGATTGATGAGAGTTGTCGATAAGGTAGAAAAAACAGAGAATATTCAAAAACCACAAGAATTTTAGGCTGTAAATGGAACGGAAAATTGGCCAGTTACAGAATTGGAGCGTCTCGCAGCTTGTTTAGCTCATAAGATTGACACTTACAGAGACAGGTTGGTGAATTAATAAGCTGAATCTTAACAAAGCCTTTCTTTACTAAACGATCTTATTTTGAAAGCCTACTGGATTTCAGTTGGGATCGCTCGGCACTTCCCGGTGAGCTGAAGAAGTTGGTGTCCAATTGGCTCCACGAGAAAGAATCATTCTAATTTTCTTTCTTTTCTAATTTAACCTTTTGATCTTTTTACCCAGTGTCTTCAATGACCGATTAAAACTTGCTCAACTTTCAAATATTTATGGCATTTAATGACACAACACTTTTAAAGTCCACGAGCTTTTCTTTCTTTAATAGTAAATCTCTAATGTGTCATAAAAGTTTTTGTGCCTTTCATGTTTTCACTTTTTACCGATCTTTTGGAATGAAATTACCTGAGAAAGCCCTCTTGCCAATGATCTGCTCGATTCATATTGCTCTTTCGAATGAAATTATTGGTGCAAAACTATGTATCAACTTTATTTATTGTTTTCCTATTAAACTATGTGCTGATTAAGATGACGGATTTTTTGATTAATAAATTTTATAAGATGCAATGGCTTAAGAGACGTACCTAAACAACGAGACCTTAAGAGACGTACCTAAACAACGAGACCTTAAGAGACGTACCTAAACAACAACAACCTCAACAACGTACGCTAAACAACGTACCAAATATGAGTAACAAAATAAGATTTGCTGCTTGGGTTTATTTTTCGGAATCAATGTATGAAAAGTTTGTACTTGCAAGAGAAGTCCTTCAGGTCAGCATCTGACTAGTGAGATTGAGCTGAGACCAAATGGATCTTATAGAATCGGCTATGCTGATCACGAATATTTATATAACTTTTGCCCTCGTTCGTTCGCCCAAACGCAAGTTATTTGAACGGAAGTTTGAGCACTTACCTTATAAAGTCCATCACGCGTTGGAGGAAAGTGTGGCTGTGGTCTAGTGGATAAACGTGGATAGTTTTGTAAGTGCAAAATTTGTTGAAAAACGTTACATAAAAACTTGGGTACCAGATAAAAGATGAAAACAAAAAGCAGCAATTTGCAATCCTTCGTTTGGATTAAATACTTACACAGCTTTCACTAAAAACTATTCAGCCAACCGGTGAAATACTCATTTGTCAATGGTCATAAAAATCAAAAACTCTATCAATTTTTCATTTTCTTCTCCAACTTTTAAGCAAACATTGTCATACTTTCTAATTTTTATTTTAGAAGGCTTGCTTCAAATTGCTTTTTTAGAAGGCTTGCTTGCTCTTGAAGATCATTCCTAACTATAATTTCAGTAGGAGATTGCAAAAATGTCGAAATGATTAGAGAATCGTCGAAATCATGCAAGCTTTTTACCACTCAAAAGATTTTTTTTAATCCCCGGTGACCAAAATTGATACATTTCTCAATAGATGACTTGGTTTTCATTGAATTTTTGATGCTGTGTCCGCGAAATCGTGGATTAAAAGTTCCTACGGCAATGTTCGACTGCTTTGAAGACCTAAACTTCAAGCCAAGGACAAAGGTTTTTAGATAGGGTTTTGCGTCAAGAAACAACGGGAAAACCTGTACTTAAGTCGAAAGATGAGAAGGAATTATTCCTTTCCTTTACTCTCTTCCACCCACACACCAAAATCACGGAAAGTTCGCGGGAATGATGTTCCGCCTTTTCTTTCAAAAACAGAGACTCTCGGCGATTTTGCGAAAAAAAGGAAATCGTTTGGAATGCGGGCGATTCTGATCCGTGAATAGACCCTCAGCAAACATTACACTCATCTTTCGCTTAGAAAAGAAAGGGTAACATGGCGGTTTATGGGAGATTTAAGGGAAAAGAAAAACCCCTCCCATCTCCCTTTCCATAAATGGCCCTTAACGATTTCGTTTTTCGAACGACTTTGTTATCACATTTTAGAATGGTCATGTGACTTTTTGATATGGACAACAATATTTTGCATCTCATTTTTAAACATTTACATTTCTGTTAGACATCTTACTGTTATTGTCAAAGGCGTAAGGAGGTTTAGCATATTACAATTTACACTTGATATTTACCGCACTTTCTTCTGTGAAAAACAATCAAAACATTCTTCAACCGATTGATTACCATAATTCCACCTTGTTTCCAAACTCTCTATTACTGTATTTTTACTGTAATGTAAACTCTCTATTACTGTTCTGTATCTACAGCTTCAATATTTTTCGTCTATTGGTCATTTCAAAAGATCCTTTTTCACCCCTTGCCCATTCAATTGCCCATCTATTCATCTCACCAGCCATCCTTATCATTTCCTCCACCTTTTTTTTTTGACTCAAACCTTTACAAATATCTTTCTCACTTACCATTCGATGCCTTTTTCAGTTTTCCGATGATTTACATCAGAACAATCAATTTCTAGGTATACAAAAGATGATCTCGATGATTAATTATCCGTCAGATTCGCCCAAGGAGTTCTATGGTAAACTTAAAGAAAACAAAAAAGCAAAAACAAAAAGCAAAAACTTCAGGCGGCTCAAATCCAGAGGGTCGCTTCTATTTCCCGAATCGATACCGTAAATCCAAGAAAGAGCCGGCACTGGTTGAACAACAAGAACCAGAAAATGAGGAGATGATCAAGGAGACACTGAGAAAGGTTCGAACGTCAATAGTTTACCTCCTTAAGATCTAGAAACTAATGTTGAAAATGAAGTTGTAGAGCCAGCGTAAAATGCCTTTAAGATTCAACATCAAAATTCAGCTCTCTGCCACAATGTGGACCGAAACAATCCACCGCCAGATCGCCATCAAACTCCAAGAGGATCCCAGTCCCACTCCCACTCAAATCAATCCATGATTCCCGCCGAATAGGATCTCTTTCTTGATTTCGTGTACAAAATAAAAACGTTCCTGTTTGAGGGATTTATTCACATACAAATACAGAGTTAGCTTTGACACCGTATTTTGAATCATTTTCAACCTAATACACCTCCATTTTATAAATAATTTATTGAGTCTCGTTTTGAGCATAGAAGAAATTTCCGGCAATTGGTTGTCCTGGAATTCGAATTTCAACAAAATTCTATTAGGAAGTAATCAATTCTTCAAAAGAGGTGCTTACCGAGCTTGTGTTTCTCAACGAATTTCTTCACGGAGAACTTGGCTCGGCTGCTAGGCTTCGGCTCCTGTAAATTAGAAGTTTAAAACATTTACGAAAACATCTTTAGCAGCTTTTAATGGTTTTAAATTTACTTTTGTGTATTGAATATTCTCTGAAAATTTGGCTATATACCTAACCTTTTGTGCTCTATCTTTTATCTATTAACACGAAGCTAGGTTTCCTTAGCTAAAGTGTCTAAACCAAATCATCGAGCGTCGCCCTTTTTTGACTACTCGACTTTACGCTTTCAAAAAAATCCAGACATAAGACATTTTAAACCCGTTTTAATATTATTTTGTAGAAAAATAATTGGCATTTCTAATGAAACAAATCGTAGTTCAATTAGTGCATTTGTTGGTTTTAAACGGAAATACGAAAAGGAACGAAAAGATTTTCTAGCCAACCTAATAGTAATTCTTTTAAATTGATAAAACTCACGCCAACTCGTCGTCCCTGATGTTCCCACATCAAAATAATGTATCTGAAAATATCTTCTTGCCAAAAATTTAATCAAAATATTCACCTATGTAGCCCCGTTCGTGGTCCGGGTGCCGGTGATCCATAGGCCATTTGATGTTGACCTGAATGGTACGGTAAAAAGATGATTGAGAAATTGGGGTGGAACATTTATGCTTTAATTGAGTAAGTATAGATTTCTATGTCTCACGATAATCCGCTTTACGCATTTTCACCTCCATTGATTCCCTCAAGAACATTTGAGGCGGGAATGTTGCACACAAGCCAATGCAACCACTCGGCCACCGATGGGTTCTTCTTTGAGAGATTGTCCGGATCTGGAAATAATAAACAGCGCTTTGTAATTCTAATTTTGTCATTAACCCACCAATCATCAACATTGTGAAGGTGCTCTCGGGATCGACATTCAAATTGAATCGAGGGGCATTTTTCAAGTTTCGGACCTACGTACAATATGACTTTTGTTTATTTTAGTCTGACTTACGGGTATCGTCATTCCTGGCTCAACTTTGATTCCATCCCAAACGAGCTGAATATTTGATTACTATAAAATGAGCACTATATCACTTACATTCAATTTTTCCCTTGGTGCTTGTTCGACGATATTTGGAACAATTTCGTGTTGAGAGAAAATACCTGTCAAGTCGCCCATTATCTGAAAATTTAAAAGCTAAGCTTTCACAAAAGTTTGATGCAGAACAAATGAATTGAAAAATGTTTGTAATCATTGCAAGGTTTAACGGAACAATCTATGAACAAACACAATTCTTTAACTCTTCTTACAGAAGCAACTTTAAAATGAAACCAAAACCATCAGCAAATAATCTCGACTTGTTTACCAACTGATCAAAGGTGGAGTCAAAAAAGAGAGTGTTTTTGCTTGTTTGGAGACAAAAGATGTTTCAGTAGAGAGAATGGAACACAGCTGAAACCTTTGAAAAATGAAGTTAGAGAAATAGGGGGACATAGAGAAAAGTTATATTACTCAAAGGGATGAGCAAAAGGGGACAGCTGTTGGACAGTGTAATCACTCGATTTCCGATTTGCGGGGGTCCTTTCACCCCTCTTTCCCTTGTGGATCTACGCTGTCCAAAAAAAAATGAAGAACATTGACCGGATGTGGGATTTCAATGTAGGGAAATGACTGATCATCAATGACCATACATACAGTACTGGACAAAAATATATGAAGTTCCGGATTTTTCCCCGACTTTGAAGCACTATAGCTCGAAAACTATATATTGGAGTCTAGAAGTGTTATATTGATTCTGAAAGCTTGAAATGAGATCTATGAGATGGCATATTTGATTTCCCAATTCGCTTTAATTTTTGATTAATTTTAAGGCGCGCAAAATTTTTGACGGTGTCAAAAAAATCACTTTTTCAGCACGCTTTTTCTTATAGATTCCGTGCTCCAATCGTTTTGAAACCATGTTTTTTGGAAAGAACGTCAAAAATTACCCCAAGGAGTGTTTCCATTGAATAATTTTTTGCTGTTTTAAAGTTTAAAAAACCCATTTGACCGATATCGTCGCTTTACGATGCTGAAGAGAAATGACAATCCAAATCTGAAGCTTGATTTTAAACAAGTCAACATAAAGAAAACATAAAGTAAAAATAAACAAAATCTACTACAAAAGCTCAGTATTTTGTGGGATAATCCTTTGCGTCGATTACTGTCTGACAATGACGAGGAGGAGAGTCGAGAAGTCGATCCATCACCGAATATGGAATCTCACTCCACGCTTTTTCAAGTTGTGCAAATTTTTCATCAGCATTATTGGCACGGAGATTCTTGTCAAGTGATGTCATCAAGATATTCAAGTGGGTTTTTTAAACTTTAAGACAGCAAAAAAACTGAGCGTGTTGCACAATGCATAGTTGTGTCGGTTTATTTCCAATCCACCTACGACAAAATCGTTTACGAAGCCAATTTTACGCTTGAATTTGACAATTTGACAATGTAGCTGCAGAACGATTTCACAATGTTTGCTAGCCTTTCCAAGCTTAACATTTTTTTTCATCGTTTTCTTTTAAGTGAAACATGTGGGATGAAGTAGAAAAGAAAAGTTGTCTCCCAGATGGAAACTCATTTTTTGTGAGAGTGGAGAGACTTTTGAGCTTTGAAAGCTCCTGTTACTTGAGATGAAACTTTTGACAAAAGCCTTTAAACAAAGTTGAGAAAAAGTTAAAAATAACGGGCTTAGCTCGGTCGATCTCAGGGTGAATTAGAATAAAGTAATTCGAACTCTAGATATAGTTAAGTTAAATTAAGTCAAGGCTCTGCCGCCCTTTACTAAAATAGCTGTAAAAACTTTTAGAAAAGAGTTATCTCAAAACGGTTTTTACCAATCGATCCGTCTTGAATTCAGCTTTAGGATGAGCTATAAAACGTCAAAATTGGACAAATTTAAGGTACTCTCCCAAAAAATCGGAAAGGACTTTTCCATCAACCCAATAGTTAATTTAACAAGAAATGTACATGTTTAATTTAATTAAGTTAATAGTTAATTTAACTTTTTTACTGCTTTTTGATATTTTGATATTATCAAGCAGAAATTTGAGGTATTTAGGGCAAAGCCACATCCACACTTCCACCAAATTTCCTTGAAAAACGTGCCGTTCAACCCTGCGCAATTCTTTGTTTATCTTGAAAAACCGGTTCCGTTTTTGATACGATTTCCCCATATCAAAATCTCAGATCTATCAAAGTGGTTTGTTTTTTATTACTCGAGATCGTTCAGGGTAAACGGTAGACACAAAAATGTCTTTTTTTTTCTTTTTCTGGCGAATCCATGAGAAGAGAAAAACGAAAATGAGGAGATTTGGGGTGAAATGGAAAGGGTTAATTGGATAAAAAATCCAGCAAATCATTGAGAAAGAGACACGAGAAATGAACCGTGTGAATCGACTCACAAAAATGGATCGACTGATTGGGAGAAAAGAATGCAAAGAAATGAATGAATGGATTGGATGGATCGACTTCCTCAGTTCTCTCTGTTCATTCATTTCATCGTTCTCATTTCAGCTCTCATCACCACCAGCTGTTTTCCTTTAGTAATATGAATCTATTTTGAGTATTATGAAATTATTGATAACGCGCTTCTAGAGTAACTTCTTTAGCCTCACATTCCTCCTTTCTATGATCGCCTCCAGTTCAACAGCAAATGAAACCCCAACAGACAGTCCATATCCAACTATTGACAAAGCACCAAGAGCTATCTTCAAAATTGGATCACTTGATGAGGTATTTGATCGAAAGCTTATTAACTACTTGAAAACTTTAGCCAGCACCAATAAATCAACAGCCAACTTCAAGACCTCCTCTACAGTCACAACCATCATGTGCCAGATCGGAGGCTGGAGATCTCGCTGAACCCACCGCTTTATTCCCTTCAATGAGATTAGTGTTAGCAGCTCTTCTCTGTTGTTGTTACATGGCTCTAGCAATCAGGTGAGCTGTTCCCAATGACAACTTTGAGGAATATCGTGTAGTGCTCAGCACATCGAATATCTCTGTGGGCATTATTTGTATGAGTTCATGTCCACTTCACCCAGGACTTGGTGGAACACTTGATTGGAGACCGTCACAAGTAAGGAAATGTTTTGATACAATTTTTCAACAACAAAAGAGTTAGGAAGGCTATGTGTTAGCTGCTCAAAATGCTGGCAATTTGTTGATGCTTTTGACGGGAATGTGGGCAGATCGATTGAATGGGAAATGGATGGTGATGGCGAGGTTTGAGGGTTTTCGATCGACTTTCAAACTGAATCAACGTTCAGTTTGGTTCTTTGTGTATCAGCAAATGCCATTCTTCCAATGGTTTCTCCGGTTTCTCTTTGGCTGACCGTTTTGTGTCGAATGGCTGTTGGAGCTGCTGATGCCTGTTTGATACCCGCTGCTACTTCACTTATTACTAGGTGAAATCATCTTAACACTTAACCATTTACCCAAAGTTCATTGCGTTGTTTTCAAATTGCAAAATGTGCTTGCTTTTAGGTGGTTTCCTCAGGCAGAACGATCGGCGGCTATTGGAATCATTTCCGGAGGAAGACAACTTGGTTTGTACTTTGCCGGAGGATGGCCGGCTATTTTCTATCTTTCTGCTTGGTTTTATTATTTCAAATGATTATGAACTGATTTCAAAATGATTTAAACTGTACTTATGAAAATGATTATTTCAATTTAATAGGTTGATGCATAAGTCTTTTTGTTCCTTTTCGTCTGCCGTTTCAAGCCAACAAATGCACCAATTAAACCACGGTTGATTTCATTAGAAAAACCAATTATTTTTCTGCAAAATAACATTAAAGCGGGTTTAAAAATATTTTATGCCTGGATTTTCTTGAGAGTATGAAGTCGGGTAGTCAAAAAGGGCTAACTCGATGATGCGGTTTAGACACCTTAGCTAAAGAAAACCTATCTTCGTGTCAATAGATAAAAGATAGAGAAAAAAAACGTTTGATATTTCGCCAAAATTTCAGAGAAATTCATTCAGCCAATTTTTCCGTAGAGTTTTTTATAGATTTTTACGAAAAAGGCGTTTTTCACTCTCGAATTTGCTTGAAAGTGAACCGAAATTCATTTAAAAAGATGCAAATTGAACAAAAAAACACTTTTTTTATAGAGCAAACTATAGATTAATTCGTGAATTTGTTACTTTTTAACAGAAGTACGAAAAAAACGAAAAGACTTATGCATCAACCTAATAGTTCCAAAAATGCTAGTTTGTCCTTTTTGTACTCAAATTTCTAGGCAGCCTTTTCATTTTGCCGGCTGCTGGCTGGTTGTGCACTCAAAGAATTGCCGGAGGATGGCCGGCTATTTTCTATCTTTCTGCTTTGGTGTCATTGATGGTAGATAACTTATGCGTTAACAATTTTAGTGTATGCATTTAGGTTGTCTTTTTCTGGTTACCATTTGGAGCGGATAAGCCAAGCAAACAATGTTGCATTTCGGAAAAGGAAAGACTTTTTGTTGAAAGCAGGTACGTTGCTCGACGAGCAGTTATTAAGGTTTTTTAAAACTCTAGACAATTCACTTCCTAAAGCTCAAAAGCAAAATTTGATTTCAGAATTGCCTGTGAATCGATCGGAAAGCGAACGGATCGAGGACGACGAGTTCCCTATCGGGCAATGTTGAGAAGCTCTCCATTATGGGCAGCGGCTTTTGCAATGGTTTGCCATGAATATCCACTTGTCATCATGCTTCAGGTACGTTTGCAAAACTTTGCAGTCTTAACTTAAAATTTTCTAGTTTCTTCCCAATTATCTTCGAGATGTTCTCGAGTTTCAACCCACAGAGAATGGACTCATTTCAGGTATAACTATGGACTATGGACTCTTTTTATGCTCTATCTTTTATCTATTGACAGGAAGAAAGGTTTCCTTAGCTAAAGTGTCTAAACCACATCATCAAGCCGTCGCCCTTTTTTGACTACTCGACTTCATGCTTCCAAAAAAATCCAGACATAAGACATTTTAAATCCGTTTTAATATTAGTTTGTAGAAAAATAATTGGCCTTTTTAATGAAACAAACCGTAGTTCAATTGGTGAATTCGTTGGTTTTAAACGGAAGTACGAAAAGAAACGAAAAGACATTCTGGACAGCCTAATATCTGCTAAACACCGGAACATTGTGTTCATTTATCATTTCCAAATATTATAGCTCTTCCTATGTTGTGCTTATTCTTATCAAAAACATTATCTTCGTCTTTGTCATCATGGCTGATCGTTCGAAAGGAATATGATAAGACAAGAGTTTGCAAGGTGAGTAAAACTGACAACGAATTGAAAAGTTCAATGCAAGTGATTAGGTATTCAACGGAATTGCCTCAGCTGGTCTCTCCATATGCATCGGCATTGTTCCATTCTTCGATAAAGATCACGCGACACTTGCCGTGATTTGTCTCTGCGGGGCAATGTTCAGTGCCGGTTAGTAAGAAGACATTGATGTCTACTTTTAAACTCAATCCCTATTTTCTTATTAGGAATGCACACCCCAGGTGTACAGACAGCACTTGTACAATTAGCCCCTCCTTTCTCTGGCATTATCACTGGATGGACATTCTTTGCTGTAGCATGGTTTGGAATTGGGAACAAGATTCTTACAAAAAAGATTGTCCAACAAGGTTTGTTCAAACTGTATTCAACATATCAAAATTCGGGTTTCCAGGGTCAGCCACAGAATGGGCGATCGTTTTCCACGTGGCTTCTTTGGTGGCTGCTCTGCCCGTGATTTTCTTCTCTATTTGGGGCTCAGCTGATCGACAGGTTTCATTTTCAAGAGTATCATCACACATTCAAATACAATTTGGCTCTTAAAAGTCTTTCACGAAAAGTTTTTTTCAGATTTGGGCTTCTCCTTCCTCAAAATTATCAGTGGCTTCAATGTACATGCCAAATCGAATCGCTTCACTCAACACACAAATGACACGGGTATTTGCTGAGCTTTAATATTTATAATCTTTGTATAAATCAGGTTCTTACAATAGTATAATCTAGTTTTACTACATATTTACAAACTTTCGTCTAGGAGGGAAGTCAGAGTTCGTGGAGTCTTCCGAAGCGGCCCACTCCACCACCGATTCGGTAACTTTTTGATGATAAATAATAATGAAATTGTCTTTAAATTATGAGTAGTGGTTTTTTTCAACAATTCGCCAACAATTACTAATTCATTTACAGTCAGGACTCATTTAATTGATGTTTTTTCAGCAAAATCTCAACTCTTGCCCCTTTCGACTCCAATACATCGATTCAAAAATCGGAAAGATAATATTTATTATATTCAAAGAAATAATGATCACAGACAATTCAAGATTCAAGAAAAGAAAGACATGACACAGTCACTACAATTTTGAAATTAAAATTTGAAATTAAAATTTGAAATTGAAATTTGAAATTTTCACTAAAATACACCCGAAAATTTCACGAGTTTATTCATTCATGACTAGATTCAAATTTGAAGATAGAATGAGAATTATTAAAGCTAATAAATCTAAAGTTGAACAAAATTGATAATTTAACGATCTTCTTTACACGTAAATATTGATTCGAGAAAATGGGGCAAATCACCGGGTTGAAAATTTTTAAAAAGAAAACACTCTGTTACCGAAGTTAACATTTTCCACAACTCGCCTTGCAGAAAACCTGAAGTTTCTTGATAAGTTTTATCTTCAAATTTCGTGTAATATCTTTCATTTACTGTTTAATTTCTAACGTTCACCATTTCTCACCTTCATAAACTTGCTCTCACTGCTGCATTCACCAATCTTCGCCCAATATGAGCAGAAGAGATTTTTGTCTTCACACATTTCTCCATTTGGAAGCTTTGGTTTAACACGGCTCTAAGAATAAATTTTTGATTTGATTTTGAATGAACTAATGCTAATAATGAAGAAACCTTTTCTCGTTCCTTTTCTCGATTATCAGGTCGTCGAGTTGTTGACCATCTTCCTCGTCCAAAACCGCCTAATAAATTGAATTATAAACGCTGTTCAAAAAGAAAGGCATAAATTAATGAAACAAATTTGTTCTTAGTTTTCCATTCTAAATTCTGAACCTCCTCTCGGGCGATATGTGAATGGAGGTCTTTTTGTAGTCGTGCTCTTTGTCGTTGTTGTTGTTGATGGAGTCGTTGTTCTTTCTCTGCTTCTTCTCTCTTTTTCTTCTTTCTCTTTTCTCAACCTAAATCTTCCATTCTGATTTCTATATTCTCGACCGTCACCTCTCCAATCTCTCTTTTTCTTTTTCCTTTTCTCGATTTTCTTCTTGTTCCTTTCTTAAGCGTTCTCTTTCCATTTCTTCTTTTTCTTTTTTCAACTCTTCCTCAATTTGATCATCGTCATCGCAAAAACCACAAGCCTGAATGTTTACAAGTTTTATCTTCACTTGATCTATCTTTAGTCAAATTTAACTGACTTACCTTCCTACAATAGTGGCTCATATATTTGAGAGAATGTTCACAATGCCCCAATTGTTCCCACATAACACAATGTGCATTCAAGTCTTCGCATTCTAAAAATAAATTAACTCTATTGTGGAATGCTTGCATACTTCCTCTACTTTTCGATCCACCATTTGGTGTTGTCACTTTGGCACGAGTCTAAAGTAAAGTTATAAATCTACTATTATCTTCCAAACCGTTGTTGTAGTCGTAGTAGTTGTGGTGGTCGATGATGACTTCTTCTTCTCCTTGACCTCTTCTTTTGGAGTAGTCGTTGTTGTTGATGATGATTGAGTTGTAGTTGTCGTTGTTGAGGAAGTTGAGGCAAAATCTCCGCATTTGTAAAGCTTGTTTACCTGATAAAGAAAACAATCATTTAAACACGAAAATAAAGAACCTTTTGAGAATCGATATCAGAAAGTTTATATCTTTGCCCAATCTCGGCTCCTTTTTCTTTCGGGACAATCGTCGATTTCCCATTCTTCGAAAAGGCCAGCTTATGATAGTGCATCACCTGAAAATTTAAAATACAGTATTTTTCCTAATAGTATAACGTGCCCAGTGGAGCGTCGAGTAGTCGTACTTGTAATATGATTTTGTGCTAAATAGTTTTTCTGTTCACTCACCGAATCATAATCATATGGCATTCCCAATGGGTCGATAATCTTTTGTGGATATTTCTCGAAATTGCGCATCATACCTAGAATGTCCTGTTCTTTATTGGATCTCTTTCTCTTGCCTGGTCGTATATTGTCGTCCACGATGTCTACATAATGATCTCGATCGGTTCGTGAATGTTCGTGGAAAAAGCCGATCGCGTGCATCAACTCGTGAGCGATGATTCCCTAGAAATTGGTTGAGACTGGATGAAGACTTATGCATAAGATTGTCACATAAGCATATTTCGCTTTTATTTGTTTAGTTATCAAGGTCTCAATTTATTTTTATACCTTGCTGAAGCACTTATCAACCTCGAGAGAAACTGTTTGATTGCCACCAGCTCGGCCGACATACGATGAGCAACTGAAACAAGACTTTCTTTCCAAATCTATATTTTTGATAGCTACAATTAAATAAACTAACCCAAAAGCGACATTTCTCTTCACATAAATGTAATCAAAATCATCGTCACTTCGCGGCACAAATCGTATACACGTTTTTTGTTTGTATTCGTCAAAAGCTTGTGCAATCGCAGCTCGTTGTCTAAAAAGTTTTGAAAATATTAGAGTGGCGCAAAAGAAACTGCCGATGGGTATCAGCTCTCATTTATCAGAAACGAGCGATGCTAACGGCATTATTTTTTTATGTTTTGTTCGCATATTTGTTTGCTATTTATTTCGACATTTGAATTTTTTGGTTGTTGTTTATTTTATTTAAAAGTGCTTATATTTTTTATTTAGATCATGGTCGAGCAAAAATTTGTGCTACGAACAGCATTACTGTTTAACTTCAAAATTGGAAAGTCTGCTGCCAAATCGCATCGTTTTCTCTGTGCTGCTTTCGGAGATGGCAGTGTCAGACTGCTTTCGGAGATTTGTCTCTCAGGCAGTGTCAGACTTGGTTTCAACGATTCCGAGAGGGAGACGAGACTTTGGAAGATTACGAGCACGGTTGTGAAGTTGCCAGAAGTGGCCAGAAGTTGTGAACGAAGCCAAGCTGAGGGACGGTATTCAGGCCGATCCATGCCAATCTGCTCGAGATCTTGCGAAAATATTTCATTGTGATCATGTCGCCATCGAACGCCAGCTTTTTTTTAAATTTACCGTTAAATCGGCAGTTTCTTTTGCACCACCCTAATAGTTACTTTCCAAACGAAGTTTCAGAAATTGCTTGTTAAATCGAATTACACGAGCCTATCATTTACCAAAGCACATCTTAAATCTCAAGCATTTCCCCCGCATTTCTTTTCAGCCAAAAGCCTGTTGATTGTTTGAAAATGTTTGTCTGTTTGTCATAGATTATGTGGGCAGTCACTACATTGCAAATATTGGCTTGTTTTTCTTTTTTGCTTCTTTTTCCTAATCTCAGAGTGACTCAATGAGTGGAAAAAAAGGGGAAATGAGCAGATCTGTTACATAATGATAATAGGCGAGAAGCCTAGGCAAATGAAATTAACTCAAATATTAATCACTCACTGTGAAGTCATTCCCTCTTCGAGCATATATGGAACCACTCCATCAGGCCACAATTTGTCTGGGTAAGTGGCCAAATTCAAAGCCGAGTTAAACTAGAATTGTCTCATTGCATATATCTGAAGGGATTTTTACCGGTTGTCTAAAGATATCTTCATAATTTCCAATTGGAGAATCTCGTAGTCTTTGATTGAATGATGGAGTTGAATCTGGTGGAATTCCCTCAATGTCTCCTTCGAAGAGAGCCGCGTTCTGAACGGCGTCCAAGTCGGCACCAGTGGGACGTGCAACTAAACAGCTATTTTTAATAACATCTACTTAAGAACATACTTTCCTATCCTTAATAGGTTCAACTCTTTTCTTTTAACCCCCTTTCCTTTTCATTTCAACTTTGATTCTTTTCATTCTTTCAGGCGACTTTCCTCGTGTTTGCAGGAGAAAATGAACGCGAGGTGAGCGCTTGAAAGGGACGCGGGAAGCGTGAATGACAAACAAAAGAAGAACCTCTTTTCAAAGACATCAATGAAAAGAAAAGACAAATGGGTAAATTCTGGAGAAAAGTCAATGAGGAAACAATCGGAAAAGGATTTTAATCGATTATCTCATTGAAAGAACTTCCTAGCAAACATACCCGGCTGTTTAGCGGCTAGCTCGAAGTCGTCTGGCGTTAGGTATTTCGCCGAGAGGTCTGGAATTAATTTGATGGGAAATTTTAACACTCTAATAGGTACAAAAAAAAACTCTAAATCGATCCTACTACTTCTTTTCTGCTTACCATCAAATTGTTTCTTTTGATGTTGGGCTTGTTGACTGGGAATCGGTGGTAATCGTGAGGCGGTTGATAGGGCGAACAAAACGCTCAGCAATGGCAGCAATGCCCATTTTGCCACCATGCCTTGAAATGATAAAAATGGAAAACAAGCAAAATGAGAGATAAATATTTCAAAAAGACAAATGAAGTTTATAGGGGAAATAAAATATAAGTAAGGCTTTGAGAGTTGTGAATTGAATATGTTCAAGTCTTCTAAACGTAGAGCTTTGAGGAACCAAAGACTACAGGTATCTTTTTTCCAAGATTGAGCTAGTAAGACAAAAAGTTTAGTTTAAAAAGCATCTATGCCACGATTGAGACATTTGATGAGAGTTGCTGAACTGAAGAGAACTGGAGAGTGAACAGAAAGAGTCTTGGTCCAAAAAGGTACCCCATGCCCACCCATTCCCTCTCTTTCCACCCCTTAGGCAGCAAAGAAACGGGGAACCGGACCGACCATAAGCACCAAGAAGAAAAGAAGAATTGAAGAGAGCAGGTCTGCAAAGAGGATCACCCAGAAAGAGAAGAGGCTCGTCTGTCCATCGAGTGCCCAAGGCATTCTATGGCGATTTCGTCTCTTTGTTCTTCACAAGAGTCTCCCCATCTACCACACACGGAAATGTTGTCGGCACAACGTGATCCCCCATTGGACTTCACCGACCGGGTCTCGTAACCATCCCCTCACTCTATCGAAAGAAAATGCCGAACCGGAAGCGCATCTCTAGAAGAAAATGAGTCATCTAGGCTAAAATTGAGGGCTCGGGAAGCTGGATGGATTATCGGGACATGATTTGATGTATGTGAGGATAAACGCAAGAACTTTGGAGCTTAAAAAATACGCAAGGGGCCAGAAACTGCTATTAATACGAGCCCAATGAAAATTAAAAGAATAACCTAGAAGAAATTGCCTTGTTTGACTTGAGTGCAGAAAGCAGAAAACTTTTAAAGACAGCTTTCTATTAGCAACAAGATCGATCAATCTCGATATCGGATAATTGGTCCACTGAGAGTGGAAAAAACGGAAATTCCTTCATTGTTTGTGGAATTCCCCCGATCGAGCCGATTCGGGATCTCATCGAAAAGACGAAGAAATTGACGCTCAACACCTAGAAGGGATGTGATTGAATGGATTTATCGAAGAGAAGAAAGAGAAATTAGATGATCCAGAGATCCAGAGAAGTTTGTGAAGAAGCGGAGGAGAGGGGAAGGGGGATGGACCTGCAGGGATGGACCTGGAGGGGATGTCTCGACAGGAGCCGGCGAGAATAGGCAAACAGAATGAAAACAAAGGCTTTTCTTTTAAAAGGAAAAAGAGAAAGGGAAGGTCTTCAGTCTCACCCAGTCTAGGCTTTCTCTTTTAGAAATCTCTTTTGAGAAGTCCAGAACCCTCCACCTATCCCTGGAAGACTTTTTTGGGTATCAAATGGAGAAGTGGCACAAATCAAATGGCACAATCTGTTTCAAGACAGACCCAAAGCAGAACTTTCATTAATCAACGACGGTAAACGCCCAGTTTTACGCCTTCCCCACGCACCAATAGAAATAGATCCCCAAATGTAAATCAAAAGTAAACAACGAGTACAATTTCGTATCTCCGGATGGCTCCGCTATTCATACGCAAACTATAGAAAGACTTTTGAATGCAGCTGAATAAGAAAAAATAAGAAGCACGGGGGTAACGCTCGTCATCACCTTTCCAGGTACCTTGAAGAGTTTAGTTGCGCGTTGAAGGAACAAAATATCGATAGATGTTTGACAGAATTGCTTCCACGTGGTCTTGCTTCCAGAAACCGCTCTATAGTCTTTTTTGTGTATTGCATGTGATTTATAGAATTTTTATGAAAATTTTGGCGGTGTATAATCCTATTGATGCAGATGGAAAGATAAATTCCTATTGCTATGAAACTCTTAATGGGGATATAATCCCATAGTACTGACAAGGAAATAAATGAATTTTAGTGGAACTTTCAAGTGAAAGACTGATGACTCTAAAAATGGAAAGTGCCTTGAAAACAAGATTTCACTTCAGAACAAATAGAAAAGCGAAAGGCGGTCTCCCTTTACATTTCCATATGGTAATTGTTATTCTTCTAAAGAATCCTGACCACAAGATTCACTTCTTGCAACTAACTTTCTTTATAATGCTCTTGAACTTTCTGCTGAACTGCTTGAACTTTCTTATTTGTAAATTTAATAAGAAAGCTTTTCGTAGATTTTTCTAAGAATTCGTCTTTTGTCGACTAGTTTTCACCCGATAATTGACAATTTCTGATAGGAAATACTTTTCGGAAAGCTTTTCCATTCGAAACGAATCTCCACAACCAACGAATCAGATGAGAAAAGTGAAAAGAGATAAGGATAAAGTCATATTACGATTGTTTTTCACTGAAAGCTCCATTCTCAGATTTCTGTTCGATACAAACGGCATCGTCGAGTTCACATCACAAACAAATATCAATACAATGAACTACAAAGAGATGGACAAATTTAAAAGAAGATAACTGGTCGAACTTTTTCGAAAGTGACCAATCTACAGCCAATCGAGGACATATTGGAATCTATTAGATCAAAATAGGAACCGTATTGGAACCTATTAGATCAGAATAGGAACCGTATTGGAACCTATTAAATCAGAATAGGAACCGTATTGGAACCTATTAGATCAGAATAGGAACTGTATTGGAACCTATTAGATCAAAATAGGAACCGTATTGAAACCTCGATTGTACTCGATTGTATCAAATAAAATACCCATTTTTGTTTATATTTTTTAGCACTTGATATTAAATAAATCAAACACAGACACAGCTATTCCATTTTTTCGAAAGTCTATTTTGTAACTTTTCGGTGGGATGGCACGAAATATTTACACGAAATACTTTCCCCTCTTTTTCCATCTCTATGACAAATCCTCGAAAAAAGAGATCGTGCCCACTATCTTTGCCTTGGGCCTTTTTGGGAAAACGGGGATTTAAATGAATCAAATAGAATGATTCAAGCCTTTTCCTTGAATCGGCCCATCTTTTCATTCTTCACAAAATTTTCATTCATTCGCTATTCACCCATCAAAAGATGAGTTCAACGGCTACAGTAATTTTGACTTTTCTCCTCATAACGATTGTCTGCGCACAAACGAATCGATGCTATTCGGTAAGATATAGCAAGTATTCACACTTTTTCATTGTATATCCCTTTACTTGTTGAACTCTGCTACGCTACTTTACGTTTTCTTTCACAATTTTCGCTTTCTTCAGTGCGCCAGTGGTTCTCTCAATCGTCGATGGGGAATCACACAACTTCGAGCCTCAAAAACCATCGTTTTCGACACACAACAAACGGTTTACAATCAACTACTCCTAAATACAAAAATTTTCAGAAAAAGTGCAAAGATATCAATAATGAGGACTCTCCTTATCTCGTGAATTGCACAGGAGCTTGCATGGATTTAATCTTCCAAGATCCCGATTCATTGAATCAAGCAGGTCGGCGAAATGATTGGGTTAAGAAAATCAAGTTTAGAAAGCGATGATCTTTTGTATGTTAGAGGCTGCCATAGCGAGCTTACCGGCGTCACTCAAACCCAAGGGATCAATCTACAAAATAACGAGTATTGTGAGGTATCGAAAAAGAGCCTTATCGTAAATACTGTAATAGTACCCCACCCCCCTCGTACAGTCGCGTAGTCGCAAAAGTTTTTTTAGTATTTCATTTTTTTCAAAGCGCTCATACTTTCAAAAAAGGCGTCTTTGGTATCAAAAAATAGCCCTGAATTTCAGCTATTTTTTGATACCTAAGCGCGCATTGTAGCATAAACCAGTGTCGAGAAAAACTCGTTCAAAGCTAGACTACGCAAAACTCCGCACCGTCATTATGGGGGTGGGGTACTATTACAGTATTTACGGTAGGTCAAATCTATGGTCAAACAAGTACCAAATTTTAGTATGATGCAACATGGAATACTTTCAAGTGTGACGGAACAATGACCGATACAGAAGCAAATTTTAGGCTATGCACTGGGTAGAGAAAGGAAAACCAAATTGATTCCTTTGACAAACTTTCAGAGATAAATGCAACAATCACAAAGGTGTTGATGGAACTGGAATCTGTGCACACACTTCAGGTAAATATTAGCCATTTGATAAGGCTTCTGCCTTCAGAAATGCTCTCTTTATAAAAAAAAAATAAATTTCAGTGACCGATCGTCAATGTTTCGAATGTGAGAAAGTGAATGGAGAATGCCGGAATAAGAAAAGAGACCCAGCTTCAAGAAAATCGAAGAAATATTGCACTAAATCTTACACAAAACTTGATGGTTTTTGACTCATATGCAATTTGTTAAAGAATGAAAGTCTAGGAACAAACACCTATTATGTGACCCAATCAAATTCGGATATCAATCTCTACTATGTGCCGAACTTTTGCACAGCTGCCCGCCAAACTTCTACTCCAATCGGTAATATTTCGTTTCTCAGTTTAGAGGCGAAAAGCTGATCTATTTTTTCCCCAATAAAAACCCTTTATAGTCAATTTGCATTTATAATCAGTCAATTTTCAGGCGGTCTTACCGTAGCTCATGGACAGGTGGTGCAATGTGTCTGTTCTGATCAAGACAGGTGAATTTTGATTGAAGACTTTCATTAAATTGTGAAATACTTGGTAAGAAGTGATTTGAGAGTAGTGAAGTGAAGAAGTACAGTGCTACAGTAATCCCTATAGTTTCAACTCTTTTCAGATGCAACAACAGTCCAATCCGAGCTTTCATCTCTTCATCTCTTCTCATTTTTGTTTCTTTCCTCTTCAAATGAATCTCAAGTTGTATTTGTATTCGGTAAAGGCATTTGCATTTAAATTTATATTTTTCTCACACAAATAAGGCAAGTATCCGTGACAAGAGCAACAAATAAATCTTTCAAATAGCTAACATAAAGATTTTCGTGAAGCGACTAGTAAAATTCTCAAAAAAAAGAGAGGCCAAAGCGGTTGTCATAAATAAGTCGTTGTGATAGGGAAAGTGAACAAAGGAATATCAGAAAAAGCATGAATTGAAACCTAGCAATGACGTGGAAGACATAGAATTGGCACATAGAAAACAAACACGTTACAGTATATTTTGATGAGGATATTAAGGGTTGGAGTGTGTAAAACAAAGCGAAAGCTAGGAGAAATCTAATAAAATTGATTTGTGATAGATTTTGTATAAGTTTAGTTGATTTTGAGTTGAGTAGATTCACATTTGAATTCGAAAAGAACTATGCCAATAACGAGTCAGAATTATGCTCAAATGGCAAGTAAAAAAAAGATCGAAAATTATTAAATTTAAGAATTGTTGAATGAATTCGAATAAATGTTCTGGTTTTTGCTCTGGAAAAGCGCAAATTAATCGAACAAAACTTGAGATTAACCTTGGAGAATCTCGTTTACAAGACGAAAATAGGTAGAACTATTGATGGCATTCATTTTAGTGAGCTTATAGAATTTTGTTTTTTTCCGGGATGCCCAAACTCAGAGTGATAAAAAGACTAAACCAAATCCTGGCGATGAAAAGAAATAAAGATCATACAAATTAAGTCTTTTGATTGTGAGTGTCTGATATTATCTAATCAGCCTTTTGAACTCTTCTCCTTGTGATTCGCTTTTCTTCAATTGGCTCGGATTTGTCCTGAATATGAAAATTAGTCATTGTTGGGGCTAATGTCATTGTTAGGGCTATTTTTAAGATCTAGTTAAGATTTTTAAGACCAACCTCGTGTTCTATCGTTGAATGACCATTTTGCTTTGTGGTGGCTGTTGCTTCATTTCCATTTTCGTCTGTCTTCTTGACTTTTGCATAACGATTTCCTTTCTTGAGATAAGCATGATAGAAGAAGTTGCAGAAAAGCAAGAAATACGAAAAATAGATGGCGAAGCAGAAGGCAATGTTTTCCCAAGTTTGTTGACATTCACGACCGGCAGTCTGAAAAAGCAAAGTTGTTTGCAAGAATGTTTTTCACGATCAACCTTGATTGCGTAGACAGTGATCCCAATATAGACACCCATCACCATTTGAAGGATTTGTAAGACTGTGATTGTCATGGCAGCAATTTTGGGAGTATGAATTTTGGCGGCGCGAAGAGCATAATAGGTGTACATGAAAGAATGGACACCATAGTTCATCCAAATAAACCAACGTCCTGAAATCGAATTTACAGATAGATTTTCGATAGATTATTGTATCAATTTTATGCTTTCCAGATTTTCCAGAACTCACCTGAAGCGGTGTGGTCTTTAAATGCGTGCCAGGTGTACGCTAAAACCGTAATATGATGATACCAATGCAAAAAGATCAGTGGCCGTTTTCGAAGAACAATGAAAGCGGTGTCCAAAAGCTCAGCCACCTCAAATTTATGATTTATTCAAACTATTGGATATTAATGTTTGACAAACCTTGCTGTGAGCGAATTTCTCGGTCCAAAATCCGGTGACTCCTTGCGCATACGAGGCGACACAAATGCTGTATTCGAAGGAATTATCTCCCCAAGACCATATCCATTCAGGAGTCATACGAATGAAGCCAAAGATTGAGAAGATAGCCAACATCGCATTCCAAGCAACAAGTGATCCATCCAATCCAAATGGTTTTCGTGATTCCATTATCTGAAAACAAGAGAGTGCTCTTTTCTATTACTACCGTAAATACTGTAATAGTACCCCACCCCCATAATGACGGTGCGGAGTGTTGCGTAGTCTAGCTTTGAACGAGTTTTTCTCGACACTGGTTTAAGCTACAATGCGCGCTTAGGTATCAAAAAATAGCTGAAATTCAGGGCTATTTTTTGATACCAAAGACGCCTTTTTTGAAAGTACGGACGCTTTGAAAAAAATGAAATACTAAAAAACTTTTGCGACTACGCGACTGTACGAGGGGGATGGGGTGCTATTACAGTATTTACGGTAGGTATCTTAATTAATTTTTCAAGATTTGTTTGTGAGAATGAAAGCTGCCTATCCGTTACCATAAAACCTTTCTTTCTTACAGCCTTTCTTCAAAAAACAGATTTATATAAACATAAAAATAAACATCAACGCTAAAGCAAAACATCAAATCGCTGTATAAATCGCGTTCCACGGTTAAAGTACCGGCTTTTTAAAGGTACCTAGTAGGAAAGAGCCTCAAAGAGTATAAGTGAGTGTGAGAATTCTCTGCATACTTTGATTAAACGTTATTTAATAAATTTGGTTCTCACCTTTTTTCCTCCAAAAATCGCCCCAACGTAGAGGGCCGAGAAAGTGGCTGCATGTTGCCAATTGTTCTGCATCCAACGCTGAAACCAACAAAAACTTTAATTGACTTTAATCAATTCAAAAGGCAATTTGATTTTACAAGCAAACTTATTCAAACGAACCGTGCTTTTAATTGAGTCAAAGGTGTCCTCAAATGGAAGCACGTATGTGTAATTCTCGAGTCCATATCTCGGCCAATAGTCGTATCGAGCCATCCGACTGGTCTAAATTTTAAATTCTTCAATTTTGTTTCCTTTTAAAACTTAAAAGATCTATAAAAACAAAAAGTGAAGAATGATCAATCTATAGCCAGCGAGTAGATGGATTTGCTAAAAGCAAACGCATTCTTTTCCCGGGAAATCGAAAGCTTTTTTTTCGTTTTGTGGGCAAAGAAAGACTGAAAGATCGTTAAATGAAGAGAGATAGCAAGATAATAGACCAAACTTAGATATGGAGAAAAAAGATTTCTCGTTTTATCGAATCATTTAGCTTTCCGTGTCCTCGGGGAAAACTCGATTTTGGCAATGGCATGTCATTTGGAGAAATCACCCCACATGTGAAAAAGGAATCAATTTTGATATTGAATCATCAAAAAAATATAGGGAAATGTTTAGGCACAATTAAAAAAAGCATCGGCGTCTGATAAAGCAATACATTTTTGAGTGCAGTCGCTAAAAGTTTTGAAAAATTGACGGAAAGCTTGTGAATTGAAAAGTTTTCTTGATAAAAACTCAGGAAATTCAGGTAGGCAATGACCGCTTAGAACTATTTTTTTGTAAAACTCTCTAACTAAACTGATAAACTCAAATTGACGAGTTCTGATAAAGAAACAAAGAAAGCAGAAAACCCAGAGAAAAACTTGAAAAAGACAGTCCAAATTCCAAGGTCATCACCCCTTTATTATGCAAAACATCTTGCAAATGCATACAAAATAGAAAAATCTTGCTTAACAAATTCGCGAGTCAGAATGGGAAAATGAATGAAGACGAGGGAAATTTTGGGAAGAAAAAAAGTGGGGCAAAGGAATAAGCTTCCAAGAACCCAAATGACCAAACGATAGAGAGGAAAGGAATGGAAAGGAATCGAAAGAAATGGCTACCATGGATACACACACTATTTCACAGATATCTCTCTCTTCGTTCTCTGAATTGAAGAGAGATCCTTTTTTGGGTGAACACCTGTTTGAATAATGCTTAAAGGAAGATCTTTGGTAAAATGTCTGAATTAGTTAAAGGTAAAGCGCATCAAAATTATATTATTAGGTTGGTGAATAAGTCTTTTCGTTCTTTTCGTTTAGTGGATTTGTTGGTTTTAAACGGAATTACGAAAAGAAACGGAAAGACTTTCTGCACAGCCTAATAATAAATATAAGTGTAAGTGTTAAGGAATCGTCAAAACTAACAAATTCTGATTTTGAAGATGTCAAACGTTCCCCTATCTAACTGAATGCTAGCATCATTTTGTGTAAACAGTTCCGGTGATGCTATCAAAATTTCCGTGCTTGTTTAAAATTGCGGCAATAAATGAAAGAAAAGACGGAATCGAACTCGGTCGGTTGTTTGCGGTGTGGGAAAATTTCTGGTTCTTGCCCCGGCTCAAGCCGTATTACAAGACGAAGGAAAAAGTTGAGAAAAAAAGAGAAAAAGAAGTGAGAAGAGTGGGCGGAAGAAAAGGAAAAAGAAGGGAAATCCGCTTAGGGAATAAGGCTCAATCCTAAACATTTCCTTTTTTTTTTTGTTTAACATATTGCCATGTTTGCAAGTACCGTTGAACTTGACAGAAAAGATTTGTTGCAGAAAAATCAACACTGAAATGGCTATTTGACTTTTAGACATTCGGAGAGTCACTTGAAAAGAAAAGAAAAATTTTTTTTTGAGATATAAACAGCTGAGTGGTTTCTTTTGTGGAAAAGATCAAGTTTTTAAATGTTTCTCCGAATTTTGGAAGAGGAAAGATTGAAATTATTTTGGATTGAAAAGGAAATGATAATGACGGTTAGAATGATATTCATTTGGATTCTAGTTCAAGTTCAAAAGTTCAAGGTTGCAAATTTGATATTTAAAAAATCAAGGGTCCAAAGGTTTGTCGATTTTTCGAAAAAAAGTAATCCGTAAATTCCCAACTTTTTTGGTGTAAACACGAGCAAAATTGGCTAAAAATCCCTAAAAATTTCCGAAATCTAAAGAAGAAACAATTGAAAAATAGATGTCTAGGGATTCGGCTTTAAATTTTTGATTGAAGTGAGATATTGAGAAATTTTCTTACAATAATCCCCCATTTTGGAGTCTCTGCTTTACTATCAGAAATTTGATCCAGAAACACAAAGATAACTCTTTACTATAGGTTCCCCACTCTACCCTTTTCCCCATATCTATTGGTGATTTCATCGGGAAAACTTTGAATGCGATGAATAATCATTTCTTTGAGGGGAAAAGGTTGAAGGCAAAAAGGCCTTTTGATAAGCATAATGTTCAATAAAGAATGCACGAAAGAGATAGTCCAAAGGATAAAACGGAAAAAGAAGAAAAAGTGGGAAAAGAATGAATGGAAAGTGGAGTGGTGCCATATTTCGGGTAAATATTGACTCATCATCACCACGGCCAGCTTTTCCTCCTAGATTTGGACACTTTTTGGTTGATTCAACAAAAATTTCAGAAAGCAATGATCAATTGACGGGATGATTTTCGATGGGTTTCGCAACTTTGGTTTCGATCAGTCAACAAAAGGCTATGATTTGTGATGGAGTAATCAAAATGAGCTCATAAATTAGCTAAAGTTTAAGCTTAAGCTTGTACAAAATTGTGCTTTTAGTAAGTTTTCATCAAATGTAAATTACAATAGCAGTAATTTTGCTTGAAAGTGTACCCAAATTGACTTAAAAAGATGGGAAATTGAACAATAAACACTTTTTATTTAGAGAAAACCATAGGTTAATTGGTGAATTTGTTATTTTTCAGCGGAAGTATGAAAAGGAATGAAAAGACTTTCTGGACAGCCTAATAATAGTAACAAAGCTTACAGTTGGCTCACAATTAGATCAATTCATAAATTTTTCAACTTAAGCCTCAAATTGAACTATCTATTCGTTTCCAATAAAGCAATAAAATAATAACTTGTAGTAGATTCAATTTATGAGATCAAAGCCCTTCGCAATTTCTTTGCAACAACTCCCTCGAGACTGTCTCGACGAAATTGAGTTCGTATCTGTCAAATCTCCCAAGGAACACCCAAAAAAGCGCTCCAAAACCCTCAATTATTCAAAAATCAGCCGACGAGGGGTCATTCTGGACATGTTTTTGCCTCCCGCCAGTCAAAAAATGAAAAAAGATAGCAAATGTTACAAGAAAGATCAAAAAGAGATAAGGGCTCATCGAATGGTCATTTTTCTCGGAAGGAAAACGAAAAATAGCAACACGTCCGGTGAATATCAACGAAATGCCGATGAAATGGGTCATATGATCGGATAGATTAAAAAGTTGCCTCAATTTTTTAATCTATCCGGGGCAACTTAAAAAGTTGCCCCAACATTTTAGTGTTGGGAAAAAGTTGTCATATGGGTGCAACATTTTTTCTTATTCTCAAAGCAATAAAAAATTTCAAAGACCTCAAATTTGCAAAAAGATTTTTGGAAAAAAGAATCATGTTTTGAAGAAATTAGTTGGCTGGTTTAGTTGCTTTTTTCGGAATTGAATTTAACATTTTCTCATTTGCAATTAAAATCGAAATTATTTCTAAAGATTTAAAAACTAGATAAAGATAAAGATTAGAGATTAGATAAAGATTATCGTTGAATAAACGTTGAATAAATTATCGTTGAATAAACTTAAATCCTTGCAAAACCTTCAAAAACTCAAAATTGATTTTACCTACAAGAGATGCTATAAGAGATACAACAGATGCTCAGATTATGCATGAAAAAGTGTTACAAGGTCGTAAAAATTCAAATTTTTGAGAGGTTGTTTCGATGAGAAAAATCGCCTTGACCTCACAAAAGAAAGGATTTATCGATGAACGACAAAGGGAAAAATCAACGCTTTATGCAAAATTGCACTCAGTGAGGAGAGGAAAAAAGAAAACTCTGGATGAAATCAGAAAAGAATCGGGTACGGTAGGAGGTCCATGAAAGAGAGGTGGATGTGGGGGAATGGCTAGAGAGGTACCAGACTAGGGAGGTAGTTATAATTCCCCGTTTTTCTGTCTCCTATCCAGAGCTTTTAAGAAAAAGTGTGGATAGTTTAAGTATCAAATATGTTTAGTTTATAATTTCAGAACAAAGATACTTTAGTTAGCATAAAGCTAGGCCAAATGAATAACCAACAAAAGTAACGTAGCTTGTGCTCTTTATAAATGAAATTCCAAATGATTCACCTGTTCAACTCTAGTACATTTTGTGCTCTTTCCAATTCCAATGGTCATTTATGTGCTGTTTTTGACGAGATCGTGTAAATTGAATACTATTCTCTTCTCTTTTCACAAAGCATTTATTTTCATGATTCACTTTCCCGTTTTCCTTTTTCCTTTTTAGTCAGAGTGTCTATTTTTTTCTTCATCGATATTCCATTCTCTCAACACGTATTCTGTGATCTGCGGAAGTCGGAGAATCTAAGGAAATATCTTTTGTAACCAAAAAAAATATTGAAAACCAAATCGAAATTGCCATTTACTTAATGTTGCATAAGATTTCCGTCTAAAATGACCTTTTCTGAGCTCTTACTTACCCTATTGTAATACTCCGTCAACAACGGGAAATCATCAAGTGCTCCCGAACCATCGCCTCTTTGAATTACATACAAGAAATACAGGAAACACAAATCCGTGTAGGTCAACTGAAAAGTCTTCACTTTAACGACTTTTCATCTTCTCAAATACCTCATCCCCAACCATGTATCTACCACCATTTTTCCGTAAATATTTTTGAAAGATTTCGAGTTTCTCCGGTCGAATTTGAAGCCATTTCATCCGCATTTCTTCCTAAATTCAAAACTAATAACCAAATTAGATGAACAACCGCCATTTCTGGAGTTGGTGCAAGTTTTTCACTCCAATATGCATAGAGAACATCCCAAAATGTGTCGTTAAACATATCACATTTAGCCGCATCAATTCGTGTTTTTCCGGCAAAACCTGAATACTCCTTTGCAAAGTCATGTTTTACATTATCATTTAAGACATTTTAATATACAGACAATGAAATATCATATTTGAAAAAACACTTTCGCACTTTCGCGCGTCTGTAACTCCCTTGTCTTTGAGTTTAAACTATTAGTGTTATACATTTTCTGAAAGCTCTTTTCAAGGGCTACACAATGGTAATATTAATATTTAGAAATACGGTAAAGACAAGGGAGTTACAGATGCGCGAAAGTGCGAAAGTGTTTTTTCAAATATGATATTTCATTGTCCAGTAGTGTACCTGCTTGAAACGATTTGGCTACATATCGAAGAATGGCTGAAGTCTGGGAGATCACATGTTTCCCTCGATCCACATCCAAATATGGGAGTTGTCCAAATGGAGAACCTTAAAGAAGTATGGAAGAAATTTTATGAAATCGATGATTCCTTTTTAAATCCACTCACCATTTTTGTAATCCTCCTCTTTCTTCAATCGAACATCTTCAAAATCGACATCGAAATAATTGAAGAGAAGTCGAATTGGTTCAGCTCTTCCTTTCGTATCAAAATACACCAATTTGTAATGATGTTTTTGTGTCATTTTCTTCCCATCTAACCAGAAAAACTCATTTTCAAATAATTTTTGCATTTGAAGGAAATAAAAAGATTGCTTTCAAGGAAAAATTTATGAAAATTTCATGTCACGAAATGCTTAACAAAAAATAAAACAAAAAATGGGAAATTGGCAAAAGGTTTTCTCAAGTAAAGAAAATTACCAAAAACAAACGAAAAACAAATGCAAAAAGTAGAAAATAAAATAAAAGACTCAATCAACATCTGAAAATATGAAAAGAAAGAAAATTCCCATAGAAATTGTAGTAAATCAATGGTTCTTTTGTATCGTTACCAAGGGAATTTTTGAGGGATTTCTTCAGCTTTTAATTAGAGATGAAAGCACAAAAGGAATAATATGAAAAGGATGAAAAAAGAAAAGAGGTAGGCTTTTAAACATCAACAATTACTTTGTGAGGTGTATGGATTGTGAAACTGTCTTGTTGAAGTACCTAACTTAAGCTTAAAAGTTGGTAGCTGAAAGAATTGAAGCAAACCTTTTGAGCCCATTTATCTGCTCGAGAAAATTCACCTGTTGTGGAAAAACCAGTTGTGGAAAAATAAGTTTGATTTGCTTAATTCTAAATGATATCAACATTTATCTTACTTGTAATCTTTTTCAATAAACTATCAGCTCAATGCTCAACTCTCGATTCTTGTGTGAGTTGTGCCGGAGTGACTAATGGCCCATTCACTTGCAGGTTTGATTAAAGAACTAAGCTCGAAATTTCTGTTAGATGGTGTCTCGATACGTCTCGGTGTGTTTCTGGAATGATGGCCTGTCAATCGAGTACAGTCGTCTCATCGTACAACTGCCCGCGAAATATCTCCTCAATTGTTTTCCCTGTAAGAATGATCAATATTGAAAATCCTTTATTAGACAAATTTTAATCTTTTTATGTTATTAAAAGAATCATTCAGGAATTTTATCTCGGCACTCGAGTCGTTCCGATGATCCGTGCCGCTTCATTAGTCCTCGAATGGGAGGAAAATAGGGAAGTAAGGGCTTTCAAATAATAATATTAGGATATTATTGTCTTAATGTTCTACTAGTTCTACACAATCAAATTTCTAGATTTTACCAATTCTCGAAACTCTTCCCAGCAATGGTTCGGGAATCATTCGTTATCGGAATGCGACCGCTTGCCACGTGGTACTTGATTATAAAAGATTTACTTTAAAGTTTTATATCGTAGATTTCTTTTAGGGCGATGCTTCTGTAATTGTCGTTTCAATGGATTCATTGAAAGAAGTTCTCATCGCATTTGATTCAAGCATGGGCGTGAATGAAGTAAAGAGCTAAATTGAGTAAAAGAGCTAAATCCTTCTTTCCGTATTCAGATAATCGCTCAAATCTTTGATTTCCTTCTCAATCGTCAAGAACCCTACCAGTTTGGAGGAAAAGTGCTCACATATTACAAGTAATTGTGTTATTTGTTTTAAAATCAAAGTGTTTTAGTTCTTGTTTTCTCACTCTCTGGAAAGTGGGATTGGGGAATTTCCTTCAGGCTTACCTTAATGGAACTGGAATGAAATCATGGAATATCTTAGTTCTAAAGAAAGTTTATGTAAACATATTGTTATGAATTACAGGTAACAGGTGCAGGTGTTGGAGGTTCACTTGCTTCAATGCTTATCCCAGCTCTTTCATCACTTCATCCACTTCATATTCGTTTGATCACGATCGGTCAAACGAGAACTGGAGATATCGAGTTTGCGATAAATGTTGAGAAAAATGTAAAACCATATAAATCTTCTATTGTGACAAAAATAGTAGGCCCAATCGGCTTTTCGAGTTGTTGTTGGGGCAGATCTTGTAGCTGATATGCCAAAAAGGATTGGTGACTCACTCGACTTGGGACATCATTTTGCATTTGAGGTTTGACAACTGCATTGTTCTTGAAAATTCTTATATATCTTTTAAGGTCTACTACCCGAATGGTCTCTCCCATCCTTATATAATCTGTGATCAACCAGAAACTCCCACTTGCAGTATGGGAGTTTTCTTCAAAGTACCCTGGCTGAATATGCTTTATTTGACAAAATACGATTGATTTGTGAAATTCAAAGTACAATTTGTGAAATTGTGTTCCATTTTATAGGACTTCTTTTGTATCATAAACAGTTTATGTCAAATTCTAATGCACTGCCTCAAAGAGTAGTCCATAATCAGTCTTTCTCAACCAATGATAAACCATTTTCCCTCAAATGAACCCAATGAGTATCTCGATGAAATGGAGAAAAGAAGTGAGTAAATAGTGAAGTTAGAGCCCACTTTTGGACGGAGATCGGTGAGTGACTTGAAAAGAAACGAAAGAAAAGGGTCACGCATAGAAGAATCCGTCTTTTCTTCTTTTCGTTTCAATGATGGAATCTCCCTGGGGACTTTCTTTTCTTTTTCGAGTGAGTGCACCTATGTTAGCTCTCAGCTGTTTTTATTTTTGTGCTCTTTACCATTTTCCTTTTATTGAGTCTTTTTGCGTTCTAACTCATCAATACCAATTCTCTTGAAATTTCTAAAAGTTCGTCAACTATCCACCAAAACACATCTTGTTTTAAAAAGATTTTCGAGCACAAACTCTTACGAGAATCAGCAAGCTGCCGAGGTGAGGCTAAAAGACTAAAAGAGCTAAAGAGTAAGAGGGGAGAGGGAAGAGTAGATAGAGCCCTTCTCCTCCGATGGACTGCGCACCTCCTGGGGGTGAATTGGACGAGGTCTTGTGAAGAAGAGAGTAAAAAAGAGGAGAAAGAAGAGGTTCTTCCGCATCGATCTCCGCCTCCGTTTTTTTTTTCTATATCTTGCTCTTCGGATCCCCAAATGTGCCCGCTTTTCCCTGTTCTTTTCTCTCTTTTGCCTCCTCCTTCTTCACATCATCTATTCAGATTCCCTTTCACATCCACATCTTCTTTTCTGTTTTTTTTCTTTTTCCCTTTTCACTATTTGTTGTTTCTGCCTTTTCCTCCTTTTTCTCCCAACTTCCTCCCAACTTGTGCCCCAGGGAGAAAGCTTAGATCTCTCCACGAGTTTACCCCGATTTGCGATTTGATGGATTTGGAACGATTAGTGTTATTAGAGCTTCATTAACTAAAAATTTGATTTGACAAATTATGTAGGCAGATTAAGATTGATCCATAAAGCAAAGAAAACTTTTGTATCAATTTGTGCTTTACATCAAATCCAAAAAGTCGTTTACGTATTATTTCTTTGGATCTCAACTAACATACAAATCACTTACTTTCAAATTTCATAATCTTGTCCCATCTTGTTCATTCATAAGTTCATTGTCTCTCAATCTCTTTTCCTAGGGTTGTTAGAGGCCACAAAGCTTTCCCCTCGCTACTCCTTCTTTCCCTTCCCATCGATGCCCCCAACAAAGCCTCTATTCGTCATCTCTTTCTGCTTATTCTTTAACCAAAAAAGGAGGAAACTGAAATCTCCATCTTTTGCTCTTAACTCACATATTCTGAATACTTTTTGCTCTGGATTTGTTGAAAACAGAGTCTTCTTTTGATGTGTCAAAATGTGCAGACTTCAGTTTTGATATTTGTCTTGATTTCTTCCAAATTCTTTCTAAAATCGTCGATTTTTCGAGCGATGGGAAAAGTGTTCCCATTCTCGATATTTTTTCTTCTTTTCCACGAATATGCTAATCATTTCTTTCCATCCGTAGAACAAACTTTTTTTGAGAAAATCGGCAACGTTTGTATGTGTTTTTTGAGGGAAAATTTCATTTCTTTTCTTGAATTTCAGTTCAAAAGTTATATTCACCTTTTGAAGTTATATTCATCATTTACCACATTTCTTTTTTATTCTTTGATGATAAATTGATTTCTTTGAATTTTTTTTTGAACTTGTTAATCAACAAGTTTCTCTTTAATTTTCCCGACATTTTCGCTTTTCTGAAAGAAAAGAGAAGCAGTCAATTGCAGGCATTCGACCCCATTTTGAGCTAATTTCAGTGGGACCCACTCTTTTTTTTCACCAATTTCTCTCCATTTCTCTCCATTTTCTTTAGATAATAGAATTTTAAATAATAAGCAAGTTATTTTAATTGTTTCAACAATGTTTTGATGATCATTCGTTGTTGATTTACTATTACAGACGCTACGCAATTTAATGTTAGATCTATGGATAGTCAGGTAGACTGAGTTCTTTATTGAATTGCATCACTGAATGGACGAATAGCCTTTAGCAATGAGTACAAGGAGTCTTGTCACGATAAAATTTCCAAGTTGAACACATGAAAGTTTGAACTAGCAACTTTAATCCTTTGCAGACTTGAAAAGAGGCACGAGAAATGTCTGGGTGAAAGAAGAAAGATCCTTCCCCATCTATCCCTTTCCCCTTTTGTATCTCTGATCCCAATAAGGTGTTATCCCCCTCTTTTGCCTTTCCCCTTTTCTTTTCTCTTTGATCAATTTGTGGGAGAATTGCTCCTTATGGGATTGATGAACCCGAATTTCGAATCCCATCTCTTTCAGATCTCCGCTCATTCTCCCATTCACCAAACAGACAAACAATGCAACAAATCGGCAATCTTGACCGCTCATTGATAGCTAAATGGGTTTTGGTTTTTGATTGATGTCGTTTAGTGTCCATGCAAGAGTTCTTTATTGAATTGCATCATTGAATCGACGAATTGCCTTTAGCAATGAGTACAAGGAGTTAGATCAAGAAACGACTAAAGATGCTAAAGATTTTCATTTATTGAAAGTACAGCTGAAAACTGAAAGGCAATTAGGAACCTGGCCTTGATTGTTTAAAAATCTAAAATTTTGAACTCTTAAAACTAAATTTTAAGGCTAAACTAAACCCATTTTAAACTTGACACTTTATCAATGATGCGATCATTCAAACACATCACAACTTTATACCCAACTCATATTTTTCTCCAAAAAATGATTCACTTTCTTATTTAAAAAAAGTGAATCATGTTATCTTTTTTAAATTCCAACAGTTTTCACCCAATTACCCCATTATTTTGTCATCTTTTTTTCTCTTTTAGTGTTTTTTTTCTATTCGAGTGCACGTTTATGTTTACATAGATCATCTCTTCTATGTGGCGCTTTATTGGAATGCTTAGATTTATCTATGCTTGATTTCAGTTACATTTTGAACTTTAATAGTTGCCAGTTATGTATTAATATCTTGTTAAATTAGCTTTACAGCTGGATGTGAAGGAGTTTTTTTCTTGACCATTTCTGCTTTCTTCCTTTCTATTCAACACACATTCTATTCTATTTCTATTCCTTTCTATTCAAATGTAAACTTCGGCATTTTAGGAACTAACAAGTTAGAATTGTTATTTTAGATTTGATTTTGCTATCTAGCTCAGCTTTTTTTTCTTAATTCGTTGTCAGTTTTGATTGAATAAAAATAATGATCTTAATTCGATGACTTGCTGAGTGATGACGTCAGAGATCGGCAATTTGATCGTTGACTCATCAACACAAAAATGGTGATGAGTGGTGGTGTCTTAGACAAGAGAATTGGAAAGGAAGGGAAGAAGTGAAGGGAAGGGATGGAGGGTTGGAAGGGATGGAGGGTTGGAAGGGATGGAGGGGTGGAAGGGATGGAGGGGTGGAAGGGATGGAGGGTTGGAAGGGGTGTCCCTTCCACGTGTTCTCATCCAACGAATTCCCCTCAACTTGGAGGGGTTTCGAAAGAACCACACCACAGACACCTCACTCTTTTTGCAGCTACGGCTATAAGCTTGAATTTGGCTTTTTGTTTGTTGAATTCAACTGTTATTTCTATGTCAAAAGTTTATTTGCCTAAAATGATTTTAATCTTTACAAAAGATTCAGTAAGGAAATTGACTGTTCTTAAGCCAAAAGGCCATACGTTAAACGTGAAAAATCGCGGGGGTATAACCCAAAAGAACCCTTTTATTCATTTAAAGCCAAATCTTTCCCAGTTTCAGCATAAAATCATTCGTTTATTATTGAGTGATTTGTTTTATGTATCTCTCTCTTCACAATGACTCATCTCTCAAATGAGAATCGAATCAACAATGACTTTCCTCTCTTTCCGTTCTTTTTCTTCTTTTCTTCAATAAACAAGAGTTCTGTTTAAAGGATCTTTAGATTAAGAGGAAACAGAAAAACAAAGGAAAATAAAAACAATGACATTTCTTGATGTTTTTTTCATCGAATCTAATCCATTGTTTCCTTTTCTTGTAGAAGATTTCACTGGTATTTAAATCTAATCAGATTTTTATCAATACTTTATTAACTCTATACATCTAAATGGAATGGACAATTTTATCAGTGAGCTTTTCAGTCTTTTATGTGTTTACGCATATCTGGATAATTTCTTGTTTTCGCTTTTCTCCATAATAAAAGGGATTAGGGAAGAGCTCAAAGTTTGAGATGATCTCAAATGATTGAAAGGGAGATCTTTTATAGCATTATCGATCCCTTTTTCACAAGGTATTGCAACATAAACCCTAAAGTTTAAATTGAATTAATTCTCATTTGTTCTTTTCACGTCCATTTTCTATTCGTTCCCATTTTGTAGATCAAATCAAACCCGTCCTTGATGCTTCTTTTCACATTTCACACTTACCATTCTCTCCGATTTTGTATTTTTTCTTCTGTTTTCTCTCGTTACCCTTTTCAACGGCCCATTGGTTTTCATTCGAACGATCGTTTCCGCTTTTTCTTTCACTTTTTTTTCTTCTTTGATATCCCTTGTCGAGAATTTGACTTTTTTTTTATATCAGAGTATAGTTTGTTAATATCAGAACTTTGGTGCTAATCTTTTATCTTAATAATGTGAATAAATGGGGGTGGGACAAATGCGACCTCTTTTTTTGCGCACCGGGACATTTGCGCACCTTTTTTTGCTGGAAAAGGCCTTAGGAAAGGTCGTAGAGCTTCAAAAATGTTTTCACAGAAGGGAATCGTATGCGTAGATTCCGAATTTCGACAAATCAGACCTCGCTGACACTTCAAATTTGGGCTAAAAGGCAAAAACTACGCAACTTAACGCTTTTCCGCAGTTTTTGCCTTTTAGCCCAAATTTGACGTGTCAGCGAGGTCTGATTTG